CTGTCGTACAATCTCCTCATCTTTGACGTCTCTTACAATTATCATCATCATCACCGTTGTTGTACAAACCGTCAAAGCCAGCTCGTCTCCACGAACGTACAAGCTGAAGGGCAGCAAGTAACTCGCTGCCAAGAGCTCGACGGCGCGGCTCAAGTAAATCGCCAAGCTCGCTAAAGAACCTCTCGCAGTCGCAACTAGATGCTGGTATCGTGAGTATATCAATCGCAAACTGGCTTAAACACGGGTATTTTGAGCGTAATTGAATCCAGTACTTGACTGGGTGGCCATCGCTAAGATACTGTTCGCTTGTCCACTCTGGCTCTTGAGTTCTCCAGCGCTCGTACTCATCGTCGTGGGCAGCCTCTACCTGAGCCTTGTTGCGCCGTACGAGGGCGCCAATCACATCATCTATTCCTCTATGCCTTGGTTTTGCAGTTGTTTGAGATAGAGGACGTGTACGTTGAGGCTTATACGACTGCCAGAGCTGCAGGAAGCCAGCGTTGGCTGATGTTAGCCATTCTGGCTTATCCACCCAGCTGTTCTCGCAGTAGTATTTGTAGTATGGATGGAGGCAGGTAGCAGCGTAGTATGCTGGCGATCGATCGAGCTTGTTGTAGTAATCGTTGGCCTTACTCCAGGCGGCGCGGAGGTTAACAAAGAGGTGATCTTCAGGCGCATCAGGTGGGTTGAAGTCAACTTGCTCGTACGAGCGCGTACGGGCTTCGAGCGCGCCAAGTACGTATTCAAATACAGGAATAGTCTCATATATAGCGCCGTATTTGCCTGCCTTTCCGCGACCCTCAAGCTTCTCCGTAGCAAGCTTAAGCGGCTCTAGGCAGTCCTGATACTCTGTTATCACCGCCCAATCAGCAGCTGTAAGTCCTGTTGATCTCATCCAACTAGGTGCTTCAGGGAGTTTATTGCCACGTTGACAAGCGCGGCGATCTTCAAGGGAGAGTGCGTTAATGTAGTGCTCAGCGTAAGAGTTGTATGCTGCCTGGAGTTGAGTTGCGCGTTTGAAGGCAGCGTAGTAAGAGTTCCAGCGTGTAACAACAGGCTTCACAGGCTCAAGTACGTGGAGGCGCTCTCTAGCTGGCAACTCGGCGTTGGCGGCGGTTTGGAAGCTTCGGAAAATTTCGTGTTGTTGAGGCGTTTTTATATGGTTGATAACGTCGATAAGTACACCTAAGGGCCCTTCTTGACGCCACTCCTGCATGTACACCTCCTCTGTTTGGAGCTGCTCGTCGTTGTTGTTGTTGTACGCCTCTTGATTGCTGCCAAAGATAATTGCCTGGCCAATAAGGTTAAGCGTGTGAGGGCCGCAGCGGAGGCGTCGGTGAGCAGCGTTGAAGTCGTACGCGTGGGCGAGCGAGGAGACTGCAGTATCGTTGTTTGCAGCATTGTCGAGGACGAAGTAGCCGAGTTTATCACTCCCAATACTGTATTCTTGGAGCGTCTTTTTAATTGTATCAGCGATAGCATCACCAGTATGAGAGCCTGCGAGATGTGGGAGGGCGATGGGGAGATCTTGTATCACTCCAGAGGCGTTAGCAAAGTGTGCAACGACTCCAAAGAATCCACGCTTGCCACCCTTTGTCGTCCAACCATCAAAGCTTATGTGGATCTTGCTTGCAGCTTCTGACAGAGCGCAGACAATCTGTGGCTGCATATATTGGAAGAGGCGCATTGCGTAGGTAGCTACACTGCGAGGACTTACCCACAAAGCTGCCTCTGCCTCTGGGTTTGCAAGGCTAATCATCTCGCGAAAGGACGGCCTTGCAAGTAGCTCCATTGGCAAGTTGTTATCAAGAAGGCAGAACAATGCAACTTCACGAAACTGCTGGATGTTGAAGTTGCCCATCGCGTTGGCAGCCTCTTGAGAGACTGCAACACCAGTCTCCAGCGTCTGTCGTAGAGAGAGTTGCTGCCCTGTTCTTCGAGGCTTCAGGCCGTCTTTTGTAAAGCCATGGCCTCGTTTCTGAAGGCCAAGATGAGCTGCAGCTGAGGAGGTGGCCTTTGATACGTCAAAAACTCCACTGCCGCCAGTGTCAATGACCTTGTGGATGTGGCAGTATTTGCATACAAACCACACTCGATTCTGATCGTAGAGCTCAACAACGCGATATCCATGTTGAAAGATCCAACTCTTGACGCGCCGCCCAGTTGTAAGAGGCTTCATGAACCGAGGGAGGCGATCCCAGTTAATGCCGTCAAAGTTATCGCCATTATCAGGCTCTGTATCAACACTAGCCTCTGTTGTTGCTGCTGTACCAGCCTGGCTGCCCTCAGCCGCACCCTCCTCCTCTGTTTGCGACTCGAAAAATTGCGACTCAAACGTTGTGGCCTGGCTTACGGCGGCGCCAAGGGTTTCCTGAGGCGACAGCGATCGCTGAGATAGGACAGAGGGCCTTGATAGGCGCGCCCGTTTGGCGGCGGCGGCGGCGGCAGCAGTATTGGTGGGAACTCGAGAGCGTTTGGCCATCGTGGGCGATACTAAACACTAAAGAAAAATGTCTGTATAGGTAGCTAGGCAACTAGTGTTGTGTGTAAGGGATTATTAGGGAACTGAGTGAGCGAAATCGTTGTTGTATTAAGAACAGCGAAGGACTAGCTATATAGGTGCGGGGTGAAGCCTAGAAGAGGCTAGCCCCTAAGCAGAAGGAGCTAGTCCTATAAGAGGAGAGCTAGCTGGTGAGAAGTGAATGCATAGAGACTGGCTTGCCCGGCCGACAGGGATCACAAGCTAAGCGAGATAGGGGTCCAAGATAACTATCTTCAACACCAAAAACCTTCTCTTAATACGACACTACTCGCCTTACAACTCGTTAATAATAAATCAATCTAACTAATCAAATCAATCAATCTGACCTTCGCAAGTTGATTTGATTAGCTATTTTGAAAAGCTTAGATTGAGTTGATTGAGTTGGTAAAAACTCCAAATGACCAATCAAATCAATCAATCTGACCAATCTGGATCGATTGTTGCGGAGTCTGCAGTCGATTAACGGCAAGCCGGGCTCATAACTGTAACGGTAGGATCGAGGAAGAGGGGGATTGCATTGTTGGTGTAGCTACGAAGGTGGGCAGCTATATATATGAATGTGGGATGTACGAAGTGTGGTAGCGAGAGTAGTACCCAACTTGTACCAGAATATGTCTTGGCAGGACCCAAACCGTTACAGGTAGGCTATTTGTCGGGGGGGAGGTCTCCTCGGCGGGTCGTTTACTTATTCACCCTGATCTCTAAAGACTTTGAAATCTTGAAGGTGTGTATCGTTTATTATACTGTGAAATATCGAAGATTAACGGAATCACAGAGGATCGTAGTCAAAATGATAGGCGAAAATAGCCTTGCAAATCTCGAGCAGGCCATGGCTGTCGAGTATGACTGCCACAACAGTCTATCGGCCACAGAATGTCCACATATTCTGGATATCTACGGGTGTTCATTGCGTCCGAGGCTGCATCCACCCCATCTGGGTTACCTTTATATTGAGTATGCTGAGCATGGCGATTTGTGGGACTTGTTGGATCATTTGAAAAAGAACCCAGGGTAAGTGGCGAGCTTGCTGATGTCTTGCCAGCCTCAACTAAACAGCCTCCAGTGAACAACTTCCAGAACCATATATATGGTTAATCTTCCGCGGCATGCTGGAAGCGGTTTTTGCGATGACGTGTGGCACAGCTATTCCGAAAAATCTGCCTTCTGACCAAAGCGGACTTGGACTGGAAGATAGATTTGGCCCTGGATGGGAGCCTTTTATCAGTAGGCACTTCCACAACCTAGCCAAATAACCAATACTAATCGCAAAAAGATCCTGACATAAAGCCGGAAAACATAGTGCTGGCTAGACCGCAAGATGGCTACTACTCTGGCTACTTGACAGCGAAAATGATTGACTTTAGAGTCACGTATACTGAAAGACGCTTTGAAAGCTCACAAGTCAAAGGCGGTGGTATAGGCACAAGGGGTTGGGGCCCACCCGTAAGTTAACGCACAACAATAGCGTTCAATAGGATCTGGTGACTAATGTGTTCCAGGAACATCGAATTCCCCCAGACATTTGGAATACAGAATATAGTGACACTCCCATCCACGTACACTCAGAAATCTTCAACGTCGCGCAAATCGTGTTCTCTTTGATGGAGGGTCAAATTAGGCCGGTCACTGACAAGGAAAGGAGAGAGCAACGTATTTCTCATGATCCAGCTTATCAAAACTGCTACAGTATGCTTCTAGAAAGAGTCTTGGCTCACTGTTTGTAATGGAATCCGAATCAGAGGCCTTCTCTAGTATATCTACTGTATTGTACTAAGAAAGGACTAGAAGATTGGGAAAAGGCGTACGGATCCGTGAACAAGCTGGAAGGAGAAATCCCAGAGTTTGCAAAGTCCAAGTTCAACCACAACAAAACCATGTTGCCGATTGGAGAAGTAGCACCAGCGTAATGGGAGGGGTGGCAGCGTAAGAGGAGGATGGCAGAAGAAGGAGCACTCCAGCCACCTATCATGGAAAAAAAGACCAAGAACCGATCAATACGTGCCCTCTCAGGCGGATGTACCAACTGATACGCCAAAACCACCTCCCAAAGTAACAGGTATCAAGGCGTCTGTCATGGCTATGACTAGCTTCATTTTCCCCGGATACTTCAGTAATGCGGGCAGCCAAGTCCTCGGTAATGCGGGCAGCCAAACGGGCCCGCGAGCATACAATCCACCGCCGCTGGGACCAGCAAATCGGTACCTTGAGCCTGGAGCACGAAAGCCATATGAGGAGCCCGGGTATCTTGAATATGTGACAGGCATGGGAACAGGAGAAAAACGCATTTATGTGCGGCCTTCGCCAGTCCCGCAACCTACACAGCAAGTTTAGCGCACACGACCATACTTGCCCAACGGACAACGTGTGTATACAAAACATCTTTCATGCACAGAACATGTTTTACCCATGAACCAGACAATCCTCCAGGACATCCTGTGCATCCAGAAAAATCTTGCTCCCAGGTATTTTTTGCAGCCTATGCGTCCTTTCCAGCTTCCAGAAGACAGTGACGAGGAAAGTTCTTTGGGCTTGGCAGGTATGAGTTCACACTTATAGGGAATTTTGAGATAGAATGAACACAATAAGGTCTCTTTTTGACGATATTACTCCTGTATAAGGGATATATAACTACAGTTTTGTTAGGCGTTTAGAAGAGAAATGATTACTTCCCCTCTGTGCATTGCTTACCATATTTTAAACAACGCTTTGGTGGTGGTTCAAAGATGGAGATTCCATGACTACCTCCATGTGCATATCGATTTTTCGCACTCGAATTCGCACGCATACTTGAGAGGGTCGCCCTAGCAAAGTCCTTATCTTGAGGAGTGGTGAAACGTTGCGCCTCGCGTCTTCACATCGTTCCTTTGTGCATAAAGCTGTTCGCAACTCCCGCATCTTGCCGTTAGACGCCTAAGATACTGAAACAACATGGCTTCTCGACCGGGCGCCTATTGATACCAAACAGTCGGAGCGCATCAAATGCAGCGTACAGCCCGTAAGCGGCCTCTGCCTCTTCTGATACTCGTGGATTTAGCCTGTGTGATAAGTGGACTTGTTCGTCGGATATTACAAAGGGATTTCTGCAATTAACGACGGAAATTTTCGAATGCGCTTCAGGTTTACCAAAGCAGTGGTCGAGTTGTACAGTATACTTAGGCAGATTTAACCACATTGTGCCGCTGCCGTGCCGCAGTGCGTCGCTTCTAGACGCCCCAACGTGGATCCCTGTTCCAATATATACACCCATGTCGGAAGGCCTTACGGGCTGAAATCCAGATGAGTTGGGTATTCCCGCGTAAATTACTGCATGAGAAACGAAGCTTGCGGTACTATCGCATCAAGCAGGTACATCGCCCAACAGTGGCGAGACGTGTCGGTCCGGATGACGTTGCATACCCGTCACTTTGCTTGTGATCCTCCGGGCCGCTGGTACGAAAGCATTGAAAGGCTGGGTGGTATCGTTCACTTTGGGTCTTGGGTTGTCGCACTCGTCGAATGTTCCAAGAGATCTCCACCCTGAGCTCCTAGTCATGGCGAACGCTGTTGCATCATGGGCTGTCATTGTAAGTAGACTTTCTGAAACTACTACTCCAATATCCGTGCTGCGTGTACTAATTATTGTCTGCAAAGCCCATCGAGGGCATCTTAATGGGTCTTTCACTACTTCTGGCCTCAGGGCGTCTTGTTCCACGATTCGCGCAGCGACACTATCCCACTGTCAGTGATAGCCTCCTCATAGTATCCATCCTCGATGTCATCGGACTCTTCATCACCGATACGATGACATACAAATTGGGTGGCATGTCAGAAGAGGAAATGGAGGCGTCGGTGTCCCAAGTTATCGCACTCAAGAAAGTGAGACTCCATGATTCCCGCATTTACTGGGGCAGAAAAGGCTGACAGGTGTACGACCAGGTGCAATTCGCGGGAAATGCCTTCTACGACACTGGAATATACTGGCCAAAGCTAGCAATTCTGGCTCTGTACTTCAGACTCATTCCAAAGACGATGCCAACACTGCGAAAGGTGCTTTACGTGGTGTCAACTTTCACCCTATGCGCCATGGTGACAACGTTTTTCCTGGATACTTTCTGGTGCGGTAGGCAGGTTTCTCTAAATTGGTCGCCAGACGAAGGTGCATGCAATACCTTCAGTTCAAAGGAGGTATTCAGAATTGACTGGGCCCTCAATGTTTCATCCGACCTGTTCAGTAAGTCACGCCATTCCCACGTTGAGTCATTCCCTGATGATGTGGTCACAGTCTTTGCGCTACCGTTCCCGCTCCTACGCCAATTGCAGCTTCGACGCCGCCAAATTTGGGGCCTCGTATTGACCTTTTCTCTCGGCATAGTCACAATAGCCATGAGTATTCTCCGGTTTGCGACGATAGAGGTCATATATGCCTGGACCAACGTCTGTATGTGAATCTACTCAGAGAGTTTCGCAAGTATTTCATTGGATAGCACTGATGCAAATACAGTCGTTCTTTCAATGGCCGAAATGGCCGTCGCTATCATGGTAGTGTCGCTGCCGTCCATGAGGTCCTTCTTGCGCCGCGACGGGATCTTCTCTTCCAACAAAAAATCACACTCTTCATCCTCTAATGGCGCATACGGGCAAAGAACGCCCGGTACAGGATCACAGGGCTTCATTCGCCCTACCCGAAGAGTCAAGCACAGCGTTCACGTGCATACCGAGGAGGATTCGGGAAGCGAAGTGGAGCTCAACACAATGGCCAGAAAGGATGTGATTTACGAGACGCGCCGAGTTAGCGTGCAATTTTCGAGGTCGCAAGATGAGGAGAGCGGAATCTATGGAAAATTACCGTGAGGACGGACAGGGGACGGGAGTGTGGTTTCGTAGTGTCAACTGAGGCAGATGAAGTGGAAGGATTGAGCTGGCCTCATATGCATCATTTTTGGCAGACGGCTCGTGTTTTCTAGGATTGTAATTTTCGGAACCCTGCCGTGAAGGGATCATTGGCATCGTGTCTATGTGGTGGATGGCGTGTGTGCCGCTCCCGCACTAGCGCCCGGACGCCGCGCCGGACGGTAGAAGCTGGACCCTTCCAAGCGAACCATAACGGTGTCAAGCTCCGTCGTTCCACCACCTCAGAATTGTTCGCCCATAAACTGTGCCGCAGCCCTGCTGTGAGGCATCCACTGGCATTGGCCGAAAGGCTCGCTTATATTAGAATTGGTTTGGCGGATTGAGCCACCGGGAAAGGAAGGCCTCATGGCACTCTTCATCACCTGTTACTTGCGACGGGGACACATGGTGTTGTCAACAAGCATACGACCTGAAAGTGTGGGCATTCGAATGGAATTGCTAGGCGTCATATTAACCGTGGTCTTCTAGAAGAAGAACAAGAAGAAGAAGAGAAGACCCTGCCCCAGAGATTCCCATCCTCAATCTGCATAGAGCCCGACAAAACGGTTCAGCCGTTGCAACGCAAGGGCTCTGTTGGGATCGACCCATTCTATCACGGCATCCAAACCGCTTCAATCGTGAACCGTTGTCCGCACACACGCCTGCACGCTTGTAGGTGGGTATGCATCTCGACAAGCAAAGGCTCATATCCGGCGGCGGCTCTCAGTGATAGGTGGTAATTCACCCACAAACCATCGCCCAGACATTGCCTGAAAAGACGTGGGATGATACGTGCACGGTATCATATATTAACCTGCATGGTTCCTATATGTGGCGTATATACATAATGTTGTAGTCCTCAAATCGAGCGAAAAAACTTCTCATCGGCTTTTATCCTTCAGCCTGTGGTCGTCCTGTTACACGTTTGTGATTATCTCATCACACTACACTATCACAATGGCACACTATATTGACGGAAAAGATTGCATGGTAAGCTGCAGTATTTCAAACGTTAGCATCGAAGCCAACATCACTCTAATACATGGTACTGTAACAGATCTCGGAATGGATCCTATTGATCTTCGCGTACCTGTTCGTCGCGGCGCGTATCTATACGCGATTGTTTCGTCTTCGCACAAAGTTGGACTGGTCAGACTATCTGCTGCTCGCATCGGCTGTGAATGCATTGGGCCTGATCATTTGCGACACCCTTACATATCAGATGGGCGTCATGGACGAGTATGAGACTTCAGTGAAGCTGTCAAAGGTAGGGCAACCTGGAACCGTTCAGTTCTATGCCCAGCTAATCCAAAGCACAGATCTCATTCGCCTCTAACTACTTCTACGATGTGGGCATGGGCTTTCCCAAACTTAGCATGCTAGCCTTCTACTGGGCCTTCTTCAACCTCTCCGGTCACCCAACCCTGCGCAAGATGCTCTTCGCTTTTACTGGCTTTGTTGTCGCTTGCTATCTGACAATTCTGTTCGATGACACGTTCTTCTGCGGCACACCAGTCTCTGAGCAATGGTCTCAAGAAGATGGTGCATGCTCAGTATTCTATGCGCCTGAGCCCTTCATCCTGAACTTTACGCTCAACCTGGCCTGCTACTTGGTCGTTTATGCTATCCCTGTAATGCTTTTGGTCAAGGGTGTACTGAGATCTTCCACGGGTGTTGCGCTCACATTCGGGCTCGGAGCCTTGACTATTGCGTCGGGCATCGTGCGCTTTGTTTGCCTCAAGGTGGGCACTGGGCAGGAGAACCTCGTTTGTAAGTTTTCTTTCCGAAAAATATGTTCTGTATTTGGTAGTACTGTACTGACACTCTCTCCTCCAGATCCTCTTAGCATGGTTGAGATGACACTCTCCATCATCGTCATTTCGTTGCCTGGGCTTAAGCCGCTCGTGAAGCGAGATGTGAAGGTCTAGGGTTTCTTAGCAAACAGTACCTGACTGAGAATGGCGCCCACTGGGAAAAATAGACTTTTTTGCAGCATTGAAATACATCCACTTGGGCTCTCCAACTGTGAATCATTGTGGTGTTCATACTTACTATAGGAACAGTGACGAGATCCCTACACAGCCGTAGGGCAGTGCTCATTGTGGCGAAAGCTTAGCGCCTTCCGTCTCGTCAGCCTTCCGACCCCACTCGTCCAACACAGCGACCTCGAATCTTCTCTTCTACCTCATTCCGACCACACTAAATATCCAAGTGCTTGATCAAACAGCTAAACGTCTTTCATAATAGTCTTTGTCTCTGCATAAATCTATTACCTTGAGCCATTCTTGGTTGGAGCCAACCCCCGCCTACCTGCCACGAGCTACGCGAAGACGTTACCCACAAAATGTCCGAGCCATCAATCTACACGGAGCGACTACTCTCACAACACCAAATCCGTCTTATTAAATCCTCCCCTCTTCAAATCCCGATAAAACCTTGGAGTGCAACCTTATGGTTGCTGATACCGAAAGCCTCCCTTCCTACGAAGCATTGTCATACGTCTGGGGCGTCGACCCGCCTACCGTTCCGATCATATGCAATGACATACCTATAACCATCCGACCTAACCTATCGCATGCTCTCAAAAGACTCAGACTCGAGCAGACCCCGCGAGTCTTCTGGGCGGATGCATTGTGTATCAATCAAGATGGCAACGAAAAGAAGAACTGTCAAGTTCCTCTCATGAGTAAAATCTACTTACGCGCAGATAAAGTCTGTATCTGTCCGGGTCATGGTGAAGAAGAGCTCATCTCCCAGGTTCTACATTTTGTGGCCCTTTGCGCAGAATCCTGCACAGAATTCGCCCAAAACCACGGTATCGTTATGAAAATAGGATCAGACCTGAAAAATATCGAAGTACCCATTGCTATCACCGCTAAACTCACTCCTCCAATGGAAGCCGGCCTGGAAAAGTTGTATTCTAGCCCATGGTTTAGTAGAGTATGGTGTATCCAAGAGGTTATACTAGCGAAGGATGCGCTAGTCCTATGGGGCAGACAGGAACTTCCGTGGAATGATGTTGGACTTATAGCATCTTACTTATTCGGAAACTTAGCAAGAACTATAGTCAAGAGATCGGAGACAAACGAGAGATTTGGGCGCCTTCGGTCAGTAAGCTATGCGGCGACCATATACAAACTTGAGTATTTCAAGCACCATATCCCTGAGGCTCTGATGAGATTTAGAATTTTTGAGTCGACGGATCCAAGAGACAAGGTATACGGTCTTCTTGGTCTTCTTGACTTGAGACCAGGGGGTTTTCAACCAGACTACGGAAAAAGTCCTGGCCAAGTATTTGCTGAGACTGCTACTCATATCGTTCGTTCTAGTATTGATTTAAGGTTATTCTCGATGGTAGCACACTATGGAACTTACGACGGAGACGAGGGTTACGCATCGTGGGCCCCGCGCTGGGACACCCGAGTATCTGCCAGCGTTTTCCCATCCCAACCACCGATCTTCAGCGCCTGCGGCAAACGACGATTTTGCTTATCCAACGAGAGAGGTCTAGAAGAAGGGCGACTATGTTGTACAGGTGTCATTTACGACAAAGTAAGCGCGGTTGATGGCTGCTTAGACTGGTATCGGCCGACCATAGAAAGCGAAGGTCATGCCTTTTTAAGAATGCAAAAGAAAGTGCTAAAATCAGGAAGAAACATCCAATGTTTGGCCCGCACCATGACGGTTGGCTATACGCACTCAAGACATCACATTGGTGATGTGGACGAAGAGACTCAAACCATGTATTATAGAGGCTTCAATGAGCTTACCACCTGGTCGCAGAACCCTGTCGAGACTATCGAAGAGGATGTGCTACATGCATACCATGATGCTGTATACTCCGCCACACGTAATCGTCGCATATTCTGGACGTTAGGTGGCAGTCACGGCCTTGGCCCCTTGTGCATGCGGCAGGATGACATAGTCGTTGTATTGTATGGCTACGAATATCCATTGGTATTGCGAACGAGAGGCGATGGGTACCTCATCCTAGGTGAAGAGTACATTGATGAGATTATGCGTGGCGAGCTGGTCGAGGAGATGGAGCAAGGGAGCAAGGTTGTCAGTAATCAATATCTCATCAATATTGTTGTTTGATTTGTTTGATTCGGAGCCAACCAACTAACCAACAGTTAGCCACTGTATTTCTGTCAATCAATCAACCAATCTTGAGAACAAAATGTTGATAGGATTGGTGTTGTTTGATAGTAAGCGAGGGAGGGGGATACCTAGGTGAGGCCTCTGGGATAGCTGCTCAACGACGAATTCTTAGTGTTGGATCTTGCTTACTAAGCCTACTCGCGTGTAAGTTATATGACCTAGGTTCCATCCCATCTCTCACTCACTCCAGGCTAGTACGTACGAGGCTTAGCGCCCACAACGCTAGCTGGCAGAGACATAGATCTCAATTCCTGTAGCACAATACACAACACGATTCACACATGTTCTATTCCTAGTGCTACTGACATCAGGCTTATAACATTTAACAACACCTTACTTTCTCGCGGCTCCGGCTTACTTTTAGCCTTATCCATGCCCTCTATACCAGCAAAACGCAAGCCCGAGGCTGCCGAAGAAGCTGATACTCCCTTCAAGCGAGCACAACGTACGCGCAAACCTACGCTCAAAGCGCTGTTGGGTGACGGCAGCCAGCCAACCCAGCCGATAGAGCTGCCAGAAAGTACGCCGGATCCGCCTACAGAGCCGCCTACACAAGTTATCGAGCCGCCCACACGGGCTATTGAACCGCCATGTAAGCCTGTACAACAACCCGAGGAGCGCCCTCGGCGGGCATCACCACTGCCTATTTTGGCTGCCTCACAAGCCTCTCGGCTCACTGATGAGCCAGCCTGGGAGTCGCAGTTAATGTTTGATAAGCCAGAGGACTCTATTGTACAGCCTTTAGCTTTCTCTAGCGCTGCCACTGAGGCTTCGGTGGAGGAGGATAGCGCTGTGAGCGTCGATTTTCGCGACTTTGAGGGCGTCGATTGGTCGCGATTAAAGGGGTTTGTCGCGCCGCTGAGCACTCCACGAGGCAAGGCAAGCTGGATTTTTCAACACGGCTGGCGTGTCTGGAAGGAGGGTACTCACCACCCAGATGAGTTGTACTTTGTGTGCAAGTACTGTCATATTCATAAGCTACCTAATGGTGTACACCGAGTAACGAAGTCAACCACTGCCGCCAACGGGCACCTCCAGCTTGATAAACCTGGTCATCGGCTCAGCAAAGATGGTCCAATCCTAAGCAAACCTCTCCGCAAACATGGACAACAATCACTTCGTCAGGCAGCTCTAAGCGGTGTCAAATTTAGTCTAGAGGCGTACAAGACTATAGGAAACTTCGACGTACAAGAATTTCGGCAGGCAGCTGCGCTCTGGCTGGTCGACAACAACAGACCACTCCGCGAGTTTGAGACGCCGGCTTTTCGCAAGATGATCAGGCTTGCTAATCCTGAGGCAGAGGCGGCGTTATGGAGGTCTCATAACAGCGTGTCAGCGTTCGTGATGAGGTTGTACAGTTGGCTACGGCCTCAGGTGGTGCGCGCGTTGGCTGAAGCCGAGAGCAAGGTACATATAAGCTTCGATGGGTGGACGACAAAAGGCGGCAAACGTGGCTTCTTTTCTGTAGTTGCTCACTACGCCAACAGTAAGGGCGCGATAGTTGACCTACCCATCGCGCTGCCGCAGCTGGTGGGTGCCCACACTGGTGAGGCGATAGCTGACGCTGTAACCAAAATCCTGCAATCCTTCAGCATTAATCGCAGCAAACTCGGCTACTTTGTGCTCGATAACGCTTACAATAACGACACCGCTGTTAACAAACTCGCCGCGATGTACCACTTTTCTGCCTCCGATCGCCGCCTCCGCTGCGCTTGCCACATACTTAACCTTGTTGGCCAAACGATTATGTTCGGGAGGGATGCTGACGCGTATAACAACGCCCTGGAGAACACAAAGATGGAGGATTTTTACATGAAGGAGTGGCGGAAAGAAGGACCGCTTGGCGTGTATCTTGATATTATCAACTACATCAACACGCCGAAGCAGTGGAGTATTTTTGAAGATTGCCAACGCGAGGCAGTTAACAGCATGCCCACAGGCGCCAGCGGCGGCACTCGTGAGCCAATTAAGCCGTGTGTTACACGTTGGAACAGCTATTACGACTGCTTTAAGCGCGGAGTTCAGCTCCAACAAGCTATCAACGCATACGCCACGTACCACATTCGCGAGACTGAACAGGCTGACGAACAGGCAGCTATTAGAGGAAACAAGCTGCCTGATGTGCCGCGGTGGATGAGGTCAGACGGCCTTACGGCGGCTGACTGGGCGGTGATTACTGAGTACATGGCGATACTGCAGCCGCTCAAGTTTGCTACAGATCGCCTCCAAGGCCGCGGCAAGTGTGGCCGTTTTGGCGCACTCTACGAGGTCATCCCAGTATTTGAGAGTGTGATAACTGAGCTGGATGCACGCCTTCGGCCATACGAATCGGTCAACCACGAGCCATCTGAGGCGCCCGAAGATCACATCCCGATCAACCTGCGAGCCGCGAGGCGAAAAGCGAGCAATTACTTTACTAAGATCCTCCAAAGTCCCATTTACTACGCAGCTACGGCACTACATCCACGATATAAAACATACTCTAAGCGCTTCTGGCGCGACAAACCTACACAATTGAGCACCGCGCACGCGAAGTTTCTGCGGGTTTGGGCTGCCTACAAGCCTGCCGCTGCTGCCACAACACCAACCCCTGCGCCAAAACCTACCATGAGCAGCTTTGACGACGCTATCGACGCTATACTAGATGAGGACGGCGAGCATACATTGGAGGTGGAGGATGAGTACGATAGCTGGTTAAAAGAGCCTATGTGGACGTCTGATCAACACAAGGAGGGTCCAACAGCTGTACAGTACTGGTTATCGTTGAAGCCGAAGTATCCACATCTTTCACGATTGGCGATCGACGTGTTGACTATACCCGCCTCCAGCTCTGATTGTGAGCGCGTTTTTGCGGGAACTGGCGATATAATTGAGCCACAAAGGCGGAAAATTGGCGCGCAGTTACTGGCTGCTTTGGTGTGCTTGCAACGGTGGACTCGTGCAGGTTTTACAACACCAAGCACGACAACAGCAGCAAAGCATACTGATGAGGAGCTCACGGAAGAGTTTGCGATAGGAACGTGGGAAGAGCCGCCTGCAGAATTGTCATAGAAACGTCCCTTCAGAACCTTAAGTCTATCAATATTCAATCAATCAACCAACCAAAAATTGGCTCTTCAGTCTCATCAACTCAAACAAACAAACTGTAGCCCTAAGAAATGAGCCAGTCAATCAACATCTACGCCTCAAATGTTGGTTGTTTTGTTTGTTGACTTCTCTGCAAGGGAGACGTCAAGAGCAGATCTTTTGTCTCATCTGAAGCAGCCATCCGTACGCTGCGCAAATTCCCAGCACCCACAAACCCAGAAACGCACAGGCCATATGAATCAAAGTTGGAAAACAAGACATGAGTCGGCGAAAGAAGGAGTACCTCGCGATCATCGTCTTCCTAACGTACTCGCGTGGCCCGAGCCCGAATTTCCCCCACATGCCCCCACCTCCTGGCTTTCCCCCAAACCCCGCGACCACCAAGCAGCATACGACAACAACTAGAAGCGCAAACAAAAACACCGAACCAAGTCACGCGGCAAGACCCAGCACAGCAATTCGGGCATTAAAGAGACCGAAGAAAACACGTCGCCGCGTGCTACCACCGTGTTCTTTTAATCTATTGCGTTCCTGGCGGCGTCACTAGTGGCCCTTGCAATTAATATGGAAAGCGGAACATGGAGGCGGGCAGAACGTCATGGGATGGGACTGTCGCAAGCTAGGTAGCTCAGAGAAAAGGACAGAAGTCATAAAAGAACTGCTGGCTATATGAGCCCGCGACGCGACGTTGGCTATGGGTTGACTGACTGCTTCTCTGCTTACCTTTCATCACGGTCACTTGCATATTGTACTTGCCTATCGCACAGTACTTCAGCAGCCTCCTATACAAACTCTACACATCAAACCTACCAAAATCCCTCAAAATGAGACTCACAACCTTGCTCCCCCAAGCCGCCCTCCTTCTCGCAACCACAACCCACGCCAGCACCACGCCCGCCGACGAGCCCACCCCCGTAGGCGCCCTCTGGGCCGCAAAATGGGACGCCACCACACTCTCCCCCTACACACAACACTGCCTCACAAAAACCACACACAACGCCAAAATCTACAAACTCTCGGAACTCTACCCGGACCTCGAGGAACAAGCCCCGCAACTCAAAGTCTTTTACAGCGGTCAGCTGTACGCGGGTTCCTGGGACGGCATCGATGTGCACGGCGGCGGGCGCGAGCTCATTCGCATGAAGATGGCGGATGTGCCGTTTAAAGTGCGCGAGTGGTTGAAGAAGGAGAGTAAGCAGAAACATTATAGTGTGCAGGATGATGAGGTTTTCTTTGCGCCGGGCGCGATTTATCCGATTCTGCCGCTTTGGGTGGAGAGGGAGGATGGGGGTGAGGGTAAAGGAGAGGAGGGGTGTGAGGGTGTGTTTGAGGGGTTGGAGAGTTATAGTAATGAGCCTGAGGATGGCAAAGTGATTGGCAAGGTGAAGCATGAGGGGACGGGGGAGAAGGAGGTTAGGTTTACGGTTGAGGCGTTGGTTGTGAGGAGGAAGGATGGTGGGGACAAGGAGAAGGAGGAGAAGGAAGAGAAGCCGGAGCTGTAGATACGGAAGAGACTTGAGATGGAAATTATGAGGATTGTTGGCGCTTTTGGTGTTTAGGTAGACAGTTTGAGCTACTGTATATATCTCATCATTCAGCATTCATCACATTCACCCCCGCCCCCTCATCCTCAACATCAAACGTCCCTATTCTTCTCCTCCTTTTCCCTCGCCAGCTCCTTCCTCTTCCTTTGCTCCGTCTTTGCATGACTAATCGCCGCCACCATATTGAACACGAAAATGCCAATGAAGATGATAGTCACAAACGCCAACACCACAACCACGCTGACCATGCTGAATACGACGAAAACGAATGATGCACGGATAAACGGGTAGCTGTTCTGCAGCGACGACGACGAATCTTCTGGAAACGACAGCCCGACTTGCATAGCTGATAATACTAGGGAGAAGAAGACGAAGACGATGAGGATCCAGGAGAAGTTCCGTTGGAAGAAGACGACGTAGCGGTTGTATCCGTACCTGTCATCATTAGCCAAACAAGACCAAAACCATAAATACAAGAAGAAGAAGAAAACATACAAATACCCCTTAACAAAATGCGTCCCAAAATACCTAATCCGATAAACCGAATTAATCCTCCCCAGTCTCAAATCCCCAAAGGTCCACCTCTTATTCACGCCCACAAACCCCTCGCCATCAACCCCCTCCAGCACATCTCCCACAAACACCCTCCACCAGCCCCAATCCACCCACGCAGGAACCAAGCCATCCTCTAGCGCGAATTTCAAATCCAAAGGGCTAGTCACCAACCACACATACGACAGCAGAAACCCCGCTGCACTCTCATGCAGTTCCCGCTCGGGGCAGATATACTGCGTCCAAAAGCCGTGGTCGAGGAGGTACTCAGGCAGTGGTTTTAGAAGCAATTTGGTGCTGTAGCGGAGGAGGTGAAGATCCATTTGTTGGGTGGGGAGGACGGTCATGTCGAGCATCTTGTAGCGATGTAAAGGGCGGGCGCGCATGGGACGGCCGGCCATCCAGAGGTGCGTGTGGATTCTGTTCAAGCGGCTGAGGTCTAGGTCGGAGGCGAGGAAGAGGGGGATGTTGGTGAGGGTTTGGGTGAGGGATTTTGAGCGGGGGAGGATGGTGGGGAGGGAGGAGAGGGCGGTTAGGGGGGTGGATGAGGGGGAGTTGGGCGCATGGTTGGGAGTTTGTGGTTGCGATGCGCCTGGGTTAGTCGGTGGGAAGGGTCGCAAAGGGAAGGGAGGTGTGAGAGTTGTGCTCTGTGTTGCGTTAACATTATATGTAGAGACCGAGTTGTCGCTGCTTACAGTTTGGATTGTTGTCCTCTCAACCATACTGGAACTTGCGCGCGCTGGGAGCGACGCAATCTTCGATACTAATGGGAAGTGTGGTGTATATGTAGAGGCTGCGCCACCGGTAGCACGAGGCTCATAGGCGCGCATGCAAGCCCGCCGGGCAGGTACATGACGTGGTGAGTCTAGCTCAGCCTCTGCCCTCTTGAGATGGTTGTCAGTTACAAGTTAGGGCGTGGGGGCTGAAAGCCAGGCTAATCGTGCTTCAAGGCTGAACTGTGATTCAGGAACAACAATTGAAGGGAGGTTTGATTGGGCTGAAGAAATGGCACTATTAATAAACAAGGCTGTGACACGGGAATAACGGGACTAGGTGAGGTCACTCAAATATGTAATTAGAGTAGTTTGAAAGTCTGCCAGGAAGACGATGGATGCGACTTCAAAGAGAATTAGTGTCCATATGTTTTGCGACGTGATCGAAAGTCTCGTCCACACCTGAACGCCTCCGTCTAATGCAGTTTTGGATATCGTTCCTCCCATGCCATGCTAGTCCATCTGATCATTCTCACGCGAATAACTATTTGCAGTAATTCGCCGGAAAGCTGCCCTGCCTTCCGTTGATCTCGCCCTCCCACCAATCCTGCGAACTCTCCGTCTTCTTAACAACGCGAATGCGGTCGCCCTCCCTAAAGGACAGATCGCCTGACGTGTGACTGTCGAAGTCATACATGGCCGTGACATACTCACCCTGAAAAGAGCCTATCTTCTTCTTAGGAGGTGGTGGCGGTGGCTTCTTCTTGCCTGCTGCGGGGTTTGGTGAGGACGGATAACCGCTGGGAGTCGATCCGTTGGAAGCCGTCGGATGCATCTTGAAATAGTCACTGCCTCCGTTGGAGTAGGAGGATGCCATGGATGTAGAAGAAGCACGGCGACCATAGGCATCCTGGTTGGCACTTAGATGGGGAGAACCGCCTATCTTTGGCTTGGATGCACTAAGAGAGCTGTATGAGGGTTTATTAGAGAGGCTGATTGGAGGACCGCTCTCCGAGGTTGAGGATAGGGTTTGCGCTGGCCGTGCGGGTCTGCTGACGCCGGTTATGGTCGGCACACTGTCGTTGCTGCTAGGTCTCCGACCAGGCAAGACCTTGTTCCTAATGCCTAAACCTGTCACTGTCTCTCCTTTGTCTGGCAGTCGCATCGGCTGGTGAATGGCTTTGCCAGTCTTGAGCAAGCCAAGACTCGACTCCATCTCAGTGCGCAGCGGGGTGAAACTTGAGTCCCATACTGGAATCACCTCCTCAGGTTCTGGTGGTGGATCGGGATATCCCTGCTCATGCGAGTACTGGTGTAGCACAGTGTACAAGTTTCCAATCAGGTTATTCTGTAGCACAATCTGGTTGGCTAGGAGGTGGGGCAGAATAGAAAACGTCGCAGCGTTCAACCTGGGAAGACGCTCTCGGAGGTTCTCGTCGGCGAGTTGGTATGCGTGTGTGGAGCGTTCGAGGTCCGTTTCGTGCTTGGTCAGGGCGTGGTTCTCACGCTCGGAACGCGTCTTCTTATTCTGCAGCGCTTCACAGCGGCTCTTGTAGCGTTCATAGTCGACCTGGGGACATGTCAGCCTAGGGCGCCAGGTCATTAATAGCACCTAGGTGTCATAAAATACTTGACAGTGTGAGTGAGCACCTGATAGGCGTGCCTGGCGACTATATTGGCCTTTTTACACTAGTATGTCAAGTATTTCATGACACCCGGGTGGTATTCATGTCTGACCTTTGCGTCATCGCGCTTCTTGATAGCCTTCTCCATAGGCTTCAGTGCATCGCGAGCGAGCTTGGCAGGCACGACCAGTTTCCTGTCAATGTCCTTGACCTCCTCCATCATGTCCGTCTTGAGCTCAGAAAAGGCTTCATGGAGACCATGGACACGTTCGAGCACATCAGCCGGCGTCTCGACATGTGTATGAGTGGAACTGGAGCCTTCGCCGCCGAGGGGCTTGAAGATGGCATATAGGAGCTCGACTGAAGACAGTTGGTGGTTGAGGATGTTGGTCCACGCGTCCCGCCATTGCTTTGCTGATGCTTCAAGCTGGTGACCAGTCAGTCATGTACAGGCGACAGTAATTTTGGTTCGGCTTAGGAGGAATGTCGACAGGCAACATTTCTGGCGTTTGGAAACGACCCCGCCTGTTCGCGGAGAGCACTATGAAACCACAAGCCACAGCACACGCACCTTCTCCAGCATGACCTGGGAGTCGCTAAAGTCTTTCAGCATGGCCTCGACATCAGCCTCATTGGGCGTCCGTGGAAGGAAGCGCCCCGTGATTCTTTGCATGCGCTGCATCTTGCGACGTGGCAGCAATTGCGCGCGACGCCGGCGTGGGGATGAGTAGGGAGGGAACAATGCAGAGTATAGGTGGTGGAGCAATTGACAGTTTGTGGTTTTTGGGGGGCTTACTAGTGGACACAGCCACAAGTAGGTTGGGTGAAGGTGAGCAGGCAGGGGGCAGGCCCCGCGTTTGCTTTCCCTTGGTCAGCCCAGAACGCACAGGAGAGGTGGAACGGGATCGAGCGGCATTTTGACGCGACCCCCGGCAGCGTATGACGGAGGGCAAAAAAACTGGATACGAGCACCTGGGCAGCGAGTACGTACCCCTAGTGAGTCGTGTCCCCGGTGAAAGGTGCAGCCCTGGGTCCGGCGCTAAACCACGTGCTCGCGCGGAACGGCGGCGCGTCATTCTCAAACCTCATCGCGCGCGACCTCTACTTACTGCTTAATCGACCCCACCCCGCCTCCATGTCGCCCACTCCCACCACGACGCGTCTCTGCCGGATATTGACGCCATGACTGCCCCTCTACGTAACACGCAACACGCGTCCGCAATCGCTGCCATTGCCGCATCCCAGAACACCGCGCCCGTTACCGAGTTCCGCTGCCTATTCACACAAGACATCAAGCGAAAGCAGAAGCGATGGCAGGATGGCTACCTCAAGTTTCACACCTTCAACAACCGGGTTATGGTGTATGATCAAGCCCGGAACTTCCTCGGTGATACATACTACAAGGACAGAAACGAGTTACAAGAGGGGGATGAACTCAACCTCAATAATGGCGCTCTTGTCGAGGTCGCCGAGGCCATGGGTATCACACATACCGATCTGACGCCGCTTCTCGAAAAGAAGAACAAGGAAGCGCCTCCTCGTCCGAGTGCTCCTTCTCAATCAAAACCGTTCCAGAGGCCTTCGTCGGTGGTGCCTACCAATGCACCACGAAATGGGTCGCAACTGCGCCACAAGTCGCTCAACACTCTGCTTGGCACGCCAAAGGGTCCAATCGGGAAGGCACAGCCCATGAAGTCACCGTACGATGCTCGCAAGGAGAAGGAGAAAGAAAAGGAAAAGGAGAATCAAGTGATCGAGGAGCGGGCACCAAAGAGGCAAAAGACGGCGCAGGCACCTCCAGCGTGGAGAGCATCAAGTCCTGTACAAGAAGAAAGCCCCGCTGCGAGAAGCCGCGTACAAGTGCCGGCCCGGAAACCTAATAAGTTTATACCTCCCACAGCCACTGTCATCACGATAGAGTCCGAGTCAGACCCCCACCCGACCTGTCTATCAGACGTCTCGATGCCGAGCACACCCCCAAAGGTCGCCAAAGCGAGAGCTGAACGGCGCCAGCTAGCAACACCGGCACCGGAGCCATTGTCTCGCCAACCACCAGCGAAGACACCCCGGATACCCAAGGGCAAAGTACCAGTACCAAGTGTACGGGCATTGGAGACTCCAAAGCAACGAGCTCCACCATCCTCACCTCCAGTGAGCGTTTCCAACCGCCTTAGCAATGTGGACTTTGCAATACAGCTGAGCAAGGAGCCACCAAAAGAGCCAACACCTTCAAAAGAGCCAGAGCTACCTGTAGCCCCTCCTGCCGGTCGCAAGCCTAAATCACTACGACTAACAGCAGGCGTGAAGCGTGGGAGATTACTTTGCCAGACCGTTGCCCAACAGGCACCTACAGTGGCCGCCTCAAAAGACCTTTCACGAGCAGCATCACGTCCTGCAAGTAAAGAGCCATCACCAGCGCTGAATCATGAGAATGACACGACTTTGCGCAGTCGTGTATCTGCGAGCAAGCGAAAAAGCACGAATGCCGGGGATGTTGCACCAAAAAGAGTGAGAGTGTCCAAGTCTCCTTCAGTGCCATCTTCTAGCCTGTGCGAAGATCCAGAAGTCATTCATGGTCGTATGGATCAACAGCTCTTGGTACCTTCATCGCCAGTACAAGTTCAAATAGCATCGTCACCCCCAGTAGAGGTGTCCAAACCCAAGCCGGTTCCGGCCAAGAAAGCCGCGAGTAAGAAAGCAACGGTATCAAAGTCTCCTGAAGCTATAGCCCCAGAACCAAAATCCCCGTCCCCCAAGCCAGTGCCTCGAAAAGTACAGACGAGAAAGAAGGTCGTGGAAAAGTCTGTCCCAGCACCGCCTGCTGCGCCTATGCCCGATCCACCAAGACGAGCAGCTCGAGATGCGTCTCCAGTACATACTGAACCCCCAGGAGCTCAGTCGCGGGCACATCCTGCGAAGCGAAGCAAGAAACAACCAGCGACAACAGATTCCAATACAGATGCCGCGACACCACTACATCCCTTGCAAACCAACGAGAAAGGCCCAAAGATGAGCACAACGGAACTCGCTTCCGTCCTCCAGCAGTCCAACAGCCTAGCCAAAGCTCTCGCCGACCCCATCGAAGACGAACCCAATATCATTGCAACTGGAAAGTCATCGAACCGAAATTTCCGACGCGTCCGCAGTGAGAACGACGCGCCAATACCCAGTATATCAGAAGAATGGGAAAAGCGCAATCTCCCGAAGCCACGAACAGATACACTTGATGATACACCACAGTCTACGAAAGTTGCAGGTGCGGCTGAGCCTGTACCTGAAGTCCCAAAGAAAAAGGGTGGACTAAGTGCATTGATCAAAAAAACGGACCCAAGACGCATGTTCAAACGCACCCAGAGCTTGCACGTCGATACCAGTAGTGACATACCCGAGACAATGAAGGAGATCGAGTGCCCAAGCCCGGTTGTGGACGTAGATATAGGACCGTGGAGTACAGAGGCAGGAGATTTGTTTGATTGGAGACCGCCAGGCAGGGAGAAGAAGTAGCATTGGTTCGAGCGTGGGTAGGAAAGGGATGGTGAGGTATGGCCAGCATACGATGTGGATGTCAAAGCTTAGTATGCGTTATATGGTTGCAACATATTGATGAATATCACGATTTATTTCTAGTGCCAAAAAATCTGCAATTGACAACGTCATATCATTTTTTCGTCCAAGTTCTTGGTCTTTTTCTTTCGTCCATCGCAGTGAGTTGTCAGAGGTTTTTCTCGTCCATCACACACTCGGCATCGGCTTTTTATACTCGGGTAGCACCGCCAGCACCGCACATCGTAGAGGATTTTACACGATTCTTTTCATCTTTCTTGTAGAGATCTGTGTGCAAGAGGAGGATTGGTCTAGTATCCGGAAGATGGAGATTTTTATAGAAGAACGCGCGGGCGCACAGACATACAATGGTGTCCTTGGTTTTTCAAAATACGGTTTTCGTGGGTATATGGTAGGAGGTTGAGAGAACCAGGGAGGAGACAGAACCACATTTGTGCATCTTTTCAATCTTTTAAAGAGAAAGCACATGACTCGCACGTAGTGTAATTTTTGGTAAGAAGAGAAGGACATGAGTTAGAAGGCGAGGTGTTTTAGAAAGAAGGAGGAAGAGGTGGGAAATTATTTGGTTCTGATGGGAATTTTTTATAAGAGGAGGCGGTGCAGGCATAAGACGTTGTAGTGGCTGATTTTAAGAAGAGGGGAAGGCGGAGGACACATGAGTTATTGTGGGCGTGGTTTTAGAAGAGGGGAGGAGAACAAGTACACAATGCGATGTAGTTTCAAGAGGAGGGGGAAGAGGAGGGGGAAGAGGAGGGGGACATAATGTCAAATGGCAGCTCTTTTCGAGACGTGGAAGAGGAGGACACATGGAACCTGTTCACGTAGTTTTTAAGAAGGAAGGGAAAGAGAAGAACAACATCTGAGTTCTCGGATGCATTTTAGAAGAGGAAAACAACATGCAACGCTTCTGTTATTGCTTTTGGGAAGAGAAGGAAGAAGAGGGAAACATCTTGCATCTTTCGGACTTTTTCAAGAGGATGGGGAAAGCAGGGACATCGACAGTAGGTGTTTCATATTTTCAGAACAGGAGAAAGAGAAAGACCACATGTATCAGCCTGTAAAACTTTAAGCAACAGGAAGAAAAAAGAAGCACACATAGTTTTCTTCAACAGTCTTTTTAATAAAGGACACAGATAGTGTAGTAGTAAAGTAACAAGGAGAGAGGTCTCAGAAGAGATATTTATACGACAACGAGCCAAGCACGCCAAAGATATAGTTTCGATATCAAGGTTTTTGAAAGGCGCGAGAAAGCGAAGTCACATCTTAGGGTAATGAAGCCTTTTTTGTAAAAGACACTGCGATTGTGTTGGTAAAGAAAAAAGGTGGAAGGAAGATAGGTCGAGTCCGGACAAACCGGAGGAGACATGGCCGAGTCCTCGTCGTTGTTTGATTTCATGATGATAATATCTGGTTTCTTTTATAGAAGTGGGAGGTAAGAGGTTTTGCAATAGTTCTTATAAAGCTGGGGGAGTCTAGCAGACCATTTAAGTCTTTGCATATTTTTTGTGCTTTTGAGAATCATAGAAAGGGACTAAAGAAGACATAGGCCGTATATGTGTCGTTTTGATTTCGTGAAAGTTTCAAGGGAAAGGAGCCATCGGGTGGAAATGGGGAGATTTTCTAATACATGTAGCAGCAGGGGGGTGGCTGGACGTAGGTAGTTATTACAGAAGTTTTAGGAAGAAGAAGATGGAAGGGAAAACATGCAGTCGAAGAATAAAATATTTTAATTTTATTTCTGGAAAGAGGAGAATTGAGTGGACGAAAGAAGTGAGGGAAGAGGATTCTGGGTGGGTTTATATAGCAATGAGCACGAGGCCCCCAGCTAGAAATGCATAATTCAAATGTAGATTTTGACATTTTTCGGAAATAAACTGTGAGTCGGCCAGGACGAAGGTTTTTGACTATGCGCACTTGTTTAAAAAATACTAGTGTTCCGAGGTAATGTATAGAGCAATAAGAAACAAGGGGGTAAATCCTTAGGGTTATTTGATGTGCAGCAGCTAGACATTAGTCAAAGCCATCGCCTATTTATAAAGGCGAGGAATTTTGGAATTCAAGTCTACCGGGAGCGATATAATCCACCTTGTTACACATTTAACTTGAATAGTCAGTTAGAGAGGAATATAACTTAGAAAAAAGGAAGGAGAAAGGGAAATTTCGAAGTAGTTTGATACTCAAAGGACGCAAATCTACAAGTTCTCAACTCTAAGCCTAAGTCTTCCGCAAGCGACACAAGCCAGGAACCAAAAATTTCCAATCAACCAAGGATTGTGTTGAGAAAGAGGGGTATGGAGCTCCCACCTAGGCGACACGAAATACTCAACACCATAGCTGCTAGTATACAAAAGCTACAGTAGGCTGCACCAGATACGGGTATTGGGGAGGAGATACCTACATTCTTTCGGGAGACAGAAAAAGGCAATTTTCCCATCGGAATATTCTTAGGGTGATCTCGTTACATCCGCACAAAGCTGCAACTATTGCAGCGCAATAGTTCGAGGCTGTCGTAGCTGGCTCGAAGAAGACGGGAAAAAGGACTAGATACCTGACAAACTAACCTTGTACTTTATCAATATATACCATAAGGGTACAGCCACAAGCCAATGATGGGCCCATGGCGGCATCGATAAGATCTGCATCCATTTTACAGTAACGACTCCAATAAGACTTAAGATTTTAACCCATAGAGGTAAGTCCTTTTTGCAGCTCATTAACGAGTAGCAAAGCTGAATATTCTACAGCAGAATCAACGGGTGCAAGTGTATAGCCTCCTAAAACTTAGAGGTACCTTAAGGAGTCGCGCTGCACCGCCGAATTCACGGGCTCCGAGAGAGCTGTGCAGATTACAGAGAACTGGTTAAGAGATTGTGTTGAGAGCCATGCGAATTGTCCAGGGGACCACGACCAGAATTTACCAACTCGACTACTTGACTTGGAACTTCTGAACAACACAGAGGACCTGAAACTCATCGAGAAGGCTGGGAAATTGGGAAGTTACGCTGCTCTAAGCCATTGCTGGGGTGCTACACAGCAGTTCACGACCACTGTAGCAACTCTCCCGGAAAGAAGGGAGCGTATACCCTTTGTACAACTTACGAAGACCTTCAAGAAAGCCGTTCAAACCACCCGCGCGTTAGGTATTCGTTATCTTTGGATTGATTCGCTCTGTATAATACAGGGTGATCCGGATGATTGGGCAAGAGAAGCATCTCAGATGTCCTCAGTGTATCAAAACGCAATGATCACCATCGCAGCGGCAGCATCCGAATCTGGTGATGAAGGCTTGTTCAGAGAAAGGTCCGATCCTGAGTACAAGGTAGACATTCGTTGGACTTCGGTGGAACCATTTAGTCTCATATTTCGACGTCGATTTATGCTTCTGGACACATACGTTTCGGACTACCACGTGGGTTTTCCACTTGCCACGCGCGCTTAGGCTGTTCAAGAGCGCCTTCTATTGCCACGTGCCTTGCATTACACATCCAGCGAGCTATTCTTCGAATGCGTTCAGGGAGTTCGATGCGAGTGTAACGATGCCGATGAAGATAGTTGGGACCTAGCAATCAGAAAGCCTAGATCTTAGGTAAATTCGCCAAACACCATGCCATCAATAGATCTTCCATGGACTTGGAGGGGAACCGTTCAACACTATAGTAGCCTTCATTTGACATATTCAAATGACAAGCTGGTGGCTATCGGAAGATTGGCCAGAAGATTTGCACGAGATGATGATGATTATCTGGCGGGAATATGGAGAAAATCGCTGATCAAGGACCTGCAGTGGTTTGTAACTCCAGAGTCTGTAGCTCCAAAAAAGGACCTTGTAACAGACCGACTTGGAGAGCCCCATCGTGGTCCTGGGCTGCTATAGATTCCCCAATACACTACCTCTTATGTACCGGACTTTACCAACACAAAGAATTTGTTGAGTATACGGATCTCCTCGACTATACTATAGTTCCAAAGGGCACAAACACATACGGTGAGATTCTATCGGCTAGTATTCAATTGATTGGGCCTTGTATCTCGGTCCAATTATTCATACAACCGGGTAAAAGCAGGAATCCGTACCAGATCCTTTTCCCGGGGGGCTATGAAACTAGCCCATCTATGGATGTTCTACTTTCGGGTGTTTCGATGCAGAGTAGCCAAGATGCAGAAATAAACGCAACATGTCTTTTGCTTAGTAAGACAGGTGTTGGGCGGGAGGAGCAACGGCTAATCTTTCTGGTACTCCGGTGCTTGGAGCCCAGGCAAAATGTTTTCGACCGAATTGGGATAGCTGAGGTATGGGGAGAAGCCGCGGATGCTCTACGCAGCTTCATTCCTGCTGAAAAGGCCGTCATGGAGATAGTCTAGGATTATGTACTGGCACTGAAGGAAACTCTCTATAGTGTACTTCAGTCTGGCTTACGAGATTTGTAATGGTTTCAATTTGCAATGTAAATGTACATAAATGTCTTCTTGTGGTTTATTGTGATTTATGTTGATAAAGAATGACTCTCTCAGTCATGGCATGTAAGTGTGTCAATTGCTAACTATACAAAGCTCGGCTAATATAGAGCGGTGTGGGTCATGTGACTTAGCGTCCTCGTGACAGGTGACCGGAATATTCTCAACACTCCCCCATAAGCCGATCAGCTGTACCCACTACTTTGTATAGGTCTTGCAGTCGAAGCTTCTTCTCCCTTTATATGCTTCCACTGAACGCCTTGCATGCACTTTCCAACACTCCCCCAGAAGTGCCTTGTCAACAAGAATGAAACCTCCCTGTCACCCTATAGTGGCCGTTACGTTGCGAGTCCCTCAAGTAAAGTGAGGTATCGGCCGAGTGAAGAGTTGAGGAAAGAAGGTCGAGAAAGAAGGTCGAGAGAGAAGGTCGAGAAAGAAGGTCGAGAAAGAAGGTCGAGAAAGAAGGTCGAGAAAGAAGGTCGAGAGAATTTTCGCGTTTTGAAAATCAAGGTAGAATCGATATCACCAACATACCGACTCTCCCTCGACTCCTACGTGAGAGTCAGCGCTCCCTCAGCTTGGTACTCCCAGTACTCTAGCTGTGTACGCTCTCCTCTGTCCCAGCGCTCCCCCAGCTTGGTACTCCCAGTACTCTAGCTGTGTACGCTCTCCTCTATCCTAGCGCTCCCCTAGCTTAGTACTCCCAGTACTCTAGCTATGTACGCTCTCCTCTCTTGTTGTCCCCGCTCCGTTCCTCCGCTCCTGCCTCCTTGTCTGTGTCCTATTCAGGGCTCCAGACCCTAACACCCTTATTCTCCCCCATCGTTATATAAGCCTTTGCTTCTTTGCGTTTATTTAACGAAATCCTTTGGAAAGAAGATAAAAATCGATCGAGAAATCGGGTGGGGGTAGGTGGGTAGCGTTCGAGAGAGTAAAAAAACTTCGAGCACCGTCAAACGGTAGGTTTTCGAGTTTAAGGAATTGAAAGTAGCTGTCGAACTGTAGCTACTAGTTTAAAAAGAAGGTCTCGAAAGGTTACTATCGATAGGCAGGCAATTCGAGTTGTTTTCGGAAGAATCGATGGTTACCGTCGGTAGGTAGGTATTCGAATCGTTGTCAAAAGGTTGGTTGAAAAGGGATAGAGCAACCATTGCTCTCTTCGACTCGCGCGTCGGAATTGGGTATAACTCGCCCAAGGTATCTTCGAGACGCTCCCAGCTTCTCCGGACGATAGTCCATTTTTCTTCGGACTTAATACCCTTCGCGGTAGCCAGGGCGACGGCCCAGTGTCTTCAGGACTTAATACCCTTCGCGGCAGCCAGGGCGACGACCCAGTGTCTTAGAATATAGAAGGCGACGACCTCCTGGGTTGTTCTGGCGTAGACACGCATATACCAGCTTGCTGCCCATATCGAAGAAACGACACTCCGGACACTCACAATGCACACGCAAGCGCGTAAGCCGGGCTCATAACCTGTTGAGAAAGAATGACTCTCTCAGTCATGGCATGTAAGTGTGTCAATTGCTAACTATACAAAGCTCGGCTAATATAGAGCGGTGTGGGTCATGTGACTTAGCGTCCTCGTGACAGGTGACCGGAATATTCTCAACAATTTACTGAGTTTAATGGTATCGGGGTGCTCATTCTCTCCAGCATGCTCTCGGTGGGCGTCTGAAATCGATCAACCAACATCTTCATTAGCGTTTTATTCCTGGTGGAGCACGACCCTGATTGTTAATCGCAGATCTCACATCGACCCCAGAAGCGGGAAACCCAACGGGAGCGAGCTCACAGTTTGGAATGTGAAAACTCTGGGCAGCGTAGGAAGGTTTAGCAATAGGAATTCTATAAGTCAATATCTGTCACGAGCTCCTAAAGCAGTGATTGTGATAGAGGTATCTATTCACACATGAACATTCATCTTAACGACGTTGTCGTCGATGTCGTCACCTGCTCGAAGGTCCAAAGCACGTGCCCTGGCGCTAAAACCCGCGTTAGCACGCTACCAAAGCCGACGTGTCGGAACCAAACTACAGTAACTCACCTGCCTACCCACCCATCCAGAGCCGCTGCCTCCTAACCAAGGCTCGCATCGCTCCGCCGAACCCCCGCGCACTAAAAACGAAGACCACATTCACTTCTCCTTCCTCAAGGAGCAGCGGCCAAGAAACTTCCCGACACACCGCCAACACCCAAGTTCCGACCGCGGAAGCCCACGACCCCCATCCACGCAACCAGCAACCAACTACCACAGCGCACCTCTCCGCCGCTTCGCACACTACACAACAGCATAACCACACACCATGGCCTCATCCGCCTCCAAACGCCTCTTCAAAGAATACCGCGCCCTATCCTCGGACCCACCAGAGGGTATAACCGCGGGCCCCGTAAACGAAGACGACATGTTCATCTGGGAAGCGTTGATCCAAGGCCCAGAAGGCACACCGTTTGAAGGCGGTGTCTTCCCCGCCGAACTGCGTTTTCCAAAAGACTATCCGCTTGCGCCGCCCAAGATGAAGTTTGTCACGGATATGTGGCATCCGAATGGTACGTTGGATACCGAGGAATATAACAGATGCACCTGGATGACTAGCATGTCAAATAATATATGTCACTCGGGTACATGGGTTAGAATATGAGCAAGAAAGAGGCTAACATAAATGTCCAGTGTATCCGAATGGCGAAGTCTGCATATCTATTCTTCACCCGCCTGGCGACGACCCAATGCACTACGAACAAGCGTCGGAACGATGGTCGCCGATTCAGAGTGTGGAGAAGATATTGATTAGTGTTATGAGCATGTTGGCGGAGCCCAACGATGAGAGTCCGGCGAATGTGGATGCCGCGCGCATGTGGAGGGAGAAGAGGCACGAGTATGAGAAGACTGTGAGGAATAATGTTAGGAAGAGTCTTGGATTGTGAGGGCAAGGCAGATTGGGCGCGCGCATGATTGTGGTTTATGAATGCATGTCTTCGTGATAGGTCATTAATTAACAAACTTTCCACCCCCTCTTCATATCTGAGTTCCAGTCTGATAAACAAAATGCTAATGAAATCGACGTGATCCAATCGTTCAGCAGTCTCGAATTGTGGGCAAGTGTGCCACAGCTCAGACAACTTTTAGGCCAGTGACCTCGCCATAGCCGTTGTACGCCACACCTCTGAAGTTCCACAGTGGACACTTTTCCTGCGTATTACCGCTCTTGTCCGTGGCACGACTAACGACCGTCGCCTCCTTACCTTTCTCCACCTTTACTTTCGCCTTCCATAGTGCCCACGCCCACTTGAGCTCAACATCCTTGGCATCTTCGTCGTCGTACGTGTTGATTAGTTCAGCATCGGCCCAGGAGTTTCCTCCATCCGTGCTAACTTCAACTTTGACTATCGGCCCGTCTGCTCCACTAGGCAGTGCATAGCCTTTGACTTCAATCGTACCATCTTCTTCTTGCCGCACCGTGGACTCGGATTTGGGGACAGCAATGACACTATTGACAGGCATGTCATGAAGTGCGTCAACTTTGCCCCAATACTCTTCTGCCTTTTCTTTGCAATCAGCCTCAGGAGGCAGGATCTTGTAGTCGTGCTGTTGGTAGTAGCTATCACTCTCGGTCATTTGGACAGAGATCTGATCCAGCCATTTTACGCTTCTCGCACCAGCAATGCCAGGTGTAACGACGCGAACAGGGGCGCCGTGGTTGGGCGGGAGGGGCTTATCATTCATCTCCAGAGCGAGCATAATGGAGCGCTTTGGGTCCATGATTCGAGACAATGGAAGACTCGCACCGTAGAACTTGTCGTCTTGACAGGGTGTCTGGAAGCACGAGAATGCTACATGTGCATCTTTGAGCTTGCTCTCTTCGATCTTGATACCGGCTTTCTCCAGGACATCTTTTAGCAGAGGACCTTTCCACTTGCAGTTCATAACCGCGCCATCGAACCAGTCGATGCCATGGACCTCCTTCAACTTGGTCCGCATAGTATGACGACGGTTTCCGGCACATTGTAGTGCACAGATTACCGTGTGTTGTGGAAGCGCTTGGAGGTCTGCGACGGAAAGTGACAGCTCATTGTCAACAAGGCCGATGACGGAAACTTTGTGTGTGTTGGGGTTGATTTGCGGGATGGGGCCGTGATTGCGGTCGTAGCCATCTTCGGTGATGAAACTGTAGTACACGTCAGGCTTGTTACTCAGCTCCAAATAGATGGGTCACACGAATTGGTGTGGCAAGGCCGAAGAGTTAGCGGGTGTAGTCTGTGCTCGGAAGACTTCGGCATGCCCAACCATGACCGTCGTCTACTCGAGACGCCATCCTCGCTGCCTATCGATACAAGTCACAATATACCACGGCACGTACCTCTGAATCAGCTTCTCAAGCTGCGGCTCGCGATTAAGCGGCTCTTCGACCGAGTGAACGAGCTACGGCGACGTCAGCCCCACCGTCTAAACCCACGCCATACCAAAGCCATGGCATTTACAAGCCATAGTCTACCCGATTAGGCAAACAGGGAGAAAAACTCTGGGGCGTACCTGAACCATTGTCGTCGATTGTGGTTTGGCGGCGATGGCGTGATTGAGTGATGGAAGGGTTAGACGACGAGAAGCGGCGGGGCACGCAGGTTTTAGCGAAAGGTCGGGGGCCCCGGCACTCCTCTGAACACGGCAGTACTCGGTCTTGTCACGGGTGGGGATACTGCAGGTACGAGGTTGAAGCTGCGGGTAGTCGCGGCTGTCTGCGCTTGCGGTCTATATGGGGATGTATGGAAACATTGTCTATTGCATCAGGTGAGGTCTGCATGGGCTGACGCAACGATACTATTTGCCCTGGCGTCATGACGTTTGTTCATCGACAAAATGCGACATTGCGCCTAGCTTCTCAACCATGCTTGCTATTCCCGTTGACCGCCGTGTCCATTTGTTGCCAACAAATGCAAATTCATAACCCCATACTGGTCTCGAGATGGGGTTGAAGTAGCTGCTCCGCTCACTGTTATTGCCATGAGCAGTCCACTGTCGAAATCTGTCTTTGAAAGGTACATCCACAAGCCTGTCTTCCCAACCTGTATAGTCAATCGGCGAAGTATCCCAACTATCCCTACCGAACTCATAGTATGTCACCCATCTCTCAGTTTCCGCAGATATTTCTAGAGACCCGCCGAATCTGATGCGAAGGTATCAGTACTGTTTTTGAGAAAAGCGAGGAGTAACAATTCAGGACACTGTGACTCTCCGTGCTCTCCAGTGGTCGTATGGCAACATAATTGGTAGATGAGGACTCATAGGAGGCGTGGGAGGGTCGATCAGGTAATAAGGCCCCGTCTTGCCATTTGGCATTATGATAGGAAATAGCGGCTTCTCAAAGTCCCATGTTGGCTCTTCGCTAGGTTGGAAGTATGTGCCATGTCTGATGATATACGGTCTCTGGCGTAGAAACCTTCGGAATCCAGGATACTCCTCATCCTCGGACAGGTCACTCCTTATAGGCTGTACAGCTCCCTCAGCAGGCAGCTCTTGCGATTTTTTGAACTGGGTCGACTTTCCGGTCATTGATGGTATCGAGGTGGCGATACCACTGCTGCGCCATAGCTATCCAGACACCGTTGCTGGCAGAGACTCTGTTGGATGCTTCTGGGACTGCGCTTTTCGTGTCTTGCAAGTACGGCATGGGGTGGGGAGCCTCGATCATCTTCATGGTGTTTTCGGTAGTCATATCTGCGGGTTGAGAAGTCGTCGTTCAAACTGATAATGTGAGCGATAGGAAGTAGAACAGGAATCTTGCTTCTACTTATACATTATGCTAGATCGACTAAGATAGAGTTGCAGCGAAAATCCGACGCGATCCACACTGTACCATGGTTGATGCTCCAGATTGAGACAAACACCGCTTCCGGTATCGACCCAGGAACATCTTGCGCCCTTCTACTCTACTTATCTCAAAGAAGAATTGACTGGAACCGGATTTTATATTATGAACCTTTCAAGGGCTGTCCTAAATAGGTGCTATGGGATGGTGCTACGAAGCATATCATTGGTACAATCAACTGGGTTATTGAATACCGACGAATCATGTCGCTCAAGCGATAGCCCATACGTATCTACCCAAAGACTTCGATCATGAAGCGATATTCAATCTTCCTATCCTCGCTCCTCGCCCTTGCGCTCAACATGCTACATTGATCCGCAATCTGTTGGCCGATAACAGGTGGTCCACAGAAGAAGACACCAACGTTGATTTCATCATCCTTCTTGCGGTCCTTTTCGGTGAGTCGCTCCGCCAAAACCTTACACATGTCTTCGTAGTGTTGCTCCATGATACCCCTAATATCAGGACGTCCGAAATGTGTTGGATTGACGAGACCAGTGATGGGCGACCGCGGATGGTCATCAGTGCGATGCTTTTCGAGGAGCCAGCGGAAAACGTGCTGTGATATCTGCTTGCGCTTCTGCGTTACGTACGTGTTGATGCGTATGTCGAGATCTGGGACTTTGGGCTGCTCGCGGGATACCTCGTTCAAGAGATCGGAAAACCACAGGAGGTTATTCTTGTCGCGCACCATCCAGTGGAAGTCGACACGGCGGTGGCTGTTGTATGGAGAAGGCTCCTTGGGGACTTCATCCGAGGATTGTTGAGGACTATCGATGGACTTCACGCGCTCGAGCTCGTGTTGTTGGAGATCGGTAAGCACGCCTGAGAAGGGAGTCACGCCAATACCGGCACTAAAAACTGTTAGTTATTATCTCCGAGAAGGGTGCAGCCGTCAACTTACCCAAAGACCATGCTGTAATCAAAGTCATAGAAGCGTTGGGCGGGTGCTCCAAACGGTCCATCAAGACCAATTTTGATTGTTGTCCGCGTTCCTTGCTGAGCCAAATCACGGAGTTGATTTGTCCAGTCCCCATCGGCCTTGATGTGTACTTGCATGGTGTTGTTGATACAGGTAGATACCGTGAAGGGGTGCCACTGAAACCTGGAGAATTGCGGAACCTGAACAAATACGTACTGCCCAGCTTTGTAATCCCATGGGCGAGTTTTGGGGACCTGCGCCGTGATGGCGACAGTTTCTTCATCTAGTAGCTCAAGCTCCGCGAGTATAGGACGAAAGCTGAGAACCAAGCGCCACAGACGCTCAAACAGAACCATCAGTGTAGGGAACGCAAGCCAATAGCCGAACATGGGCCATTGCAACAGATGTGCAGTGCCATGCGCCATCATGAATCCAATGATTGGAAACATGAGCAAATGGCCAAGCTGAAAGACCTCGTAGCTCCACTTTCGGATCTGAGGCATACTCATCAAAGCCAGAAGGTAGAACATGCCAAGTGATGTTAGTCCCGTCCAACCTGGTAATGACCGGAGGTAGTCAGTATATGAGCGTGGTACAGCGTCCTGTCCGACTATGTTGGCGACAGCGTTCTGTCGACTTGCCATGCTTCCAAACACGAACGAGCCACTCAGATGGCCGATGGCATGCAAAGTCGCGAAGAACAATGCGACAATGGACATCTTGATATGAAATGACTGAGAAAGATCCCAGTTGATAAATCTTGAGATGAAGTAGAAGCGTCGGAGGAATGTTGAAAGCCAACGGGACATTGACAGAATAAGGAAGAAGAAGGTCGGATACAGCACACCAGCACATGTCTTTGACAAAACTGCACCCCATCCAAACGCTGGCGTATACTGGTCAAATGTGAGATACTTGACGAATTGCCACACACCAAAGCCAATCATCAGGGTGACAACCAGAGCAAGAAACGTGATTTCGGGTCCTTTTACGGCCCAGTAGGCGCGAGCACGTCGGTACATGGACACGTGCTTTAAGTAATCGTCTTCATTCTTCGCTTCTTTGCGGTCATGCTCCAATGATGGGATATCCCACTTCTTAACACATTCTGCGAACTCCTCACGCTTGATGTAATCCTTGCGCGTTCCGATGACGTTGCGGAGAAACTCATGGCGTGCTTCATCGCCTCTTGATGCATGATGGAGGTTGTGAGGTTGCGCTTTCGGTGCTATCTCTTTGTGCACTTGGTCCAGTTTCCGTTCTAGTTCCCAGTAGTCAACGTTGCCGTCCTTGTCATGGTCGAGATCATCGATGAATTGCTTGATTTCTTCGTTGGTGAGAGAGGTTTGCGAAGCCATTGACCTGGAAGTGCCTCCAGGGTAGAGTGGTTGACTTGGGCTGTAAGAGGTCTATCAGCTGGCAAATGTGGCTGAGCGCTGACGTTCGTATTTAAGCAAGTTCCTGGTCAGCTCAATTGTTTGGGGTGTCACTGCCGGTCCACGTACGCCAAGGTGTCACTGTTTGTGGCACTGATGAAGTGGCAGAATATCACCAATGAAATGGACTAGACTGTTCGATACCAAGAAGACAAGACTTCCAAGACGGAGTTGGAGCCGGCGGGCTCTACTTGCCCTTTGGCGGAGCGGAAGCCAGGCTTGGTATCTCTTTGCCTGTTGCACAGCCACTCAACCATCACGGCCAAGACTTCCGCCCAGGTATTTTGACTGCTGTTCGCACACTGACGTGCATTTCAAAGAACGCCAAGCTATTCATTTAGTCAAGTCAGCCACATTCTCCCAGTAAACTACTGCAGAAGCACATATGCAGGGGAAAAAACAGGATAGCAAAAGGCCAGGCCTTTGCACAAGTCTTCGTTACGCCCCACTGTTCTGGGCGTGCGCTGACTCGTAGCATATCTTTATGATATCTTCTTATCGTTTTCAGGTAAACTATGCAAACAATCAATGAAGGCGTTTGATGGAGAAGGTGTTCGTGACGATTTGAGAAACGGCTGTGAACTGGTGCTTGCCAAGCCATTGGGACTTGGCTAGAGTTGGCGGCATCTCCCGAATGAAGCTACGTCATTCTCGACAGCTTTTCACCAGCAACATGCGCACAACGTACCATGTATGCACAGGCGTTATTGTTCCTTGTAAAATAAACGGCGTACAGGCACAGGGCAAAATATGCTGAGATGCTCAGACCTGCCCCCGTTAACATCCAGATCGACCCACACGCGAGGGCGTTCAATGTTCCCGCTTTGATCCAGGGTCCTCCCAAATGAGATGCAGAAGCTGCGCCACGACGTCATTCAACCCGTCTATCTTCTTAACAATGAATCGCCCGACGCGCGTGAGCGGGTTGGCTTGCAGTCCAGAAATCGACGACGCTTACTCTTTGCGCGCCAGGATGCATACACGCGGCCTCGATTACTTCTTTTCTCCCTGTCACAGAACTCAGTCTTCACCCATTCCTTTGAGATTTCTAGATACTCGGCATGGCAGACAACAACAACAACAACAACAACAACAACAACACGTCCAGCACGTCTACCAAGACAGGCTCGTCGATACAGATTACACATCGTCATGACCGTACCCTGCTCATGACCGTAGTTCAGTCCTTGGTACGGTTGATGCGCTCTCGTATCGGCAACCGTACGCCAGACCACGAAGATGGTTCTATCCGTCTGAATCCCTCCAAATCGAATCTTTGCCAATGCACTCTCCGCGAACGAACCGTATGTGACATGCACATATACGATGTTGTACCACCCAACCAAGCGGAAAAGAGATCGAAGAAGCGCATATACTACTTTGCTGGAGGTAGCTGGCAGGAGCCACCCTCGCCCCAGCACTACAAGATATGCGCCAAAATGGCCAAAGAAATGGTCGACACCTCCACATCTATTGTATCAACTCCGCTCGCACCCAACAATCCCGCGTCTAGCTCCTTCCCTTGGTGCATGAAGACATACCGCACTTTGATGGCAGAGGCAGAGGAAGCGGGAGAAAAGGTCATACTCGTAGGCGACTCGTCCGGCGCGAACATCGCATTATGTTTAGTCTTGGAAGCTCTTCGAGAAGACAGCGAACAAGAAGGCGTGGAGATCAAACAGAATTCACATCCTGTCGCCATCATGAATGTGTGCCCTTCGACGGACCTTACGCGAACCAACACCGATATCGATAAAGTCGCACCCAGAGACCCGTTGCTCACACCCAAGATTATCAGAGCTACTGCAAAGGCATGGCAGGGCGACTGGGATCCTTCGGATCGCCGTATCTCTCCTATAAACGGTGACATTTCACTACTCGCGAAGAAGGGCATCAAAGTGCATGGCATAACCGCTGGTTGCGACGTTTTGAGTCCGGACGGAATCATCTTCCGTACCAAGTGCGCCGAAGCAGGTGTTGAGGGACAGTGGGTACATTGGGAGAAGCAAATGCATTGCTTCGTCCTTACCATGCCGTACGGTCTTGTCGAGGCCAAAGACGCCGTCAAATGGATGGTTGATATACTGAAGAAGGAGTGAGTGTTGAGTCATTGTCGTGTGTCCAAGTAACAGATACCCTTGCATTTGATAGGTACGCCGCGTTTGCTTAGTTTGTAATATCACTTTTTCTGAGCATTCTGGAGTTCCCAAGTCTACTCTGTCATCACTAAAGTTTCAGTGGCAGAGATGTCGGCGCGAACCTGATGGCCATACTTCCACAAACCAAAGTTGAGGCACATGGAAAAGCGGAGAAGCATGAGCTGGGTTCTGGAAACAGTTCCCAGTAAAGAACCAATGCGCGATTTATATCGGATGAGACGTGACATGTGTCCGTCTAAGCCACTGGGGTTCCAGGAACCATCTTTCAGTACCACAAGACTTGGCCATCACCCCCCTCAGGCATAGCAGACTCTGCTATATGTCCGCACAGAAGTGTCTTGTGTTTCATAGCACCTTACTCCTTGCACGAACTGCCCTCACATTATGATAATACATCTGCAGATACGATCACATGAACCACGATAGTGCCTGTGTGTGAAACAAGTCAAGCTTTGCAGTCATATAGACCAAGGGATGAACGAACCAGCAGGCTAGTAATATTAAATAATATTATAGTGTCAACCAACATCGAAGAAAGTCAAGTGAAAACGAATTCCCGCATCCTCTTCATGGCTTTTGCTTCTTGGTCAGCTGCACTGAGTTCTTTGACCGTGACAACATATTCGTCTTGCTCCTTCTTCAACGTCTTCGGACCGATGCTCTCTGCGTCAAAATCCAATTTCGACGACTTCAAACTTGTGCCATCACATTCCTCTTCTTCCGATCTCAAGTAGCCCAACTGCACAAGTCGATTCCGCACCTGCTCCTCCGTCTGTTCCTCGTAGAAGAAATGGCCGAGTCGCACAAGCGAGCGTTGCATAAAGTTCTTCAGCGTCGGGATTGTCGCTGCAAGGAGACCAATCTCAAGTTCCAACATCGACCACAATGTAGGCCCGACAGTTGTGCGGAAAACGTCGGGAGACGTGTATATCAAGTTTGCAGCGGCGATGCGCAAGATGGCGAAAGTTGAGGCGAAGAGTCCGAGAGCCATCATGGCTGTGAGGAAGATCTTCTCAGCAAGCGGTCTGTTTAGTCTGCTGATAAAGGTGATGGGTATGAAGGAGAAGATGAGGTCGGTCGAAATATGGATAGCACTTGTCGCGACGATGTTTCCAGTGATTGCTTCGTGAGAAATGCATTCCACCTTGCCTTTTGAGAGTACACTTGGGTCCCAGTATACGCTAAACGGGCGGCACTGTAGGAACTGGAAGAATGTTGAAGTAGTCGCTGTGAGGATGAGAAGTACAATCGTGCTTGCGAGGAAGATGCGCCAGGCTCGTGATTCTTTGAGACGGAAAAGGAGGAGGGCGACGGAAATCTTGACTAGATTAATTGCGAAGTTCCAGACTAATTGGCAGATGAAGATTAGGCGCATGGCGGCCGATCGTGAGGCTGCAGAGACATGTATGGAACGTTGCCCAAAGCCGTACTCGCACGCTAGGCAGACGATGATGTACATTGATACGGCGAGGATCTATAGCAATGAGCGTCAGTTGATCCGAACACAAAAAGAGGCGGTTCTGAAAGTGATTGGAATGGTTAGACATACCGTTGCTGCCCCTGCCGTCCAGTCTTCCAAATGCAGCTTCAGCGTTGGCCGTAATCTAGACCAAAGTCTTGCGCCAAAAATCAAAACGGCGAGACATGTCAGACTACCACATACACCCAAAAGAAGAGGCGCTTGTGAGTCGTGGCTTGGATCGTCGCCATCCAGCTGGGTGGATAGTAAATTCATGGCGTCTTCCGCTGTCAGTGTTGGATTTGCAATCTCCGCAAAATCAGCCAGGCGCCGCCTCTGATTAAACTTGACGGACAAAAGACGTGGCGAAACTTAAGAGGCTTGTTGCTGGAGGGTTGTGGTTTCCTTTCAATAGCCAGCGGCATCCCGGATGCCGATACACTCGTATGAGGACGCCAAATCTCTGTGGTACCGCATAACGAACACACTGCCTTCCATGTCGTTTCTGCGACCTTGATTCCTAAGGCCCATGATCTGCGAATCGATTGTCTGTTGCAGACGGGCATGAGGTGGCCTATTGGTCCACGGTGCAAGCTGTCAAATACACCCCCGTTGTCGTGAGTCTTGATGTGTCAGAAGCGTTTCGTATTCCCGGATTTCTTCCTTGCACCCCGCAATTTCTTCCCGTTGGTTCAACTTCCGAACTCTTGTAGTTTATGCGTCGTTGTTTGAGGGCCTTGGAAGTACGGCGGTAAGAGTGCTGATGTATGATGGCGGTGAAGGACATGTGTCGGTGGTAAGAAACAAGGTTGTTAGAAGTGAAGACAGACAATGAATTGAGGATGATGACGATGGAGACATGAAGTTAGTGGGTAAAGTAGACTACTCAATAGATGGCGATAAGAGATACTGTGCGAAGCTATGTCGTATCAAGAAAGGATGTCAACAAGGTGTTTACAAAGGGTCGCAGCTTCCCAATTTGTCGCTCAAGCGATGCATTGTTGCCATCCCCACAAAAACCATAACATTCGTAGTAACGACCTGTCGCATTTATGTCCTGTGTTGTTCCTGGTTAGAGAATACAGAACGATGTGTTGAGGCGTGAAGCGCGACAGCCAGCCTGTGTCCTAGCGTTACGGCACAACAAGCTTCCTTACGCATGTTGTCAATCATGTCACTTGCACTGGACGGCAACTGATCCATGCCCCGAGCGTTCCCGCCTAATTATAGCAGAATATCAACCACGCGTCGGGGCTCGTCAAAGGTGTCGTCTTTTGAAACCCATGAGTGTAGGCATATAAAGAACGACCACTAAAAGATCAACGCAATGACAGCAGAAACTTATAGCTTGCGCAGGAATATCTTGACTTGAACGAGAAACAAATGTAGCACATCATGAGCTTTAGTTGCGAAGAAGCTGTTACCTACGTGCCTTTAAGCCTGAGACACGTGTTCTGGAACACGAATTGGATACCGCTGTAGCAGAATCAGCTGTCTAGGGATAGGGAGACCACTCCACACGCATTGTAGGAGTTTGAATTTCTGAAAGAGCAGTGATGGGACAACATCACTAAGTGAGAAGCGACGAAGGATTGATATGAGAAAGCCATGATAAAACAACAGTCCACAAAAGCATTGGATGATGGCTTACACATATTCAACCGAAACATGAATAGAATGCGAAAAAGATACACGATGAAAGCTCCCCTTTTCCTTCACACCAATTGCTATGCCAACCCACATCTTCACAGATCCCAAGTCTCGTGTCATCACCCCAGTGCACAATCATCATACTCTATCCTCCTTCCTAACAAAGTGAAGTATACAAACTTTGTAGACTTTGTATTACAAAGTCCAGAAAACTCGGCATAGAGGTAAGTGTACCTCTTCTGTTTTCGTGAGACACGTACGCAATGTGATGCTTCGAGTGCTTCTAAGCGCTGCCTTTTGATCCAGAGTTGTATGCCAGGGGGGGAATGAAAGCGGTGAAGAGACGAAGTTCCTGAAAGATGACTTGAGGAAGCGTCAGACAAATGCGCCAGTTGCACAGAATTGATAGAATTTGAATAAGGCTGCCAAGTGCGTGGTCGGACCGAGCAATCCCATATTTCTCCCTCTGAAGGAATCATATGATCGTGACTTTGCTCATTTGAAAATAATCGCGGTAGTCATGGCGTTCTGAGGCTGGCTCACGCCAGTCGCTCGAGAAATATCCAACGCGGGAGTAGATCTCCTTGTCTTCCGCCTTGGAGAGAATCAGACCTTCCATAACAACATCAAGTTCTGGATCAGGCCACCCCCCTCCTTTCCCGAAGACGAGGAGAAGAAGATAGTAAGTATGGGCGTCGGTTTTGACATCAGATAGCCAATATAGATCAACGTCGTACCGCAGTCCGACACTTATGCGATCATCCGACCGAGACGAGGTTAAGCCTACGAAACATGACATTGAGACGGTTATCTTTGTTAGTGGGGCTTCTATTTGTAAGTAGCCACCAGTAACTTGGCCAAAGGGGGCCTCCGGCGATGCAAGCTTAACATTGCAAGAAGTAGATTTAACAACTACTTCTTCCATGGGAACACCTTCCCTGTAATCTCTGGGTGGTACAGTGTAGTCTTTTAAGGGTAAGCTGTCAAAAACGCAGCTATCAATCGATGCCCACGACCAAGAAGGCGCTCGATATGCCGGTCTTGTTAATCTAGGCGGCGGGTTCTCGGTGAACCATGATAGATTTGTTGGAAAATGCTGTTCCCAAAGCCCAGCTTTGTAGCTTTCGCGTCCTGTTTCCGTTCCGGAAATGGCTGAACCAAAGACTTCTGCCACTGCTGAGATTACGGGAAGCTTATCAGCGGGCATTGTAAGCTTTAGTTCGCTGTATTCGGTAACGAGTCGATACCATGTTCGGCAAAGCTCGTTTGCGTTCATATACCCTATACCTGAATTGATTCCAGGTACTCTCTCATCAAGCGAGTAGCCGTATTCAGGGCCCCATCCATCGAAGTACGCTTTCTCTTGGCAGTAAAAAATCATTTGTGCCGGGCTGAAATACAGCACATGCAGAGATAGAATGACTGGCTGTTTCAGCAAGTTACTATGAAACTCCCAAAAGAAGTCTTACTTTCCTGGAAGATCCATGCTCTGCTCCTAACTGGGTCAGTAGGGGGTCCATGGGGGTTTGCCAGGCTCATGTCTAGGATGAATTTCTTCTTTACATTGTCAAGTCCTGGTATCTGTATCGTTATAACGCAACGACGGTGCTTCAGCGACCTCTTACGCAAGAAACCTTCATTTGCACTATGTGCCCCACCAGCTAGTATAGTCATGACGCCATTTTGATAGATCTGGGCCTGCTTTGATATTTCTGTGGTAAGCTCATCCGAGTCGTCTTGCACGATACCTACATCAAGGCATGGTCAGTTCCAGGGGTTTCTACTTTGACTTCAACTTACAAAGCGCGTCAATCCACAAGTATTCCAATCCCAATGTTTGCACGACCCAAATGGCATCTTGTACGGAGGCAGACATGTTCTGCTTAGAGATACCTGCTTCGTGTAATGGTAGGTTGTTCGCGTTGTGGTCTTTCCCACTTGATCGCCACCCCAACAGTAGCTCAACAACGCATACTTGTAGGTGCCAGATCGTGTGGTCGTGATGAGCCGCACTGGCTCTGTAGCACTTCCCACTTTGAGTAATCTTTTGGGAAGACTATGACCATGAAAAGGTATCTCTTCGAGACATATTTTGTCTCCTTGTCCACAATGCTCGTGGAACCAGTCGCGCATTTGCTTCTGTGCCCTCAAAGATCGTGGATTCAAATTTGGAGGTTGGGAGATATTCTTAAACCAAGGGTTGCTTCCAAAGTCTGCTAGTCAAGGTTAGTCATAGTTTTGCCTCTCTCTAGAGTTTACTAACTTGATGTAGTACCAGAAGACATCTCGTGAAATATAACATTGGGGTTACGAGGTCCCCATTTTGATTTCGACACCAAGAATGACCCAACATTGCGGGTAGCATTTTCTAGTTCAGAAATGCCAAGAGGTATGAATCTCTGATCCATCCCTAGAAATTGCCAGGAAGATTGAGGTGCAAAGAGGGGACACTCTAGCCTCTGTATCTGATCCATCTCAAAACGGCTTTTGTTAATGTCAACGTCAATTTCAAGTCTAGTCTTATCTTCATTCCAATTCGCTAGAAATGTGCGACTGCAATAAAGACATGTATGGTTCGGTGGGTCGTGACATTCCGGTTCAAGCTCGGGGATACATGAACCTGACAACGTCGTAGCCATCGCGCTAGTTACTGTGAGCCAGAATCCTCTGATAGTGCTCACAACGCGGACGACTTAATCATGAGCTGATCCGGTCGTAGATTTGGGGGTCCAGAGATAGAGAGAGAAGAAACGGTGGGGATGACAGAGGAATATGCTGGTCAAGGCCGCAATACTTCAGCCTTGCCCCGCATGAAGCTGCATGGCTGCAGCCCAAGGCGGAGAAGTCGCTAAAACCAGAATCGACTAAACCATCATGGAAGTCGGAGACAGAAAGTGGTTGAGCTTGGCAATGTGATTGAAAAAGAACTCCGGGCTTTACAGCACAGTGTAGAAACGAGATGACCTACATGCTCGTATCTAGGATCGGAGCGGAGAGGAAGAAGAGGCGTATGTAGTACAGGCATTCACCCACAACCAACCGACAAAGGCAAGCACAGCCCGATATGCCCAGAAGAGTTGGAACTTCAGTAGCGCTATCGTTATTAGTTAACGACCAAAGTCAAGAACCAAATGAACACCATTCTGGAAGCGCTTTACATCTGACACGTGATGATGGCATCCCCCTCAGGGACCACCACATCTATCAATCTCTCACCAGCCCGGGAATAACACCTCACCAATATCCCCCTTCTTCCTAAGACCGTAACGCCTCACCAAACTGCGCCTCCCCTACCAACCAAAAACACAGCCTTGACGGCCCTTTGTGATACCAACCTTACGCGTCTTCCATCCGCCACGACCCGCGCCACACCGGGCGATACCGCACAGCCAATCAGACCACTCCAGCGCACCGACGATGACGTTTCACGACAAAGTCGCGCACATGCACAGGAAAGTTCCAGCAAAAGTTTAACGCATGAGCAATGTGACGGACATGCTCGGATAAGGAACAAAGAAGGGGTAGGGGTGGGTTGGTTTATTTAAAAGGGTTGTGCTGGGTACTGCTTGCTTGAACTATTCATTCCTGTGTGACGTCGACAAACAAACAAATAAACCAAAAAGTGTCTGGTTTGGTCCTGAGTGTTATCACGGAAGAGTCCCGGCATAATACATTCGCATACGATAAATAAACCTCGAGGACTTTCGCACCTCATAACACACAAACAACTACCCACCCACCTACCACCACCAACCCACTAAACCGCCCAAAATGATCAAAACATTCCTCCTTGTCCTCATCACAATCTTCAGTACATCTCCCCATCCCACTCTCCTCAAACCCCCCAACTAACCCTCTCCCAGTGCCACCCGTCGGTGTCTTCCTCGTCGCCGGCTGCGGCGCTGATCTCCTCATCAACATCTGCCTCACACTACTCGCCTTCATCCCCGGCCACGTGCACGCCTTCTACATCGAATACGTCTACGTGAAGCGCCGCGACCAGGCGCGCGCGGGCACCCTCGACGCGAAGCCCGCACCCGGTATTTACAGCAAAAAGGTGCAGAATGGCGGGACCAAGGGCGTGGTGCCTGTTGCGCCTGTGGCTCCGGCTGCGGAGGTGCCGGTTCAGCAGGCGGGGACTGTGCATTAGATAGGGCTAGGGAGGGAGAAGGGAGATGGGGTTGGGTAGTTGGTGGAGGAAGAGTATAATGATGGTGTAGGTTATGTTTGGAGTTTCAGTTTTAGGAAGGACATACCCCTTTTTTTTGTAGGCAGTGATACCAATTTGCACATGTTTAATTCCTTACCTGCAAATGCGACTTGACCAATCCTCAATCGAATGGATCGACTCGTTGTAAATCTGTTCTTGACATTGCTCGTTTAGTATTGTACATATATGTACAGCATGCCCATAGCGACTCAAAAGCCGTATGCTACAATCGCAACCCTCTCTGCCAATATCATCCTCTACCTCTTCTTGCCCCTTCCCTTCTTCTTTCCACCCATCATTGCCGCTGCTGCCCCGGCACCCTTCTTCTTTTGGCCCTCGACCGTACCAAGCGCAGCCTTCTGTCTGAGATACATCCTCACCACATTCTCCACACTGCCCCGATCATGCTTAACAGTCCTCATGTACGTCAACCTCGCGCGTCTCGCCCTCTTAGCCGCCCGCTGCACCACCTCGATACCCTCAACCAGCGGACTGTAAACCTTGTACCACATTTCCACACCCACGCGGGTGAGCTGTCCGCGCAGAAGAATAGCAGTGTCCGCGCCTCGGCGTCGGATGTTGATGCAAACACCAGCGAAGGGGTCGCCAGTGCGTTGGCGCACGAGGAGGATGTCGCCGACACGGGCGCATTCTGGGTTGTCCTTTGCGAATAGGCGGGTTCGGGCGCCTGTTGGGTCGAGAAGGCTTATTTGTGAGGCAGTTACGGCGGCGAGGGGGTCAGGGCAGGTTTTCTTGATGTTGCGGGCGGCGGGCTTGAAGACGGGGACACCGAATTGACGGCCTGGAACTGGGTTAACATGGTTTTTGGGAGCCGATAGTTCCAATTGATGTATTATTCGGCCTGGCGGAACTCTAGAGGGCAAACATACTCAACGCGTGGTTTACACTCTTGTCTTTCATGACCGGTTGCCATCTCGCAGCAATGGGCTTAGTCTGTGGTTTACGGCTAAACGCCTTTACCGCTCCCTTAATTGGCTTGCCATCTTGCTCATACAAGTCCGGATACAGGGCCCTGTGCAGTTGGGTACTGAGATCTGGCTGTCGCAATAATACTGATCGGTTACGCTTGGCGGGGAGTACTGGCGCTGGCGATGCTGCATCGACAGCAACAGTTTCGGTACTGGCAAAACGTTTACATCGTATGGCATGGAATGCGACACGCTGAGCCGAAGCTCGCGTGCAGGGTATTGCGGCTGACATTGGGCGTGCGGAGGCTTGACTTCCTCCGCCGTGGTGTTCAGCATTCGAGAAATTCGGAGGTTGCTTATGTCAGCAACCCTTCCCGCTCCCTCCATATACGTCGCGGGACCCCCACATGGACATGAAATGCTTCACTATGTCAAACTTGAACCATGGCTGACTGATTTGACGTATTTCCACATTATGTTTGAACTGGACTACATGGCAAACATTATTCATGAATAAGACCATCCCAACCGCTATGAACCTAGCTTACACATGGAAACGCGCCCATTAGGAAAGACCAAAGTGGAGAAGGAAATTAAAGAGACAATGATAAACTTTTGAAAAGACCAGGCCACCGCAGGTCCTGGTATACCGCAGTGCATCCATCCATGCTGACATAAGAAAGAGAAGAAGCCCAAACACCATGCTCCAGCGCGTGATTTAAGATAATCCACATCGTATGAGGTGGGTCCCCACGCCCATACGTTTCACCGCTTTTCTATCCCGGTACTCCAAAGGAAAGCAAGGTTAGACGCCGTTGAGATGCTACCGTCTGACGCCGTTGGGACCAAGGGACATGTCGCACCGAAGAAATTACTAGAGCCTTGCCTGGTTGAGTTGCTCGCTCAGGCCCAAGACGACATTGGGATGTTGGAAGATCTCGCCCTGGAAGATGAAGCCAAAGTTGTCAGCAATTGATCTGTTCAAAATCGATCTCAATATCTCTCCTAGGCGTCTCTACCTCTTCCATCCAAGTGAGACCGTTGGCAGCCTCTTCGACCGGAAAAACTTCCTGCGCGTACTCCTCCATGGATCGGTTTCCCTCCCACAACTCCAATGACACGCTAGGCACGTCCGGTTCGAGATCAGGACCAAAGTACGGCGCACCCTTCTCGCCCAGCGTGTACTCGAGCGCGGACAGGTGCTCTCGGTAGCCTGTGGGTGTGGGCACGTTGATCATTATGGGGCCCCGCCTGTAGCGGACAGGTCTCCGAAGGCCCTTACTAAAGGCATGGCAAACTTCTTTCGGTGTCATAGAGGCAAATGCCAGAGGTATCCTAGCTCCGTCAGTTACATGCAATCCAGAAGAACACGTGCACATGACGCCGTTTGTCATGCAGCCACGTCATGACCGACGTGTGAGAAGCGGTGGAAATTTTGGTGGTCGGGATTAACGATGGCGAGCCAGCAGATCTAGCGAATGTGGAGAACGCCCGCATAATGTGGAGCAAAATATGCAGATGCAGAAAGTGCTTACCGTTTGCCGTTCCACTTTCGTGGACCTTCCTTAAATAGCTGGTAAATAGCTGGCCCTATGTCGTGTTCCGAGTCTAGCCAAGGCAGAGGTTGATCGGGGTGGAAAGGGGCTTGCCAAACAAAACTTCCGTCGTACTGGTGCTCCATGCGGAAGAGGGGAAAATCGAGGCCGGTGAAGTTGTTGTGGTAAATGCCGCAATATACGAAGGTGGCGGGCAGCCCAATCTGGCGGACATACTGCTCAACGGTGAATTTTGGCGCCCAGAGCGGTAGCGCCCTCCAGCCGTTGCCAAAGACGGAGTGATCGGGCATGCTTGAGTAGATGTAGTGTTGGATTCCAGCTTTCTTTGCGGCATCGGCTAGCGATCGACCAATCGCAACCTCGTCTCCCCAGTGCGTAGTATTGATGAAAGCGCACTGCGCACTCTTGAACAAATCGTCGAGAAATTTCTTGTCCTCTAGCGCTCCAATGTAGACGGTGACATTGTCGAGCTCTGAAAGTTCCCGCGCGACTATGCCGTTGAGGTCTCGCATCTGTGCTCGCACCTGCCACCCCAATGCGGCAGCCACACGAATGAAGCTCGCCGATTGGCGGCCATTGCTGTTGATGGTAACGACGGTCCTTTGCATTCGTGTGTCCTTTTGGGCGTGGGTGAAGGCGGGGCAAGGAAAAGCTAGACGAGCCTGGAAATAACGACAACGGTGATAATGATGATGCTACTGTTATGACCTGTTGAGGTTGGCTGCGATGTTCGGAAGGGTAGTCGGTTCGTATATAAAACGCAAACAAAGCCAAGGCGCGAAGGTTCCGGGCGTTTGTCACCTGGAGTTTGGCCAGGTAGGGTGAGGGCAAGATAAGGCTTTGTGTAAGGGTCGTGGTAACCTTGGGAAGAGATCGCTTCGGGCGGCGACTGCAATGCCGATTCGGCGGGCAAGTATTAACGTGGTCGCAAGCACACAAAGACGGACAAGGCTTTGATAGTGCAAAGTGATGGACAGGCACGTGAGGCGAGTTATGCAGGGTAGTGAGAAGCTAGTCGTGGTGTTCTAAGGTTGAGGTCGCGGCCCGATTCCAATGGCTTTGACGTCGACGTGCGCAATGTTTAAGCAGAGAGCTACGGTGAATGACGCCGGCCGGAGAAACAGGAGATAGTGTAATCTGGCCCGTCTTCGTATGACAGTACAGCCAGGTTTGGGCCTCGTCATTTGCGTTGCTGGGAAAAGACTTACCTAATAGTCCACTCACCAGGCGAATAGGCTCCGCTTGACAAGTCGAACATCTGACCGCGGCTGGTCTCACCACCACCGGCCAGCTCACTCAATATCTTCGTAATAATATATTTTCCGAATCGATCAAGAGTACCCCGTTTATCGGCCGGCTTGGTACTTACTGGGCGCATTCAGCAGAAGCACAATCATCTCCATCTCTGTTTGTCTGTCTCTGTCTCTGTCTCTCTCTTCCCACCACCACCACCACCACCACCGCACCCTGTACGCAGTCACACGCGAACCTAGCGAGCAACTTGCACTATCATCGGACTGCAAGGGGCTTGGTAGGCTCAATCCAGCATTTAGACGAGGGCTCCACCTTGGAAGCTGCTCGTAACGCAGAGAAATGCAAGAGGGGCACGCTCCGAGACTATGCGGGGGAAGTACCTACTATTTCCAGGGGCTGCGAATGACGGCAGTATGGGCCCGCGGCCTACCGCGAGTCGTCCGCCAGGTTTTGTTCGGACCCATCTACCGTCGCCCATGAGAAACGTGCCCTTGATAAAGTTGCGACAAGTGCAAGGGACATCACGGTGTCAGATCTTGGCACAGAGATTTCTTTTACTAACTGAAATAAGCTCCCGAGGTCTCCGTTTTTAGTGGGAAGTCATGTCCACAGCTTCTCTCCATGTCCAACATACAATGTGGATACGCACACCACCTCGCGACTACGTTCCCCACATCTCATCGTACCTAGGTAACAATCGACTCCAACTTTACCTCGGTGTACAGTAGATACAACCATGTCCATCATCGCACCATCACTCCATCCTGCATTGTCATCACCACCACGCCTCACCAATTGCTTCCCACCACAAGTACCGACAACGTTCCGAGCAGTTTGCCATTGTTGATAGCTGCCGGGATAATGTCGCGTAAATCTTATGATTCACCCTCCTGGACGTTTGAAATGTACGTCGGGCTGATCCCGGTACGGTCACCCGACGTTGGGAACGGCGTGCCCAGGCATAGCGACATTTGAGGCGCCCATGCATCCAACAGATAGACAATCGGTTCCTAGGCTGCAGGCCAACAGCAGCCACAATTTCCCACCCCAGCAATACTCAACAACGTGCACGCGCCCGTCATCCAATCACGCGAGCCCAAACTTCAGCGTTGCCGTCGCCCTCGGATGCATGCAGCTTTGCCGCGCTCACTTCATCACTATGTAGATGGGCTCCTGCGTCGATCAATGTCTGTACGTGATCTGGTAAGCCGGCCGCCGCAGCCAAGAAGAGCGGGGTATTGCCTGATCGGTTTCTGAGATGCACAGAAGCGCCCTGGGCCAGGAAGTCTCGCAAGATTTCGACATTGGGGCTTGTTGCCGCAAGATGCTGCATACACGGGTCAGCAAGGAACGTAACGTCGCGTCATTGTACAGAACAAGATGATTCCACCGCGCCGTATGCAGCACCCGGGTGTCATAAAATACTGGACATACTAGTGTACAAAAGCCACTGTAGTCGCCAGACACGCTATTGGGTGCTTACCCACACTGTCCAGTATTTTATGTCACCCAGATGGCAGTGCAGTCATGGGCTGAAAGATAAGCGACTGCTTGCCACCGCAGTACTGGGACACAGCTGTGTGCTGTTTGGCTGTGTTTCTTTCATGCCGACGGCCTCTCGCGTCTTTATCTTTGATATCGATGAATGCGTTGCGCTGTCTCGGACTGTTGCCAGCCACAATGCAAAGCTCGTATGACGTTGTCCGATATCGGGTTGATGAGATGCAGGAACAATGTACGCATTGAATTGCTTGCAGTTCTTGGAATGTATGACAGAGGAGAAAGACAGGCGTTTGGAAGGTAAGTGGATGGAAAGGTACTTACTACAGGGCTGTTCATTTGGTAGTCAGCGTCGTTTAGCAGCCAGCGAGGCTCTCCTCGAATAATGTCTTTTGTTGCTTGTAGGTCGCCTTTTTGAACAGCATAACCTAGCGCCGTAAGACTGGAAAGCTCAGGGGTAAGGACGCCGCTCCTGGAAGGATGCTCGAAATGTGTTCGTGTCGTCTCAGTAAGCTCACCGCGCAAGGATATCGACATGCGCTTCGCAACCTCTTCGGGTGTGGCATCCGGTAGTGCAAGTAAATATGCAAGCTTTGTGAGCGCTGCCTCTGATGTCAAGTCCTGGCCAAAGACTACACCAGCCCGACCGAGGAATGCGCCCGGGGCGTACAGAGCGCTGACGCTGCCGCTTAAGCATTGGGTTACGTTGACGATCACAATTCCTCTCTTTACTGCGTCTGCTAAGCACCGTGTCATGGCGCTGTCCGGTCCTCCGGGAGTGTTTCCGGCTCCAAAGGTTTCCAACACTAGTCCTTTCAGCCCTTCCAAGCGCAAGACGGCATCAACCATGACGGGTGTGATTCCCGGAAAAACACGTAGGCATGCTACATGTGCCGTATCTAGACTTGTCTGAATGGTGAATGGGCTGAGGTCGGTAGATCGATGGACCCTGTGCCATAAAACGTTGGTCCTGGTCGAAGAGACAGTGGCCAGTGGTGGTAAGTTTGGGCTTCCAAACGCATCAAAGTCCTCTGCTGACACCTTAGTAGCGCGGTTGCCTCGGAAGAGTTTGAAATTGAAGAAGAGGCACACTTCTGGGATCATGAAGTGACCAGCGATAATTAAGGAATTTAAGAGATTATCCTGAGCATCAGTTTGCAGATTCATCATTGGCGCTTGAGATCCAGTCAGGATTACTGGCTTCCCCAGATTGTGGAACATGAAACTCAGTGCGGAAGAAGTATATGCCAGAGAGTCTGTTCCGTGTAAGATGACGAAGCCATCGAATAGCTGGTAGTTTCTTTGAACTGTCCGGGCAATTTGATCCCAGCCGGTGGAGTCAATAGAGCTACTGTCGAGTAGCTTCTCGAATTCGAGAACGCAGTATCGAACTCGGCGTTCATAGGTACTGACAGGAGTTCTGAGACTCTGGACAGCCTTGCGTGTACCTTTGTCATCGATGACAATCTCCAGGGGCTCCGGGTAAGAGCCATCATTGAACACCGGTCTGGGGGCCAGTCCAGCCTTCAGGAAGCCTCGTGCGGGGACCAGGCCGTCTACAGATTTTCGCATGCATATCGTGCCACCTAAGCATGTCAGTATTCCCGTGAGAGTATTCTGAGATTATGGTGAATCACCTGTGATGACGATCAACACTCGCGACTCTGGGAGCTGCAACTCGGGGTAGTGGTCGTCGTCCATCGCGTTCGACAGGGTCCGGGGTAAGCACCCAATAGACGTGTCTGGCAACTATAGTGGCCTTTTTCCCCTAGTATGTTAAGTATTTTATGGCACCCGGGTGCTCGTCCAAATCATGTAATCGATGGTTCTCCAGTCTGGTACGCCGGACAGGGTACAAGGCTTATCTCAAAGTAGTAAAGATCTGAGATGAGAGTGTCTGCAGATGCCGAGCGCAATTGTGGAATCCGAAAAACCGCTATGGCAGTCACTTAGTTAGTGAATCGAGATCGGTTGGACAAAGGAATTTTTTGCTATCGAACTTGGTTCCTTCCTGGGTCCCGAACAAGCGCACAAAGCAAGATAACTAGATAAGAGCGACTCTGGCTCAAACACGGCTAGCCTGACCAAGTCATGGATTTTGGTCGTTCTTTCCCTCATCGGCCCGGCTCGACCAAGGCCCACTTTTGGGCGTTCAAATTACCCTTTCGAAATCGACTCCATTACCCTTCCCAAACCACATTCTATTACCCCTACAAAACTGAAAATTTGCATCGTGAAACAGGTCAGATCATGATCTCGTCGGCGAGGCCCGCAGACTATGGTAACTATCGGCTTAAGTGGCATGCAATTACGTCACGAAAAAGAAAAACTTCGATGCTCGCATCTAATATCCGTTTTCAATATCTGCTGTGACACGTGCTGCCGCGATTGGGGTAATCATTACGGCAACACTAAGGGAGGAGCTGGCCGGGCATGTCCGGGCTACTGGGTATATCTGCATCTGACTACTCAGTCAACCAGCGCGTGATCCGAATTCGATCAGGCCTTCTTTGCAGTTTGCTTGGCTGCATTTGCTCGCTTCTTCTCCAGCGACTTGACTTTCTCCCAGTTCTGTTTAACCCATTCCAAAGCTGCATCCTTGTTATGCTCCGATACGTACTTTGACCAGACCAAAGGCTCTTTGAGATTTGGCACAGACGCAATTCGTGGCTGTCCATCTGCAAATTCGACCCAGCGCCTCAGACCTTTCATGACAGGATCCAATTTGTTGATCGGCACAGGTACCGCGACTTTGATCTCTTTCCAAAGCTCTTCTTCCCTTGTCTTCAGATTGTGCTCTTCAATCATAGCGTCGTATTCGGCTTGCTTGTTGAAAGAGATGAGAGCGTCTTGAAGTACCTCTTGACGAGTCCAGGTATTGGTAGCGCCCTTTTCTGTATGTGCTGGGACATACTTTTCGACAAAATGCTGGTACATGGACCTCTTCGCTTGACGTGCTCGGTCGTTGTGTTTTTCGACACGTCCAGCAAAGGCTGCAGAAGAGAAGAACCGGCCGCTAGAAGCCCAATCGAAGAGGTCGTTTTCATCCGTAAACCCAGTCCAGTATTTTTCGACATCCAGGCCGTAGAACTCCATAACTGCGTTGGGGTCTCGTGTAAGAAAGATGAGTCCCTTCTTTTTGTTGTAAACCTCTACCTCTTCTACGCGAACGTGCAAGCCTCGGTCATTGCAAGTAAGACCCAAGGCACGGTGAGTGACCCCAAGTATCTGCAGTAGGTCAGAGTCACCCTTCATGAAGCGTGTCCACTCGAAGAGCTCAGTACTCTCGGAGGTACCTTCTCCGACGGATAGTTCGACGTCGACTTGCACATGTGCTCCTGGTATCTCCGGATGCGGTACCGCGTATGAGGATGAGCTGCCGTTCTGAATATGCACATCGGCTCCGAGGATCTGCTGGATGACCTGGCACAAGTCGACCTTGGTAGTGGGTGGTCGGATACCGTCAACCAAGAAATCGATATCGCCATGGTCCTTTTTAGCTGGGGATTCGCGCGGAACGACGACACGCTCGAATACTGTTTGCAGAAGACGCTGATAATGCGCAGAAAGGGACTTGTAGATATCTGGGCCCATCCGAAAGACTTTGACCGGCTCTCCAGACTTGGCCTGAGCGTTGGCGAATGCGAGGCCCCCCATGGTTTGAAGGCGATGGAGGATTGCACCTGGGCAGTTGAGAACAGTAGAGTGTGTTTGTGGCAGTGGCAACCTTGGGAATTTTGTTTTGGTTGGGGGGGGCTTGGCGCTACACGGCGAAAAGTTTTGCTTATGGTGAATTCATCTTTAGCTGCACTGTCCCATAATGTGCAGCGCAATGAGTGTTGAATTGGTGACTCAAGCACTTTTGACTAGCAGGACCGTGCTCATACCACGTGAAGGTGCCATTCACCGTGATTCACCATGATTCAACCCGCTCATATTGCCGTACTGAGAGTGCAGGTCATGAGCATGGTGTAGTTTGGCCTATCGTACGATGGGATGAGATACAAAGGTTCCAAGGTTGATGAGCTTGGAATGCGGGGCGGAACACCCCCGCTCCACGAGTGGGGCTAATGACGAATTATCGATAGCTTAGCTCGTATCCCTGCATCTGCCCGGAAATTTTGTGAGATACAGATAGCTCAACATTTTTTCCACAACACAACCTCAATGCACGATTGTTGTAATTCAAAATCCGGCTGCTCAAAAATAATGGACGAACAGATGCCTGAGGAAGTGGTTGTGCGATTCGAAGAACTCGGTGCTCTTGAGCACGAGTTTGAGGAAGCCGAGCTAGAGATCAGTAAGTCGCACTTCTCACTTAGTGTCGCATGCTATGCGCATTTCTACTTCTGAGGTCCTAATCAGACGAGACATGATTATACGTGTTTGCGCTAGCTTTCAAATACATGTGTTTGCCATATCTTAACAATGGACCCATACTAACGTAGAAACAGTCCGCAAAGCCGAGGCGCTCCAAAGTCCTCTCTACAAGAAGCGCGCCGACTTCGTCGCTAACATTCCACACTTTTGGTCGCTTGTCTTTGAGCAAGCACCTCCGGAGATCGACAACTTCATCCAGCCCACAGACTCCAAGGTCTTCGCAGAGTGCCTCGAAACATTTGAAGTCTCGCGGTTTGAGCTAGACGAGCCAAATGGCTCACCTCGTAGCTTTTCGCTCAAGCTTGGATTCAGCGACAACGAATACTTCGAGGACAAGGTACTGGAGAAGAAGTTCTGGTTTAGGAAGACAAAGGACTGGCAGGGTCTGGTTTCCGAGCCTGTCAAGATCAACTGGAAAAAGGGCAAGGACCTTACGGGCGGCCTCACTGATGCGGCATACAAGCTAGGCGAGTTGAGGAAGAAGCTTGGAGCCGACACTGCGAGTGGTGCTGCGAGAAAAGAGGAGGCTAAGTCCAAGGAATACAAGAAGCTGGCGCAATTGATCGAAACCGCTACAGATGCTTCGGTCAGCTTCTTCGGCCTCTTCTCGTTCGTCTCGGGGTACCGATGGGTCAGCGCCGAAGAGTCAGCGCAAGTTACAAAGGAAGAGAAAGAGAGGTTCGAAAAGATCAAGCGGGGAGAGAAGGTTGAGGAGGAAGATGAAGAAGAAGAGGACCCGCAAGACTACCAGGAGATCGAGGTCTTCCCTGGTGGTGACGAGGTTGCTACCATCATTGCTGAAGACATGTGGCCCAACGCTATCAAATACTACAGTATGTTGGAGATTCATGTATGCTTGTATTAATGCTGACGATATGCAGAGGGAACCTTTGACGAAGACGAAGACGACGAAGAGCTATCGGACCTTGATGTCATGGATGCTACCGACAACGATGATGATGACGATGACGACGACGACGAGCAAGAGCCTGTTGATATCCGCGCCTTGGTAGGCAAGGGTCGGAAATCAGGACAGGAGCCTCCCGCGAAGAAGCAGCGCAAGACTTGAGTATACCAACACATGATGGCCTAATAGCTACTTCTCTATGTTAAGGGACAGATGAAAACAAACCATATATACCCGGTGAGGTCTGCCATATCAGCTAGATTTTCACATGTAATGAACGAGTTGATCGACATACGCAAGGTTCAATAGATGTGCCAGGATTTGATGAATTGAATACAAAATTTGGTATTTTGGCCTCACTTCCTTCTTTCCTGGGTGTGAAAAAGGATGTTGATGGTATCACACAAACATACGATATATTGTTGCATCGTCATGGCACCAGTACTCCAGCCAAGCTTCGGTGGACGGGCCGGCTGTGCCTACAGATGACCGCTAACCGCGCCGTCTAGTCCGCAACATCGTTCCGAGTTTGGATTAGGATTTTCACATTCCACGATGCAGTTGGTGCTTCCCCGCAAAAGCTGCACCTACGGCTTCGAGAAGCATTGCTCCACCAATCACTGGTGTTCCTGGCTTTTCCATACCCGTTGCGGCACGGGACATTGATCACCCCGATTCTTCCGCCAACCTCCAAGCCGATGATGACGATGATCCGTCAGATGAGGAATCATGCATGCGTTCCAGTACCGTGGCAAAGCTTGGAGCTACATTAGCTCTTGTCAATTGACCAACGAGTGGTCTTGCTTACCTTGGTATACCGCTACCTCGGGAGCATCAAGATGCCTTTAGCGATTCTCTGAGGGGTTCTATGCATGCCGAGAGAGAAGTATCTGGGGATGCTGGTAAGGTGAAGAATGATGTGCCCAAGAAATGCACGACGGCACGGAGCTTGACGAAGACATCCGGTAGGGTGTAAGCTGTCGGACCAAGGTACTTATTCCAAGTACCGTATCTGTTTTCACTGTTTTTCTTTCATCATTCCAGTCCAAGCCATCAACATGGGTCGGTTGTCACCTCTTGGGTGTGTTCTATTTGCTGTTCTGATTAATGCTGAGAGCAACGCGACATCCACCATCTCGTTTGCTCTGCCTTCAGGCTACACGGCTTCAAAGTTCAACGCATCTGCGCAGCCCACTGCCTACACACGGACCGATTTCTCTCCTAATGCACTCGCATCGTTGTGGGACTTGGTAGGTCCCATAGCCACTGGCCCTGTCACAACAACTGTTATGCCTACCCCGGAGCCCACTGCCTACCCGCAACCGGACCCTCAATACTATCACGCCTTCGTTGGTAGCGGTTACCCAGAAGCACAGGGCTTGAAGCTTCCGGCGAACTTTCAATGGGGCTTCAGCTCTTCGGCGTACCAAATTGAGGGTGCGGCCAAGGACGAAGGCAAAGGGCCTAGCATCTGGGATTTATTAGCACACAGAGTACCCAACTACGTGGCAGACAACACGACTGGTGATGTTGTTGCTCAACATTACTATCTGTACAAGCAAGACTTTGCTAGGCTGGCAAGCTTGGGTGTCAAATCGTTCAGTCCCAGTTTCTCGTGGCCACGCTTCTTCCCATTTGGTCATGGCCCGGTCAACGAAGAAGCTGTTGCGCACTACGATGATGTTATTTCATCCATACATGCGAACGGACTCCATCCGGCTGTTACACTCTTTCACTGGGACACGCCACTAGCAATTTTCAACGAGTACGGGGCGTGGACTGACCGGCGCGTTGTCGATGACTTCTTCAACTACGCCAAGTTTGTCATCACGCGGTACGATGCCTACGTCGATGAATGGTTTACAATCAATGAGCCACAGTACTGCAACTGGCAATATGCGGGCTACCCGGCAGGTAAGTACTACGCAGCACCCAATGGCGTCACAGGTGGTGTCGAAGCACGCTTCTTGTGTGGCCACTACACTCTGCTTGCACACGCCAAGGTAGCGAAATGGTACCACGAGGAGTTCAAAGGACGCGGACGCATCACCTTCAAGAACAGCGGAAACTACTACGAAGCCAACAGCACAAAGCCCGAGGACGAAGTGGCGCGACAGCGAAACTTTGACTTTAGCATTGGCTGGTTCGGTGGGCCATGGACAGACGGAGATTACCCCCAGTCGCTCAAAGACACACTGGGAGACCTGCTACCAGAATTTACGCAAGAAGAAAAGGACATGATCAAGGGATCGTGTGACTTTTACGCCATCGACCCCTATTCGAGTTTCATGGCCTTTGAAGTTGGTGGTGGCCTGGAAGCATGCACCAGCAACCGTTCACACCCAGGCTTCCCAGACTGCGCTGGCTCAGCAAGCGTAGCTCCAAACGGGTTCCCTATCGGGCCTGCAGCGGACCCCGCGATGTCGTGGTTCTACTCTGCTCCAGCGGGTGTGCGTCGCTTCCTCAAACACATCACCCAAGTGCTCTTTCCCTCGATCCCGGACATAGTCGTCAGTGAATTTGGCTTCGCCGAGCCTTTCGAAGCGCAATGGCAGAATTTGAACTCTGCACTTTGGGATCTCAAACGCGCGGATTACTTCCAACAGTACCTCGATAACATATTACTGGCCATTCATGAGGATAAGGTCAACGTCTCAGGTGCGTTCGGATGGGCATTATACGATAACTACGAATGGGCCCTGGGCACGTCTGTGAGGTTTGGAGTGCAGTATGTCAATTATACCAGCTTGGAGAGGACGCCCAAGGCTAGCGTCTTTCAGTTTTTGAATTGGTTCAAGGAACATGAGGCAAGCGAGAATGCGACGATGAAGTTGTAGGAGATTATTTGGTTAGACATGGTTGGCTGGTCTGCATGACAGCGGGTGCCGTGTTCACTATGACGTGGTGGCACATGTGTGGTAGGCATGCAGCGTTTGTGCTTCAATGTAGGTATGAAAAACGAGAACTAGGTGAAGAATGAAAGTGGCATGAGCAGTGGCAAAGGGCCCCGAGGTCAGCAAAGGGCGTGCTAGCTTACTTTCTTATCGGGTTATCAGGGACACCTTGTGACGAGAACGGCTCCACCCGCGCAATTCAATGCGGATGCCTGCTCTGTGCCCTTGACAACATACTCCATGCTCGTCGCTTGCACATGAATCGATGCTGCATGATTTTTGCGCCACTACCTGTGTGTTTGAAAGCTTACGGTTCTAGTTATATTGTGACTGCGCCAGGCCACCTCTCACACGTCGTGGCTGCCACTTGGCGCCTGAAGGTTCCGGCAAGGTTCACGCATCCGGTGCACCTACCGTAGGTAGCCAGCCAGCTACCAACGTACGTCAACGAACTGCACTGCGAAGCACCAAGACGACGAGTTGGAGTATTTTAGTAGCTTCTACACGCCTCTGTGCCAGCTATACCATCACCAGCACAGCTACAGCACGCTCTCTAGTCTTCACGCCCCTGCGCTCTGATAGTGGCATCATCGTCGCTCGGCTCGTGACATTGCCTGCTGCTCCAAACCTCCGCCCTCCACTCCGCATCCCTCGACCAGCTAGCCCGCAAAACCACGTCCCGCTACTCTGGGCACTCCACACGAACAGTCTACCCTTTCCAGGCCATCCATGCCAGGCATCTAATTCCACAAAGTCTACGCCCTCACGGCACAGCGCTGCCACCAAACTCGTACCCGCGTCAACTGCGGGTAACCAGGTCCAAACGTCGTCCTGGCAGACGAAACCGCCCCAAACCCTCCCTCCCCCAATCGCCGCCGACTACCCAGCCATTCCGAACTCCCCCACTTCTCCTTCCCGAGTACTCTCTGCCCACTTGAATATCCCCGAACCCACGCCTCGGCTCTCCGACTACCCATCCGCCGCCACTACCACGCCGTCCGAACACGCTCTAGCCGGAAAGCGCAGGCATAGCTCCTCGACCACCGACGGAGAAGACGAAGAGGACCCTCTAGCGCGCGGCAATAGAGGCAGACAACCCCACCGCATCTCCAAGCGCAGGCGCACACAAGACGGGACAATGCGCCTTGACAACGATAGCTCCAAATCATCACAATCGCCCTCGAGGAACTTCACAAACGGATCATCACAGTCAGCGGGGCCCAGGTCACCGCTGGGCAAGAACGCGAACGGGAGTGCGCACAGCAGGAACGAGAGTAATGGCTCCTACACGAATGGTGGTCCGGTAGCCAATGGGCATTCAATGCCCACCACCTTCTTTAGGCACGATAGGGAAGAAGTGACGCGGATACTGATACAGAGTCTGACGGATCTGGGCTACCACAGCGCAGCCGGCGCGCTGTGCAAGGAGAGCGGCTTCCAGCTCGAAGGGCCGACCGTCGCCGCGTTCCGGAGCTCGGTATTGAATGGCGATTGGGAAGAGGCGGAAGAGTTGCTATTTGGTTCGACTTCATACGACAACATAGGGGGTGTGGGTCTGAATGCCTCTTACGGAAAATCATGGGGGAAGTCAGGGTCACGGCCAAGCTCGCGACATTCGCCAGGCCTAACATTGGCCGAGGGTGCGAATCGGGAGATGATGCTGTTTTGGTTGAAGCAGCAAAAATATCTTGAACTGCTTGAACGGAGAGACCTTAGCAAAGCTCTTGCCGTCCTTCGACAAGAGCTGACCCCGCTCAACCAAGATGTGAGCAAGCTACATGCACTCTCAGCGTGAGTTTCTGCACATTTCTGTCCACGTCAACCAGCTAACAATGGCCAGTCTCATCATGTGCCAATCGGCCGAGGACCTTAGGCAACAGGCGCAATGGGATGGCGCGAATGGCGAGTCGCGAATGCATCTATTATCAGATCTTTCCAGTAAGACACGCTATTGGGAACTCTAAAGACCTCCACTAACTCTGTGCAGAATCCATTTCACCAAGTATCATGATTCCCGAGCATCGATTATCTGTACTACTGGACGAGGTCAAAGAAGGCTGGGTCGCGAACTGCTTATACCACAACACAGCTGCATCGCCCTCTCTCTATCTTGACCACAATTGCGAAAGAGACGATTTTCCAACAAAAGCTGTGCTCGATCTCAGACATCACCAGGACGAGGTGTGGTTTCTACAGTACTCAAACGACGGCACAAAGCTAGCATCGACAAGTAAAGACACGACAATCATGATCTACGAGACAAATGCGTACAAGGTGCTACACCAACTGAATGAACACCGGGATTCAGGTGTGACACATTTAGCATGGAGCCCGGACGATACCAAGATTGTAACATGTTGTTCACAACCAGAGAACTCTGCGCGGATATGGGACGTCAAGGTACATCTATTTCCTTTCTTCTATAATAATCTAGCTAATTCTTACAGACTGGGCAATGCATACAATGTATCAGCGACTTTACCTATCCATGCACAACAGCAGCTTGGGACCCCTCTGGTACACGCGTCATCATCGGGTCACAGGACGACACAATGGGCTGCGGCATCTGGGACCTTGACGGCCAACTCAAACACAAATTTTGCAACGACAGCGGGAAACTCCGCGCTAATGACCTGGCAGTATCGCCCGACGGCCAACGACTCGTCGTCACTACCGAGACCTCTATTGTCGTGTTCGACTTTGTTAGCTACGAGAAGATTCAAGAGTTCCAACTGGAAGATGTCAAGTTGACGAGCGTCTCCATCAGCCAGGATTCGCGGCATATGCTCGTCAGCATGAGTCCAGATCAGATCAAGCTCATGGAAATTGACACTGGTGACGTGATCCAGCGATTCGAAGGACACATCCAGAAGCAATTCATCATTCGATCAGCATTTGGTGGCGCAGACGAGAACTTTGTCGTCAGCGGTAGCGAAGGTATGTCTTGCATTTTCCATCCAATCCCCATCCACTAACAAGTATCTCCAGACTCAAGGATCTACATATGGCGCTCTAACGGATTGCTCATTGAAGCCCTCGACGCACACCCCGGCTGCGTAAACAGCGTAGCATGGCATCCCAAAGACCCCGCAACCTTTGCCTCTGCAGGTGACGACATGCGCGTCAAGATCTGGAAACCAGCCTCTGCATCACCCATGCCATCTGGTAGCGGGACAACAAGCAACGGCTACGGCCGGTAAGCTACCCAGTTCGCCAATGTACCAAACATGTATAGTCTGCGTGAAGAGCGTACTAGCAGGGAGTTGGGATAGGGTGTACAACGGCACACATGTGTTGCGGGTTGAATTGCATCATAAGTTTCGGCGTCGCAGAAGTAGCGGCTGTGTACGGTTACTCAAACCTTTTGTGAAGCTAGTTTTTTCTTCTTCTCGCATTTGGGTGTTAAACTGCTTGTCGTGGGTGCGTATTTCTTTACTTTGTCCCTTCCATGCGAAGGTTGATGACACATAACTACCCCCCTCTGTAGCATGACACTTTTGTGCTTGCGCATCATCATTGGCTATACCGTGTGTACTTAGTAAGAAGAACTATTTGTTAAATCAGTCATTTACGTGCCGAGATTCAATCTACACAACTCACTATCTTGTTGTTTATGCAGCCCAGGCCAATGAGAAAGCAGTGTATAAACATTTTTTCTGACATTCATCATATGCTTGGTAAACTACCTATACTACTACATCGTTAAGTCATAATCATAAAGGCCATAATTCATATCCATATCATAGTTGTCAAGATCCCTATTCCACATCACACCGGTACTTTCAAAACAGAATAACCACCCGCTTTCCTTTTCATGTGTGCAAATAAGCCTCCTAATTCCAGGGTATCTGTAACAACCACAACCACTACCACCACCAAAAGTGCGCCATGAGAGGAACGCAGAAAACGCCGCCCCAGAGACTTGTTCCAACCAAAAACAGTCTTTTTATAAAACGCTGATGGAGGCGTTGCCTTTGCCCATGGCTTGCGAAGACATCAACATCTCCCGAAGCCGGTCTTCGGCTTTTGTCAGTTCTTGCTGACTGGTATGGCTGAGGTCTGATGGCCGGGGCCACGGTAGCCAGGATCGTATCGAGGAGCCCAGGGTGCCGGAGCGAGCTCGCGAGACGGGGAGGCTGCGCATAGATGCGTTGCGTGCGTGCGCTGGGAGTCTTCGAGCGGTGGTGGTTTGGGGACGAGCGGTTGATGTTTCGCCGTTTGCTTCGATGGTGCCAGGGGCTGCGGAGGTGTCAAGGGAGAGATGTTTGGAGGCCGTGGGAGCGGCGAGGGTGATGGCTGGCTGTGAAGACGACGACGTGGAAGCGTTGATAGCCCAAGCTGGGCCTTGATTCTGTGTTGCACCCGCGTGTTTGGGGCTACCGGCCTCTTGCTCGCGGAAGGTGTCACCGTCAATGGCTTTTCTCTTACCACTGCCCCCACTGATGACGCTCTTGAGGCTGCCGTATGCGGATTGGCTTCGCTTCTTACTGCTCGCCACCCGGCCCTCTTGTGCGAGTCTCTCGCTCGAGCTACTTGCTTCTGGCACTGACATGAGCGTGTTGTCCGCGGCGGTCCAACCCTGAGTCACTCTGCTCAAGCGACCCCGCCCCGCCAATGCTCCTGTGCTTGCCCATGCCGGGCCCCCTCCGGTTATCTCGCCCTGTGGCGGGAGATGGGAGTCATACTCATCTGCGAGGCTCATCCTGCTCCGTGCGCAGATCTCGGCAATGGCATCAATTGCATCTCTGATCTCGGGATCGACGGCACGCAGGATGGCCGAGAAGGAAAAATCATCTGCAGACGGCAATTGCTCGGTCCTGCCTGCCAAACCTGCTGACAGGGCCGAAGCATTGGAATGGCCGTTCATTGCAAGAGAGCGTGGGGTGTTGAAGCCCGAGCCGGGGCGTGAAGTGTGCCTCGAGCCCGAGTAGGTACGTACGACGACGGGCTGGCTGGTGACGGTGGTTCGGCTGGACGTGGACTTTGCCGACTTGCTCTTCGAGGGCGACGAATGGAAGGCGGGGGCATTGAGAGCGCGGAGAGCGGCAGATTGGGTCGGTGGCAGGGTATTGGTCAACGTGGTTGTTGCACTGGGCACTGAGCTCAAACTCGCCGTCAGGTCAGACGGGCCGTGCTGTGCATCTGAGGGTTGAGCGTGGACGAGGATGGCGGGCACAGGTTCGTCGGACAGTATGGGCTGGGCACTCAGCGTCGACGTGGTGTTGTTCCCTAGAAGAGAGGGAAAGACGCCTCGGGGTACCGACTGTCTGGCCGTCGTTGCAGGCGTCAATGGTAGTGGAAGTGCATTCGACTCGGCCGTACTTGGGCCATGTCGCTCGCAGCTGTCCGGAGGGGAAGAGCTTGGTGAGAGCGATGGCGCCTGGAACGGGACGCGCGGGTCATTAGAAATTGCTGCGGATCCGACCATTGTGGGTTTTACTTCTGAGCTGCAGGTCAGTGCATTGCAGGGCCGCTATGCAACGCCGTCTGAGTTGTTGTGTGGGCTGCGGTGATCGAGAAGGATGCGTTGGCCGGACGCGGACCAGGCTTGGCGACTTATCCGTAACACCCTGGACCCGGTCTACGTCTTGACATGTTCACCAGCGTCGCACATGGCTTGTATATGTCCGGTACATATGAGACCATGGTCATGGACGAGTCCGGAGGGGGGTAAATAGCTTCAATGTGTTGAGACTACATCATTCTCAACCGGCTATCTAGGCCCTTGCAGCATCCCCGGACAACCCCTCAGAAGAGCATCGCGTCTTCTGGATAATCACTGCCGAGCTCACTGCTCAACCATGATATTAAACCACCAGGCAGCTCGTCAAGTATCTGCATCTCGGCTTTGATGTTGAACATGAGCATCTTTTGCAATTCCTGTCTCCAACCTTGCTCAGGTCCATCTTCCGCGCACAAGTTCCATTCCAGCATTCGCGCTGCCTTTGTGCGATCGCGCGCTGTCAACTTCATCAAGCCCTGAAGTTGAGGCATTGCACTTGGCTCGGTGTCATCTTCGCCTACCGGAGTTCGGCTCATGTGGTGACTCTTTACACCAAGCCAGCGAATGTTGGGTAGGCTTATTGCGGGTGTATCAGTGGGTGTAACCGCCTCGTGAGCAAGGCGGTACGAGCCATATTTGTACGTGGATAGAATAGCAATACCTTCAGGATCCAGGTCCACGAAAACATACATGGGAACATGGGGGGCGCAGTCCACCATCTGGCGCAAGAAATTTCTCGACGCTACGTCGGGGTAGCCCTTTGCCTACACTGAGTGTTAGGGAACGTCTACTATCACCGTGTTTCGGCTTACAGTCAGTATCACGCCGTACGAGCCCAAGCTACCCCATTGTGGTGATGCCATCAGTGAGCGGAACGTCGCCTACAGTTCTGTGTCAGTGTGGCCACAGGTCACCAGAGAGAATCAGTCATACCTCCTTCTCAATGACGAGCACCCAATGTACTTCTGACAGGTCGAGCGTGTCATTCTCACCGACTATCGGTACAAGCATGCCCTGATGTCATGTCAGTACAGCACTGTGGATGATGAGTGTTGGCCAACTTCTTTCTCGGTCATGCCATGTATCCTGTGGCCATTCTCTCGGTCTAGTCGAAAGTTGCCGGCCACCAAGCCCTTTGCAGCTGCAGTCTAGAACTATGGCGTCAGTGTCAGTAGTATTGCAGAATTCATGGCTACGTACTACATTGAGTTGGGACCTAGTGATGCCAAACGTACAAGCCAGATCGTCTACATACCGGTCGACGACAGACTGTCTGACGAACAGATCGGGATGTCGGTAGTAGATGTCCCTATATTTGATCAATATATGCCCTTGTCACCCAAAATAGGGGGACAATAGGCGAATTTACCGCTTGGTCATCATAGTATCATCGACAAGCCCGCCGTGAATGAGCTCAAGTATCCGCAAAAGTACGGCTGAATGAATGTAAGTTGGGCACCAGAGATGCCGGGAGATGCCTACTGAAATTCCATGCTTCCTGTGCACTTGCCCCGGGAAAGTTTATGTCGCGTTCTTTGGGCTCGGGAAGCTTCCCGCCTGCTTCAGTTATAGTAATCTGTCTGCGCGAAAGAGCTGCTCGCGACTGTAGTGTTATGGTGAGAGAGTCCGACTCTTCTATTAGGCCATCGACGATTCTTTCAAGCATGGCCTCGATACGAGCAATCACCCAGTGTCTGCAGATACATTAGTTAGGATCAGTCAGCGAGCTATCAATCGCAAGACCTATCACGCAAAGGCCTTTCTTTCTGCTCGTAATTGTGCAGTGTGGTGTCATTGGGTATGTGCGTTTCTACGAATGTGCTGGCAATTGGTGATGTCGATATCGCGGCATATGGTTCATGCCAAACAAGCGGTGGCTCACCAGAAGCCGAGAACAAGATTTCGTCTTCGGAATCTTCCATGAGGGCATCATCAGATATGATCTGCGTGAATGGTTCTCCGAATAACATGTCCTCAAAGTCGCTCGTGTCCATGGTGGATGTCAGGGCTGCACGTGAGAACTGTGAGGTTATTGCCAACACCAAGTGATTTTTTCAGGCTGTTAGCGACGGATCATCGAAATGCAGCATGCAGGTGCGTTAACACGCAGAAGCAAATTCGATGAGAAGATGACGGACGTGGGTCCGTTGAAGAGGCAGGCACGTACGACCATGCCTAAAGCCGGCAGGAAGCGTCCGCAAAGTCGACAAACAGACAAAACTATAATTTGAAAATTCATGATCGCTACCCATGATTACTGCAAGAAATGAATGTCTAAAGTCCGAAGACGATGTTCGTCGTTATGCCTGCTGCCACTAGCGTTCCAGAAGAGGAAACTAGCCTATGAATTACCCAAGAGTCCGTTTTTGGACTCGTAGCACCCCTGCTCATTCTTCCCCTCGCTATAACCCTGGCCGCCGCGCCTTCCACGCGCTTCGCGTCGCGACTCCCATCTGCGCGTCTCCTCCCACCACCATTACGCAATTACCCTCTTTGTTGAACCGCAACCCAACTCCGCATATTGCATCGCAATTTTTCAAAGTCCAACGCCTCGTAAATCTACCAAGGCCGTCAGCCTTTACTACATCATGGACGACCCAACACACGTCGCGCAGCCCCCTCAGAAGCGTTCACTGGAAGAAGATGAACCTGCCGTCGCAACTCCTGTCAAACAAATCCGTTCAGAAGCCTCTTCACCTCTCTCGGACCTATCCATGCAGACACCATCGCCTCAGAAGGCGAACGATCCCAATTCGACCGCACCCGCCAACGGCCAGACTCCTTCCTCTATTCCAACGCCGAGCAGCGCACAACAACCGACTAAGCGGCGGAAACTGACTTCACAAGAGAAAGAAGCGCAGCGGCTTGAAAAAGAGGCAAAAGCAAAGGCTCGGGAGGAGAAGAGGGCGCAAAAAGAGGCTGACGAGAGGCTCAAGGCAGAGCAAAAGGCACAGAGGGACGAGGAGAAGCGGAGGAAGAACGGGGAACAGGATGAGAAGAAGCGCCTCAAGGAAGAGAAGCAGCAGCGGCTGGAAGAACAGAAGGCAAAGAAGGCACGGGTAAGTCTCGTAGACATACAAACAGACACAATCAGTGCTGACTTCGCATAGTCCCAGATGAAGCTGAATGCTTTCTTCGTGAAGCCACAGGCGGGATCCAGCTCAGGACAGGCAGTGGTAGCTTCTTCCCAGAACCCTGCTGCCTCACCCATATCCTTGCCCAGCAGAACTGGAGCCAATACTAATCTGACCCCTCCATCTCCGCAGAAAGCCATCGTTAAGAACGCACAGTCCGATTACGAACGGTACTTCCTGCCATTCAACGTTCCTCCACATACCATCCTAGCGCCGAAGAATACCTTACTAGAGGATCCCAAGCGGATGGAAGCTGCAAGGGCGCGACTAGAGAAAATAGTCACAAAGCAAGACACTCAATCGGAGCGTGTCACGCCAGCAAATCCAGCGTCAATCTTTCCACAATGCCGTCGGGGTCAGAAGACGGCAACGATCGCAGAAATCGTAGAAGTCTTCAACAGCTCGTCGGATGACCCCATTGATCTAACTGCTGAAAAGAACAAGGCGTCAAGAAATCCCTTAGAGATGCTGAAGGAGATTCCAATGAAGTATATCCACTTTTGTACGGACGTCCGGCCGCCATTCTACGGTACATACACCAGACCATACCCGGATGCCGAAGCTTCTCGGCTTGCGCGTAATCCTCTTTCTCAGACCCGACCAGATACCGATTACAACTACGACTCTGAAGCTGAATGGGATGAGCCCGAGGAAGGCGAAGACCTGGACTCTGATGGTGAAGACGACAACGAAGACGATGCGGAAGACGACCTGGATGGCTTCCTTGATGATGATGATGATCCACAAGTCAAACGACGCCTTATCAGTGGTGATCTGGTCCCTGTCAGTACTGGTCTGTGTTGGGAGGATGTAGACAGAGTGTCCAAGCTAAATGATGGCTCCGACGCCATCTGCACCGACTTCAAAGGCTTCACTATGGGTTTTCTGTTGGATCCCCAAGTGCGATCAATCGACCCATTTTCCACATCATACTGGGACACGGAACCTGCAGCTGCAGCAACTATTGCTACCGTCGCAAAGAAAGACGGTTCTACAAGTGGTGTCATGAACCCTCCCCGAGCACCACTCACTCAACGCACGATGAATGGCATGCTAAACACACTGAACGCACCTCAAAACGCACCTGTCACCACACCAGGCAAGCCCGCAAAAGCCAAACGTATGGTACCCCCTGAGCAGCTTCCAGCTTTCAAGGCTGAAGTTGAAGGAAAGGACTTGACCAAGATTGGCATGGTCGAGGCTTTGAAGAAGGTATTCCCCAAGTTGCCAAAGGATGCCATTACCAATACCCTGAGTGTTGTCGCTGCAAGGGTAGGTCCTACCGAAAAAGAGAAACGCTGGGTCATCATTAATACCTGAGCGCAAATTTCCGCATTTAGTATCGTTGTTGTTTGGTGAGATCCAAAAAATTCTTCACTATTATTAGATACACAGTACTATCGATCATTTCTGTAACTCTCGGGATTGTCATTTAGCGTAGCGGGCGATGAAGTACATGTTTGGGAGGCTCTATGTGTTCAAAATTTATCAGCAAGCGTCATCTTATAATAAGGGGGAACAAGTGTACAGGCGCTGTCTCGGTGCATGAGACAAGAGGGCAGGTCAGGTTCCAAGCTCATACGTAGTTATTCAACAAACCCGGTTAAGCGTTGCATCAACACTTGTAGAGCGCTTTTCTCAGAGAAGTGAGACATGCATAAGCAGATGATTGGCACAGTGGGAACCCAGCCAACTTTATCGCGCGCTTTCAGGGCGGTTCCTCACACACTGTGTTGTCATCTGATACAAATGATTATTGTCAGATGCAGAATGAGATGAAGATCAGAACGAGCCAACAAGCATGCACTACGAGAAAGTGAGACTCCCGTTACGCGTCGGACTTCATGTATGCATAGCATGCAATCAGCATAAGCACCTGAGCATCCCTCGTGAAGCCGTCGTGGTACGTCTCACGCAACAGCGGGTAACGGTATCATGAATCAGTTACAACGCAATGGAAATGCTCGATAGAGTTGCCTTAGAAAATAGAGAAATTCATCTAATCAGACAGGGAATCATGAACCCGCATGTACGAGCTGGACCCACTGGGTAGGAAATAGAACGTGCAAGCAGATGTGGGGGAAGATCTATGGAGTGCGGGATGGGTGACAAGACAATCAGTAAATCGGCGGCGCACCGTCCTCGAATCGGATTGCTGCATAATCTCTTAATGGCGAGAAGTTAAGAATAGCTCTTGGTGTTGGCTCCACATCTGCACCGAGGCTCGTGCGTCAATGTTCGGGCGCTTAGGACGCTCGCGAGAAGCCCACGCCCAATCGACCATGCCTTGTAAACGCCCACTATCTTTGGTACAACACCCTCCGGAAAGTACCCAATCAGTGAAGCCCCTAATTCGGTGATGCTTATTTTCCGAGCGGACCGTCGTTCTCCAGAGGTATGAACCTAGTCGAAGCGCTCACGCCGTATCCTCCCCGAAGCCGTAGTACTTCCACAACAGTATCAGCAGGCGCTCTCCAGTCTCATGCGGCTCTAGACAGCGCCCAGGGATGCAGCCATGCGCCATATACTGGAGTACTATGGATGTTTCCGCAAAGCAAGAATAGCTGACCTTCGCTGTGAATGGCTGGCCGCCCTTGGTCTCATTTTAGTGTATCCGAGTACAGATGATGCGGGCCTACAAAGACACCGCTTGGCCTCTGGCATCTCCACAACTCGAGCTTTAGACGTTTCGCAGTGTTATTGTGCATTTCTGCCTCTCCATGTGCCAAGCCTCTTGTGTTCTTTCCTGACCTACAGCTTGCTGGACACGAGCGTCTCTCACCATCCGTCATGGCCTCACTTCTTTTTTACCTCTCAGCGACCGTGCTGTTTGCTCAGTCAACAGTCGCTTCAAATTGCACCAAGAAACCGATCTATGTCGACATTCATAAGCGAGCTGTTCATGACTCTCCAGTCTTTCAATATGGGTCCTTCATCGGACTAGGCACGCCAGCACAAAACCAAAGCCTATGGCCATCATTACAACAAAACCACACATCCTTTGCATCAAGCGACTACTGTAAAGATAATAGTACGCTCCGAAACTGCTTCAATAGTACAGGAGGCTTCTTCAACCCCCAAGATTCGACTTCGTATGTTACACCTTGATGACGACGGGTGCTTTTACTGATACTTTGTACAGCTTCGTGCAAGACGTCAGCTTCCAGTCATTGGACAAAGCTCAAGATGGGTTCACCGCATCCTTTGGCCAAGAAGTACTCCGACTCTACACACACTATTTCGAATCGGATGGCGCATCGCAAACACTTCTGGAGAACTCGACGATTGAGGTAGCTGATTCAGGGTCGATTACACCGGAACGAGTTGGCATGGGATCATCGTCGACTCTATTACGAGACCTTGTTGCGCAAGACATAATAGCCGGAAGAACGTACTCACTGTACATTGGACATGGGTTTGAACGTGCTGGGGGCATGGTCAACGGCAGCAATGTGTTTGGCGGATACGATTCGGGTCGGTTTACAGGGGAACCGCACAGGTACCCCATGAACATGGAAAACATCAGCCCAATGAGCGTCCGCATCAAGGATGTCGTCCTTACCAATGCGGATGGAAACGGCAATGTGTCGCTCTTTGACAACACAGCTTCTACTGGCGTGAAGTCACGATCCGAAAGCTTTGAGGCCCAAATCACGACGGAACAGCACCCCTTCTCGCTACCATACCAGATCACCCAAAACTTCATCAATCAGCTGGGCGCTGAGCAGGACAATACATGGGGCGACCACTCCTTGAAGCTGAAAAACGCATTCAATGGTACACTCTCCATCGTTCTCGAGGACGGTTTTGCCGTCACCCTCCCACCTGAAGTCTTGATGAACGCCTCAAACATTACACCCATGCAAGACCGTAAGGAGTCCGACAAGGCCCCATTCTACCTAGGCACCGCCTTCCTCGGTCAGGTCTACCTAATGGCCGACTATGAAAGTAACAACTTCTTCCTCGCCAAGGCAGTCCAAAAGAACAACTTCGTCATGCCCGTGACCTTTTGCCCCAAGTCTACGCCAGTAGCATATGTGCGCCCCAAAGTGTCCCAGTGGCAAAGCCAAGGCCTAGCCGGCGCCGTTGTTGGTGGTATCATCGGCGGCATGGGTTTGATTATTGCGATCTACTTTATCTGGGCTGCCTGGATGCGCAAGAAGGACGAGCGCAATCTGAAGCGGGAGTTGAAGAGAAACTCGCAGAGGAAGTTGGAGCAGATGGATATCGAAGAGGCACAGCCAAAGTTTGACCCGCCGCCGCAGACGGTAAATGCGGCCAAAGCGATGTTTTGGAGGAAGAACAAGCCGGGCTTGACGTTTTGATTTGGGGCCTTCTTGCTTGTCTTTATACTTCTCTTCTTGCATACTCATATTTATACCCAGAGTTTGGCAGTGCGCCCACTCGTTCAAGCCTATGTAGCGCTTTTCGCAATGTGCATATAACAATTTTTTCTCATCTTTAATTCTACATACTTGAAAATGCCAAATGACATACCTGAATATATGACCCAGATAGGCAATATCCTCACAAACGTTGAAGACAGTAAGCGTCCGGCTAAGCAGAAGGGTCTCGGCCCCAAGCGGGCTTGTCTCGTGTTGCGTCACATCCTAGTTCAGGCAATAATGTTCGAAACCGTGGATTCTGGAGGGTTTCACTCGGCATCCAACTCACTGCCCATCTTAAGTAATTACACACTCTTGGGTGTTGATTACGGCGTCTTTTCCTTTTGTCGTCACGCGGCATTGCTGTTGATTACTGCAGGTTTCACGCGAGTAGTTGCTGTCTCTATTGGGTAATTTCGACCCAGACTGTGGATTACAGCACCAGAATAGTACAGGTCGGAAAAGAACGGTAGACTCATCTCCTGCCCACATAAGGTAATTCTCGGACAAGTATTGATTCTATTAGGTTTGCAACGGACGCAGTTTTTACTGTCTGTTAGCAGGGGTTTACGTAAGCTTTCCTTTCACTTACTATTACTTAACTAGAATAGGATATTATCGCAACCTGTTGATTGCCGATAGCACGAATACCATTGATCGCTGCAGGTTTCACAACGTACCCCACCCCTCCTAGCTGCTGTGTCACTTCCATTTTGGGTAACTCTACAACACTGTTGATTGCGGCAGTTCAACAGCTCCTCGGCTAGCCAGTACAAGGTAAAGGAGTTTCTACTTTAGGTAGGTTTGATAAAGGTGTTGAGCGCTGGAAGGTAGTACAACAGTATACTTAGATGGGGCTTTCCTAATTAGGTAGGTGCGATGAAGGCGTGGATGACGGTAACCTGCACACCCACCTGCACGAAACAGGGGATGGTCTCTGTAAGATTGCCTAATTTGGTAGGTTCGATAGTAGGTGTTGATTATGGTGGTTTGCGGTTCCCGCTAGAATGCGGGCCCTAGGAACGATTTTCGCCACCACCATATGCAGCCACTTTTCGATCGCTTTCATCCCGATCTTGCGATTTTCGTCCGACTTTATGCATTGCCCACACTGTGAATGTTTCAATATGCGATATGCGCCGTCAAACCACGTACTATAAGTGCGTCCCCTCCAATGACGCGCGGGACGCACTCACAGATTGATGGTACTACTCCGTCAATTCACGACCTGGCGGTTGGAATTGATCTTCATTGTTGGCCATGCCGTCGATATTTTATATATGCGATCCAGTCTGGATTGTTGAACCCACAACACAGTCAAGCAGAGACATGAAGAGTGACTTTGGTAGTTGCCTCGCGATTCTGCCCTCCTTTCGGGACGCCGGGCTCTCCCACCGCTGCGCTGTTGCACTGACGCAGAATACGACTTTTACGGAAGCTTGGATCTACCTCAAAGAATTCTACAAAAAACATTGCAACTCAGGATTTTTCTGTCTGGCTGGACATGGGCGTGTCATGGCACGCTGCGTTAATCGCCAGGTGAACGATCAAGGGTAAACCACCTGGATCTTTGGAGGCTCGTTCTCGAGTTACTCGCAAAAGCTGAAGTGGCTCTCCCTGTGTGGCTGGACCTGTGGTCGGCTAGATGCGATATGTTACATTCCACACATGTACCTCGTGAGGCTCTGTAGCCCTCTTGTTTTGCTCTTCATATTTTCACCTGCATTCCTTCACTTACCCTGACAACGATGTTGAAGCAGGACTACACCAGCATGTATGTTTACATGCGCGTTCCCATTCTGTTCGGAAAGGTTCGTGTTAACTTTTGTCACGACGTTGTTGCGCTGTTCGTTCGTTCGTCGTTCGTGTGCGTTGATACTTGGACACGGGATTAATCTATCAAGAGGAGGATCTAATATATTCTAAAACACTACGCAGTCTAATCACATCAAGTTTACCCTAAGACCCCACAATAAACAGCGTATAACCGAGCCACGAGATCGAATCGAAGCAGCACTAATCGACTACCAATCTCGAACGTCTGAATGACCCCAACTCATAACAGCAGCAATGCCTCACATTTACAGGCGCGACACCGCGGGCGCGCAGCTAAGCACCACGGCCATTATCGCAATTGTCAGCAGTGTCGGTGCAATCCTGTTGTGCGTTCTAGCCTTGCTGGTATTCCGACTCGTCCATGCCAGGAAGATACACAAGAGGCTACTTGCGGATTTGGAGCAAAGGGGTGTCATGATCACACAGGTCCATAATGAAGCAAGGCAAGAAACGGTATCGAGACCGCGCGCTGTTTTGAGACGGAACACTTTTCTACCATTCAATAGAGCATCGGGATGGGGCGCTTTGACATCCGTGGAGACATTTCGATCGACAGATTCAAACACCGTCCCTGCGCATTATGTGCCAGCTCCGCCCACTGATAGGGTGAAGAGGAACAACCGCCTCTTATGGCCATTCTCGGCCCGTCGACTATCTGGACACGGGGTTCAGATGAGAAAGATAAAGGTCTCCAGGCTCTCCACAGTGATAGAAGACCCAAAGCTCTCGCCCTTGAAGCCAATACTGAACAGTTTCTCATTTGGATATGGTAAGGACTTCACTAGCATTGTCCAGAGACTATACAAGCCGAGCGTCTTCGGCCCAGTCCTTGCTACGCGATCACCCAGCCTTCCGCAACCAAAACCAATACTCCAATATAAATGCTTTAGATGATCAACTGGCTGGCCGATCTCTTGAAAGCTTGGATGGTAGCATGCGTCTCTTACGAGCACGGTCTGTGGCCGGAGTACCATCCGCTTCATCTTCACGCCCTCAGCTGCGAGCGAGATCTGCCAGTCTTTGCAGCCAGCTGTCGGGAAAAGCCCCGGATATGATTCTTCCTCCTCTTGCATTGGATATCGCTCGTATCAAGAGCGAGGCCAAACGACGTAGCCAACTCAAGCATGCGCCCTCCCAACTCTCAATCTCAAGCTTCGGGTCTGCTGATACTTCGACACTTGCTACACGCTTGAGTCCCATCGTGTCCCAGTCGACCAAGTTTAGCGGGCAAAATATTACAAAGCCTAATGCGAAAGGGTCTTCTCTCGCTGGGGGAAGATCGTTCCGAGATACGCTGGATCTTCGTAGCAAGCCTAGTCAAGCCAGGTTCTCGCTTGGCACTACAGAGTCTCCCGAAGTACAGAAGGAACACAATCCTACCGACGGAAATGTTATATCAAGCCCAGAGTTTTCTGTCGCAGCCATGAGAGCGCAAGCCTCGCTTTGAGCAAGTTGACTTCATCTACCAGTCCTATCACGTCGCGTAACACGACAACGCCAAAGCGCAAGTCGAAGACCATGGTCTCTGCAGCTGGATCACCAGAAAGACAATTAACAACAAACAACAACTCACAGACCCTGAATGGAGCCATGCGTCAGCCCAAACGTCAGTCCTCGCAGACATCTTCGAGAAGCAGCGGGGGAAATCCGTTCCAATGGGACTATGCCTCCATTTCACCATCCGGAAAACCGTCTGCCTTGAAAGGTAGTCCAGCAGCCCGTCAATGACATCGAAGGAAGAACAGTGTCCGAATATCTCTGGTACCAACCATTCATGGTCCACCCAGTCGACCAGCAAGCGCGTCTTGGGTGATGGATAAAGGGATTGACGTGGCACATAGTGGTTCTACAAACAAGTCTTCTGGATTAGGATTGGGATCATCGAACACAAGCTCACTGCCATCACCGCCACGCTCTTCGACGTTTGCCCCTGAGCTGAAGTTCAATGCAACCTCGATACGAGCTTCCCTGACGTCGACCTCTCCCGAACTTACGCTGGTAGGCTACGATCAATCCTTTGTAGTCTCACCAACCGATCACATCCTCCTTCATCTATCAGAAAGGGAGCAGAAGCGGTTGAGTGATGGCTCTATTTTCAGTTTATCAAAGTTCCCCACGGCGCCATCCGTCATCGAGCCAGTGGACATTGATATGACCCGCCCACTTTCCTTTCCTCACGCCCAGAGGTACGAATTCGGTGGAACCTGGATGCTTGAGACGCCATTTCTACAGCAGTATCCGTTCGGAACGCAATATTCTCGGCGAGAGCGGTCGCCCTCGCCAACAAGCATAATCGACATCGACGAATGCGATCCTGAAAACCCCAGCTGCACATACCAAACGCCAACAAACGCTAATCCGCGAGCTTTCCAGTCTGCCTTTGCCACCATTCCGGAAGAATCGTCTGTTAGTTCACAAAAAACTGCTGACACTGGTCGGTTGCAGTACGACTCGCCTCCAGTCTCACCCAAAACGTTGTCCCCACCAAGTTTCACATTAGGTGCTCACTCGGCATATAACCTGCCCATTCATGCTACCATCATCCCCGAGGAACCAGCCGATACTATCGACCCATCAATGACCAGCAAGGATGATTTTAGCATGCTCAACAGCAGTTTTGATGAGGGCAATGTCAGTATCTTCAAATCTCCAAATAGTAGTTGGCCGATTCTGGCAATACCGACGTCACCGGACTCCGCACGATCGATGTTCGACCCTCTTCTCGACGCTGCATTCACATCGAGCCCGCTGAGTGTGAAAACTTCTGACTCGCCTACGATAGGTCGTGTGGGTTCTGTGCAGTTTAGCTCCAACTACACCCTGCCTTCGCCATCACCATCGCCTACATCCTCGCCTATAGAGCTTCCAAGCCCTGTATTCCCTTGTTCGCCATGGCCAAACCATGCTCAATTACCGAACAATAATCTCTCCATCAACTTTGCCGAATTACCAAGGCTCACCCCTCCGTCGCACGGACCACGCGGACCACGGGGCTCCCCTCCTCGGCCACTGCGCTCATCCATCGCCGCACTAAGGCGGATGAACTCTGACGCAGCAGATGCCAAGAAAGCAAAGACCGGACGGGGCGAGCGACGATACCTTAGACTGGGCCGAGAAGATAGCATGCAAGTCCCCGGCGACGAGAGCTGGCTCGACGAACTAGAAGACGAATGTTCTGTTGAACTCGACGAAGTTGAAGGTAGGAGGCTAGTCGGCAGTATAATAGAAGACTACGACGAAGGATGTACCATGCTGGATATCAACGAGGACACAAGCATGACATCCATCTCTTCCGCCCAACCCGAGCGCTCCACAAACGTAGGCATAGTAGAAGAAGATCAAACCACAGCAGACGCATCCCAGCGCTCCAGCAGCATCTGGGAAGAAAGTGAGAAATTCTGGACTTCAAACACCCCAGCCCCACCGTCCTCTCCCACTAAACCAAAAGATCGCTATAAACCTCTTGCATCATCCCCTCTCGCCACTCCCTACACACCGCTCTCGAAACAGGGCAGGAAACGCGACTTTGAAGTCGCAAAGGATGCTTCGTCACCGAAACAGGAAGACGAAGATTCGTGTACGCATTCGCATACTAAGAAGAACAGAGATAGTAATGGCAGGAGGCATAGTTCGCGGTATAGGAAGCGCAGTGCTCTGGGCGTGGGGACGCCGAATGTGCGCATTCAGGTTACGAGTCCGAATGGGAGGGTAGTAGGGGATGGGTTCGGGACGCCGGGGAGTTTGTATGACGCTGATGGTTTCTTGAGGTAGGATGGTTGTTGCTGTTGTTAATATCGTGATTAATATGAAGAGTTGGGATCTGTAGTCTTAGTGAGATTATAATCAGCTTGTATCTTTATGTGTGCTTTTTAAAGGCAATAAATCGATAATTTGCATCATCACATCAGCATCGCATGATATGAAAGTTGCTGAGTCTCGAATTACCCGACTTGTAGATGTATGAATGCTGTCTACACGCCTAGCAGAGACACACCCGTCCACAGGTTGTACCATTGATATGTCGAAATAATCAATCTTAGACTCGAAGTCTTGTAGAGAGAATCCCTGTATCCTGCCTAGCTGAGACATGATAGTGGTACGCGAGTGTACCGTGGTTGTGCGTCGAACCCACCACCTGCAGCCTTGGCGTTCGGACCTAGACCATCGCCTTGGTAGCGCTGCTGCCGTAAGCTACTTCTGACCTACGTAGCAGCTGTCAGCATGTATTTTGGGGGTAAGCGAGAGTTAAAGTACCTTCATTCTGTGCCTCGTGGTCAGAATCCTCAGAAACATAGCCAGAGAGCTCGTTGATGTCAAGTTCGTCCATGGCTTCCCAGTCCAGTTCTTCATCTCCTTCATCTACTTCATCTACTTCATATACTTCATCTACTTCCTCCTTCATCTCAATGTCCTCGCAATCGTAATCGCCCTCTGACTTATCGTCTTTCAGCACTTTGTCAAGATCCTCCAGTTCTTCTTAGGCTTCTTTGATGGCAATGTCGACTTTCTCATTTTGGCCCGGGGGATTAGATTGCCTAATCAATGTCCAGATCCTTAAAGCCCTAACGCGACACACATTTGCCTCGCCCCAATCTTCGTGTGCTACCAAGCAGAGTTGCTATCAGTCAGTTCAGTCAGTCCGGAGCTCTCTGGACTGACTGAACTGACGTCCTGAGGTCACTGAACTGGACTGGACTGACTGCCAAGACTTTTCAATTAAACTAAAACTGACTGACTGAACTGACGTCGCCGCGGCCTGCGGACTGACTGGACTGACTGAACTGAGTTACCTGACGTCGAACTGAGATAAATGCTCCTGTACTTTTGAGATTTCTTCCTCTGATAGTGTGCGCGCTAGCCCAGAAGCTGAGGTAGTTGTTGGCTGTATACCAAGCCTCTTCCAGCTCTTCAAGCTCTGCAAAGCTGAAATAAGCTCTGGCTTCATATGGAGTCTCCGGGTGCCTAACATGTCGCCAAGCTCGCTGAAAGTCCGCTCACAGTCTGCCGCTGCTGCTGGTATTGTTAGGACGTCAATAGCGAACTTTGAGAGTATAGGGAACTGCCCAGCAACTGACTCCCAGTATAGAAGCGGATTAAGAGACAGCCAATCCTCCTCAGCTAACGCTGGTTGCCGCTTCCATATCTCATACTCATCCTCAGCAAGGCTTGCCTCTAACTGCCGTGTGCTTTGCTCAATTGACGACTGTAGAAAAGCTGATCGCGACGTTGAAATCCCTAGCCGGGGCTTCTTACGCGGCGGCGTTACAGTGTGAGCTGAAGTGGCTGCAGAGTCCTTCCGCCCCTGCCACATACGCAGGAATGCCCGGTGGTTATTGTCAAGCCAGCCGTCGCGATAGTGGACACCGTCACGGGCAGTGACATGGGTGTCAGGCACCTTCCAGAGCGCTGAGAGGTGGTGTTTGTAGTGCGGGTGTAGTATTGTAGCAGTGTAGTAGACAGGCGCGTTATCGAATTTTGCGTAGTACTTAGCAAGCTTACAATGTGCAAGGTTAACGTTTGTAATAAGATGATCTTCAGGCGCATCTAGATCTTCGTAATTTACATCCTTAAGGCGGTCTTTGAGAGCCTTAAGCTGGTTAAGAAGCTACTCAAACGTTACTAGAACTTCCTATATAGCGCCGTGTCGGCCGTGTCGGCCGCGACCTTTAAGTAGCCGTGTAGCTTCGGCAAATGGCTCAAGGAGTCGAATGTATTCTGTTATTGTCGCCTAGTCCTTGCCGCTTAGACCCCCTTCGCGTATATATAACCGTGGCTGGGCAGCAGGGAGCTGCTCACGATTCTTCCGGCGTCGTGAGGTTGCTGTTGCAGCACTATGCTCCTCAAGTTTACACTCAATATAGCCATCGATAGGGCCGTGTAGCTCAGCTGCACGGACAAACGTGTTGAAATAGCTATTCCAGCGTGTCTTAACAGGCTTCACAAGCTGCCGGATGTGGGGTGTAACACCTAGAGACTCTGCCTCCTCGCACTGTAGGCGCTCTAGTAGTTGTCGAGTTTGAGGCGTACAGATAGACGCAATCACGTCAAAGAGGACGCCAACAGGACCGTATTTGCGCCACTCATCCATGTACTTCTCCTCTTCCTCAAGGTGTGCGGCTTCATTCTCGTACGCGCTACGGTCTTTGCCCCAAATTACTAATTGTGCGCTTAGGTTGAGTATATGGCAGCAGCACCGCAGCCGCCGCTCGCTTGCGATAAAGCCAAACTCCTCTGCTAAGGACTCAACTGCAGTATCATTGTTACTTGCGTTGTCAAGCACAAAGTACCCAACCCTCGCGTTGTCAACGCCAAATAGCCGAAGTATTGTTGTTGCTGCAGCGGCAATATTATTGCCAGTGTGCGCCCCGTGTAGCTCAGGCAACCCAAGCAGGTGGTCAACTAGCTTGCCCTCGCTGTTAAGGTAATGTACGCAGAGGCCAGTAAAAGCATACTGCCCACCAGTTGAAGTCCAGTTGTCGAATGACACGTGTATAAGCGACCGGGCTTCGCGAAGGTAGTTGGCAACAGCTAGTATGTATGTATTGTACTCAGTAATAATATGATCGTGGAGCGTTTAGTGGCTACGCCAAAGGAGAGCTTCGGCTAGCGGGCTCACGGCCGCAATCATGGCTCGAAACTGCGGCGTTTCTATTACGCGAAGGCTCTGGTTGTCCGCGACTACCCAGTCCTTCAGCGCGTCCTGAAATCGAGAGGTTGAAAAGCTTGCTGCTATCTCGTTTGCTACCTCTTGCGATACTTCTATCCCTTTAGACCTCATAATATATACTTGGGACTTTGCGAGCGCGCCCATAATATTGCCCTCCCGGCTAGCAATTGGTACAGGTCCGTTAGGTCCGTGTGAGTGTCCAGGCTTGTTGCTTGAGAGGTGTCGGCCGGCGTTTGTAGTGCTGTCAGCCTCGTAGCAAGCCTCCTGCTTCCGTCGTTGATGGCAGTACCGGCAAAGCCAGTAGTTTTTCTTGTACTTGCGGTGCCAGACGGCCCAGCCGTGGCGGTAGATCCAGCTTTTTCGCCCACCGCGACTATTACGCTCAACCTGGCGCCGCTCAAGATACGGCACACGCTTAAAATCAAGCCCGTCGTAATTGTCGTCGTCGTCGTCGTCGTCGCCGTCGTTGGGGAAGTCCGCCTGTACTGCCAAGGGCTCATCAGCCTGGGCCTCGCTCGCAGTATCGCCAACAGTAGGCGCGTTTGATAGCGATGGTAGAGGAGAATTGCGCTTGTCGCATTCTACAAGGCGGCGAAGGCCTGAATTAGAGGGAGTAGACATGAAGTACACCAAGAAGTATTATGGCAACAGTAGTCTAGCGTCGTGTGTATAGCAGACGCGACGCGACGCGACGCGAAAGGCTTACTAGGTGCGCACCGGGTAGCGCATTTCCGCAAACTCTAATTAGCTTAAAGCTAGATGCTTTAACTTATATAGGATTAGTGTCTTTATATCTAGGACTAGCGCGGCTTCGAAGCCGCACTAAATGTGGCTTTCACAACTCTAAAATACTGCTTTAAAAACAGCTAACGTCAGTCTAACGTCAGTCAGTTCAGTCAGTCTGGAGGCTTCTGAACTGACTGGACTGACGTCCAGCTGCCTCAAGAACTGACTGACTGAACTGAGTCTTGGCAGTCAGTTCAGTCAGTTCGAACTGAGTTACCTGACTGATAGCAAGTCTGCTACCAAGTAAGAGAAATGCTTTCATACGGTGGTAGGGTGCCATGGAGGTCTCGTGCAGAAGTTCGTAAGCCTTTGCGATAGCCAGGTCTAGCTCGTCAGTGTCATAGAGGTGTATCATCTCGTTGATGACCTTATCAAACTTCTTGTCGACGGCTTCGCGGCTTGCCATAATTAAAGATTCTCTAGTGTGAGGATGTCTGATGAAAAGGAAACACAGTGCAGGAGGCAAGGAGGTGAAAGAGTGAAGTTCAGTTTCAAGTTGACATTCGGAAAACTGCTCGATCTCAGATTTCAGAGCGAACAATTGCGAAGTATCCTCAAGCTCTTGGTATTGTGTTAGTGGTGAGAGACTCGTTCGTGCCTACCGCATTCACGCCGCGCACGGACCAAGAAAAACAGCGTCACCGTTCAGGCAACAGGATTGCCATCGGAACTGTTCGGAACCTTCCTTGGTCGCAGATTATGAATTCAGATACCATCAGTACTTGCAGACATTATTCCAGGCGTTCTTTGTCTGCGACAAAGGCATACTGCTATTGCCATCGCCATTAGTGAATGATATCGTCCTTTTCGCTGTCTTCCCCCATTCTTGCTACTACCTCGAAGTAAGAGGTACGAGCGAAAAAGAACAATCGTAATTATTTTTTTGAACTTGCGCTATGTACCAATGGCGGAAGAAGAAGGCATCTAGGAAGTCGTCTGTACATGCTATACTCAGCGCGAGCAATCCGTGTCATGAAAAAGGTTCAACTTTGGGAGTAGCTATGTTTAGGATAAGGAAGAAGGCGAAGACATGTTGCACGATAACCGAGTTAGTCGGGCTCCTAGGCCTATAGTCGGTATTCAAGCAAGGGTTCTTCTGATATACTCATACCAATTCAAGTACTTGTGCTCCTCACATACCTACTACCTAGACAGACTAAAGCATGAAAAGCATATGTAGACCCCAGCCTAAGCCTACTAAAATCAAAAAGCAAAACCCGTCGTACCCTGTGCCCCTAACACTAATTTTGCAGAGATGGAGGTAATTTGTGGTTGCCCAGGACGTAGGTTTCTGGGTGCGATATTTGCACTGCCAAGATTGGGTACCAAATTTCGACCCGGCCACATCCTGACTACTATCAGCTAACCTATCGTCGCGCAATGCCTCATCACATGTTCTTTGATGGAAGATCTTGAGTTGTGGTTGATTGCATAGATTGATTGGGGTTGCACTGATAAGAGCGCTAGTCTATGCAACAAGCCAAGCACTGGGCTCTATCTAAACCAAATCTACGTTTTTTTTCCGCCGTGCACACCCCCATGTCAGTGTAGTCTCCTCACTGCCTTGTTCCCTGCCATCGTGCTGCTCTCACGATGTGATGCGAGAAGAAGGTAGCACACTGTCAAGCCAACTAACCAGCTCGAGCCGCTTAGTTTCCGTTCCAAAGCGGAGGGCCGGGAACGACGTAGGACTTGGGGTTGACCCACTTGTTGAAAGCAATACCGGGGTCCTGAGCGCTGTAAAGACCGGGAATCTTGACGGTGGGGCCGAGCTTTCCTGTACCGGAGGACTGGATGTTGAGTTGGAAGCATTCCCTGTTATTTGTTAGCGAAAGTAGTTCACTCTGGAGGCCTGGGTGGCACGTGCATATAGAATTGAGCTTTACTAGATTCGTTCGTTAGCTACGTTACACAGTTGTATTTGGTGTTGTGGCGGGGTGGGTGGAAGTTGGGGTGGTGGTGGATGAAACTTACCCCACGTGACCCTCGTGGATGGCGATGTGCTCAACACGAACAAGGTACTCGCCAGCAGGGACGCTCCTCTGAATGGTCCACTCAAGACGGTCCTTCTGCCAGCTCTCCCAAGCAGTGTCGACACCAGGGGTGCTGGGGTTCTTGAGGCAGGACTGCATGACCTTGGTCCACTCGCCAGAACCGTCGTAATTGTTGACCTTGCCGGGAGCCTTGGAGATGTAGACAAAGCCACAGCCGGGGTGCTCAATCAACTCGTCGTAGGCGAGCTTGAAGCCAATCTTGTCGCCGGCCTTGACAGTTTGAGTGCCGGTGCTGCCGGGCTTAGCGCCCTTGTTGCAGCGGAGCTCGGGAGAGTTGACAATCTCGCTGGTGAACGACGGCATGTAATTGTTGCTGTTCTTACGAGCGTAGGCATAGTCGCCGCCAACTTGGCGCGTCCGCTTACACAGTAAGAAGGTTGAAAATGTAATGGGCATCGGCCACCATGGGCGCGACCAGAGCGAAAAGAGCAACAGCCTTCATGTTGATAGAGAAAAGAATGAATGAATATGTTCAGAAGAAGTGAAAGTGGTAGTTGGTATCGAAAGCCGGTGACTGCGATGATTTTGTTGTAATGGTGATTGTGAGATACTTATACAAGACGACTTTGCACATCCTCACGGACGTCATTTCCTATCATAGAGGACTGTGCAACCTCGCCGCTGTAATCTCCATCGCCAAATCACTTTTTTTCATCTATTCCAGTCGTACTACGGCACTGTGGACCACCATGAGCCCATGACAAGCGGCCCAATAGAGTAATCCTTGGTATCCGCCTCAATCTGGAATGATTACAGGAACGCCAACGACTCGTCGAAACACACTTAAGTCGTAGCCAAGCCTTGCGCTCACCAAAAAAATCCTGGTTGTTTCCGCTGCGGCCAAGATCTGGGGAGGATCAGGTGTTTCAAGCTCCGGAACCCAAGCATCTTGGCAACATGCAGACATACCACGACAATTTGTCCTATTCGCCTCTGCACGGTTAGCCCCAGTACCGTCACCGCTGGTCGCCATGCTTTCCCGATTAATGAACCATAGAGATTTGCTCGGTGGTGTCGCAATCTCAAGGGAACGTCCGGAACCAGTAGAAACGGACGAGCTTTCGACGAAACACTGAAACAGGTTTAGGTACATGAATGTCCGCCTCGCGCAAACCTACAGGAGAGGTCCCGGCCTTGCGATAAAGCCTCATATCGCTCCGGGCATAAACGACGTGCCCGGGCTTGACATGCCGCAAATGTTCCGGCTTTGTGTCTCTGCTATCCGGCAATCCCGCAGCCCCGATTTCGTTTGGTGTTCCAAGCATGGACCCAAGGCTCCCGACAGTGCTTTTTTAATCAAAATATCGACATCACTGCCTCATCGCACAATCAACTATACAACACTCTTCTCGGCAACCGCTGGCCAGGTCACAGGTTGGACAGGCTTTGATATCGATGGGGACAGCCTTGCGCTCGCTTCGCAGCAAGGCCCACCACTGCCCAGGTGACTTCGCGGCGTCTATACGGACAAAACTAGTCTCTAAATTGTTGTCCAACTGTACCTCATGCCTTGGTATTTTGTTGAGGTGATACGGGCAACTCTAGAACCGCTGATCCCTTGTAATCCAACAACTTCGTCCTATTACCCCAGATCAGTTACCTGTATAGACGTATTGTTTTTGCTACTACACTGCTACAGAAAGCGTTATTTTCGGCGCTACCTATCGCAACATACGGAAGATAGGATGTGTGCTACCGCCAGGTTTGATTCGGGGCTGTGCTGGTTTGCGCGCGCGTCCTAATTCATAACATGTGCGGGGGATATATGTGAAAGAGCAAGCAACCCGAGATGACCTTGGAAGGAATAGCGGATTGGGCTCCGCTCAATATAGAGGGGAAGCTATCGGTATCATGGGAACCGTAACCTATTAATCACGTCGAGAAGAAGAGAACTGAAAGAAGCTCGAGACAAAATGGTCAGTCTCCAATACATCGGCATTTAGTGCTGGTTCGTGACGTATGTGGCAGCGTTTCGTTTCAAGAACAGCAAGCTCTAAAGAATGAGAGCCCTGAAATTCCAACTTTTACGAATGCACCACTTGGCTGATACATGGGCGCGTCTCGACGTCGTGAGCCATCATTGTTTTGACGAGCTATACGAGATGCTGTACCCTTGGACTACCTTGATTGCTCTTGTTGCTCTTGAGCAGCATTTTAAGCCATTTTTCGACCTGATACGGATAGCCTTTCCCCTAGCGTGCACTAATCTCGCTACTAGAATTCCCGCATAATCTACATATCATTTCGAAGTAGATGCAGGCAAGCCTAAATATGTCCCCAGATCTTCCATAGTAGTAACGCTCTCCCGTGATTGTCTCTTAGTTACATGATACGTGGCTGATATAGTTGCCTCGTTGTCTGTTACTGTTACTCAGTTCGGAGACATCTAGGGACTGACAGAAATCTGTCAGCCAGAGGCCAATTTGAGGACGGAAGAACCTGAGAAGGCTTTATATTTCATGTGCCTGATCATATAGTCGTCATGCAGGTATGCGCTGGCTTTTTAAAGTATGTAGGTATCGCGTCGATCTATCATATATTTCCCAGTACCCTTACTTTACGTTCAATGCAACGGCCTGATGTCGAAGCTTCCGGAGAAAATCCCACGAGCCTAGAAACTTCGTTCAAGACATCATGTTCTTTGTGGGCCACATTGAGCAAGGCGGTATGCTTGTTGGCCGTTCTAAGACTGATAGATTCCTAGAGTGTGTTCATATACTCTATATACCAGACTTGTCAACAATCAAGCCGATCTACAGGCTTGATTCCTAATTAGGTGTGCATGTCCCTACAGTAGGCTCGTGTCAACCCTAGATAGGAATCAAGCCGCCGATCGGCTTGATTGTTGACAAGTCTGCTAGATACTCTGACAGATCGCATTCGGCAACAGGCCGGATCAAAAGACCTAGCTGATAGAGGCGTCGTGATGGATGTTCATAGCATCCAATAAGCCCAACAATATGACGATATCGCTTCCCAGACAGCTTCTCCAGTATAGGTAGAAACCATCCAGGTCTTTCCCGGGGTGTGTCGCAGAATTATCCCTCTTGGTGCCACGACTGCCCCACCCAAGCCAATCCCGTGAACATCGCCCCAGCCACCCCTACCCTGCCAACGAACAAGCTGGAGGGATTCCAGATCATTGCGTTTTGGTGCTACTCTCCAGGTACCACATCTTCGGCTCCAAGCCATATGGGCACTATAGATCGGAAACGCAACTTCATAAGGTTATCCGCAAAAGTAATGACGGAGAACTCCGCATTTAGACCTATTGAAACTAAATCAAGCAAAACGTCTGCGTGCTACAAGATTCAGCTTGCCTAGGTGGTAGTTGGTGGATGCGCTTTTCACTACCTATGAAGCAATGACACATTTCAAGTTTATATAGTCTTTCATTCTGAACATTGACTAAGATCCGCTTTCAAGCGTGATAATTTACAAAGCTACCTCGAGCCTTCAAGGTCTTGAACAGACAGGACCACCAGATTGATCCGCTTTTCCCTGATGAAACCCCATACGCCAGCCATGCACAAGAATCTAAAGAGTCAGTTTCGTTTTGAAATGTAAAGGTACGTGGTAGATGAAAAGAATAAAACAATGCGGTGAATGTGATAGAAATCAAAACGGGCAATCAGGTTTGACTTGCCCCAACTTGGGTATGAGAGTAGATGTAGAGAGATCCGAATGTGGCGAGAAGACGACAGCGGCAGTGCATGGCTTCTCCGCGCCGTATAGGTTGACGGGGACATGAAAGCATGCACCCGTTCCCTTTCTGCGCTCAGAGCATACCCGCAGCAGCCAAATCCCTGTAGACCTTCTCAGGCATGACGTTGCCTTCACTATCCTCCATCTCGACGACGTTCTCTGCAAGCGCCCTCTCCTTCTTCTTGTCCTTTTGGATCTTGCGCCACAGGGCCTCTGCTTCTTCGATACTGGTAATCTCGCGGAAGAGAGTAGCGTTGGTAATACCAAGACACTTGAGACCATGAATATGGCGGGGCTCATTGAAATGCTTGTCGAAAGCGCGTCTGCCCTTGTAGACAAAGTTTCCACAAATCTCACAGGGAAGCTCTTGACCGAGGCCATGAAGCTTGTATAGCCAGAAGGGGATGGGCTTTCCGTCCCAGGCAAGGGGTAGCTTCAGTGGGTTGGCAATCGTGCCCTCACCGTCGGAATCTTTGTCGTCGTCCTTCGCACCGTCTTCGAGTCCCTCAGAATAGAGCTGCTCCAACTCTTGCTGTCGCTCCCGTTCGGTCATGCCTTGCTTCCGCTCAACATTCACCTTGGTGTCGCTACGCTCCGTCTGCATGGCTGCAACCAGTTTCTTGATCCGGAACTCTCGCTCAGCAACAGCACGCTCCTTGAAGCGATGAATATCGGCAGAGGCACCGTTCGCCTGCTTTATGTCTTGCGCACCATTCTGACTCTCTTGTAACGCCTTCTTGTGCTTTTTGCCCGTCAGATGGTTTTCGAAGACTGTCTCTTTCGAGAAACCCTTCTTGCATGCCGCGCACCATATGCCCTCCCCTTGTGCTTCGCCGTTGGCTGTGGCGGATTCAGCGTTGTCTTTCTCCCAACCCGGAACCTCGTCCTTCGCCCACAGCTCCTCGAACTCTTTGTCGAAGTTAGCGAACAGTTTCTCCAAGTTCTCGAGGGGCTTCGTTCGCCGCATAAAGTTCTCGAGATAATCTTGCATGGCTTTTAGCCAGCGAAAGTAATCTTCGGACTTTAGCTTTTTCTGACGCTCGGGAGGGGTGAATATGTCGAAATGATCAAGGAATTGGAGGTAGCTAAGGCGGCGCTTGTCCCGTAAAACGTCGATGTTGGAGTACTGAACATGCAGTGTACTTAGGTCAAAGAACCGACCAAAGCCTTCCTCGCCAGTGAACATTGAGCCGATAGCTGCTACTGACTGTATGTAATCTTCTGGTGATCGCTTCTTGTAAACCTTTTCCAGGTTCTCGACGGGTTCGTTGGGGTATCGGTTGTGGAAGTCTCTAATTTCAGCAATTTGCTGCATGAAAGACTCCATGGGGTCACCGTGGGTGAGACTGCGAACCTCGTCCTCCCTCTTGCCGTCCTCATCTTCGTAGATCTTCAACAGGCGACTCGACTGGCTCTCGATCTGTTGCAAGAATCGCGCAATGTCATGGTCACGTGCAAGACGATCGCGAATCTAGCGAGGTGTTAGGAACAAGATGGCGATAGGCACAAAGGTAATACTTACATGTGGGGGGTCATCAAGAAGTCGCTCTGCTGCAGCGTCCTCGAGACGCTCCAGGTCCTCATGGAGCTGGCGCTGATCTTCCAAAAGCATAGTTGCGGTCGCCTGCAGTTTCTATGAGTCTTCTGTATGAGAGTTATACGATATCAGGTGTGCAGACCTTTGCGGCGTTGATGTTGTCAAGCTGATGGATCCTGTCGCGGGTCGCGGCTGACATAAATCTAGAAAACGCGCTAACTTAGTAGGCGGAGCTAGTTCGCCGAGGCTCCGGCCCTCCGCAAAGCTCTGGCGCGACTTCTCCCAAACTTTGTCGCGCAGGTCTTGACAGTGAACGGTGATTTTGCAATATCCACCCAGCGCACACGACCAAACTACACACAAAATGGCCGACGGAATAGACAGAAATGCCGACGATAAGATGGAGTTCTCCACCTCCAAGGAGGTCACGGTAGCGCCGACGTTTGAGGCGATGCACCTGAAGGAGAACCTGCTGCGCGGCATCTACGCCTACGGATACGAGTCGCCTTCAGCAGTGCAGTCACGTGCTATTGTACAGGTCTGCAAAGGTCGCGATACCATTGCACAGGCGCAGTCGGGAACGGGAAAGACGGCAACTTTCTCCATTTCCATCCTCCAGGTTATCGATACAGCAGTGCGCGAGACACAGGGTACGTTCAGATGGCTTCACGGGAAATGCACAGGCTAATGCGACACAGCACTTGTTCTTTCGCCTACCCGCGAACTTGCAACCCAAATCCAGTCGGTCATCATGGGTCTCGGCGACTATATGAACGTACAGTGCCACGCCTGCATTGGAGGAACAAACGTGGGCGAGGATATCCGCAAACTCGACTATGGTCAGCACGTCGTCTCTGGAACACCAGGACGTGTTGCTGACATGATTCGCCGCCGCAACCTCCGCACACGCAACATCAAGATGCTCGTTCTCGACGAAGCCGATGAGCTCCTCAACCGAGGATTTCGCGAACAAATCTACGACGTTTACCGCTACCTGCCACCCGCCACACAAGTCGTTGTAGTCTCCGCCACACTCCCATACGATGTGCTTGAGATGACGACCAAGTTCATGACGGATCCTGTGCGCATTCTCGTTAAGCGCGACGAACTGACGCTCGAGGGTCTCAAACAGTACTTCATCGCCATTGAAAAGGAGGAGTGGAAGTTTGACACTCTCTGCGATCTTTACGACACACTTACCATTACACAGGCCGTCATCTTCTGCAACACCCGACGCAAGGTGGACTGGCTGACCGACAAGATGCGCGAGGCCAACTTTACTGTATCCTCAATGCACGGAGATATGCCTCAGAGGGAGCGAGACAGCATTATGCAAGACTTCCGCCAGGCTAACTCGCGCGTGCTGATCTCGACCGATGTGTGGGCTCGTGGTATAGACGTTCAACAAGTATCGCTGGTCATCAACTATGATCTTCCGTCGAACCGCGAGAACTACATTCACAGGATTGGTCGAAGCGGTCGATTCGGACGCAAGGGTGTGGCCATCAACTTTGTCACCCAGGACGACGTGCGCATTCTCCGCGACATTGAGCGTAAGTTTCATTTCCCTGCTATGCTGTATCACTTGCTAATGATTATAGTCTACTACTCTACTCAGATCGATGAGATGCCCATGAACGTTGCCGATCTCCTGGCGTAGAGGCACATAGGAAGCTGTTTTGCACAATATCTGTCCAGAATGTTGGGTATATCCAAATGCTAGCATCGGCCTATTGAGGGCATGCACGGGCGGCGCTGAAGTACAGCGCTCGTTTCGAGGGAATGTATGTGGAGGAAGGGGCTACATAGCCAAGCAGTAAGCCTACATCCATCATGCGGCTTTGCCTTCAGTGCTGACCTTGCCACTCTTACTCAGAACTAAATTGGAACATATACCCATTGACGTACTCAATTTTCAACGATCTCAATGAACAATTCCCGCCCCTGTTGGCGACTCACCTGCAATGCTTTCTTATTAATTCCAGAGATGATATGTGACCACTCAAGAGTATGCCACGTGGGTCAGAGATGGAACACCCAGCTGAGCCTCTCGGTAAACTGCAGAACCGCGCGACCGGCGATCTTGCAACATAATGATGTTTGGCATTGCCGTGTCCCTTATGTGCCGCAATTCGACTTCTAAGTCCATGTTTCTTAGATTAATAGTGCTATCCAGGATACGAAAGCTGGCTGGGGGAAGCTGGCGCATTCTTTGACGCAGATACACGTAAAAGAGTATCATCGATACGTGGGTGGTAGTGAGCCATCGGAACTAACTGTAGATAGGTATTGTAGTAGTTGAACATCATGTGATTTTCGTAATTCGTAAAAAGGTAAGGGTCTAGGTCATATACGTATATCAGTGGTAGATCGGAAGACCCTTGTGGAGACCGAGGTAGTCTTGGTAATACCCGCGCACATCAAGTGACGTAAGTTGATGTATGCAATTGCGCTAAATACGTCAAAGCGTGACGGGGTTGCTTGGGGCGTGAAGTGCGACTTCGTGGTCAAGTACACTACCTCGATCCATGCGTGACTTTAAGTACATCACTATCGCGGATTCTAGTTCCACTTACCCGGATTTTCCATCGTTTGGCTCCCAAGCTCTGGATACAACCCTATAGGAAATACGAGGCTTTTTCGCACGATCTACTTCATTGGTACGGAGGTCTTAATGGGACAGGGCGAATGATCCACTGGCAAATTTGTGGATGATATGGAAGGGACTTCCGCAAATATTCGCTGCCTAGGACAAGACCATGGAACCAACGTCCAAGCGTCTACTACGAGAGGAAGATGAGATCGAAAAGCTCGGTACAGATTTCGTCAAATCATGGCATTTCAATTCACACAAACAGAGTTTATGGGTTATCAGGAAATGTACCATCTTCATCCACATCACATGAGAAATCTGGGCCCCTCAAGATTGGCTGGAGTTTGAGGGTGACTGGTAACGGTTGACCCCATATCTTGAACCATCGAGCACGTGGAAATTTTCATCGATCCCACCCTCTGTACCATCTTCCAGTTAATCATCCCTGCCAGCATGTTCTTTCCTCGAAACCATTATAAATACCACGCAGCTACCCATCCCCTTCTCACAGAAATCAACAGCACAACGCACTTCCCATCCCATCTACACACCAACCCAACAAACTCCAAGTAAGTCTCGCTTCTGCGCTCCAAAACTCACTTCTCCATCTTCGTCACCTATGTTCTGCATCTCTCTTCCCAAGCATCACTAACAGACGCCCCCAGACCACAAAGCACACCTCCGTAAGACGCACCATCCTTTCCTTGCACACCGCCAAACTGACCCTTCACCCTCCCCAGTCCTCAGCTATCTACCCATCTACTCAACAACCAAAATGCAATTCACCACCGCTTTCCTTGCCATCGTGACCCTCATGGTCGGCTCTGCCGCCGCCACCGACCCCCCCGTCACCCAGACTGTTTACCCCACCCGCGGCGTGACCATCACCGAGACTATCTTCAAGACCATTCCTACTCCCCAGCCCCTGCCTCAATCTGAATGGTGAAGTGAGTCGGCTTGCTTCTTTGCTCGAAAATGCTTGGGCTAGGATACAAAGATGAGGGCTGTCTCGTGGCCTGGACATAGCTTTAGCTATGGCGTCGGGAAATTTCCTGCTATTCTGAGATTCTTGGTGTAAAGATGGGGCTTGGTTCAGTTTTCACTATTTCACTTGGGGCTATGGTGAGGATTATCACGTGCTGGATATGAAGGAGTTTGTCTTTCTCTCTCTATCGTCAAGGTCGCATCTTGGGACTGACTTCGGGACTGAGAAGGTGACTGGGAAAAAGGAATTCCTCATTACATCAAGATGGAGTGGTAGTATCATTCTCTGCTATTCAATTCTTGACAATGCCTTAGTGTACGTGTTTGATGAGTAATGTTGTGATTGCAAGTCTTGAGTGGCTAAGACCAATATGTTCGTTCAGTAACGTGGTTGGCAAGCGAGTCGGCCACGCAAGCGAGTCGGCCACCCCACCAACTTCTACAACTTTAAAGCGATATATCTCAACAACGCGATAATATTATTACTAGATATTAATATAGTAGACTACTCTATATTAATAGTATTAGTCTTGCATGTGCGCGAGTTATGCCCAGTCTCCTTGCACCTAGTGCAGCGCCTTTGAGCGCGCTGGCTGAGGCCTAATCGCGCTCCTCCTTGACGCTCTTCATGAGCAATCTGCTGGTCAGCCTCATTCTGAGCTAGTATATCCTCTCCAGCTCCCTTTGTAAGTACTCCATGCTTCTGTATACGCCTTTTGGAGCGCCGCCTACGCGCTGAGGCTGCGCTGTTGGCTCTCTCAAGGCTAGTGATCTAATCGCGCATCAGCTCAGCCGAGAGCATCATCACCTCAGCCCCCTTCTTTAGCTAGTTAATTGCCTTAATAATTAAAGCTGGTGATGAGCTCTTATGCTGGCGCACGCGCTCACGTATTAGGTTTGACTAAGCCTCAGGCTCACGCGCGTTGCTTAGCGTTTAAGCTACCCAGGGAGCCTCTAGCAGAGCAGGTGCTGGAGGAGTAGGTGTACGCAGCTGTACATCTAGCTTTGATAGAACAGCCTCTAGTTGTAGAGGAACAAGGCCTGCGCCACGGAAGGCTGAGCAGATGTTGGCTGGTGTGAATGCTCTATCAAATGCTATCTTGAATGCTGGCAGAAACTCTAGCTTGGTGATGTGGTTGATATAGTTGCGCATAAGGCTCTCTACCTCACGGCTGTACGCGCGCTTTAATGGCGAGAAGTAGCCAACGTTAAGTGGCTAGAGTAGGTAAGATGAGTGAGGAGGCATACAGAGCGTATAGATATTGTTCTCCTTACAGAGCTCGTGAAACTCTAGAGATTAGTGGCTCTCATAGCTATTAAGGATAAGTAGGCGACGCGCGCCTACACTACGAGCCTGCGTGTGAGCGTTAAAGTGCTTTAGCCACTCAACTCCAAGCTCATTATTCGTCCAGCCATTATCGCTAACTGCGATCGCCCAGTCGCGTAGGATATCCTCCTCATACCACGCTGATAGGTAGTACTAACTAGCGAAGATAAGAAATAGTGGCACTAACCAGCCAGCAGCGCTGATAGCAGCGATTAGCGTTACCTACTCGCGATTGCCTAGCTAAAGAGTCTTTGGCCTGCCTCTCCTTTCTGCCCCTATTATAACCAGCTGCGTTGTAATCTTGCCCATTATAAAGCCAGCTTCATCAAAGTTGTAGACGTCCTCATCGCAGATACCAAGCTTAGCCTTTGTCTTTTCTACTAGCTTAAACCACCTCTTTATTAATGTCGCATCCTTACACAGAGCTCTCTGCCTATCGTACGCTCGGTTGAAACTGTCAGATATAATGAGATATTGCACAAAAGTGATGGATGTTGATGATTGTCTGTATTGTGTTCTGTCTATCGTGTGTCCGCGCTTGTGGCCCTCTTGAGGGGCGCACTGACCCTCTCTACGCTGATTGGTTGCTGCCAACGTCGAGTAACCCTGCTATCTGACAGAAACACGTCCGAAGACTATCTGTACGCTTAACTAAGTTGGCTGGCCACTTCTGCCCAACCTGCCTAGCGCTGCGCGCAGCTAGCAGCTTATCAGCCATATCACGTATAGCTGCGTAGGTAGGCGCAAATCCACGCTGATCTAGGTGAAGGATATGGCTGACAATCACCTCCTCTTCTCTCTAGGTAAGCCTTCTTGAATTAGGCTGGCAATCTGCGCGCGCAGGCTTACCAGCGCGTCGGTCGTTCAGCGTCGTTCGTGGGACTTGAAAGGTTACTGCAGCGCGTCGATTACTTTGAATTTAGGCAGTATTTACAGATAAGAGAGCAAGCTGAATATCCGCTTCATTTGAATGTATAAAAGGAGCGCGGCGTGGAGGCATTGCGTGTTGAGATAGAGCAGGTAATAGAAGTTGGTGGGGTGGCCGACTCGCTTGCGTGGCCGACTCGCTTGCCAACTACGTTACCCAGAGACATATACCGGAAAATCAGCAAGCCATCTATCACATTGTTCTGTCATTCATACTTATGAAACTTAAGGCTGTCTTATTGTACTCTTGATTAATCTAGATCTTCAATTGTGGGCATCCCAACCCCAGAAATATCTCTCATAAACCTTTGCCACCGCCAAACGCGATCTGCATCCTCCGCGCATGCGCCGCCCTCCGCTTCGCCATCGCAGTCATGGGTTTCTTCTCTCCCCCCTCCTCGCTCTTGATCGATTGCGCAGAAGAAGCATTGTCTTCCACTGTAATCGGTGTGGGGTCTGGTACTGGCTTTCGAGGTATGTTGGCCGGTAGCTCCGCTACGGGGACCGGATTTTGTGCTGTGTTTTCTACAAATGGTGGCGGTTGTGATTCTGCAACTAGCGGTCGTGGTGGTAGTGGTGGTGGTTGCTCTGATGATGGTCGAATTGTTGACTCCGTAGCTGATCCTTGTGCTGACTCGGTGATTGCCGGTGTTGGCGATGATGGTGTTTCCGCATCAGCAGCTCGCACGAGATTCTCGGCCATGGTCTTCACTTGAAGTTGGCAGCGGAGACGCTCTTGTAGCACTGAAAGAACCATGTCGTCATCGTCCAGTTCTTCGGAAGTATTTGTGGTTTGTACGAAGATAGATTGTGAAAAACCGTTCATGTTGATGGTTGTTGTCGTCTCGGGAGCGAGTGACGGCGTTGCTTCCTGGTTGGCTCCTTCTTCCGTGTTGCTAATCGTGGTTGTGGGCTCTACTATCGTAGCAATTGTCAGAGAAGGCGCCGAGACCAACGATCTGCTGCTTGAGATATGTGGTCTTCGTTTTGCCATGCGCTGTGAGGGCCTTTGGCTGCTTGGTCGCCGGACAGGTTCGTGGTCAGGGAGGGTGAAGTTTGTGAAGGAACTAGGCGAACGTGGTGTATCGGTCGAAAGAGAATAGTATGATAGTGATGAAGTTGAACGTTGTGGTACATCTGAACTTCTCCTTCTAGAAACGAAATCATCTTGAGTCTCTATCGGCGATGTTGCCACATTGGGGTCTTGTAGCTGAGTGGGATGATCTCCTTTGTCCCTGGAAGGATCTTCTGCTTGACTAAGCTGAATGGTATGGCCCTCGACGTCGGATATCGGCGTAACAGCTGAACTTTCATCATTCAATATAGTCATTTCAGGGACTGCGGATAGTGTATGACCGATAATCGGACTCGACGTAAGAGAAATGGATGGCACCGATGAACTGGGTGAAGCCGTCCACTCTCTATCCGGTATCTGTACAATCTCCTTATTTGGCACCACATAACCTACCAAGTCATCTATGAGAGACGGTTGACTTTTCAGATGCGGTAGTTTTGATGGCAAAGACCTATGCTTCTCGGTGGGTCTTTGGATATGAACCGATGTAGCTCGGTAACGTCTTGCTAGCATAGGTGTACTAACAGTCGCTTGTGCAGACAAGGTCGAATCGCTGCGTTCAAGTGTCGTATCGTCAACGGTTGTTGAGGATGGGATTACGTCGATAGATGCACCAGACAATCTTTCCCGATTAGCAGTCGACGGAAAATAGTCTGAGCGAGCACGTGGCCTTCTGAGTAACGATGGGCTTTCAGAAACCAATTCTCGTGAGACCTGAGGGCTTAAGAAGTCCTGGCTATTGTGTCGTCCAGTAAGATTCAGGTCGTCCGGTGTACTACCCGCCAATTCTACTGGTAATGAGTTGACAGAAGCAGCTACAGACTGTCAGTGAACGCTTGTTCCATTCGAAAATTCGAACACATACTTTCGGCATCATTCCATTGAGCTTCTGAAGACAACTTAATATTCAATGCAGACAAATTCGCCTGGCTGGTCCTGTATTTGTGTCGCGAATAAGGACCACGCTGAGCATTCATCTCATTATGCGGTACCCATGGTCGTGCTGGAGCCTCGAAAATTGGATCTTGTGCAATAGTCCCAGGTTTACCACAGAGCTCCGCCGTCTGCATAACATAGATGGCGCCAGTCAGCTGGCTGTGGCAGACGCTCAGCTGTTGTTGCTTCTTGAGCAGTTTCTTCTGGTTCTTCAGACCCCAGTCGATCTTGCGCTTGAAAGAAACTGTGCTGGGATCTCCTTCCTGACCCCATGCTACATCCATATCCTTGCCGATGTCATTTAAGGCGCGTTGTACTTCTTGTAAGCTGCCCTCAATCCATATTCGCTTGGTAGGGAAAGAGTCCAGAAAGTTTGAGACAACAGAGGAGAGATACAGGCGGTTTGCTTCTTCTGTGTCGATTCGTACCAATCTTATGATATTCGCAAAAGTCAACAGGTCGGGCGATGACTTTTCAGAATAGAGGACGTGATCAGCGAAGGAGTACGCAGTGGAGATCGCTGGAAAGTCGGTCGGAGCTTCGGTTCGTGTCTCGTCTTGAGCCGTGATAGAGGATCGCGCCTCCGACTCTGTACGCTCCTGCTTCGGCCGCACATGCTTGCGCTGGAAGTACTTCAGCTTCGTCCCCGCCGTCCCTATATGTGCCGTGGTTGGAAATTCGGCCCGGTGCAATGTTTCCGGTAGAAAGAGGCCCGCTGTGGGCAACATCGAGGCTAATGTTGGCATCAATTTAGACGCTCACGTAGCAAAGCCGGTACTATTGCCGTGGGTACGTTAAATCTGTCTGAAGGCGACGTGCTCCCCGAGTAACGTTGGGAGGAACGTGCGCCGGGTGGGGAGCAACGACCCCAGTGACAAGGAGATAGGTATTGGAGATTCGGCTCAAAATAGACCCTGTGCAGAGCCTTGCCAGTGCCGTTTTGTTCTTAAGGAAAATATTTCCGCACGTGGAATAGCTAGCAAGCGACCAAGGCGCAGACCGTAGCAATGGAGTGGTGGGTTAGCACGGAAAAGCAACAGAGGCGCGGGCGTGGATACATCAGAGGAGTCATGCACCACATTCGCCCCTGGCTGCGGAGTCTGCATGAAGTGCACCCCCGGATGTAGAGTTCATTACATGTTGATCTCTTCGTTTCATGCAAAACCTCGCTATTGGACTACGCCGCAAGGGTGCTTATCTCGAGCATATGAACCACGCCTCTTTAGGGGCCAAAACGCACCTCGAGGTAGCCCCCGTTGCTGCTTGCCTTCGGAAGCGGAACAGCTCATTTGAAAAACTGAGATTTTGCAAGGTTCTCTAAGTCAGTTGATGAATGCTCGAGTTTGTACATGTAAGTCGTAGCCACCCCCATGGAAAATTATGAGAAACGACAGCAGGAGCGAGCAAAAAGCTTTTGGCTGTGCCGCATGCGGGACTCATTAAGTTGTATGCACAAATGTGGGCACCCTACTATACAACTGGGGAAATGTCGGTCGGACTAGAACGGCCATAGGAAACCGAATCAATTTAACAACGTGACGTTCTAATGCAGAGTTTGGTGATACTTGACACACAAATCCCCGGCCCTTCAAGCGTCCAAACGTCGAATGACAGCCTCGCTGAAGGGCCTGGGAGGGCTCACTGGCTGACCGTTCTCGTCCACTACTTGCACAAGAGTGGGGAAGATACAGAGTTCCCCTGATGTGACGCTATGCCCCTGCCACTCGAACTCCCATGCGCCGGGCTGAGAAAACAGCGTGAAAGCGAACAAGGCTGAGCGCTTCAGAAGCTCCTCGAGGTTGCGCTTGCGCTCTCCGTTGTTTATACGAGGGTCGGCATATGACTGCAAGATGTTGTCGAGCACCACAAGCGTAGCCTGAATCACTTCGTGACGGCTGTCCGATACGGTGAACGGATTTCGCACATAGCTGGACTGCAACAACTCGGCAGTAAATATTCGCCAGCGTGCCAGTTTCAAATACGGAGCTAGAAAAAACAATGTCAGAAACTGCGGAGTTAAAAGACCAAGCATAGACAGACCTCGTTGATCACGGTTTCCCGAGTCGATCATCTGGAGACATGGGGCGATCTCGGTTGGCAAGAGGCTCTTGGCCGGATCTTTGGCGGATTGCAGTTTCGATACAATGACCCAGGCAATGATGAATCGTAATGCAACCTCTCTAGTCGTGGCATTGCTTATCAGCGTGGCGAGTGTTCCTACGGATATCGGCAGGTCTGATCCCAGTGTATGGAGGTCGTTGTGATCGATCAAGTTTGGGCTGATACGGTTGATGTGATAGTAGCTTTGAACATGGTTCTTGATTGCGTTACTGATCTTGGAAATTTCTCCAGATATGGCCTTGTCCTCCAAAGGTTGTGGTAGTGCATTGGTAGGGGCATCTGCATGTTCCCGGCCAGCAAGTGGTATCGTTTGTGCCGCGAAGCCCTTCTCCTGAGATCCTACGGCATATGTGTTCGTTTTAGAGTATCGAGCCTCCGGCACTCTTCTCCTACGCCAACAAAACAGCAACACGATTCCTGCTACTAAAGCACCGGCGACGAGGCATCCGACTGCGATTCCCGCAATAGCTCCCGTAGAGAGACTGTCTTTTTGGGGCGATGGATATCTTGATGGAAGACTAATACCCGATGATGCGCTAGATGTAGTTTGCAATATAAAGCTTTCGGGCTTGGATGATATGTTGGAACTGGAAGACTGAAGGACCGATGTGCTGGGGGATGATGATACTGGTGAAGGTGTAAGAGGTGTAAACGTTACGACGTTGTTATCCGTCAACGTGGAACCGGAGACGATTCTTGTAATCCCCCAGCTTATCTGGCCTTTTTCTCGATCCCAGTACACTGTGGCCGCTGGCGTTATTTCTGATGCCTCAGCTACCTTCCCAGAGATAGTTTGCCAGCTCCCTGGGGGCACATTTGTGCTCACCGACGGGGTTGCAGCAACAAGAACGACAAAGTCGCTGTTGCCAGATATTGAATTAACAGTGAATGTGGAAGGGGGAGCACCAGAGGTGGAAGGTACAGGTGGCACGGTCAGCGTCGCTACAGGAATGGCAGCCATGTTACCGAACGAAAGAGTACAAGAGGACCAGTGAAAGGTCACAGTTGACGAGCCCAAAATTTAGAAGCCTTGTGGGAACGAGGAAATGGAAGAGGAGAGAAGGAGCTCAGAAGATGTATGGAAAAGCATAGCTGAGCACAGCGTACATGCTTATTGCTCATACCAGCAGCGAAAAGTACAGCCCCTGCTCTTCAATAGACAGTTTTGGATTTTTACTACATCATGCTGAACCTCGGCTAAATGGGCGGGCAAGTTTCCCCAGCTTGTTGAGCGAAAGTCACAGCTAAACTATTGTTAGCATGCTGCGGGGGGGCTGAATTGGCGCGGTGCCGCATCAGGCTTATCGTAGTTTCTTGTCTTGCCAGCGATGGCAGGTGAGAACTGAATTGAGAGAGACATGTGAACAAAGTCTTCTATTGCCACTAATCAATAAAGAGATCGAAATGGACCTGATTGGATATAGAAGCTCACACACGCTCAACAATCTTACCTTTTCATATTGTATAAGCGCTTGCACGGTGTCGATGGGGGCTAACATGCATGCAAGGCGTACCGGTACAGCACATGTATGGGGCTGAAAATGCGCCGGCTGGTGATGGGTTAAATGTTGCTGTGCCGCAAGGCTGAGACACAAGGGTTACTGACAAACACCTGTCTCTTCGCATCTTATAGATACATGATCAGCAAAAGTGCAGTGACAGAGACAGTGCGACTGCCAGCGAGACATCATGGAGCGGAATGAGCGACCGCAAATGATCGTGGGTGTGGATTTGGGGATGACGTGTAAGTGTTGCTGCAAGGCTGAGCTCAACTCGAGCGAGGAGCGGCCCGCATAAGTACCAGCCCGAATTAGGATAAGCGTGTGATAACTCGTCACGTGCCTTGCTTTTCACAGACCAAACACTGACACGATAGATGTGTTTAGGTACCGGAGTGGCATACGTAAACCTATCCATCGGCAGCGAGACAATTCGATGGGTTCAAAAATGGCCGGGTCGATTCCAGGCGAACGAGAACAAGGTCCCAACAGTGGTCGTGTACCCAATTGCCTCCCAGGAACCATCGTCATGGGGGTTTCTTTCCGAGACCGCCGCAGAAACAACAGCGGAGGACAAAGAGTACAAAGAATGGTTCAAAACGTGCCTCGATCCGGAAAGGTTACGCCAGAAGCAGATGGACGATCCTGAGAGTGCCCCTCAGAACCTGCAAGAGGTGGAAAAGTGGTATGGCGACTATCTGAAAAAGATGTATGAATATCTCTCAGTCAAGCTAGGTGGTGAAATTTCTGGGGTGAGCTGGGAAGAAGCTAGAGTCGAATTCATCTTTAGTGTGCCGACAACATGGGCTCCGGTGCCAGTGGTGGAAAATTTCAAACGACTGGTGAAAGAGGCGGGCTACGGTTCACATAGGAACCACAAGGTAACCATAGGCTTAACAGAAGCTGAAGCGGCCGCTGTGCACATATCCACAGAAGCACCCGGTATCTTTCGCGAGAACGACGTCTTGTTGGTTTGCGACGCCGGAGGTGGAACTACGGACCTGAGTGTGCTAAAGGTCACTGGGACTGTCAACCAGTCCATCGACCTCAAGCAGATGGACGTTGTGTTCGGAGAGACGATTGGGTCTGCGGCCATTGACTACGAGTTCGAGAGACTAGTTCACTATCGCTTAGAACAGGCAAACAACACCAACCTCCTTCCCGTCGATCCTCATGATGCAGCATGGGAGATGATGAAGAGTAGCGACTTCCAAGCTATCAAGTGCGAACACGGAGCACCAGACGATACCCCGTTATTCAGCATCGGAATCCCGCGGGTCCCACAATCATATAACAACTCCGATCCTGAAGTTAGAATTCGTAATGGTGAAATGACTTTCGAGCGGCAGGATTTGCAGCATTTGTTCGACGATCAGATAGCGAAGCTGTTCAAACTGATTGACATGCAGCTGCAGTCGCTACACCAGAAGTTTCCAAGAGAGAGAGTAGCCCATCTCGTCCTGAGCGGCGGTTTAGGCAATAGTGCATACGTGCAATCGCAGCTCCGCAAGTACTATGCCAGCACACCTTTCCCGAACGCCGATTCAATCCATGTTAGCATCGCTCCTGATCCTCAGCTGGCCGTATGCAAAGGCCTCGTCAGTGATCGTGTTCGAAAGATATTAACGTCGCGATCAGTGCTCGGTTGGCGCTGCTGCCGTGCATCGTACGGCACCGTGTGCAAGATCGCATATGACAAGAAGAATCCTGATCATCAAAACAAACAGCTTGTGCGAGATCCGCTAAACAAAAAGTTGTACATTACGCACTCCATAGCGTGGTTCGTCAAGAAAGGCACCCCTGTAAGCGTGGACGAACCGATCGAGCACAACTTCATTAAGAAGGTCGATCCTGGTGACCCGAGAAGAGCTTTTCCGACGACTGTCATCGAGAGCGATCTCGAAGCTGCGCTGTTGCCAGATCAGATGAATCAACGTACGTAGAGCAAAATCTCCAAGGTGCCATCGTTCAGCGGTCCACATGTTGACAATTTATAGACACACGCATCCTTTGCGAAATAAACTCCGATCTGTCAGGCGCTGATGAGAAGAAGTTTCAGGAAAAGAACAAACGCTTTTGGTCATTGCACAAGCACTACTTGCGCATTGCGTACACTGTACGCGTCTTGATAGGTCCTGCCGACATTCGCTTTGAACTTTGGTTCGACGACCAGAAGCTTAATCGCGATGAGTCAATCAAAGTAGAGTGGATTCCTGCTGGTGTGCCTCGCACATCACTAATAGCGGAGTTGCCTGGGTCAAGCAGTGGGCCGGTTGAGATGTCGAACACACCACCAACGCCCATTGACGCTGCGCCTCAGGGTGGCGCAGTGAATAGCGCGCCGAACGGAAAGCCAACGAAGACCGGGGGGTTCACAGCCGTGAATAAAAGAGCGACGGTAGATGTGACAGGCAAGAAGCCACGAGGGATGGGAGGACTGTTTGGAAAGAGTTCTTTCTTTGGACGCGCCGCTTAGGATGACAGGCGGTAACTAGTTGCGCGCAGATGACGTTGAGCGGCTCGGCTCGGCAGGTAGTCTAGCTTCTGACGACCTTTACAGCTGAACCATCACTAATAATTGAACTTCTTTCTTACAAGCCGCATCCTACGTGCTTTTATGATTGGTTGTGGCGATGCGCACATGTACGAAGCTGTGCAGCTCAGACAGGCCCCTGGCGTGATAACTTGTCCCTCTCGGGCTAAGCCATCCTATTCAGGCTCTTTCAGCGCGTCAGCTTCGTCAGCCTCGTTCCAGGCAACGGGAAGCTCATTGCTATAAGTACAATGGCCTGAGTACTGTATGTTACTTGCATTAAGTAACGTTATTCCCTGAATCTGACGTCTGCCCTATCTCACACCATGCGTTACTTTGCATTTGCCGGTAAGCGCAACGACTAACTCCATTTATGATCAGACCTCACACAATTGAAGCAATCTTATATACCCTCGTTGCATCGAGTGTAGCGTTCGACATTTCTCCACAGGATGTTCTCGAATCGAATACCCCAGGACTACTGAGCGAAGCGGCAGTTGACCCCTGTTCGTTGGTCGATTCGCCAAAAGTAAATGCCAGTGTACAGTTGAGCAGCTGGGTTGAATGTGCAGTGAATGGTAATCAGAACACTTCTGTATATGATTAGATAGCTTACTAATACTTTGACTAGGGTTTTACCCATATCCAGCAAACACAAACTGGCCCAAGGGCCACGCGACCTCATTCTCCAAAGACATTAGGTTCACTTTCAATGACACACATTACGATTTTGATGGATCATTGAGACTCTACAAAGCTTTCAACGCGACGTTGGCTATGGCATTCGCACCCTTTAAGCACGGCTATGTCAACGCGCTTGGTATTCCCAATATCAACGGCGACAAAGGCGGCTTCGTCTACATTATCGGATGGGCTGGCGGCTTTCAGACACGCGCGCAGCGCGATGTATACTTTACAAACGCGGCTTTCGCCGTGATTAAAGAAGAGGATGGCGAAAGGAAGATCGTGGAGTTTAGGGAAAGTAGTAACATTCCGAACACGGCGCCTTTACCACAGCCGGTCGATTGGACGTGCTCTTTTGAGTAACTTGTGACGGTCATGACATTTATTGAGTGGACCAACTACGATTATATCGCTCGGCGCAGCACCGCAACCTTCGCGCTCCAAAGCCTATTTATAAAGGTATACATAAGTGATGTCAATGCTTAGCACCAGATTTTCACAACGCAGTTCTGTTGTAGCAACAATATAAGCAACCAGTTAAGGTACTATCCCTGTACCTTATACTCAGTAAAGTACAGTATTTACTCAGTGCCAAAGCCTATTTATCACCCGAATACCCATTCTTTGCCTCCGCCATCTGGTTCTCCAAATCCTTTATCTTCTCTGTAATCCTCATGACAAATCTCTGCCTCTTTTGTTTCTCTTCATCATTTATGCCTCCATCTATCCACTCAAATAACCTATCATAACCCAACATCCCAGCCTTGCGTTCAACGACTCCCAGGTCAGCCCCCATCTTTTCAGTAGTCGAGCGTAGAACATCAATATAGTCCTGGCGCTCTACACTCTTTTCGATTTCAGAATACCTGGTGTCCAAGTCCCAGAGTACGAAGAGACTGGCCAGTATCCGATCAGCGCGGTCATCGAGGTCTGATAGAAGGGATCTGAGGTCTTTGGGCGGCTGTTCTTGGGGTTTCTGTGCAGGAGACATATTTTAGTGTTTTTCCCTTGCTTGTGGAAACGCTCGTTGATTACGATTTTTCTTTCGGAGAAGGTCCCTGAACTAACAAATTGGAAAAAATAAATATATTTTCGAAGTCACTAAATTAAAGTCACACAGTCCCCTGACGTAGCAGAACGTCTCACAAAGTAGTTGTGACAGGATGAGTGACATATGTCTCATTCATTGTCGAGAGTACGACATTGCAGACACAAGGGCACACCAAGCTTCACTGTTGCAGTATATGCAGTCAATCAAAGTGTAACCGCGCGAGGCAGTCATCAGAGTATATTGTGTTCTGTTGTCTGTTGTGCTGTCATGGCCACCTTATATGTAGCCATAATCAGGGTCTATTTACATGACGTATCTCTGATGCTGGTGAGGGGAGAAGGTGCTCATAGAGGAGAGGGAGGAGCGCCAGGACAACGCACGTGACATGCGTAATACCCTTGCCTCACAAACCGCAACATTCACACTAGAACAGCATGACATCTAAAATTCCAAAGTTTTATTTAATCTTACGCAACTCAACAAAACTCAAAATCTAAGAATGACACCGATTATACACGCAGACAGGACCACGACCTAGCAACACAGTACCATAACACAACACAGCAAGCAATCAATATCTCCACCTGACTACCCCAACAGCCCACATGTCCCTCCTGATCCACCAAATTCATACCTCAAACCTGTCCTAACCTCCCTAACCCTCTTCCCCATCACCCCCAAACTCCCCTCCAGCCCCTCTCTATTCGCTTTTGCCATCTCCAGCGCCTCTCGCCTCCGCATTCCAGCCACCACATACAGCTCCGCAATATCCATAATATTAATACCATCAACCAAGTCCGTGTAGTCTGACAAATTCTTTTCGAAAATACCCAGCTCTACTCTGAGGGCGTTGAGTGCGTCGGCACGGTCGGTGGCGAGGGGGTCGTGTCTGGTGGAGTGGTGTAGACGCGCGATTTTGGAGAAGCGGGTTGAGATAGTGGAGTACTGCGAGGGGAGGACGACGCTCAAGATTTTGGAGAGGAGGGCTGTGCGGGGGATGTGGTGGGGGTTTGTATGGGGACTGGATGGTGACATGTCTTTTTCGATATTTCTAATTTCGGTTTATTGCGTGTACTACTGCCGTTTTATTTAGAATTCTGAGTGTATATATTGCTACAGAAAGAGTTTGGAATATACGTTTTATGCTGGGGAAGTGTTTCTCTCTTCACGTTCGCCATTCTTCACATGTACACACAAATAACAATATTATTGTGATGGTCGTTTGTACTCGACCGCCTTTATCTAAGTTGTGTTTCAGATAAAGGTGATAGTATTGAAGCTGCCTTGTCATACCTGACCATCTAACCTGTCAGTCATATCACCGGAATGAGTGTCCATGCTTCGAAAGTCATATCGAGCGCAGACGTGTATGAAGTATAGTAGAGGACCGCAAGAGTCACAAGGTAACAGTCATATACAGTCATAAACTAGGTATTTGCACCTTTTGGACTGAGCGCAGTGCTGGCAGAGAGTATAAATTCGACGATGGATTCATGTTAATGAGGAAACAAACATATACCTATTCAACTACTTTACTTCACGAACATCAAGTAATGTCACGCACACATGGAAACGATCGAAATGGTTACCATAAAATTCAAAACTGCCGGAGTCGTTGATCTGCGGAAAATGATCAAGGAACTTAGGGAGCTTGTCCACGATAACTACAAGAAGTGAGTGTGAGTGACACCGAGCTCGCTCATAGGCATATGACAACATCTCCAAAAGACCCAAAATACACACAAAAGCAGATTATACATTCGCGCAAGATTTACAACAGATACACATTACTACCCTACTAAGCCATCCAACCCACGCTCAAGCCCCCCATTTCGCCTTCAGCGCCTTAATCTGCGCATCCGTAATCCCCATCACACTCCCATGTCTCAGATTCTTAGGCCAAGCACTCCTATCGCTCGCGCTCCACTTTCCGCCTTTGACATCCGTACTCTCATACGGACGATACCCATCCGCCCCATAAAAGTCCAACAACAGATGTGCTTTCCCTGCCACCGCGTTATCCCAGTATGGCGCAGGACCCTCGACGCCAGACGCAATGATAGCATTTGCGCCAGCGGGTCTAGTCCACATGCCAAAGAGGCCGTTTGTCGAAACCTCTGTGAACACGGTTTTCGCGCTTTCGTCTTTGATGAATCGGGCGTAGGCGTTGTTGCCTAGGGAGAGGAACTCGAGATCGATGACGTTGGTGGGGGATTTGTTGACGTAGTCTTGAGGGGCGGAGAAAGTTTTGAAGTCACTGGTGTAGGCGTAGCGGATGCGAGTTGAGGAGGGGCTTCCTGTGTGGTTGGGGTCGGAGGTAGGGTAGAATTTGCTAGACCAATACACGAAGTACTGGCCTTTGGCTGTGTCGTAGATGGCGCTTGGAGCCCATACCATACCGGCTGTGGCGTCTTCGACGGTGACAAGTCGTTCATTGGTCCAAGTGACTAGATCGGTAGACTCCCACACATAGATACCTCGCGAGCCTGTGCGCTGCGAAGCGTCCCATGTGGTAGTGGCAATGTTGAGATCTGTACCGATAATGTACCACTTTTTGCCCGCTTCACCTGCTCCACCGGGTATGATGGATGGGTCGCGCACGCCCAACGTACCCTTGGTTGGGTTGATAACGGGTTGGCCCTTGTTCAGAGCGACCATTGAGTTCGCATTGTTGCCTTTGGATAGGTAGAAATAGACAGAGGGTTTGTCACCGAGGAAGAAGACGCCTAGGTAGCCAGTGAGGGAAGGGTCGGCACGACGCGTCAGGCCATAGTCGGCAAAATCGAGGTGTTGCGCAGGAAAACCGAGGACGACTGGAAGAAAGCTAAAGATAGTTGAGAACCGCATTTTCGACGTATGTCAACAGAGTTGAAGACGATACGCTGATGCAACTAAGGACAGCGTGTCTGGTGATCTGCAGGATATAAGGTTTCTGGATGCGATGTCGTATTCAACAGCGCAGAGCGTAGACAGGCACATGATATCGGGGCTCTTTCCTAGAGTGGCAGGACACCCTGATGAATGTAGACCTAATGGGGTCGAGAGCATGACTATGGAGGAAACAGCGCTACCCCAGGCTTGGTAGGTAGATTTGTGGGGTTATATTGAAGTACTTTGGAGATGGTGTAGTATCCTCCGGCGCTGCAGGGATTACGGCAGTACCGGTGCAAGGGGGGATTCGGTAATTCGGGAAAATGCGATCCGTGTGGCATACTCACAATGTGTACTTTGTAATGACATGCACTTGGGCACAATCGTTCAATTCGCTTGTTCCGTCAAATCGTTCGAATCACTACGTAGTCTACTCGGTTCGTGGAGAGTTCCAAGCCGAGAAGATGTATATTACGATCATGTCGGTATTGTCAGCGCTCATATAATTCGTCCAAACGCCGTAAATGCTCTTCTGCTGTTTGTCTCAATCGCTGTCGCTATCATAGCCAGCTACAAGCATGGTAGACAGTTTCGACGGCACTGGAGCGGCTTTCACTTGCGATATGTTGGCCGGAGCAGGAGCAGGAGCAGTTGCCTTCTTCTTGATGCCAAGTGCAGCGCTAAAGTCCTTCTTTTCTTTCGGCTTTTTAGTAGCAAAGGTTGCAACAGAAGGCACCTCGATTGGTGCATCCATCATGTCCTCGTCAATGGTTTCCTCACCAATATCTGGCATGCCGCGGTTTGCGAATGCTTGGCGGGCTGCCTCGGCGTCTTCTTCCTCTTGCTTCTTCCGGCGTTCATCAGCAGAATCCGGTGGTACATCCGTCCTGGTGCCTTCGCGCTCTGCCTTTTCGAGTCTCGCGTTTCTCGAACGAATCGTGTCTAGAGCATCTGCGATAGCCATCTCTGTCTTCGCATCCAAGACCTTTGTCTCGAGCTCCTTCATGGCGTCGCGCTCCGCCTCCTCTCGCTCTATCCGGTCTAAGCGCTCCTCCTCGTTCTCTTCGTTGAGCTTAGCCTCCCTCCAGGGTTCGAAGTTTCGCTTTGCGCCGCGCTCACATGCGTAGTCCATGTTCTTAGGGTCGGTCTTGAAGGTGATTTCGCCGGAGCATCGCGTGCATCGGATGTAGAAGCGGAAGATGGCAATGTTATAGTATTTCTCCTCCGTAGTCTCTTTCCGCGCGTTGAACTTGCGGCCCTTGTAGATGAACTCGCCGCAGTGTGTGCATTTCATGGAGAATGGCGCCATAAGACGGACAGTCATGAGCTTGGGGCCTGCATTCTTGGGACCGCGCTGGCGAGTGATCTTCGAGGGGTCGAAGTCTGGGGGGTAGTACTTGGTGAGCACCTTTCGTTCAGACATGGTGGTGGATTACGGAGGTGCAGTTGATGGACGAATCTCAGTCGTAGTTTTAGCCTCCTATACGCGCGTCGTGTTCTTTTGTCCACAGCGACGTGGTCGGAGTGTCGTGATATGAGGCGACGTAGTTAATGCGATGGCGTAGATCAACACGCGGAATCCCAGGCGAGGTGAAGGCTGAAGGCAACTTTTGGCTGACTAAGGCGGCCCGCGGCTGCAGGAACCCCGCAAACATGTGCTTTCGCGAGGCAGGCGCGCCATCCTAGCAGCAACCTCGCGACGCCGCCGACAGCAACCACGACCGGGATAGCCTACTGACTGTTTATTCGTGCTTACCCGCCTACAAAGTTCTATTTCTATGGTACAGCAAAACTATGGACAAATATCTTCGCGAATGGCGCCAGGAAGCCCTCAATCGGTGCCAATACGATACAGCCATATTCGTCGCGGATAAGCTGCTGGCCCTCACAGGTATGCTATACTACGTAACATCATGGGCGCATACTGATAATCCAATCTAGATGACGATCAAGATGCATTCTGGCTTGCGCAGGTACACTTTACCACGGGCAACTATAATCGAACACAGTCACTTCTAGCACGCGGGAACCTCGTCGAGCGCACTCCACAATGCCGATACCTCGCTGCGCATTGCTCCATTAAGCTGGGGAAGATGGAAGAGGCACTGCAGATACTAGGCGACAAGAACCCTACTCATCTCATCTCGGCGCCGGGCAGCGCACGCACAAAACTGCGGCATGTTGATGTCAACACACGGGCAGGCGCAAGGCACAACAAGGCGGGTTCGCGAACCGACCGGCTACCAACTAGTGAGGAACGCGATAGGGAAGATGTTAACAATATCAAGTCGGAAGCCGGCATGTGCTACCTGCGCGGTGTATGCTTTGCGAAGCAGAATTCCTTCGATCGAGCCAAAGAGTGCTACAAGACGGCGGTACAGATCGATGTGCAGTGCTTCGAAGCATTCGACGCCCTCATGTCCAATTCTCTCATGGCACCTGATGAGGAGTGGAAGTTCCTCGAGTCGCTCAACTTCGACACCATCAACGTCTCCAACAACCCTTCGCTATCACAAGAAGCTGCCTCCTTCACGAAGACGCTATACACGACACGCCTGTCCAAGTACACGCGACCTGAAGAGTTCGCCAGCGCCACCGAGACCCTCACCACTCACTACCACCTCGGCGAGAACCCTGATATAGTCCTTTCCAAGGCCGATCTTACGTTTACCCTATGCCGTTTTCGCGATACCCTTGCCCTCACATCTTCCGTCCTTGCCAACGACAAATACAACTTCAATATCATGCCTATACACATAGCCTCCCTGCATGAACTCGGCGAAAAGAACACCCTCTTCCTGCTTGCCCACGAGCTTGCGGATACAAATCCATCGGAACCTTGCTCATGGTTTGCAGTCGGCACATACTACCTCGCCATTGGTCGCATAGCAGAAGCGCGCCGTTACTTCTCCAAGTCATCAATGATGGATCCTCACTTTGGTCCAGCGTGGATAGGTTTCGCGCACACCTTTGCCGCAGAGGGCGAGCACGACCAAGCCATCTCTGCCTACTCGACCGCCGCGCGCCTCTTCCAAGGCTCACATCTCCCCCAGCTATTCCTCGGCATGCAGAACCTACAATTGAACAACCTCAGCCTGTCAAAAGAGTACCTCAAAACATCATACGAACTGTGTGAGAACGATCCCTGCCTTCTTAACGAGATGGGCGTTGTCTGCTTCCACGAGGGACAGCTACCAGACGCCATACAATTCTTCCGCCGCGCACTCGCCTTCTCAGAGCAGAATGAAGCAGATCCCGACACCTGGATTCCCACGCGGATAAACCTCGCCCATGCTCTGCGCAAGGACGAACAGTACAACGAGGCGCTTGCCATGTTCGATGAAGTATTGCGCCACGGCATAAAAGACCCCAGCGTCTTTGCCGCAAAGGCCCTCGTACTACTAAACATGAACCGCACCTGGGACGCCATCGTCACGCTCCACGAAGCCCTCGCCGTCGCACCACAAGATCCCATGGCCACCGACCTTCTTAACCGCGCGCTCGAAGTCAACGAGTCGGAAAGCGGACTTCTTGAGTTGGGACCATCGGCTAATTCGGCGGCCATAGAAGATGCGGATGAGAGCGAAGCCATCGAAGAACTAGAGAGGAAGATGAACGGCAAACTGCGCGAAATCGAGCAGAATCGCGTTGCGGGACGGACGGGGCGTAGAAGACGACATGCGCAGGGTATGGGTGCTGAGGATTCGAGTGCGTTTGGGGAGAGTATGGTGGTTGATTCGGATGAGGGCTAGGTGCTCCCCCGATGAACGAACAGCCTTTGGATAAGGATTCCAGAGGGATGGACGACTTTTGTTTTGAATAACTCCTCGCGTGTTTGCATATCGGCGTCAATTGGAAAGGGATAGGAACCTGGGTTATGAGCATAGCGTGGAGTGAGGTGTTTGCTGCCTCTTTCTCTTTCTTTCTCTTTTTTTGTATACCGGATATCCAATTACATACACTCTGTTTCGGATAACAATCAAACCTTCGTCGCCAAAATTAAGATTTCCAATTGTTCTCATGTACAATCTTCCTTCCCACCTTCATCGTTGCACGCAAGATGACGGTTTATAGGGAGACATTCGCGCAAGAGTGGAAGGTTTCCCGGGGGGAGTGATGAAAGTGGTGATGGTGTGGTTTGTGAATTTGTATCTTGGTTTAGTTGGGTTACTTGAGCGAAGTTTGTTAGTTGTTCTTGATGACTGGTTGTTGTGAAGTTGAGGAATGTGGAATGTGGAAGGTGCGTTAGGTCACTGCGCCGTGGGGTCACATTTCGCAAAGTTGACGCTTTGTCTTATTCATAGCTTGATGGCTTTATGCGACTGCTAGAAGCCGACAAAGAAAGGCCATGAATGCTTGTCAATTGCAGAGTCAGACAGTTTGGACATACTTGACAGGTGCCGGCGCTAATGAATACGCTAAACTCAAACAGGTCAGCGCCCGTGATGTCGGACATGTGGGGGAGATGCATTTGTAAACTTCCCGACTCTTCTGCATCCCACATTTCATACTAAAGGGCTGTCTACTCGCAAACTACTCTTTAAGATGCGTTTAATCGCCGTGTCCGTTTTCTCCGTGGCTCGGGACGCTCGGCATTCAAGTGCTAAACCTGGCTCAACAGCGTTTGGGCCCACATGCGAACACCAATCCGCGACGGCGCGACAGAGCTGAGGGCTTGCCTAACTCCGCGTCAGCCACGACCTCCGTGATGACGACGTCGCAGAAGGAAGCCTATATACCCACCAGCCACACTCACGGTCCTTACAGCTCACATTCTCGTCGTATTCTTTTGCTTTTGCGTTAGTTTGAACGTTTTCGGTCTAGCTTGAACATTGCTGGGCCTCTGGGGATGCAGATCGAACCGTTAAGGAGGGTCGACACGACCTGGAGCGACGATACGGAGCTCGACCATATCACTTATAATGACAAGTACGTCGTGGTATATGACTTCAGCAGTGTTGGTATGTTAAGAAAGAGCTTTAGTTAGGCCAGGGCTTACGAGGATAAGATGGCGACGTTGCAATCAAAGAATGCACGCGATTACTCCATGACCTAGAATCTGCTGGTCTCAACACCGAAGTTCGCCCTGGCTACGATCAATCACTATTGATATTTTGTCAAGCACCCAGAGACTTGCTCGGAAATGCTGTCTACAAGTCGCGGTAAGTCGTGGCTGTCCTCAGCCTTGTCTTCCCACTTTCTAACTTTTGATGCAGAGTCAAGGACTGGCTGTATGGCATAACTAAGAATCATCCTGGTGGCACCGCCAAGAGCATTGTCGATGGAGCTTTCGAAGCGGAAGATCTTCTTTCCATGTACCACCTGCTCGTTTGGCAGAAAGAGCTCGGGGGAGCTGGTATCACCCCAGGCTATGGTCTATGGGAGAATGTGACGTCTATATTTCCTTTGCACAACAAACCCATCAACGGGGCGTTATTGACCCGCCTTAGCAAGAAGTTCTTCCTGGATCATGCTGACTTGGACCAAATTCGCAACCTCTGGGGAGCCAAGGTTGCCTTTTACTTTGCTTTCATTCAGACCTATTTCCGCTCTCTGTCTTTTCCTTGTGTAGCGGGTGTCTTTGCTTGGGCATTCCTAGAAAAATACTCACTGGCCTTTGCTGTGCTCATCGGCATCTGGTGTACGGTCTTCCTGGAGTACTGGAAGATCAAGCAGAATGATCTGGCTATCCGTTGGAATGTTCGAGGAGTTGGAGAGTTGAAGTTGAACCGTCCGCAGTTCCGCTACGAGAAAGAGATCATCGACTCTGTCGGAAGAGTCAGGCACATCTTCCCGAGATGGAAGCGCATTGTGCGGCAGCTGGTCGTGATACCCTTCGTGCTTGTGAGCACCTTGCTACTCGGCATTCTGATCACCTTCGTTTTCGCTATTGAAACGTTCATCGCGGAAGCCTACGAAGGACCATACAAATTCTATCTGGTTAGTATGAACCCCAACCCAAGGCTACGTAGTTTGGACTAACAGCAGCTAGGAGTATCTCCCGACTGTTCTTCTTGCAGTATTCTTGCCATACGTCACGAATCTTCTCGAGGATATTGCCACCGGTTTGGCGGAATACGAGAACCACCGGACAGCGGACCACTACGAAATGTCTCTAACGCAGAAGCTCTTTGTGCTAAACTCGATCACCAATTACATGCCGATCTTTCTCACTGCATTCGTATATGTACCATTCGGAAGCACGGTCCTGCCACTACTGCAACAAGCTATGAATCGGGCACTAGGTGTTCAAAGCAAGCTGGAATTTAGCGCTGACCCCGACCGATTGCGCAATGAGGTGATAGCACTCACGGTTACGGGACAGGTCTCTAGCGCCGTCGAAGAACTCGCATTGCCGTGGGTAAAGATACAAGTCAAGCAGTGGTGGCGCGACCGACAAACCAGCCGGGCGCACGACCGAACTTCTTACGATAAGATGCCCTTCGAAGATCCTGCCGAAACCCGCTTCCTCCGCCGAACACGAAGGCAAGCGTTGAGACCAGCGTACAACGTCCAAGAAGATATAGCGGAGATGGTAATCCAGTTCGGCTATCTTGCACTTTTTAGTCCAGTGTGGCCACTTATACCGATCGGCTTCTTCGTCAACAACTGGTTTGAACTTCGGTCCGACTTTATTAAGATTTGCATTGAACATCAGAGACCCGATCCATCACGCAGCGATGGCATCGGGCCTTGGGTAGACAGTATGGAATGCCTCACGTGGCTGGGTAGTGTGAGCAGCGCCGCTATCGTACATTTGTTTGGTACCCACCAGTTCCTTGGCGACTACCTGGGCCTGAGCACGTGGGCGAGTCTCCCAATTACTATCCTCATATCCGAACACATCTTCATGGGCTTCAGAGCGGCAGTCCGATTTGCTCTATCGCGAATTGGATCAGAGCAGACCCGGAGAGAAAAAGCTGAGCAATATGCAAACCGGAAGAAACATCTCGACGAGCTCGAGGCAAATGCAGAGAAGGCATCGCATCTAGGTGTTGCTGAACGCGAAAGGCGCAAGAGTATCAGAATCAATGCGGCGGATTTCTTCTGGACTAAGCAAGCTGAAACAGGAGCTAGCTCAGCCGCAGGCATCCGTATCATCAAGGCATTGAAAAGCGCAGAGCACGAAACAGCAATCACGGGCAGAGACACAAAGATCGACTGACGTAACTCTTGGATACGTATGTATGTACACAACTCTCCCCAATAAAAAAGTATTTACAGAAAATATCCTCAAACCAATCTTCCTTGTTCCCTTCCGCAAGATATATACAGAAGTGTCTGCACAGCAGTTCACGTAGCGTCTGGCGCTTACTTGAGGGCAGCCAGGATGGTGTTGTAGGCAGGCTTGGGGTTGTAGTTGGCATCGAACAGCAGGGGGCTGCCGTTGGGCCTCCAGGAGTCGGTGTCACGGGTACCCCAGACGGTGATACCAACGCAGTTCTTCTGGTTGAGGCAGGCCTTGACGACGTTGGACCAGTCGGATTGCTGGGCGTTGCCAATGTCAAGCTCGGTGATGGCACACTCGGGAGCAGACCCGCAAAGGAGAGCCATGGCAGCGCCGGAACCGGCACCCTGGCCAGAGCTCAAGTGAGACTGCGAACCGATACCGTCAATAGGCCAGCCCTTGCCGATCCACTGCTTGACCTTGCTGGCAAGACCCTTGGTCTTAGCGTAGTTGGCGTTGTCCAGGCTGCGAAGTGTGTTAGTATCGCTGTTCATGCCTCAATTAACATGGAAACTTACTTGTAGTCGTTGATGTAACGCTTCGCGCTGGGGTCAGCAGCCTTGGCCGCCTCGAAAGCAATGCGAACAAAGTCCTCGCCGAGGACGTTGTAGAAGACGCTGGAACGGAAGCCACCGCTCTCGTCGAACATCTCGTTGATGACGTCCCAGGCGTAAACTTGGCCCTTGTAGTGGCCCATGACCTTGGAGATGTGGTTCTGCATAACAGATGTCAAGGTAGCCTTGTCGTTAATCTGAGAGACATAGGACGGAAGCTGGGAGTGCCACACGGTTGTGTGTCCACGGAGGAGAAGACCGTTGTCCTTTGCGAACTTGGCGGTCGCGTCGGCAGTGCCGAAGTTGAAGTTGCCCTTGGAGGGCTCAGTGGCATCCCACTTCATGCTGTGGATGGGTCAGCAACCGTATAGTTATTGTTATGGCCTAGGTTTTGACTTACGAGTTCTCGGGGGTGATCTGACCAAAGTTTGCCGTGATGACCTGGGCATTCTTTCCTGAGTTGAGACGGCCATCGGCGATTGTACCAAAGTACTTCTTGCCCTTTGCCTTGAAGGCAGCGTTGATGCTCTGCGTCTGGCGCTGATCGAGGACAGGCTCTGGCTCAGCATAGGGAGCAGCCGAAACCAGGGCGCTGACGGAGAGGAGGGTGACGAGTGAAAGCTTCATGTTGAAGGTATTTGGTTTTTGTCGGAGAAGGAGATGTGTAGGCCGGAATGAACGACTGCTTGATACTGGACACCTTGGGAACTACTGGGCATGTTCTTATATACATCAAGCCTCAGTCAAACCCCGCTAACTTATCTCGGTCCTTCCCCATATGAAGCACCTCTTTCCAAGATTCTAACCTCCAATATCCCGATATACGACCACAGCTGGGTCTCCACACCCAACACTACCCTGGCAATGGGCTTGCAACGAACCCACTCACACTCTGGACCGCCCTGCATACGCAAGGTTGTTTGTGGAGAAACAATCCTCCGAGCCAGAGGCGGCCAACAGTGCAGAAACTATGGCTCTAACAAAGTTCGAAACATGGCTCATTTGTTCTTTCATTTAAAGTAGAAGCATATGAGGAGGGGTGGTAGGGGAGCTAGGGCTCGGGTCCCGCCCGCCAACGCACCCCATATCCAAAACATCCGCTGCCCGAACGATATCCGGCCAGACAGATTCCGCAAGAGCCGTGAATACCAAACATGCAGTTCTTTTACCGCCATCTCGGCGTGGTTTCCTACGGCAGCTAATCAGCTGCGCGGCGAATCACAAAAGCGACGCATGTCGCTGATCGTCAATCCCGGAAGCAGACAAAACAAGCGGGCACGTCACGACAGAGGGAAAGGTACGCGCCCCATGGTCGAGGGAACAGCGTCACTTGTCTCTAGGCTCTAGCGCACGTGCTGCAAGCCACCATAAAGTGTCGCCTCGCAACCCCAATAAAGATGAGGAGTAGATGAATCTAGAGGAAGCTTTTCCGCCGCCGGTTCTTGTGCTGCTTGGCGGCGCTGAAAAGCCTTCTTGGCGTAGTGCGTGCACGGCAAAGGGCCCTCGCCACGAGCAACACCATCTCCATTAATCATTTCCACCATCTCATCCACGACATTCTACTTTGCAATACCATATGCATAATGCTCACGTTTGAACCTTACTCTGACGCCATGTCAGACACCCGCCACCCGGCTAAGCTCGGATAGAAAATAGAAAAGCAGTTGGACACGGCATTGACAGAAGGTTAAACGAGCGTACTGATCCCGCTTCGTCGTCATCTTGCTTATTTGCTTAAGGGGGATACGTGCTTCCGGCATTTGTTCCCCCCCTTGTCTGGCATAGAGTGGGTACGGTCGGTACTTGTGGAGCAGCCGCGTTTCACACTTGACGGCTTCGAGTGTGACACCGTGCGCTGACCGCATGTCAGGCACGCCATTGGACGGGCACGACGATAACAACATGTAACAACAAGTTGAGATGAGTAAGATACGATGATCGCACAGATCAGTGTATTTACTGTGATTTGATAGCACTGACTGATGTTTCGTTTTTACTAGATTTCTGCCCTAAGCTTGTTGTGCCTACGAAGAGGGCGACAAAGGCCTGATCAACGCAAGGTACCAGCCACATGTTGTGTGCGTGCTTTGTTTTTTTTTTCATTTGGATATGCCTCGCCGAATTATCCCGTAGATTGCGGTGTGTGTAGGCGAGATCACGCTGGCAGAGCGAAAGGAGTACTTCAGCCGCGCCGTGGAGTGCCGCTTTCTACTTTGTGGTTGCTGATGTGCTGTTCTACAATATATGCAAGCTAGATTGGGTGGAGATCGCTTCTCCAACGCCCACGAGTCGGTGGAGAGTGCGTAGTTCAGCCGCTGGTGCTCGTGTGGAGCCGCTGTATATGGGGTACGGCATATGTATGTATGTCATCTGGGGAAAGTCGCAATATAGCGAGTTTATTTTTCCGGGGAAAGCTGCTTTTGGGCTTGGTGCATTCTCGGTTGCGTTCAAAGCTGTGGCGGGATTCCTTCCGGATGACGAGAGCTTATGAGGGTTAAGCTGGAGTTCTAGCATCAAAGGATGTGTGTGTGTGTGTGCGTGCGGTCTCCACACGTGCTTGCTACATACCGGTAATGTAACCGAGGCGTGAGCGTTGGTATAAGCACTAGGCAACGATGATCTCTCCTGTGCGACATTTCTTTTCAAGGCCTACAACGACTTACCATAAACACCATCTCTATCAAGGACACATATTCACCGACTCGCGCTAATCAAATCTTCCAGAGTTCCGTTGTGAGTAGAACCCTAGCAACGGATAAATACAGGTTGGACTGCTATAGCCCAGCATGTATACTGCGACCAATCAGATCTGTTGTTCCATACTAACTTTATTGTCCTACTATTGTGTCTGGCTGGCGACACAGGATAACCCTGTGATTATCTGAACTTTGTATCCGGATGCATGTTGTAAGACCATGTGGTAAAACCTCGCTGGACGGAGTTCCGTTGCGTTCAATTTACGATTTTTCGGTAGAGCTAAGAGTGGCATCGTATTTATGTAGGTTTGATGTGAGTAAATGCACTGGTAGGTGAACCCATTAGAGGCAAGAATCGAAAAGGCTTGGAAGAGCTGTCGTCAAAGTCATGTAATCGATGGTTCTTCAGTTTGGTGCGCCAAAGATGGGTACCGTGGTAGCTCGATAGGTGGTGTACCGAGAATAGAAAAGCATCGCTGTGAACTGTGCTAAGATGTTGAGGGATATATTCTCACCGTTCTGTCAATATTACGATCACATGCAGTCGAAGCTGAGAGAAGGGCTTACATGAAGTCATCTCGCAAACTTACCCTACTGCAGTATCAAGCTATTCCTGAATTATCCGTCGCGTAGCGTGATGCTACATTATGTGAATACTATTATATGCTACAAACATACCCAGTTCACAATTCATCAAAGTCGAATGTTGAACTGTGTGACGCGCGTACCAAACTGAAGAACCACCGATGACCTGATCTTGACACGAGCTCCATCAAGCTTATTCACACTTGCCTTTGTGATGCTGTTGAGAAGATATAGGCCGTCCTTTTTTGAATCCGAACAAGCAATGGCATTGGCGGATCGAAGGACTCCATGGAGCCTACACCGATGATATTCCAAGATCCACAGAAAACTACACGGTTGACAGTGATCAAACAAGATGACCCGGTGGCTCTTCAGTTCTACATACCCTATCTCAGGCCCCACAACAATATATCCCACCACTTACGTATGTACATGGGAACTACAGCCCAAATGGATCAACATCACTTCCATGACTCATGCAATGTAACGTAGGCACACATCGCACACATCCTATTGTGAATGTCCTGGCGATGGACAATCCGGAGAAGAAACTGGATTTGTTTATGTATTTGTCTTGCCATGACTCTCTTTTGAAGAAAAAAGACACCAGGCTTGACAACTAACACTCCAGACATCTAAAAATCGCGCATTTCCCTATTTCCAAGTTGTCTGCCTATCGTAAACCGTTATTGTACAGATGGAAATACCCAGTATCGGATCACACAGTCATTCTAGCATAATCTCACTGAGCACTTCCATATCCTACAACCTGCGTAGTATCCTCGATCGGACACCGGACATCCAACTACCCGAAACCCCGAGCCACCACTCACCTCGCGCCACACGAATGTCACTGTCGCCACATACTTTCACAAGCTAGGTGGCATCTGTGTAGAAAAAACGGGGCAGTGGACAGCACTCTAATATATATGACTTGGTTCCAGAGGGGCGCGATACAGAGTGACTCGGTGCCGGCGATCGACCTGGATGACTGTCTTGGCAATGGAAAAAAAGCTGCGCCAGAGAGCGGAAGGACGGCTTGGCTGTGTAGATCGGAGGGTCTGGCGGGAAGCTGGCGGTTGTAATCACAGTTGGTTGGTGGGGTTGTGATAGTGTTCCGTGGGCGTGAATCGGAATCTGGCGTGGTGTGGAGAGAGAAGAGTCATTTAGAATATGTTCATAATGCATTTCGTTATAATACTACATCTCACTTTGAAAGATAACCCGCCGTGTTCAAAAGTGATAAAAACATGACAACTCCGTTCTGGTGGATATGCCAGACCACGCTAATCCAATCATTAGCTCAGCGCCCGAAATGCTGATAGCTCTTTCCCGAGCTTCGTCAACCATGCTGTTCCAAACGACTTTCTCATGTAAACAATGTCAATGCTTGTTGGGCGTCAGCACTTGTGTCCCTCGTTCGTGGTCGGTTACACAACGTACCCGTCAAATCCAATGATGAGAGACGTCTATCCGGTCGAGCACGCGCAGCCCTTCCTCAACGCGGGGCTGGTGTGCGGCCAGCCTACGCAAATCTGGCCCGTGCCGCATTGATTTCCATTGATACCGCATTTGTTTTCAGTGCATGGGCCCGAGTAGCCTTGAGGAGTTGGGTCGGGATAGGCAACGGCGAGGGTGGCCAGGAGCGTTGCGAGGATTGTGGAGAGACGCATCTTGTTGGTTTGGAGGTGAGATTGAGGGTTGGAGATGCGGTGGATGTGTTGTCTTATGAAGCTTGTGAGGCTCTGATTTAGCCTTTACGATGCTTGGCCGAGGTGGATGACCCTGTCGGTCTGTGGCGTGAGAGTAAGACACGAGTGATAGTTGGATATATGATATAATAGTATTGTTGTGGTTGGTTCTCGGAGTGATGTGAGAGAGAGTAATGGAGATGATGTGTTGATGTTGTTGATTGAATGTCCTTCAGAACAGGGCATCTGTCAGCCTTATTATACTACTCGCGAGGCTGCAATGTGACCCTGTGACGTGCCCGGTCCCTCAGTACCATCGGCGCCCGAAACATACCCACCATACCAAAACAGAAAGTATCCATTCGGGATCACCCTGAAACGCATGGGGTTGAGGTACCAAGTCTCCACAAGACTACAAATTTAATTGCGCCTCTCAAAGCCTCTCGCGGATTACGCAAGGCAGGTGGCTGGATAGTCGGAGATGCTAGTAGCAACAAGACGACGCGTTGCGAATAATACCAAGTAAGCGGATAGAACCGTACAGGTCAGACGGCCTAAGTTCGGGTCGATCCAAGTTTCTTATCGCTGTACGCCTCTGGGTACTATGGACTTGGCCTTCTTGGCCCTCAGTGGAACTTCGTCGGCGGTAAGCTGAGTGGTCAGGAATGGCGGCCGATCATGCTAATTGGTCCCAGACTAATGAATTAGCAGCTATTTGAGTCAACCTTGCGCAGTACGTATGTGTCTCACCAAGTGATGGCGATGTGTTCTTGGTGTTGATGGCATCGAGGCGGTGCGGAGTTGGCAGAGGGAATGATGTAGATTGCCCAGACAGCCAAGACCTATCTGAACACAATGCGGTGTACACGCATTTCGAGATGCTCTAGAGTGCGAGGGCGACGGTGTAAGGGAATTAGCTCGTGCCGGGACGCTATGGCATCCGCATGAGGTGTGTGGCGAGAAGAGCACACAGGATGACCTGGTAGCGCGATTAGCGAGTGACATCGAATACCGGAGCAACACATACCCAGTGATGTACTTACCTTAGATGTGGAGCGTCTGTAGGCGGTGCAATATCGACCATTTCAGATCATGTGTTAATTCGCTACCGATGTTGATAGCTGCAGCAAACTTGCCAACATGGCCCGCGGCTTCCGGTAAGCTAACCATCGTGGCCGTAGTCGATTCATACCACCGGACGTTCAATAATAGAACGATGTAACGTGAATAGACCCCTTCTAACGCATATTTCGACGTTCGCAACTGAAGCTTGGTCGGCTTTTGCGTAATAGCCCTCTATACTGGGAAGCAAAGTCTTGGCGACCGGTAAGGTGAGCACCGCTGCGGGTTCAATGTGTCAACAAGTCAGGGAATTGACCGTGAAACCATATGCTTTTCTGGAAGAACAATGCATTTCGAGATGGAGAGTGAGGAGGTGACAATTAGCCAGCTGCGACCATGATGGGCTCGGAGCACGCGTTGTTATCTCCGAATCAGCCGCCCCTGCATCATCATCGCGCTCTACCCCATCTTCACCCCATCTTCCCCGCCAAGTCGCCATCTCCATCAACACCACCCAACCCAACGTCAATAAACGCATTTAACATGGCAAATAACAATGATGATTCCCGAGGCGACCGCCAACGACCCGAAGATAATCCCTTCATCGCCTTTCGCCGCTTTGCTGATTCCCAAGTGTCATCGCTTCTCAATACCGTGTTCACCTTGCCAGCCACAATCGCCAGCTACAACAACGCACATCAGGCACGTGAACAATGTCTGTTTGGGAAAGCCGATCCGCGACAATGCGACAAGCTTCGCGATATCGAAGCTGACATTGCAGAGCTACGGGAAAAGGGAAGGGAGATGTTCAGAAGGGGCGATGTACATGCCGTGCTACGGAGCAGCGAAGAGATCACCCAGCTTGATCGGGAAGCGGACGAGATTCGGAGAAACATACTTGGCGACACCGCGAATGGCCATCAATGCCAGCTTAGATGCCAGGACGGTACAGCGTTGGTGGAACGGGTGGCGAACGAGAAGGGTCAGGAGTGGGGATGGTCGTGGGACTGGGGATTTCCTAGACCATTCGACCAAGACAATAGAAGCTCCCTTAAAGCTTCGGAAGACGAGTTGGCCAATGAATGGGCGGAAGCGACAGCGCTGATGCGGTGGCTCACAGAGATGAGGCGACTGGACGACGAGTTCGAGAACAAACCCTTGGACGACCATGAGCACGAGTCTCGCATGGAATCTTGGCTGGATTCCTGGCATTGGCCAACGCCAACAAATTCATCGACCCTCGACATGCTCAAATACTCACCAATGCTACTTGATCGAGATGATTTGATGAGGCAAACTGGTATCTCATGGCGTGCTGCCTACGATGATTTGATACAGGCCGAGCAGGCGGAGAGTCCGTACTGCATGGGGAAAAGCGAGCAGATGGCCCGGCCATCAAGGAAGATTCCCATTTCACAGCACCAGTTTGAAGACTACATGGAGAAAGACATAAGGCGGACCCAAGGGAGGATCCCAATAACACAACGACAGCTGGAGGAGGTTATGGACGAAGATGGAAAGCACGGCTGCCCTGCCCTAGCGACAAGCAACGAGCCAAGCTACGAGTACAGTCACGATCACGAAGACCAACACGATGAATCCCCAATGCCAAACCGAGAGAACTTTCAGTTTACCGATGCATACAAAGGGCGCGGAAATAGACAAGAAGACAACCAGGATACAGAGACAGAGATGGATCACTATGAGCGGCTAGAGGCCATGTCTGCATCTTCGGCAGCAGCCCACGGAACGAACGACGCAAAGCCCTCAATCCTCTCAACACTTACAACGACTGAGCGTACCGTTTCCCCGGACGGCTCCATCACGACAAAGGTTGTGCTTAAGAAGCGATTCGCTGACGGACGCGAAGAGAGCACAGAGACTGTTCACACCCAACGCGGACAGGAAGAGGCACAACGACGTGATCCCTGGAAGGCTTTCCGTGACGCGCATGGGACACAGACGGGGAACGAGAACAAGGCAGGTCAGAAGCGGAATGGCTGGTTTTGGTCTAACTAAGTACGTTGTGTGTCATTTACGTTTCTAGCGTCGCAAATCACGACATGGCGTTTGGATAATCTTCTCCCTGTCTTTGGTCTCTCACATCTACTCGTCTATCTATCATGTATAGCTGCGCATACCCCTCTCAATTCAATCTATATATTCACTTGCATATTCACTTGCCGACGCACCCCTATGCTATGTCTTTGCCCCCAATCGATATTGTTATTTACTTCCTTACAGTACGTCACTGGTATTATGTAAACACATCGTTTTGGTAAAAAACACCCATTACTGTAGCGCTAAGGATTACAATCTTGGTACTAAGAATATCAAGCAGTCTCCTCCAAAGTAACAGCGTCTGATGGAGACCGCATGGGCTCCCCATTAGCCTTCTTTTGCTCCTGCACACTCTGCGTTTCAATAATAGTATTCGCACGGGAAATGCCATCGTCCCACGTGCTGTCTGACCTCTCGGCCTTATCCAGTCCCCACATGCCATCAGCAATACTTCTCGCCTTGTACTTGATGATCAAGCCCACCGACACAGGCCCAAGAATAGTATTCAGCATAATGGCCCAGACCGCCGTGATGAAGGCTTCCTTGGACAAGTAAGACGTGTTATTAAAACCGATCTGCACGACAAGAAGGCCAATTTCCCCTCGCGCTACCATGGCGGAACCAAGGAGCATGGCGGGCCAGAAGGACTCGGAGATGCATTGGCGGATCGACACGCCAGCTGGGCGGTTGATGATTGTGGAAACGGGGATGACGAGACCTACTACCACTTTTGTGATGAGCATGAGGATAGTGTAGACGAGGCCTTTCCAGATGGCTTCCGCGGTCCAGAGATCGATGAACGGGATGGCAAAACCGATGGATGCGAAGAAGAGGGGTTGAAGTAGGTACTTTACTACATCCAAGAAGTACTTTTCGAACGTGTGCATGAAGGTTGGAGAGATCTCTGGCTCACCGCCATCGTGCCCTGTCTCGGCGATAGATCGTGCTTCTGCTTCCTCTGCGTCTTCGCGTGAAGGGGGATGAAAGGGGCCGGTCGGGTGCTTGGAAGGGATGTACGTGAGCGAAGCACCAGCCATGAAAGAGCCATACAAGACCGAAGTGCCACCGAAACCCGTGATGCTGAGGAAGGCGCAGAGCACCAAGATCATGATGACGACGTTAACCACATGTCTCTTTCGTGTCTTTGGCAGACGTGGCTCAGCGTATTTGCGGTACAGAGGTGCGATGATCCATTTGTTGAGGACAGGGGTGAGTATGGCGAGGACACCGGAGACGAGGGTTGGTCGACCGATCAGCCAGCCAAGGTTTGGTGAGTCTTCGCCTCCAAGAGCGCCCAGTTGTCCAATTACACTGCCACTTTTGTTAGCAATTGGCACTGAGGGGTTGGGGGCTGTGTTGTTCTACCTTGCCATAACCAAGCCCGACACATCATCGAAGACGGCTGCGCTCACTAAAACGGTACCAACACGTGTATCGGAAAAATTGATATCTTTGGAGGTTTTCCCTAGCACTACGAATGTGGTACCGAGAGAAGTAACGGAAAGGGCTGCGCCAACGATGAACGTTTCAACCGCCCCATATCCAAATCCAATATAGAGAAGTATGTAGGTGAAGGCGACTGGAGCAACAACACCGATAGTAGCCGCAATGATAGAAAGCCCAAAGTTGGCCTTGAGGAGATCTAGTCGGACCGCGAGCGCACCTTCGAAGATGATGAGGACTAGACCGATGTATCCCAGTGCGATGAAGGCCTCCTGCCATGGAATTGGTATGATGTCACCACCAATTGGAAGCCCGTAGATAAGACCGACGATGATCTGTCCGATGAGTCCAGCCCGGAAGACACGGTTAGATAACCATTCGCCAAAGGATAGCCAGAAGAAGAAAGATACAAGGACGAGGATTTGAATGACTGTTTTGAATGATCAGTGAAGGGCTTCCGGGAAGTGGCGGTTAGCTGCTTACTATTTGGCTCATGATACTGTAGGAAGCCTTCCTGTGTCGCTGAAGAGTCGCCAGCCATGTTATTAGACAGCTAGTTTATCAGAGTAAGAATAGTTGGAAGGTGAGCTGCTCTTTTCCCTCCCTCCATCTGCGCTTCCACACCATCTTTAAACATAATCTCAACAGACCCGCGATTCAACAAACGTTTCGCAACCCAGATGCCTCCTCGTCTTGGCTCAGCGTGGCGTTGAGCCAAGTGTTGCGTGAAGGCTTACCAACGGATATCACGGCATCGAATTTCGAGGCAACAAGGAAACAATCAAGGCAATCATATGAATATGCGTAAGGGCGGAATCTTGGTGGGCATCTACTTGTCCCGCGTAAGACGGCTTGGGCGTTAGAGGATAGGGGTACGATGGATTTTCGTTTCCACTCCGCGCTTGGCAAGAGAGATGAAACAGTATAAGCCCGTCCAGTCGTGACAGAGGATGTCGGAGGTGCAGATCGTGGCTGCGTTCGAGATGGTTTGGTTCTGTGCCTACAACTTCAAGGTAAGTAGCGAGATGTCAAACCCATGTTCCGCATGTGTCCTTTCCAATGTGATGGGTGCATCTCAGATCCTAGATCTCGGGGAGCTCGGGTTTGACCGCCACCGTCTGACAGGAGGTAAGACGGTATTTCATGGCATACGAGAATTCCCCGTGATTGAGTAAAGCTTCTTCTGTAGCTTGATACTGCAGACGCGCAGAAGAGTTCGGTCCATCCAGTCCTCCGTCTTTTATCCAAGCATAGAAGGAACTACACAGTTCGCGGGCTGCTTTTCCCGTACCGCAACGTGGCACCTTACTGTGATATGAAACAGATAAGGCGCTACAAACAAGCAGCGTTATCGCTAGCGATCCTCTTTGGACGGTATATGGCGTGCAGACCCTACGCGAAGGGGTAGTGCCCTGGATGCTAAGCAAATTGGCGGTGATGCCAAGCTACAGCGGCTGAACGCAAGTGTGATAGATTGGGAACAGCACATGAAACGGCGAAGCGAAGGATCTGAATCTTGGGACGAAGAGCGGAAGCATTTTATAACGTGGCGGAGGCTGGGGTATATCTACATGCTATTGTGTGTGTGTTGTGAGCGGGCTCCGGGGCGGAAGCACACGATTCGAGGTGCGCTAGGCCGTATTGAGGCGACGCGTTGTTTTGGTGTCCGCTCCTCCCTGCCTTCCCATGCTCTCTGTTTGCCAATGAATGATTGGGTGAAGATCTACTCATCATTGTGTCTTGTTTAGTTGTCACATCACATCGGTGCGCAAACATCATTCCTACCATGGAAGGTACATTGGCTACGTAGGTGTTCAATTCGAGATTTGTTGTTCGACATCACTGCGTTGTCTAGCATGCTGGCATTGTGACAAGACCGCTGCACAAAAGCCTTGAGAAGTACGTTCGCAGCTCTGAACTTGGCTTCCTCATTTCTTGAAAACCATGACGTGCCCAAACTATTGTGTGGAAGTTTTGCACGACGCTGGAGACCCCAGTACGGTCGCGAATGACCCTTCGGACTTCAGAGACTTGGTTGAGACTATCTTACAGCTCGATTCTGCGAGTGCATACTTCCTTCAGGACCCGAATTTATTTTGCGATGACAACCGGCCGTCGAATGCAGCTACGAATCCCGATACCAAGAAATGCGTTTCAGAGACAGGGGCGGACTTGGAAAGACAGTATCGCGAACTAGACTCGCATTATGGCTGGGTGTTGGCATCTGACCGTATGCATGTGAATAAAGTACTACGCTCGATCTTCCGAAAGGACCTGGATGCAAAAGATTGGTTTAGGGAGGTTTCCATGAGGCATGTTGCTACATGTCTTGCATTGAGAGAGATAATCATGAGGTAGCGATAATGGGCGCTTCTGTAATGGACAAATAATGAGTGGGTGGCTCAGATTCGGGGTATTCGCAACTGTCGCCAGCGCCGAACTCTGCAATTTCATGAAACTGGACCATCGCTTTAAACCTTATCTGCCGATGCATCGCCGTCCAAAGCGGCAGGGTTTTCCTTTTTTCATAGATGTATTCCACATGATGATATCGTGCATTCACAGTACATTCTTTTTCTTGGTAGTAGATGTACGTCTCTTCCCATGCATGCTCTGAGATTTGGTCGCGCAATTCTCTAGGTAAAGCGCAGAACTTTCCCGCGAAAGTTTCGTGTTGGCTAGTGCTGAGTAAGATTTCGCACACTTAGGTCGGATATGGGTATGTTTCTCAGCGGCCATATTTTTCCATGGTGTTTGGTCATAAGCGATTCTTTTCTGGATGCCGAACCCGGCCACTGGTCTCATGGAAATCACCTGATCCACCGGCACCGTTGAGATTCTGGTCACTTGATAGGCGGATTGCCGTGGATTTCCACCAGTCGCTTCATGATATTGGCGGCGTTGTGTGATGACCGTTTAATCTAAAGAGAAGAAATCATTGCACTGGTGGAGCGTAATCTCTTCAAAAAAGGGTCAGGCTTATATAACACCCGAGTGACATAAAATACTTAACATACTAGTGTATAAAGGCTACTGTTCTGCCTAAAACACCTATTAGATGCTTAACCACACCGTTGAATATTTTTGTGCCTTGCAGGTAGGAGCATATACTTCCAAATAATCCACCCAGTTTGGTTGTACGCTAGTATACTCACCCAGAGACGCCCTGGAATCCCCGACCTTGAATGCTACGAAACCATTACGGCTACAACTCAGCCCACAGTCTAATATCGCGCGCCTTTATGCACTAAGTATAGGTTTAGTGATTGTTGATAAATGTGTCTTCGGCCATAGCGTACAGGATTAAAGAATAGCTAACTTTATTCATACGTAATATTAGTTCCGCAATCTATGTACCTTCCGTAGCTACTATTCATATATCTTCTTCTAGTTATGTAAGAGTTTAAAAATGCTTGTTTTTTCTTTAAGAATGAATGCAAAGAAAGGTGTAGAGTTTTCAGGACCTAGTATCTCCATTCTATTATTATCTTCGAGTTGATATACGAATTCAGGGCTCTAATTTATCTTTTCAATCATTTAAAGAAATTAGTAGTGGATATTTTAAGTAGTCATCTTTGTCGCATGTTTACTAGCGGGGAGTTTACAGACCTAGATATGTAAACAACATCATCTCACTCTTTAGCTATTAAGTCTATATCTTTATTAACTTGCCCTACGTATTTACAGTATAGTCACAATGATAGCATAGGTTTTGTGTGTTCTACTTTACAACTGTAATTAGCGACTGTCTTCGAGTAACAGCAAACATCTATGGATATGTGCTTAGACAAAATCAAGAATTACAATGACGTCTTATCTACGCACGATAATACTCCCACACATGTGCAAATTACACCCCCAAGTTAGTACAGCTTTGATACGAGAAAGGCTTTAATATGGCCGAATGTATAATTAGAGGGTCAGTATTGCTAGCACGACTCACCTTCACTCGCCTTTCACTTAATAGTCCGCCAGTCCAAGTTTAGACAACCCCGCACTTTGTGCTTTGACCGTGAAAAACACTCTCAGCAGAAGCTACAATAAGAGTGACCTAAACAAAACACGCGCTGGCCAAGTCTCTCTAGTGCACTGCTTTAACATTCAAAAACTTCGCTTTCTGTGCTTTCTGCGACCACACTCTAAAGACGCCACACTGCAGTCGCCAACACTACCTTGCAACCTCTGTCAGTCCCGACTTTCCGCTATTATGGTAGCTAGGCTGTTGATAGTCGTTGCCATTCTTGTTGCGCTTGCCGCAAGCGAGGTCCTCGATGCATCCCTGTTCAATGTCTCGACGTCCACCACCGAAAACGACACCGTCACAGTCAAGGACCTCGATCAACGCGCCAGTGACGAGCTTTGGGAATCAGCACATTGTAGGGGCAGCAGGCTGTTTCTATCCATGATGCACAACGCTCGTGAAGCTGCCACTATCTGCCAATCCATCACCAGTCAGTTTGACGGAACGTTCGAGACTGATCTGGAAACTTTGGGTTGGTCAGAAGCTGATGAACTCGTTGATGATTGCTTGATGGACGGTGATGGCGGTCACGGACTCGATGATGCACTCGAAGCTATTGGTGCCGACGGTGAAAGCTCTACAAATGGTGGAGACAACGTGTGTTACCATTTCCAGCACCAGAATGGTCCTGCCATACTCAGAGATATGAATGGATGCATACCATATGCGGTTGCGGATCAGTACTACGTTGTCAACGAGAAGACTTATAAGGTATGTTGATCGCATTGGGAGGCTTAACAAATGTGTACTGTCATTGCTAACTAGGCAACAATCTCCAGGCTACAGGTGCACAATACGACATGGGCGTGAATGCCCGTAGTGGGATCATCTATTTCATCGAGCGTAAATCCCCTGCAAATGCGGCCATGAGATCATGGGGTGTACCATCAGTCAGGCCCGACCAACTGCCAAAGCTTAGGGCATCCTCGGATATAGCGTGGGGAATCTGGAGAAGAAGGTCTGATAATTTGGCGAATATCAATTACTTCTTCTCTATAAGCGTTGTCAACACCGACAGTAGTATGATTATCGCTAGAGCTGCACAAGATCTTGGTTACAACCATATACCTGAATGGCCAGGATTATCATTTCAGCCTGGAGATGGAGACAGAGCGTTTACTGCTCTCCTAGGTATGTATGAAGATCCAATATTGTTTTACATTTTGCTACAGGTACTTTGCGGCAATAAAGACATAAGCTAACTTATCTCTCGGGATCTCCAAACGCCATAGGTGCAGGCTGGTTTCTCGCCCAGCATAAGACACAGATGGGACAAAACCGGTTTATCTATCGTATTACCATCTTCGCAGAGGATGACTTCGAACACTCCTTTCCCCATATGCTCCTGTGGGTAATGCAGGCACCACCACCGCCGCCAGTTCCGTTCCTGCCACCAAACCAGAACAACAGGAGACGTTTCGAATCCGAGCCGGCCAAAGGGTGGTCATACTCGCCACTAGAGTCTGGTGACAGAGAAGGTGTTGAGCCAGTGGGACCGCCGACGCAAGATGAACTGGACTTGGCAAGGAAGCATACAATCTGGGGCTAGTTGCAGGTGCAGAGAAGAGGCTGAGTAGGTACAACTGGTATCGATTTCTTAGATGCTTGCTTTGGACAAGAAGGACATGAGTGACTTTGATCTCTGGAAATACGAGAAAGGTACTCAGGTATCTAATAACATGGGAGTGTGATTATAATTGCTCAGGTCTCTGTTTGTTGCCTACTTGAATGCACTATAAGTAGCCGGGACATCTGTGTCTATACGTCATAGTTTGTGACTTCCAAAAATCCGATTTCTCCCACCAGCCCCTGCGCGCATCATGAAAAGATCTACCTATGTTCGTCAAGTTGATTGCCTATATTTGATTCAATACGTAGTCGAGAGCATTAGTTTCCTTCTAAATTGGTTCTAAATACTCTTATCAGTGATGGGAAGTGCTTTTCTACCAGACATTGTGTGTTCACAACCCGTATACAAGTCCAATCAAATGAATATCCCGCCTCTTTGGTCGCTTATTAGTGTGTTACCTTGAAACTTCTTTCTTCTACTAGCGAGCCTGTTTGATCTCGTAGCAAGTGGGACTTCGACCTATCACCGAACTTTTTCACCCTGGATGCCACCGCTCATGCTGCTCATCTGCAACAACCACATCAGTTTTATCAACACCACCAGCTTCATTGTAGCCAAAATTGATGACTACGTCAAACTAAACAAAACCGTATGTCGCAACCGCAAACTCTTCTTCGTTGTGGCCTACGATACATCGTAAGACACCCGATACCGCAGCACGCTGAGGCATCGGGATATAGTCTTGTCCAAGAGAGGTATCTTCGTGCTTTCGCAGCGCTATGCACAAATGATAGGTCGTTTGATAAGAGCGGCGATACCATTATTGCTACACTGCGTCTCAGTTCGGCTCCGAGAATGCGTTTGAATCCTGACTATTCCGCAGATGCACCCGTGTATGAGGTTCCGGAAAAGGAGAAGCCTAAGTATCTATGCAATACAGTGAGACAGATATGCGGGAATGTGCTTGGCTGATATTTGGTTTGCCGCTCATGGTCCTGCATTCTGCTCGGAATTGTGCGGCGATCAAATTTGCGGGATGTTCGCTGACGAAATCACTGCACAGGCTGATTTCTACACACTCGGGGTCGATTCATCTCATACAGTATATCTCAAGTGGAAGCTGCGAAGAGGCCGTGTGACCACACACAGCAGACAGATAAATTGCCGGGATGATAGCTTAGATCCGGTACTTTCGAGTTTGCGTGAGAAATACCCCTCACGATCCGGGACGGTTCGGGACATGTGAGCGATGATTTCATCATGCTTTTTGCGAATACGAACGACAACTGCGGGGCCAGTGATACCTTGTAAGGCAGCTACGATGGAAGGTGTTGGTACATCGAGCGAACGACTAGTAGGTAAGGTCGAAGCTCAAGAGATGAAGCAAAAGAGATCAGTACTCACCTTTACTCGTCTCTCATTGACTGCTTTTGCTTACTGCTAACGTCATCAGTGGCGGAGTCATTTTAGAAATAGTTCGTGTTAGAACGGTTCTGCAAAGTAGGAGCTCTACTTACATCATGTGTTTTTTATCCGGGTGGGCAGCAATTTTAATCCTTTGAAAGTGTATCTGGTATACTGTAGAATGCTATACTAGGAGCTGGGGATGTATGTAGAGAGACTCGGAGACGTCGTCACATACGATGGTCCAGACGCTCCGGATGATCGAAATCAATCACGGTGCCGGCTTATCTTCCTTGTAACAGTCGGACCGCACGGTGATCAGGTTTGGATCGACATACGTATGTATAGTCACCATCCCTAGCGAAGTGCCTAGCATGGTTTTTTCTTACTCTTTTTCCCATTTGCTCAACACCCTTACGCTACCCTTATCTAGTGCAAAACAGGAGGTTTCGAAGTCTTGTTTACGGCAATTTGTTACTAATTTCTTACTACGCTGAGCATTTCGCTAGGGATGTCGACGATAAGTACAACATGCATCGAATCTTGGCTCATGAAATCCCGCACCCAAATTATGCACCAACCAGGTAAGCTGCTGAGTGTGAAAGACTGCTTAAAGGAACCAGTCCTTCCGAATTACATTACTACTCTTCCACGGTTACCATACTCTCCACTCGCAACTTCAATCCGCGACTCTCTATTCCATTAACCTCTATCCACAATGAAGACCGTCACTCTTCTCACGGCGGTAACCCTTTTTACTTCGGACGCTTTTGCTCACTGTGCAGGCCTTGGTTCCGCCAGTGATGGCTCTTGTAACATATTCATTGTAAGTGCTTTATAAATCGGCCTCGTTTTATCGCACTGACATCAAGTCTAAATTTAGGGGGAACTTTTTGTTTTGGTGCGTAGCCTAGCAGCTTGTACTATTTTGACATTACTAAAAGAATCTTTCTAGTGTGATCTTACTGACTATCCTCCATGGTGGTGGTTTTGCTATATGTATTAAATAAAAGATGTTACATTAACTCTAGTGACTAGTTAGGTTGTACAAAAAGCAGGTTAGAAGGGCAAGCCGTATATCAGATACTGCTGCAAAAACACCCACCCCAACCCTCCAGCGGGAAATTAGTGGTTTATCTGGGAGGGTGTTGCCTGATGAAATATTCAGTCCAATCTGCTGTTGTTCACTCCTAAATCTGTCATACGTGCCCACGTAAAACTGCTAGCAATGTGCACATACTCTCATTTTACAGGAAGCTAATCTGTAGTTATTGGTGGTACATAGGTAGATTAGTCCCACTCAAGGAACGGTGTGAGGTAGTGGTAGACCCTTCGGTCCAGAGGAAGATCTGAAAATTATTTACTACTTAATCTAGCCCGTACATGTTTATTCGAGAGCATTCGTTTCAGTATACATAGCCTATTATTGACAAGCGATGTCGTTTCAGTTTCACGGATTTCACGCGATGATGCTGCCGAATCTCATCCTATCAGGTAGAATCCAGCCATCGAGCCACCAAAACCACCAAGGTACCGCTTCCAGACGACTTCAAACAATGAAGACGACGCCTCGACATGTAATAAGCCCAATAACACCCTGTACACCTACAGGTTCTCATACCACAGTAGTCGCACAGTGTTAGCAGAGACAAGAACATTGTCCAGTTGTGAAAAGGAGGAATTACTACAAATATGCAACACTGTACACTCCCACAATGTCGAATCTATCCTCTATCGAAACCCTACAATGCCTTCACAACCACCACCAGGAGGTCTACAAATTGCAGCCTCAAACTACTCCCAACGAAATCATACAATTCCTCACCAAACACAAACACAGATAGCTGGTCTATCCATTACAACCATACTCACCATCATCACCACACACCATCGTCACCATGGATCAAATCCTTGCTTCCACTGACACTCAGCTTCCCGCTACAACCTCCGACGAACGCCGCTCAAGCATCGTCGCCTCTATGCTCGCCGTCGGCGTCCCTGCCCACTCGCGCGTCACCTACCGTGCCCAGCCCGCAGGTTCCCCCAATCGATCTCAGCACATTTGTCGTCGCCATGAATGGGCTACCTGAGTCCATCGATCAGATCGACACGAGCTACTTGTTCCTTATCAAAAGCCTTCACATGCTGCAAAGCAATGCACTGGATCTCAATCAAGAACCAGGCCAGTCGATCTTGCGATATATGCCCAATGCCCCCGGCGGCCAAGGCGCCCAATTCCTCACCTACCTCGATGCCTACGCCTGTCTGCCCGAGTCTCGGCGGACCGAGACGATGGAGGAGCGTGTGCAGCTGATTCACCGGCTTTACGATGAACTTCCTCAGATCTCTCGCCGTGTCTTTGCTTCCACGCAGGGTTGGGATACTAATCCATACGAGTCTACGCTGCTCAAGATGAAGCTTCACGTCTACTCTTCCCGACTGATCTTGTACGTTGCGCACCTTCAAGGCTGGGAACAAGACCGCTTGACTAGTGAGCTGATCACAAACTTTCAAGCCTGTTTCCCAATGCTCCCAACAGAACCGGTCTTGTCATTTCCTGTTCTGCGAAATCAACTTGCGGATATTCGAACCTGGTGCGAGAATCAACGGATGCTCTTGCGGATCGCGCGGGAACCGCAGGCTGGCTTTTGGGATGATGTGGCTTGGCAGAAGGATGAGCCCGCAGAGGTACGTGATATTTCTGTGCCCGCTACTGACGCGGTCGAACAGTGTAGTATCTGTCTTCTTCCACTTGAGTCTGCTGCCGTGCTGACGAATCCGTGTAGTCATCCGCTCTGCGAGGATTGCCTCGAGACTTGGATTCACGCCGGTCAGGACAATAGCCATCGTTGTCCCATGTGCCGGACAGAGCTGTTTGCCAAGCCATCCTATCAACATCAGCCCCCGTCGCTGGAGGAGGACCGGGAAAATGAGGACTTCGGTCGTGCGCCGGGACGTTGGATTGATCCGGAGCGGCTGGCAGAGCAGGAGGTGGACCGGGAAGATCAGCAGTTCGATGAGATGTTGGAGCTATGGTTACACGAAGCGCGGGATGTTGATACATCGCTGGTTTGGCTTCAGCTGGAGATTGAACTTCATCATCGGGTTGTTTCGACGGGGCAGTAGTGATTTTCTTTCACACTTTTTTCCCTCCGGGCTGCCCATTCATGGGCTGTCACACTGATACTATTCAGAGTAAGGCGTTATCATTTCTCATTTCGATCTCTCAGCTTCGGGATTTTGCAGTAAACCCACATAACTTAGAACAACCTACAAAAAACGTTAAAACATAAAAAATAAAAAAATATTGCGATAACGTGAGCGGCAACTGAGCCGGCCGGGCAACTGAGTCGGACACTTTATGCAGCCCTCTACTATTACACATTAATAACTCAACACCACAACAAGCTTTAAAAGTGCACAGTAGCTTAAATTAATCCTCTATATCTACTACATCTTTCTTGCATGTGCGCTTATTATGCCCTGCCTCGCCGCAGTTCTTGCAGCGTCGAATACCCCCTGCACTACTACCTGTGCGCGCCTTCTCCTGACGCCTCTCTGCGTCTAATTGAGCCTCAACATCCTGTTGCCCAACTATATCTTCTGCCTCTGCCTGCGATAGGGTCCCACCCTTCTGGATCGGCTTCTTCTTGCGCTTTCTTCGCTCACTTGCAGCTTGATTTGCCTGCTCAAGACTAGCTATCCTAGCTTCAAGTAACGCGTGTGAATGCATCTTCAAAGTCGACCCTTTTTTCACCTGGGTAGGCCCTAGTGCAGGTGGCGTTGGCGTACGAGGCTTCACTTCAAGCTTCGATAGCACCACCTCTAGGTCTAGTGGAACTAAGCTAGTTGCTCGGAAGCTTAATAGGATGTTATCCTTTAAAAACGCCTTGTTAAAAACCTGTGTAAAGGCAGCTAGGAAGGCTTTTTTATCGATGTGGTAGATGTGGCTGTCTGCTAAGACTCTGATTTCCTTCTTGTACGCCTGCTTTAGCGGGGCAAAACAACCCACATTAAGCGGCTGTAGGATGTGCGACGAGTGTGGAGGCATACAGAGGGTAATAATCTTGCTTTCCTCGCAGAGATCCTGGAAAGCGAGCGACTTGTGGCTCTCGTGGCCATCAAGAATTAACAGCCTGTGGCTACCCACTGTCCTTGCCTCTGTATGCTGGATAAAGTGCTGCAACTAGGCAAGACTAAGCTCGTTCGTTGTCTAGCCGTTGTTACTAACGCCTATTCTCCAGTCCTTAGGGTTGTGGTACTAGGCCTAGTCGTGGTGCTTTGCTTTAAAGATAAAGAAGGGTGGGACAACCTAGCCCTTTGCGTTAATAGCAGCAATCAAAGTTACCTACTCCCCGTCGCTAGGCTGGACCCTAAGTGGTTTAAGACGTCTCTTAGACGCAGTTACTACCTTAACTAACCCTCTAATACCTATCTAAAAGCTAGTCTCGTCGAAGTTGTAGGTATCTTCGTTAAGGATACCGTACTTAGCTTTAACGTTACGTACAAAGTCGAACTAGGGGCTAATAATAGCTAGATTGCTGCACAGAACTCTCTGGTGATCGCGCTGTCTAGTTACCTAAGACTTAATCTCAGGCTTCCGGCGTACAAGGTTCCTAGCCCATTTTTCCCTAACCTAGTGTCTACCACGGGCAGCCAGCAGTTGATTAGCTATTTCGCGTACGTAGCTAAGCGTAGGGGCAAAGCCTCGCGCATCAAGCTTCCTTATATACTGCATGACTGCCTCCTCTTCAGGCCTAGTAAGCCGTAATAGATTGGGGTGGGAATCGCGTCGTGAGGTAGTTTTGGCGCGTCGGTCACTAAGGGTGCTTCGGGGAACGTTGTAGACTACAGCAGCACGTCGCTGGCTTAGAGACGCGTTAGATTCCATAGCTTAGATAGCAAAGATAACCCTGTCTTCACGAGAAAGTAATTCAAGATCAGGTTGTTGAGACATTGTGATAGGTGGTAGAAAGTGGTGTGGTCTTGGCAAAGTGTCCGACTTAGTTGCCCGGCCGGCTCAGTTGCCGCTCACGTTAGCCTTGATTTCCCCCTCTTTCCCAAAGTTTACATTTCTTACTCTAACCCCTAGAACAAAAAACACCTCTAATGCAAGAATACCACTAACACCCTCTAACCTCTTTGCCCTCGTATCAAGTACACTTCGTTGGACGTGCCGAGAAGGGGATGCATAAGCTGCTGCCTATATCGCCGACACCACCACCCCTCTTCATACACAAACACACCACTAGAGCAAACAAAAATAGACTAATCACTCCACCACTTTCACCAGTCCAAGCGGACAGAACGGTGTTTGCTGATACATCGAAGATATACTAGCGAGAACAAAGAAAGTGGAGAGATGTGGTTGAGTGCTGCGATGACAACACAGGGACAAAGAACAACAAAGAGCGTGAATAGAAGCAATATACAAGGGAGCCACGAGAACGTCGACTAATTGTGCATTTGTATCCATCCATATGTATGAGAAATACGCAGAATACAAGTATTCACATCAATACATGCATGCATGCATGCATGCATTTCCCTACCCCATTCATCTCCCCCCCCTTTCCTATCCAATCCAACCCTCACTGCCTCAAAAACTCCCACAACCCCTCCCCATTAACAAAATCACCCCAGATAACATTGACCAACCAAACATCCTTGCTCAACTCCCCAAGCAGCACACTACTCCCACTCCTGGGGGGATAAATTCTCTGCCACTCCTTCCAAATACTAAATGCCTCATCAAGCCAACTCCTAAAGCTGACAGCCTCGATAATGGTGGGAGTTACGATTTCTTTGCCTGCAAAAGTGCCCCACGTGACGGGATTAACGCCGTCTTCTTGTGAGGCTTCAAAGGCGCCGGCTGCGTTGCCTGCGAACCATGTGACTTGGTCGTGGGCCTGGAGTTTGGGTTTGAAGGCTTGGAATTCAGCGGCAGGGATGAAGAATTCGACGAAGGGCTTTTGGAAGACGTAGCCGTTTTTGGGGCCCCAGCCGAATATGGGATCCGTGGATTTGACGCCGTTAACGGCAGGTTGGGAGGCTACTGTCCACCAGCCTTTGGCGTTGAGGGCGAGGAGTTGTGCACTAATGGTCGAGGTTTCGGGGGATAGGCCTTGTTCGCTCCAGGGTATGGCTTCTAGGTCGCCTTCAATGTGGCGGCGGAAGAGGGTTGAGATGTCTTTCTTCTCGACGGGGTAGCCCCAGAGCTTGAGGGCTTGTGGTGTGGAAACGTGGAGGGTTGGTCCGTAGCCGTCAATCTCACCAAAGGCGGGAGAGCGCGCGTCACCCCATCGACCGTTGGGAAAGTCGTCCCATGTTGCTTCGCGGCCTAGTGAGCCCTCGCCTTCTGAAATGGCCAGCGTGTTCGCGCGGGTGTTGATGGGGCCTCGTGGTACTCCGGCCTCTTCTTCTGTGGCTTCATACGAGTGATTACTCGACTTTGCGCCCGAACCGTGTGATATTATGACTCTGTTGAACGGGCCGGAGTTAACAGCTGAAGATCGACGTCTGCGGGCCATGAGGCCGTTCGGTGGTGGCTCCAGGTTGATGGCGGGTGTTGTTTCGACTATGATTTCTTCGTCATCCATTATAGTCGTCGGTATCAAATGCGTGTCTTCTACGACGTGCGATACAGCTTTCTCCAGATTGAGTGTGTAGAAATGGAATCCCCTCCTGCATGTTTCCGGCCGCGCCTTGATGTGTTCCACCATTTCGTCCATGATCTGTACACCCATTTGCTTGACCAGTTCGTCATCGCTCTTCACCGCGTCCAGTCGCGCCAACATTTCTGCCGGTAACCTCGCGTGCGAGAGCTTGGTTGTCCGAAGGAGGATCTTGTAGGATTGAATCGGCATCAAGCCAGGGATTATGGGTATCGTCTTAAACACTCCACTCTCATGTTCCCTGAGCATCTTCTCAAACTTGTCGTAGGCCTGGACGTCGTAGAACAGCTGTGTCATGATGAAGTCGGCGCCTGCCTTAGTCTTCTCGACCAAATACGGCAGATCAGTCAGCGGGTCCTGGTGCTCTGGGTGGCTCTGATCCGAGTGGCCTTCTGGATAGGCCGCGACACCGATGCAAAAGTAGTCGCCATACTCTTTCCGGATGTACTTGACCAAGTCAATAGCCCAGGTAAAGTCCTTGTTGGAGTCTTGTTCTGGTGGTGTCCCCTCATCCCTATACTCCTCGCTCCTTGGCGCGTCACCTCTCAAGGCCAGAATGTTCCGTATACCTAGCACCTTTGCCTGTTCGAGCGCGTCATCGATGAGCTGGCGGTTCATGTTGGTACACGTCAGATGTAAACATGTCGTAAGGCCCAATTGGCGCTGGCATATCTCTGCGAGTTCGAGCGATTTGGTGGCCGTTGATCCTCCCGCACCCCAAGTAACAGTAACGAAGAGTGGTCGCAGCGCCTGTGACATGCGCTCTAGTCGCGTTTGTAGGTTCGCGAAACCCTACGTAGTCGTCAGCCTTCCATCTTGTCTACAATGGTCGCGTGAAGTGGGGCAGGCTCACCATGGCCGTCTTCGGCGGGAAGAACTCGAGGGAGAAGTAGTTTGCGCCATCGGGCAGCGAATTGATTTTATCCGTAATCTTCTCCATCTTTTCCCCTTGCTTGAGCACGATATGAAAGGTGATGTGGCGGGAGAGGTTGTGTCATGGCTGCAAGTGATGAAAGAACAAAAAAGTGCGGGCAACTCACTTGGAAGGCGCCGGTGGGGCACCGATCGACGGTCGGGATGTTCAACCTCTATCGGTCCAGGTCTTCGGCATTCAGCTTACCCTCCCAATTGGGATAGGCATCTTGCTCTGGACATGAAATGTTCGCGAGTATGCTAAACCACTATTCGCAATTGGGACACGGCTTCAAAACACGTCACAACAGCCAAGTGCGCATGCAGCTGGCGCATGTGCCGGGATTTGGGGTCCCGAATGCCAGCCCACCGCTTGAGCGTGGAATACATAAGTAGCTAGACGTAGACAATAGACTTTGGTGGCACAATCTGAGAACCAAGGAAAAGCATTCACTGTCTTTCTTCTTGAGGATACCATATAAGCCCTCTCAAGGTGCATCACACGTTCGAGAGGTAATACCGTCATGTTCACCCTAATCCTCTATCTAACCCTACTTCTAGCCCACACCACCACCTCAATCCAACAAACTCCTACCACAAATATGGCCGAACACCCACTTCCGAAACGCATCGATGTGCATTCACACTTTCTCCCGCCCTTCTACCGTACTGCATTATCCAAACACGGGCACTCGCACCCAGACGGTATGCCCGGCATCCCCGAATGGTCCATAGAACGCCATCTAGATATGATGTCAACCGCCAACGTCTCGAAATCTATTCTATCCATCTCATCTCCCGGAACACATATCACACCCGGAAACGACGCACTAGGAATATCTCTAACGCGCGAATGTAATGCCTACGCCGCCAACCTCAAGAAACAGCATCCCGAGAAATTCGGCGTGTGGGCTGCGCTACCGCTACCAGATGTTGACGCGAGTTTGGCAGAGATTGAAAAGTGTGTTGAAGAAGGGGCTGATGGTTTTGGTCTTTTGACGAATTATCATGGCAACTATATTGGGTCTGCAGCGCTGGATCGCGTGTTTGATCGATTGAATGAGATTGGTGCGACTGTATTTATTCACCCGACAAAGCCCTGCATCAAGCTGGGGAATGCGACGTCTTCAGCGGAAACGATAGATGCAATACCCCTCGGCGACCATTACCCCATTCCGATCTTCGAGTTCTTCTTCGACACTGCACGCGCTGTCATGAATCTGTTTAGCTCTGGGACCGTGGATCGCTGCCCCAATGTCAAGTTCATCATTCCGCATTCTGGAGGCGCTTTACCTCCGCTCATGACGCGCTTCATTCGGTTCTCGAGCGTGGTCCCTGGAGGTCGTGTGTTGAATGCTTCGACAGTCCGACAGCAGCTGGAAGATCAGTTCTACTTCGACCTCGCGGGTTTCGTGTTCGATGGCGAAAGCGGCGACAGGGGACAACTGAAGGCATTTGTGGAGGGGTTCGAGATTTCTCATGAGAGGCTGTTGTATGGGAGCGACTTTCCGTTTACCCAGACGCCGTACGTTGAAAGTTTTGCAAATCGGATGAAAGATGGCTTGGAAAGTATGTTTGACGCAAGACAAAGAGATGCGATATACGAGGGAAATGCAATGAAACTGTTGAAAGATGGGGACACTAGGAGAGAGAATGCTGGGTATGAGATCTAAATATGAATACGGAGCAATGTCTATATGTACTTGTACGGGTTCATGATGCCGTTCTGTATCACGTTAGCATGTGATGTTCAACTGAGGTCAAAACATATACTCACTGGATCATACAGATCCTTAATCTGCTTCATCAACTTGATCATGGTCTCACTCTTACTGTATCCAATGTATGGCTTCTTGGTCACACCCAAACCGTGCTCAGCGCTGATGCTGCCGTTTCGCTTTTGCACCCATTCGTATACAAACGGCTCCAGCTTCTTTTCTACGGCTTTGTCGAACTTTCTTACTGGGATATTGAGATGCAGGTTAGAATCACCCATGTGGCCGTAACCTACAACATCAACAACAGGGTGGGAGGCGTCGCTCCCGAGCAGGCCAGCTTCCGTTAAGCGATCGCGCGTTTCGTTGACCAGATCGTAGAGCTCTGCGATGGGTATCGACAAGTCGTATTTGTAGACACCTCCGTCATGGCCAAGGCACTCGGTAATGCCTTCTCGCCATGTCCAGAGCTCTTGAATCTGGGTCTGGTCCTGAGCAAGGACACCATCGGAAACGACTCCAGTCTCCATGACGTGTTCTAAGAATGCTTGCAGTTTCTGCACCAACTCAGCTATCATTTCCGCAATATGATACGGACTTGCTTACCTCGCCATCGTGGTCTGCGTTGGAGCCGCTGGTCTCGATTAGGCAGTAAAAGGGGTAATCGCCCTCTAGAGGCATTTTCTTACCCTTTACCCTGTTGACCAACTTCTGCGTGCGACCGTCCATGAGCTCGAAAGCTGAGAGAATCTCAGAGAGATGACTCTTGGCCTCAATGTAAGCTTTTTGAACCTTTTCAAAGCTTTCCAATCCAAAGTATGCCACGTTGACGGCCGGCGATCTCCTTGGGCAAATGATCGAGACTTTTGTGATGATGCCAATCGTTCCCTCGCCACCAATAAAGAGCTGCTTGAGGTCGTACCCGGTGTTGTTCTTCCGAAGAGTAGAAAGATCATCTACAACGGTGCCATCTGGAAGGACTGCTTCAATACCAAGAACGTTTCCGTGGAAGCTACCATATCGCAAGAGACGTAAGCCGCCGGCATTGGTTGCAACATTCCCCCCAATATAGCAAGACCCTTTAGCACCAAGATCTAACGGGAATATATGGTTCTTCTCTGCGAGGAAGTTGTCGGCATTCTCCAAGATGACACCAGCATCAGCTACCAAGATGCCGGATACTTCGTCAAAAGATCTGATTTGGTTCATCCTCTGCATGTTGATGACAATTTCGTCGTAGACAGGCACGGAACCACCAACAAGGCCGGTGTTACCACCTTGTGGGACTACGGCGAGCATATTATCATTGCAGTATTTTAGGATCTTGCTGACTTCCTCGGTAGTGCTAGGCTTTACGACTACTTTGGTATGACCTCGGAACTTGCGCATCCAGTCACTGTTATAAGGCTCGATGTCTTCCGATGCATCCTTTGACACACCATCTATGACTGCTGATTCCGATCCTAGGAGGTCCTTGAAATATTTCACATGTTCCCCATTGACCTTTGTGAACTTGGAGTCTCTTTGGAGATGAGGATACCTGCTTGGCATTAGTAATACCGAAGGTATCCGAGGTTCTGAGCACGTACGACTCCGAGGTGAATTTGATGGATTGTGAAGAAGCAGTCGGACCCTTTACACTACCATGCTCGTCAGGCTGGTGAGGCTCCGAACTCGCAGACGTAGTACCCGTCCATCGCACTTGAGTTATTGGTCGCAGACATTGTGTGCGCAACGATAGACGAGATGAGAGAGCATTACGGCGCAACGAGGCCACAAAACGCGCGGAAGTCCCGGAAGCCGCCATGAGGATTTACAGAGGAAGAAGACAAAGAGTGGGGAAGTTTTATGTCGCCATCGTGAACTGTAATGGATGACATAAGTTGACATGGGGAAGCACGAGCCATGTTGCTTGGCATGGTTTAGGCGGGAGCAGCAACGCGGACAGCTCTGGAGCTCCGAGACCAGCTTGACGCCTGTATCACCTTTTGTCGCCGCTTCTCACTCTCGGTCTTCCTTGGTGTATTCTGAGAATCCAACAAGCAAATCTTACAATACAACACTCAAGCTCTCACAATGGCGTCCGGCTACGATCGAGCTCTCTCTGGTACAAACACAAACACGCAACAGTTGGGGCTGCGGGCTTAGCTAACTATCTTAGTCTTCAGTCCTGACGGTCACGTCTTCCAAGTCGAATATGCGCTCGAAGCCGTCAAGCGAGGTGTGTAGTATGATAAGATTGGGTAGGATCAATTACTCATTCGCCGCAGGAACATGTGCTGTAGGTGTCAAGGGCTCGGACATAGTAGTACTCGGCTGCGAAAAGCGATCAGCAATGAAGCTGCAAGATACCCGAATTACCCCCTCCAAGATCTGCCTCGTGGACACTCATGTTGCCCTTGCCTTTGCTGGTCTCAACGCCGATGCCCGCATTCTTGTCGACAAGGCCCGCCTGGAGGCGCAATCACATCGTCTCACAGTCGAAGACCCGGTATCGATAGAGTACATTACCAAGTACATTGCAGGAGTGCAGCAGCGATACACTCAGAGTGGTGGTGTCCGTCCATTCGGTATCAGCACGCTCATAGTCGGCTTCGACCCCAACGACAAGACCCCGCGCCTGTACCAGACCGAGCCCTCTGGTATCTACTCGGCATGGTAAGTGCAATCACGATTGATGAACGACAAGTACTAATTAGGCTGCAGGAAAGCAAATGCGATTGGTCGGTCGAGCAAGACAGTCCGCGAGTTCCTCGAGCGCAACCACAAGGAAGGCATGGACCGGGAAGAGACGATCAAGCTGACCGTCAAGTCGCTGTTGGAGGTGGTGCAGACGGGTGCGAAGAACATTGAGATTGCCATCATGGCACCGGGCAAGCCCATCGAGATGTTGCCTGTCGAGGACATTGAGAAGTACGTGGAGAACATCAATACAGAAAAGCAGGAGGAGGCGGCCAACAGGAGGCCCGGACGACAACCGGGCACTGGCCAGGCTGCTATCCTCACTCGCCAGACCCCCGCTGAGGGCTCAGGATCTGGTGGCGCGTAGAGGAACGAATAATGAGTGACGGCGAAAAGACATGAATTGCACAGGCGTCTAGGTGGTAGACTTATGAATCTGTACATGAATGGCAGATACGACCAGCTAGTGGCTGTGAATGACATCTAGCATACGTGCATGGTCCGGCGTCCCTCGCCCAACCCCCGCTCAAGGCGTGATGTGTGATGGCTTGTACTACTTCAGTGTTGTGACATGGGCTGGCTGGCTCAACCCAGCTTGTTGGGTGCCTCCTTGACATCGAATATAGTGCGCATCTCCTCGCCTCGTACACGGTCATCCTTCAGCATGCTGCGGAGTAGTTAGGAATAGTGTTGGGTTGGGTATTGGCTGAGGTATATCGTACCGGGAGTCAATGCGTGCATCCTCGCCCTCGACCTGTAGCGAGGCCTTTGGAGTCTTGGCCTCTAAGACAAAGTGGTTGTCGCAGTGCGGGCAGTACTCGTCACTACTCCCCATCAGTACAAGTGCGAGACGAGAAGGTTGGTGGGTTGGGTACTCACGCGTCCTCGAACTCGCGCGCATCCTTGCGGAAAGCCTTCTTGCACTTTTTGCAGATAAACGTCATATCAAACGTCTGCATGAGCGGGTGGTCACTCTGCTCTTGGTGGCACTCTGCGCAGTCGAACCATTTTTTGCCTGCACCTTCTCTCAGCAATCATGTCACGGGATACATGGCATTCACATCATCACCAGTGACGTACAGCATGGTGAGCGGATCGAGACCTGGGCGTTGAGTACGTGTTTGCTGTTTGACCGTCAGCAGGGCTGCTGCGGAGTTGATGGCGGGGGTGTCGGAAGAGGGCGCTTGCTCGTGCTTACCACATGGCGATGTCTGGCGGCGTCGTCGGCGAGTGGTGAATCTAGTGCAACGGCAGTGTCTTTCACTCGAGGTCCAAACTGACGGCTGCAGGCGGTCTTCCAAGCTTGACTGCAATTCGCCGGGTGCCTGATCGACTGGGCAGACGACGGTTGGAGTGCAGGGCCAAGGGTGCTAATACTGCCCGATCGTGTGTCGGTAGGGCCCAGCAGCGCAGGTGGGGACGGGAATGACGGTACTAGGTAGTAAGACACGACAACACCGCCCTAAGCCGCCCACGCCCGCCGCAGACGCTGCGCCCTGGTCAAGAAAATTGCCGGCAAACACCAGATCCGCCGAGAGAGACAATCCCCAATCCCCCCTACTCCCGCTGACGGTTTGCCCTATTTGCCTATCGCTGAAACGCTTTCACCTCCGCCGGCGCCGGTCCCTTGCCCTGGTCGCCAAACATTCTTAGCACTGCGACAGTATACGCGTCGCTCCCCCGGGGCTGCCCTACGCGCATGCTGGCCTCTCCTACGCCCACTTGATTTCCATTGTCACTCGTATTTCTACCCAAACACGCCTCCTGCCCTCTGTTGCCTGGCCTGCATGACCGCCCACGGCCGCCGCCTCATCACTCCACCACGACACACTGCGCCAAATGGGAAGGAGACTGCAGTGGTTGATGAGCAGCTATAGGAGACATTCCGGTGCAGGCTGACGAGAAATATCCCCATCATGGAAAACCAACAAGAGGACAACACCGATGGCTCGTCCATTGTAGGTAACCCGCACTCCAAGACACCACCCACCCGCTTACACGCCATGTAGAAGCCAGTGTCCTCTCTCCGCGCCCAGTTTGAGAACCTCATGGGCTCAAACAAGTCGCCAGCAGCTGCCCCTCCCACGCCCCAGCAGCGCTCTTCTGCCCCTGGCGATCGCCTGGCCATGCCCGAGGACAACCGCCGGACCGATGGGCGCATATCGTTGGACATACCCAGGGACCGTCTTGGACGAACATCACCCAATGTGTCTGACTACAGCGGAAGTGGGACAGTGACGCCGCGCTCAAGTACTATTGGGAGGGTGCCATGGAGCAACCCCAAACCGCGACCTACGTCTATGATGGCCTTTTCCCCGCCCAGGTCGCCGCGATCACAATCACCACCCAAAGTCACTGTACAGTCGCCTCGGTCGCCGCCCAAATCTACAACATCCCCCATACTGTCACCGCAGCCCTCGCGACCCGTTTCGCATGCGGCGCTAGACGAGCCCTCTCCTTCTGCGCCCGTCTCCAACCGCTCGCGGTTCTTCAAGATGCCCAATCGCAACTCTACCAATTCCGCTTCCAGCCTAGACTCGAAACCTCTCTTTCCTGCCAGTTCCGACAATGGCCCCTCCAATGATCCGCGCAAAGGGGAGCGACCCGTTTCGTCCGCGCCACCGGTGCCTCCACCTGTCAATCGAGCTGGGAAGCCCAAGATCGGAGCCAAGTCTCAATCGATAGATACCGCCCGCGCAAACCTGGCCCCAGAAGCGTCAGATCCCGCTGACATATCTCCTTTCAGCACCCCGCCTAGCAGCAGCGGGGGCAGTACCAAGGACGAGTTTTCGCCGCCCGTCATCCCAGGCTTCTCCAAGCCCAAGATGAGTGCGACGAACAATGGATTCTTTGCTCATGCCGTGGCAGATAGATTACCACAGGGCGAACCGCGGGCAACAGGAAAGCAACCTGTGAAAAAGACTGCCCCGCCGGCTTCACCTATTGAACCGCCCGAAGACCGCTCTGCATTACCCCCTCGGCGAGAAAGGGACAACTTCGATCTCAGGAAGAGTGTGCAGTTACAGAGAGCGGCTCCTCCTGATTTACCCGTCAGACGTTCCTTTGATCAGACACGCCCTGCTCAATTCGCGCAAGAAACGAATAACAAAATCATACCTCCGCCGCGACGAACAAATACAACTGGGCCTGTGACTGCTAACCCAAGAAGACCGCTAGAACCTCCAAGACCGCCTCCTCCACGGAACTCGGGAGAGATTAGGAGACCCTCCGTGACACCATCTATGCAGGCCTCCCAATTGTCGCAGCCCTACACGTATGATTCAGACGAGGAGGACACAGACGCAGACAAACAACCTGCAACTATTTTGACAGACTATCCAGACGCTTCACAGGCAAATCGTAGACCTCCTGTCTTCACAGACGGCCCATCCGGCATCCCGACTGGTTACGATACCAAGCTTTTTGCCATTTGTGGAGATTACATATGCACGACCGGGTACGTGACAAATGTCTGGAACGTTCTGAATGGCAGACTGCTCATGAGCTTGGCCCATGGCGACACTGTCAAAGCCACTGCTATTGCATTCAGGCCCGCAAAAGATGTCGAAGACGAGGGCAACAGGTTGTGGCTAGGCACCAACACGGGAGAGATGTATGAAATCGATATCCCGACGCAAAGTGTTGTGCATACTAAGGGTAATGCACACGGCCGGAGTGTCATTATTAAGATATTCCGGTACGCCTCGGAGATGTGGTCCCTTGACGAAGATGGCGTGGTACACATTTGGCCGGCCGATGACACTGGCTGTCCGTCTTTACAACAAACACCGCACACATACCGCATCCCTCGCGGCAGCACCTTTTCAATCATTTCAGGTTCTCAACTTTGGGTGGCTACGACAAAAGATATTCGGGTTTACGCGCGCACCGAGGACAGTAACCACTTCCAGCAGCTAACACAAGGTCCCCTTTCACAGCTCAATGTCGGCGATGTAACCTCTGGCGCTATCATAAGCAGCCAGCCTGATCGCATGTACTTTGGGCACGCTGATGGCAAAGTTACAATATACTCAAAGAAGGGGTTTGAATGTCTTGGGATTGTAAATGTCAGCGTATACAAGATCAGTTCGTTGGTTGGTGTTGGAGATTACCTGTGGGCTGGATACAGTACTGGTATGATATATGTGTACGACACGAGGTCAACGCCTTGGAAAGTCTTGAAAGATTGGAAAGCTCATGAGAAGCCAATCGCGGGTATCCTAGCGGATCGAACGAGCATTTGGAAGCTTGACAGATTCCAGGTCGCATCATTAGGCACAGACGCCATGTTGCGCGTTTGGGATGGAATGATGAAAGAGGACTTGCTCGAAAACTTGATGCAGCAACGAGACGGAGAGTACTGCGAGTTCAGGGAGTTATCGGCCCGAGTCATGACATGGAATGCCGGTGCAACCAAACCCAACGCACTACGACAGACCGAGCCAGAACGAATCTTCTTCCGAGAGCTTCTTGAGCCTGAAAATCCGCCTGATATCCTTGTGTTCGGTTTCCAAGAGCTGGTAGACCTGGAAGACAAAAAGATCACGGCAAAGAGTATCTTCAAGAAAAAGAAAAAGAAGGAAACGTCTGACAGTGAGCACATGTCGCATCAATACCGAGCTTGGCGAGACCATCTTTTACGCGTTTTGGACGAGTACAGTCCAAAACAAAACTACGTGCTCCTGCACACTGCGAATCTCGTTGGTCTTTTTACTTGTGTCTTTGTCAAGGCCTCGGAGCGTGCCAAGATCCGGGATGTATGCGCCGCTGAGATCAAACTTGGGTTCAGCGGCCGTGTTGGTAACAAAGGCGCGCTCGTGGTTCGCTTCTTCATCGACGACTCTTCGCTCTGCTTCATCAACTGCCATTTGGCAGCTGGCCAAACACAGACAGCACATCGCAACAACGACGCAGCCGCCATCATGGAAAGTGCGCCCTTGCCAAAGAACCGTTCTCCGAGCGCTTGCGCGAATTTCTTCGTTGGGGGCGGCGATGGTTCTATGATTATGGATCATGAGATCTGTATCTTGAACGGCGATCTCAACTATCGCATTGACGCAATGCCTCGAAATTCCGTTATTGCTGCTGTTCAGCAGGGCAATCTGGCGAAGCTGCTTGAACGCGACCAGTTACTTCTCTCGCGCAAGCGCAACCCAGGCTTCCGATTGCGCGCCTTCAACGAGATGCCCATTAATTTCGCTCCAACGTACAAGTACGATGTCGGGACGGACAACTACGACACATCTGAGAAACAGCGATCCCCAGCGTGGTGCGACCGACTTCTCTATCGCGGCCTTGGAAGGATCAAGCAGTTGGATTACCGGCGGCATGAAGGTATCAAGGTCTCGGATCATCGCCCAGTCAGCGGGAGATTCAAAATTCGTGTCAAGACGATCAATTCGAGTAGACAAGACGCCGTAAGAGACAAAGCTGAAGTGGAGTTTGAGGCTGTTCGACGGCGGATAGCTGGAGACATCAAGTGAGTTTTGCGCACCCGTGGACTTACATCGGACTAACAATTTGTAGGCTCGACTACTTAATAAATGTCTTTGGCTTATCCAGTAAGGAAGCCCAGAGATTGCTGAAAGGAGCTTGATAGCACGCGGCTACCGATTAATTGTTGTAGAAATATCCCGTTCCAAGCTAGGCTCCGCGGAGAGGCGGCATGAACCATTTGTGTGATGCAGTCATTACTTGGCAGGTGCACGGCTACAAACTAGGCCTGGGCCTTGAGCTACGGCTCGGAGTAGAGAAGAGTGCAGGATCGATCGCGATGAATAGCGGGAAGGTGGGACACTAATGAGGGCTTGACGAATTGAACAGTGTAGAAAAGCAAAGCATTGGCAAGCGGGATCTGGGTTTCACAATTGACCGTATTCGTTGACGGGACCAGATGAGGGGGCCTTCTTTTCGATGATCGGTGCCCGCAAAAAGCATAATGGCATCTAAAGTGCGTATCATAGTTGCTGGTCATGGTGACGTCAGACGGCGCGCACCACAAATAAAGCTATCGATGACGGCAAACAGACAAACAAAACCTCGACATACCACTATATTTCCCTTTTCTTCAAACCTGTCCTTATGTCCGCAACTTCAATTGCATTCCGTCGGCTACCATTACTCACAACTCCACGTGCTCTTCCCCGTGTACAATTGCTTGCATCGCACCTCACGCGACACCACCCCACATTCTCCACGACCAGCTACAAGATGGACAAGGACCAGAGCCGCGGCGAGTCGACGACTGGAATCTCAGAGTGGAAGCAGCGTCCCCCGTACCGCGTCCACGAGAAGAATGAAGACTTTGACGTCAAGTACGAGGCCAACTGCCACTGTGGTAAAGTAAAGTACCAACTCAGTCGACGCGAGCCTCTCGACAGCAAGCTCTGCCATTGCACCACATGTCAAACACAGCACGGTACGTCCACCCACACCCCTAGTCATCTCTCCCCACCTAGTCCCCCACCATTAACACATCCCCCCCAGCCGCCCCCTTCCAATGGGCCGCCATCTTCCACAAAACCGACATAAACTTCACCCACGGCCACCACGACCTAGAATGGTACGACCCAACCTCCAAATCCATTGAGCACCAACTCCCCTGCAAAGTGCGCTGTTCCTACTGCCACTCCCCCATCATGGACGAGGGCCGCAACATGATTTTGCTCTTCCCCTCGCTCGTACACCTCAAGACGGATGAAGATAAGGCGTATTTCAAACCTCGCTGCCATATGTTCTACGGTCAGCGTGTTATGGATGTTCCGGATGGTCTGCCTAAGTGGAGTGGACTTAGTGGCGAGAGCGATCTGATTGAAGATAGCCCGCCTGAGGCGGTGAGGGAGCAGGAGAGGAAGAGGGAGGAGGAGAGGAATAAGGAGTTGAAGGGAGGTGAGCCGGATGAGGTTACTAAGGAGGGGACTAAGGCGGGGAAGAGTGACAACTAAGTGTTTGAGGCGTTGAAGGGGTTTGCATGTGTGGAGCGTTGAAGCATTGATGAGCGGCGTGGCTTACTTGGCCTGATTGGAGTCTGTGGAAGACGACGTAATGAATGATGAACGGCACTGTCAGATGATAAGGTCGAGGGCGTCTTGAGATGAAAACGTGGATCAGGTATATATCGAGGTGGAGCATACCAGATACCCAACAGAAGAAAAGTTTGTTCCATACTTGAACTTGGACATACATTATGTGTACAATGATCCCTCCTACCTTGGTATCGCTCTTCCCCACGTACCTTCTTAGTACATAAAGGTTTCATGAATTCAACCCTTCCACACTCTTCCCATGCGTACATATGTCATGCTACTTACTGCCAACTCGTATCTCTTGAGGAATACGTTTCTTTAACAGAGGTACCTGGATGTCATAAAATTCTTCACAATGCGGGTTTAAGCGCCTAAGAAGCACGGTCTAGCGACTACAGTAGGGCTTTGTAGACTAGTATGTTGGGTATTCTATGACATCTGGGTGTAGGGAGGGAGGAACCACAGATATATGTCAATATAGGACGATTGGTAGAGATGGAGTTTTGTAATTTTATCAGACTACAAGTAAAACTGATTGTGGTGTAAACTCATACTACAGCCATGTTGGCTGTTGATCTCGTTCCCAAAGCATTTCCACTCATACCCTTACCCTTATCCCTCCCATAACCACCCCTCACAACCCCACCATCAACCCTCGGCATCCAAATCCAACGCACTCACCTCCTCACTCAACGCATCCGTATCCATATAACTCTCCCCCCAATCCGTCCCCTCCTCGCTATCGTCCCAAAACACCCTTTCAAACTCCATATCACCCACGTTCCACTCCGTCAGCCCCTCACACCTCTTGCGTTCGGCCCACTCTTCAAATTCGCGGTAGTTGTTTTGGATTTGCTCTTGTGCGAGGGCTGCAGCTACTGACCATGTGTGCGCGCGGAAGGAGTTGCGCACGTAATCGTCGGTTGTTGGGAGTAGTGGCGACGTGGTACGTGCCGCGGCAAATTGCGGAGCGGTGGGCTGACTGGTGGGAGAGACTTCCGGGCTGGAGGTTTGTGGGAGGGTGTTGGGTGTGATGTAACGGATTGGAGCGAATGTGATTTCTTCGGCGTCGGCGCTGGGACTGGGCTGGGATTGCGGGTAGGGCGCGGAGGATGTCGGGCTGTGGGTTATGCGGTATTTTGCGAGAATGTCGTTGATGGTTTCTCTGAGTTGAGAAGGTTCGGGGGACGGTACGGTGAAGGAGAAGTCGTGGCTCTTGGGGGGCGAGCGCTGGGCTACTTTGTGGATTACGGCGGTTGTTGGTTGAGGCTCGATTGGCTTGTGTTCGGCAGGCAGGGTGGAAGTTTCTGAGGCCCTGCCTTCGAGCCCGTCAAGTTTCTGCCGTTTGAAACCCGTCTCTGTCTTCTCTGTGGAAGCTTCGTTGAAAATCGTTGTGGCTTCAGATAGGGAAGATTTTCGCTTCTTCGGAGAGCCAATCTGAAACCAATTATCAGAATTGATGACATCGTTGAAGAATGCATCATCGACTAGGTTTGTATTCTTCCACACCATGAGTGGCGTATCGTTGGCTGGGTTCTCAGGCTTCATATCCTTGTTAGCAATTAGGGATTGCTGCTCGTTCACCTTCCTCCAAGCAGACCTGTGGGTCAAGTCCCCTATAAGTACGCGTTTACGACGACGAGTTTTCGACAGCGGTGTGTTGGTGTACGAAGGCACCCAAGGCTTCTTTGATGTATTGGTGTATAAAGGCACCTTAGGCGTCTTTGATATACTAGCTTCTGGTGAAAGTGGATCTAATGCTACAGCATTCTGGGAAGAAGTCACGATGTCGATCTTGATGGTATATCGTGATACACATTCAAAGCGCACGCCTTCTGGGAACTTGACAACATTCCGAGCTTCGATCAGGGTCTCGCAGAATTCGGGAGACGTTTTCTGTAAGTTGTTATCAGCGGATACTCAGCAATAGAGTCATGCTCGAAAAAGTGTAGTACCTCTGTATTGTCTGGTGCTTGGGCCCTGAACATGCCGCCTTTGGGATCCCACTGAATCATCGATGAAGATTTCTTCACGGTATAGACAACCTCGCCAGTATAGTGCTGGTAGCTTCCGGTTCCCAATCTGCTCAAGACCGGCACCAATTTTGGCGCAATGACGTACTGTCCCATTGAAGCAATTTGAACAGGTACATTGCAAAATTGAACCATGGGCGGGTGCGAGGCTACGTGAACAACTGCGGAGAGGCAAGGATACTCGGTCCAATCTAATGTATACTGGACATACAGACATGGTCCCGCTGGGGTCTCTCGGAAACAATCATGTGTATAGACAAAATTGTAGACGAAATTCGCTAGATCTTCAGAGCCGTGTGACCAGCGGAAATTGCGTGCTGCGGTTTCGCCGGGGCGATGATCGTAAAGGGCATCGATCATACCGCGCACGAGGTCTTGAACGTCGATGTCGATGAAACGAATGTGTTGCTTTGGAATACTTTGGAGCAAATAGGGCACGAGGGTATACTCATCAAGAACCTCTGAGCTTGGTTAGCTATGAACCTCTTGGGTGTGCTTCTTCCAACTCCCTTGCCTTTGTCTTTACTTATTTGAACCATGATGCTACGGCGCAAACATGATTTGATGTGGCTTGTAAGACACTGCTGGAACAACGATTCCCAACGTGCCAGCTCCAGAGCTTGTGCGTTCGACATCCCTTTCCAACAAGAGATGTCATCGAGGTGGCTGATAGCTGTTGTGTGTTAGCCCTGCTGGCTACAGTATACCGTAAACTAGCGTACGGTGAGACCTGTTTTCGGATTTACGCAGCCGAGGAATATACATCTTCTGCGGCGATGAGTGGGAACCGAAAGCAAGACCTCGTACTTCGACATGGATTGCTAGACCGGCTAAAAGTTCTTCTAGGCTTTGCTTTTCTGCATCGAATCTGGACGTGGTGGCAGCGGTAGACGATGGATGGGTATGGCCGTTAACACCAAGAACGGTGTGTAGTGGCGGCTGAGGGCATTAGGAAAGTCATCAATCTGGTTGAATATACTTACGGGTTGTTGGACAGACATGGTTCGTATGTATTGTAGGGCGCTATAGATGCTCTTGAAGAATACAATGTCTGGATGCTCTGGAAAAGATCCGGTGCGATGATTGTGAGTTGTCAGAGCAAACGCTGCAGGGGAACATCATGATGACCAACAGGCGCCCTGGAGGTTGTTGGCTGCACAAGGAAGTGCCTGCTCGATAATGCGAGTACCACCTTCTAGATTGCGTCCATTGAGGCTCGCGTGGTAAGTCTCTCATTCTTGTTGCCGAGTTTTGAAATCTGCAGGAAGGCATCGACCCCGTAGCCCTCCAAACTATGGATCTCAAGGCTTCCTGCCCAATATTCTGTAGGGTCATCAGAAACAAACTCGCCAAAATATCTTTGCACACTCACCTGCATATAGCCGCGACATGGGGAGGCCAATGCCAAGGCGTAGATCCGGTGCGCGGCTAGTCAACGAAGACAAGGAACCGTGATGCATACCAGTATCAGCATGCTTGGATCTTCTGTCAAGTCTTTGTTGCATTTCGGCGGCAGATTCGCCCCCAGGTACTTGCAGCTCTTGCAAGGTCCCGAGCAACTTGGGTACCCGAGCCAAATTTTGGAGACGTTTCTCACGTCGCGGCCCTTTACTAAAGCTCCACAAATATGGCAAAACCTCATTCGGGATACCACCTCCTTGATCAGAGATTCGAATGATAACATGCTGCGACGTTTCGCAAATCAGAACTTCGATAGGCGGAAGGTTGTCATCTTTTGATTTACGCTGTTCGATAACGGCTTGTATGGAATTGCGTAACAGTTCGCCGACGATGTATTCCAGATGACTCAGGATGTAGGGAAAGGTTGCTTCGGTGTGTCCATAGATTTTGATTTCAGGCACGTTCACGTGAGAGCCGTAGGTGTGTTTGATCAGCTCCTGCATTGTCTTGCCGCAGTCTTGAACAATTTCCTTTGCATTGCATCGCAAGAAGATTTCACCAACAGCCTCTTGGTCATGTGGCGGGTGTTGGGCCTGGGGAAAATGCCAGGGCGAGTTGAAGGTTTCAGTAAGAGCCAGATGCTGTGCCGCAATGACGCGCCGGGAGATGCGCTGTGTCGTGGTTAGTAGTCTGGGGTTATCCAAGGTATATCTCAACGTACTGATCGCAGCATGGTGGTCATGAACTTGTCTGTTTCTTCTGGTTTCATCAATCCACGCACCTCGAGCACACCAATGGCTAGACGAGGAATAACGGTGGCATGCTCGGTCACAGTTTCCTCTAACACTTTGCAATACTTCTCATTGTCTTCGAGAGACTTTATTTCGGGCACACGGCGGAATCGCTCAAAAGCTCTTAGATATGACTCGTACACGTGAGCAAGATGTGGATTGGCGACGACGACATATGGAAGAGTTTGGATATCACGTAAACGGTGCGCAAGTCTGCAGGCCGTTAGTAAGGGCCTTTTACAGATGGCGAATTGTCACACCTCGTTGGCAGCTCCAAACGGCAATAGTTTGCCGAGTCGAGCAGACGTGACTCTGTCAGGGTCCTCCCGAAGAAGGTCAATTGGCGCAAACTTATCGGCCTGGCTTCCCGCAGCACCCATCTAGAGTCGCAGGTTAGGGTAGAAACTTCCAGACAGGTGTTTTCATCGGCATACTTACTCATCAAGGGCAGAAGAGGGTCTCCATGCAGGTGCAACTGCAGCAGCATGCGAAAGTCGCGCCTGGATATGGGATATTGGAAATGGGGCTCTAACGTGGGACGACGGTGCGGAAGCTCTGAACAGTCTAATAGAGCGTGGCGCACCTAAGGCTGAAGCACGTCTTCCTACAAACATGATTGCGGGAGCTCTGGAAGCAAGTGTTGGGCACTTGAGCTCGAGGCACTGTGGTTGCACGGAATTACGAGAGCATGTGACGGAAGACAAGCTTGCTCCGCACTCGGCGTGCTTTTTTTTGACAGACGCAGCCGCAGCGCAGGGTCTCAGTAGATGCGTTGGTTACCGGTTAGCGAAGCAATCAATTGAAGAAGCACAAATGAAGGATGCTGGGCGTCGTACAAATTACACGATGCTTGTGGCATCACGTCTTGCCAGTCAGATTCGAGGTGGGCGAATGACGTCGTAGGCCGCGGCGTCTTTGATGCTCTCCACTATATAGAGCGCCAAGGCTGCAACTCTCCAGACGGCGGATATTCTGAGCCTCCCTCGCTGCTCCCCGGTCTGCGTTCCTGTGCGCCCTTGTCCCCAGCCTCATCTTGAACACGGTTTGCTGTTGGAGTTTTCACGACGACAATAATCAGGTCGTCATATCTCCACCGCCACCTTTTAGCGAGCAAGACATCCTGATCCTGACCCGCTTCTCTGTCCTGCGCATTCCCTCCCGTGGCTTTCCATTCACTCCCGCGACAGGCGCGCAGCTTGAGCTTCCCTTTGTAACTTGCACTTGCTGCGTTGAGCGCACTCGGTCGTGCCTGCCTTTGTGAAGCTAGTCAAAGACGTTCTTCCCTGCTGCCTGTCCCGCACCTTCGACAAGCCGCAGCCGCCGACAGTAGGTAGCACGCAGTAACCATGGATCAGGTAAGCTTCTGTCACGGTACTTACAGCAGACAAGACACCTGACACATGCAGATTGAAAGCGACATGCTCGTCGACCAGGACTACGACGAAAAGCCCGACGTGGCTATAATCACGCCCGACACAGACGACCAAATGGACGAGGTCGACGCCGACGCCGAGCCCCGCGCCGACGACTATGAGGCTTTTATGAAGAGACACATGCCCAAGACGCTTGAGTACGAGACCGAGGACGAGACATTCAATACTTGGGAGATCAAGGACTGGCGCCAGCTCACTAGGCGCGAACATGGTCCCATCTTCGAGTGTGGCGGACATCCCTGGCGAATCCTCTTCTTTCCGTATGGTAACAACGTAGACTTTGCTTCGTTCTACCTAGAGCAGGCATATGAGGAGAAGCAGATGCCTGAGGACTGGTACGCATGCGTCGAGTTCATGCTTGTGCTCTGGAATCCAAAGGACCCTACCATCTTCACCACACACACAGCGCACCATCGCTTCACCGCAGAGGAAGGCGATTGGGGCTTTACACGCTTCGCCGAGCTTAGAAAACTCTTCGCCAACTCATGGGAGGACCGGGGCCGGCCAATGGTCGAAGACAACACAGCCAATGTGACTGCCTACATAAGAGTGCTCAAAGACCCAACCGGCGTTTTATGGCACAACTTCATCAAGTAAGCTCAGCAAGGAAAGTCACACGCGCCATTTTTTGCTGACTTGTCCTAGCTACGACTCCAAGAAAGAAACTGGCATGGTCGGGCTCAAGAACCAGGGCGCAACATGCTACCTCAACTCTCTTCTGCAGTCACTGTTCTTCACAAATGCCTTTCGTCAGGTACGTCCTACTCCCTTCTCTCTCTAGACCATCATTGATCGTTTCAGGCCGTCTACCAGATCCCCACCGCCGAAGAGGCCGATCGGTCAAATAGTGCCTACGCGCTCCAGCGACTTTTCTACCTGCTCCAAACATCGAACAATGCCGTCGGAACAACAGAATTGACGCACTCTTTCGGCTGGGATTCTAAGCAAATTTTCGAACAGCAAGACGTCCAGGAGCTGTCGCGTGTGCTCATGGACAAGCTGGATGAAAGGATGAAAGGCACCGAGGCTGAAGGCGCTCTCACGCGCATGTTTGTCGGCAAAATGAAGACGTACATATCGTGTATCAACGTTGATTACGAGTCCTCAAGAGTTGAAGACTTTTGGGACATCCAACTAAACGTGAGCGGGAACAAGAACCTCGACGACAGCTTCAGGGACTACGTTCAAGTTGAGACAATGGATGGTGAAAACAAATACTTCGCAGAGGGCTTTGGACTACAGGATGCAAAGAAGGGTGTCATCTTCGAGAGCTTTCCTCCCGTACTACACCTCCAGCTCAAGCGCTTCGAGTACGACTTCCAACGCGATGCCATGATGAAGGTCAATGACCGTTACGAGTTTCCTGAGGTGTGGGACGCCGCGCCGTACCTTTCCGACAACGCCGACCGATCCGAGTCCTGGATATACCACCTCCACGGTGTTTTGGTACACAGTGGTGATCTGAACGCGGGTCATTACTACGCTTTCCTTAAGCCGACCAAGGACGGCCATTACTACAAGTTTGACGACGACCGCGTCACACGAGCAACACTGCGAGAAGCGCTGGAGGAGAACTTTGGCGGCGACTATGCTCAAGCAAACGGAAACGCCGGACAGCGGAATCCTTATACACGCGCGTGGTCTGCGAAACGCTCCATGAGTGCTTACATGTTAGTATACATTAGAGAGACCAGGCTCGATCAAGTCCTCATAGACAGCAAGGCCGTGGAGCCGCCAAAGCATCTAGCCGAGCGTCTAGCTGAAGAACGAGCAGCGATCGAACGTAGGAAGAAGGAACGCGAAGAAGCCCACCTCTACATGGACGTTGCAGTTGCCTCCGAGGAACAGTTCAAGGTTTATCAAGGATTCGACATTGTGCCGTGGAAGAGCGATGTAGAGACGCCCGCTAGTCCGAAAATCTACAGAATACTCCGAGCAACTACCATGGCCGACTTTGCCGCAACCGTGGCCCAAGAGCTCGGAACTGAAGCGGACATGTTACGGCCGTGGTCCATGGTGAACAGGCAGAACGGCACGATCCGTCCGGATACAGCTCTCGAGTTCCCAGAGATGACGGTAGAAGAGGCTGCAAGCAAGCACGGCACGAAGCAGGCACAGTTCAGGATGTGGATAGAGAAGGCGCAAGAGCGTGATGAGTCCGGGGCCCCTGTTTTTGGCGAGAAGCTGCTGGATCTCAAGGGACAGGCTAACAACCGCCCATTGATGATCTTCCTGAAACACTTCGATGCAAAGACGCAGAGTTTGTTTGGTATCGGCACTTTTTACGCAGGTTATCAGGATAAGGTCTCTGATCTCACGCCCGCTATCAACAAGATGATGGGATGGCCGGCCGGCACACAGATCAAGCTCTCCGAGGAGATTAAGCAAAACATGATCGAAGCGATGAAGCCCAAGGTCACCTTGGCAGCTTCTGAAATCCAAGACGGCGACATCATCACGGTCCAACGCGTGTTGAACGACAAAGAGATTGCGCAGTTGGAGGCATCAGGAGGCTACACCGAAGCCAAGGATTTCTACGATTCCCTACTCAACAGAATCACCGTCGAGTTTGGGCCGCGGGTACCGGACACGGATCTCCCCACGTTCACCTTGACCCTCAGCAAGAAGATGGCGTACGATCAATTCTGCAGCAAGGTAGCAGAGTATCTCAAGGTTGACCCTAGTCATCTTCGCTTCACCACGGTTAGCACAGCTGGTAAGCCTAAGCAGGCTATCAAGTACAACGCCGCCTCGACATTGAACAACATTCTTTTCCCAGGACCGTACAATTACACTTCGAGCGCAACTCAGCGGAATGATGCCATGTTCTACGAAGTGCTAGACATGAGCTTGAAGGAGCTGGAGCAGAGGAAGCCCATTAAAGTGACTTGGCTTCCTGAGGGTCTCAGCAAAGAGGTATGTAATTGTACCAACGCATGTGATTGAAAAATGCTAACCAAACGCAGGAGGAACACACCTTGATGGTCCCTAAGAATGCCCAAGTGTCAGATCTTCTCGATGCCCTGCAAAAGAAAGCCAATATCAGTGACGAAACGATGCTCAAGGTACGAGCATACGAATCGCATATGCACAAGTTCCACAAGGTCCTGCCACCCGATCATTCAATCATTAGCCTTTACGACTATACGCAGATCTATGTGGCGCCCTACCCCGAGGATGACTCATCAAAGAAGATCATGGCATTTCACTTTGACAAGGAGCCTTCGAAACCACACGGTATCCCCTTCCAGTTCCCGATCAAAGAGGTAAGTCCAGCCCATGTACAGTACCATTCTGCGAGACATACTAACATGATCAAGGGCGAACCATTTAGCGAGACCAGGCAGCGAATTTCTGACTTTACAAAGATCAAGGGCAAACAACTTGATAAGATCAAGTTTACCCTAGTCAGCAGGTCACAATATTCAACACCTCACCCGCTTGAAGATGGTAAGCAGCAGCATCTCGAGATGGACTTCACACACTAACGTCATAACAGAAGATGTGTTATGGGACCTCGTAGGTGGACGCGATGATGTCTCACTCGGTCTCGATCACCCAGCCAAGACGCGGACACTCTGGGGCAAGACGGATTCCATCTTCATCCGTTGAGGGGCATTCACGGAGGTGTAGGATACAAGAATAGCACAGGCAGTATTGCTTATTGCAATCATGGCATCACATTTCTGGCGAGAACAGGATAAAGCGTACTGCGCGTATTAGTATACATGGCGCAACGGCGCTTCGAGCATGGCATAGGCGCAGTTGGGTGCGCGCAGTGCGTGGAGGTTTGCACTGGCGCTCTGCAGAAAATGTTTGTAGCGTGCTCATCGGATCATGATTAGCGTTCGAACAGTGTAGTCGTAGCAGGAATAGGATCAACACACTTTAAGTAAACATGAAAATGATGAGCATTTTGACCAGTGAAGCGGTCTTGCGGGGACCTTTACTCTTATTGGCTAGTCCGTGGTTAGTTCCCGCGCCTGCCCTCCACGTCGCATCATCCCTGCACCGGCCAAACCTAGCGCCGACGTTGGATGTCGACAGCTGTAACCTTCCAGCACACCGAATACCCAATTCACAGACGCAGTCGTCTCACGCCAGCCAACACGATGCGGTCAATTCTCACACTTCTCAGCGCATTGCTGGCATATACTACGGTCGTATACGCCACTGCGCTAACATATAGGCTGGAGGCACACGAGAGAGCGTGCTTCTATGCGCAAGTGGAAAACAAGGGGACCAAACTGGCCTTTTACTTTGCTGTATGCTACTTTCTGGACGTCAAGAAGAATAAAGCTAATCAATATGCCAATAGGTTCAATCTGGCGGTGCATTCGATGTCGACTACACAGTCATCGGTCCCACGGACAAGATCATCCTCGACGGTACCAAGGAGCGCCAGGGTGATTTTGTCTTCACCGCCAACGACGTAGGCGAATACCGCTTCTGCTTCAGCAACGAAATGAGCACATTTGCCGAAAAGATGGTGGATTTCGAAATCGCTGTACGTCCCGCAATCGCTCCTGTCCTGTACAACATCCATACGCCATACTAACACTTCTGCCAACTTCCCAGGTCGAAAACGAAGCCGCGCGCGCCAAAATCCCCTCCAAACAAGGTTCCTCCCCCGAACAGACCTCTGTCCTCGAAGAATCTATCCTCAAGCTCTCGGCTCAACTCTCCACAATATCCCGCAACCAAAAGTACTTCCGCACGCGCGAGAACCGCAATTTCAGCACGGTCAAGAGCACCGAGAAGAGGATATTCAACTTTAGTTTGATGGAGTCTGGGCTCATTATGACCATGGCGGGCTTACAGGTCTTTATTGTTCGCTTCTTCTTCCAGGGCGCGAGGAAAGGTATATTATAATCTTTTCTATAGACGGCTAGTCTGAGTTTTTTGGGCTGACTGTTGTTGGCAGGTTACGTATGAGCGGCGTTGCGTTGTGCAGACTGGGATAGGGGTCTTGGAACCTACAAGTAACAGGGCATGTGCTTTTGCATGGAGCCGGATAGAAAGAGTGGACTTTGCTTTTGTTTGGATAATCTGTTTGCGGCGCTATTGAGGCTGGAGCATGTGTACAAACACCATGATATCTTTATGGCTTTTGGGCGCAATAGCAGGGTCCCGGGCGTGGTATACTCTTATGGAGAACGATGGGCTCCAAAAATTCAAGCGCGTTGTAAGTGACATATCATGTTTCATGTGGCACTTCTAGCAAACTGCAACCTTTCATATTTGTCAGTCTCCTCACGTCCCTTGCATACCTCATTTGAGTCGTCTTTCCATCTGTGTTTGTGTATGCGGTATTGTTTGGATGGGGACAGACGGACTGTTTGAGAAGACGCAAGAGCTGTACAATACGGTGTAGGCTACCAAGAGGAGCGGCTACAGAACGGGCAGTGCAGTCAACCAAAATGAGCATTGGAAGAGACCATATCAATCCCAACCATCCCCCTAATCAAAAACAACAACCGCCTTAACAACCTCCTGCCTCCTAACCGCCTCCAAACACTCCCCCCACTCCTCAATCCTAAACGTCCTATCCGCAATACCCCCCAACCTCAACCCGCCAGCCTCAACATACTCCAACACATGCGGAATATGACTCATACTACAAAAGCTCGCTAGAATCGTAATCTCCCTTTCCCAAATCCGAAACGGCGACCAACTGATCTTAACCGCCTCGTCGTAAACCCCATACACGACTAACTTCCCGCCTTTACGCACGTAATCGACTGCAGCCTCGAGGACGCTAGGCGCACCTGTCGCTTCGACTACGATATCGAAACCGTGGGGGTTGGCGGCATGTAGGGCAGCCATGTCAGCGGCAGCGTCATCGGAGATGCAGATGTAAGTATCCGCTATACCCATCTTGCGAGCTAAATCAAGTTTCGGTCCCGGTTTACTCGCAATCGTCAAATGCGCTGCTCCATTCAACTTGATCAGTTGCGCGAGCAAAATACCCGTAGGTCCGCATCCGAATAACAGAACGCGGCTTCCTACTTCCAGGCCCATGCGCTCGATGCCGTGGAGGGCGCAGGCCGCGGGCTCGATGCAGACGGCTTCGAGGTCCGTGATGCGGTCGCTGATGGGGAAGACGAGACGGGCTGGGTACCGGCAGTATTGGGCTAGGCCGCCGGGTACGTTGCCCCCGAAGCCGGTGACTGAGGTGCAGAGTTGGGGTTTGCGGCGGACGCAGTGGAAACAGGTGAGGCAGGGTTCGAGGGCGTCGGCTGCGATGCGGGTTCCGGGCGGAAAGTGGGTGGCGTTTGCGCCGGTGCGGACGATTGTTCCGGTTGCTTCGTGGCCTGGGGGTGGTTAGGATGGGGGATGGGTTGAGTGTGAGGGTGAGGGAGGTGTACCAGGAATCAAGGGCCACTGGTATCAAGAATTAGTCTGCTATCAATAGTTCAGAGAAAGTACAACTCCCATACCTTTGCCAAAAACTCCCCTTTATGATAATGTAAATCCTAACCAACTCGTCAACACCACTTTCACATGACTACCACCGCATCCCACTCGCTCAACATACCGTCCCGCAAACCCCACAAGCCGAAATCTTAACCTATCCACTCCGTCAGCAAACCAACCTTCCCTTCCATCCTCTATCCTATTTCCCATCCTATCATCATGGTGAGGGTGATCTCACAAGCACATCATCATCCCCAATATCCGGTACATCAATTTCCACAACCGCAAACGTCTCCGGTCCTGAATACCTAATGCATAGTCAAATGTCTGCATCCTTCCCACACATATGGAAGCCCTATTCTTGGAAGCTCCTATGCATGTATCTTCTTACTGTAACGCCTTCATCTTTGCCGGTATATCATAGTTCTTGCCCGCAGCAGCTACAGTTTGGCCGTTCATGATCGTCGTACGTTATCGCAATGCGACTTTTTTTTCCGGTAGGCAATAACGGTTTTCTAGAAAAAACGAACATCGTAGATACCGACTGCACTCTTTATACGGAAGAACGTTGAGGATGACCGGCGTTACTCGACACGAGCACGGCTTCTAGACGCGTGTAGGGGAGTGGTGCATGCGGGGTTCGGCAAACCTTCCCTGGGAGATTGGGCGCTGGGGTTCGGGATTGCCGGTTTGGGGTTAGTGCGTTTGTGCGTGTGGGTTCTGAGGGGAGTGACGATGTGAATGTGAGTTGTATCGTTTCTGTGAAGTTGAGATATTGGGGGTTTTGTAGGTGAATGCGAGAGGTGCGTAGGTTTGAGGTGGTTGGCGGGATTTGTTGGGATTGTCGTGTTACCATGGGCGAAGTGCACGTGTATTTTCTGAGCAGATAGGATTTCTGATATCGAACAACTGGTAACACGGCTTTTTTCTATTGAATAGCCTGAATTCTAGATTTGACATCAATTCAGCATCACAGTAGTGGTAGTCAGATTTGATATTGAAAAAGATGGCTTTATAACCTACCGCTGTACATGTGGAGTGCGACTAGAAGTGTGGCATTAAACTAAGTTGTGCACTGTTCATTGTTGCATACCTCAGCCCTGATGTCGGCTTTTTTTTGGCCAACGTTGGCAATCATGCAGAAAGTCATCGGGCTGCGCGATTCTACCAATGCCCGATGTAAAAGATTCACATAGGTGCAGGGGGGCTCTGCGATGTCGGTCAAGTCGTTGAGCATGTTGACCGCTATACTGACCGTTGTATTGACCGTTATTCTGAGCGTTCACTTGGAAACTACGAACAATGGCACGCAAGTGTACTGCTATTCCCTAGTCACCTTGCATTGAAGTTTCGTGTTGCACATCTATCCAGACTGGTGGTCTTCCTTCCCTGTTGTATTTGGCACAACTATCGAAAGAATCAATAAAATGAGGGTTATAACCATTATCATCCTCCGCGTCCTTACTATCCTGCAGGGGGTAGTCGGCCATCAACCCGCAACAGAAGAAGATGGTGGTACTCAGTATGCCGCGGTGAGCGCCTCGACCAAGCCATGCTATGGCCTTCAACTCAAGCAGACGCTTATTTGCAGCCCATCAACAGCCCATGGGATGGAAACATGTACAGGGAGCTCGCGCAATGGGGCTATACCGAGTCTGAAAGGTCCCAAATGTGCGATTTCGACGCTTTCTGGGGTCTCGACAAAGCATTTGAGGGTATCCGCATGGATCCGCGGTCGACACAGCGACAAGGACCGAACAAATGCTTCCATGTCGGTCATGGAGATCCACACAAGACAAGGCCCGATGGTAGCCATTGGCAACTCTCTGAGCAGACATACGTAGCTCCAGGCGGTAGAGTAAACCGAGTATGTTCTCCTCATACGCATCGACGAAAATTGCTAATCTTGATTCGTAGGTGACCGGCGCATTCTCCACAATCGGCGTTAACCCCATCTCAGGTATGGTATTCTTCATAAGCAGAAAGAGCGCATTCGAAGCGGCCAAGGCCCTCTGGGGACAGAACTCGCCTCACGAGGATGAATTACCTGCACTACGAGCCACATCCGATTTTGCCTGGGCCTTTTGGAACCGAGAAGTGCGTTTTTCCACGATCACGGCTATTTGGAGTATCTGCGTTACTAATCAGATTACACTGAGCATTTTGGAAGTGGCTATGAAGACTTACCTCCCTCCTCCAGGACAACAGAGAGCCAATGGATTCCAGGTATGGCCTGGAACAGACTTTGAGATGCATACGATTGAGGCGCAAGCCATCCTAGGTATGTCGGCCTCTCTCACAACTGCGCAAGCAGACGTGCTTTATGTTCTATCGAGCAAGTCATTGAACTTCGAAGCTGACATGTCAAATTATAGGTACACCAAACGGTATTGGAGCCGGTTTCTTTCTCGCTCAACACAAACATCAGCTTGGGGGCAACAAGATGATTTACAAAATCACTGTCTTCAAAGCATTTCAACCAGTTACCGAGGACGACTCTATCAACTTGATCTTTTGGGTCAAGGACTCTGGTTTCATCAATGGGCGTGCCGATGTCGGTGTAGTTGGTAAGAATATCTTCGAAAAGTCAAAAGTTGTCAAAAGGAGCGCTGATGGGAGAAATTTTGTCAGGGAGCACACCATTATTGGTGTTTAAACAGGTCCAAGAGTCGTGTCTAGAAGTTTGTGAGTTGTGTTGGATTCTGGTTCGGATGGTCCAGTAAAGGCGGTTTTAGTGCTACCCTTGAGAATTGAAAAGTGCTTATCATGTGTCATTTCATGCGTGCATAGGTACATACTAGAAGGTTATACTTACCAGTTCATAATAGAAATCGCCAAACTACAGCAAAGATCCATGAGGAAGTTTTACGGTCTTCGCTGCATCACCTGGATGATACAAAGAATACTTGGCCGTGTGGCTAAGCATCCGATAGGCGTGTCTGATGCCTACAGTGACCTCTGTATGATAGTATATCAAGTATTTCATGTCACCCAGGTGGTATTCAGATCGAAGCAACACTCTAAGCAGTGAAGACGACCGTACGCGCGTCCAAAGATAACGCATCGTGCCGTAGTTGGCTTGACGGCTTCACAACGCCCGGAGTGCACTGCGTGGTGTACAAAGAAGTTATCACAGAGATTACAGTGACCTAACTCGGCATGTTTTGTGGAGGTTGTGCAGAGGATGACAGAGGGATGCAGTAGGTGCGGGGTGGCTTTCACTTACTGTGTCCGTGCGCGTAATGCAACACGACCTGTAATGCAACACCCCCACCATAAGTTGACCTTCACCGCAACCACCCATAACTCCACCAATATGACTTCAATTTTGGACGCGATGGCCGCAATCGATGCGTTGAAGCCAGGGGAACCTTTTAGCTACCGCCAAATTGCAAAAAAGATCGGTGTTGTGCCATCTACGTTGATCAGGAGGCACAAGGGGCTTACGCAACCCCGCTCTGCTGCCCATCAACTCCTTCACCCACTACAAGAAAAGTACCTTGTGGAGTATATTCAGGGGCTTACTAAGCGTCGCCTGCCTCCTACAAGACAAATGGTTAAGAATTTTGCAGCCTCAATTGCTCAAAAAGGAGTGGGCGATAGGTGGGTATCCGGATTTCTCCGGAGAAACTCCAACAAAGTCATCTTAAAATGGCAAAGGCCTATGAATCGCAAACGCCATAAAGCCGATTCAGGGGCAAAGATTAAGGAGTATTTCGACCTCCTTCACGGCAAACACGAGGAGCACCGGGTGAAAGCAAAAAACACTTATAACATGGACGAAAAGGGGTTTGCTATAGGTGCCGGCGGCAGGTCAAAAAGGATATTTGACAAACGCCTGTACCAGCAAAAGGAGGTGACTACAGCTATCAATGACGGAGCACGTGAATGGATAAGCACTATAATCTGTATTTGTGCCGATAGGACGGCATTACCGCCAAGCCTCATCTTTAGGAGTAGCTCAGGGGACCTCCAGTCAGTTTGGGTGGATAAGATTGATGAAGGAGAACATCAGGCCTTTGTGACGGCATCCGAATGTGGCTGGTCGAGCGACGAGATAGGGCCGAGCTGGCTCAAACACCTGTTTGAGCCATTCACCCGGCCAAAGGATCCCTATGCTCCCCGGTTACTCATCATGGATGGGCACGGATCTCATATAACTCCGGAGTTTTTGGAGTTTTGCAATCAACACCGGATTCTCCTAACTATCTTTCCTCCTCATTCAACCCATCGGCTTCAACCCCTAGACGTTGTAGTGTTTAAGTCTCTTTCATCAGCCTATCAAAAAGAGCTAGCCTTATTCACTCAAAACTCCCTAGGAGTCTCCAAAATCCAAAAAGGAGACTTCTTCAGTCTTTTCCATCGAGCCTTCGTATCCACGATGACCCCTGAACTTATCAAAAAGGCCTTCACCGCCACCGGCATCTGTCCACCTGATCCGACGCCTGTACTCAAAAAATTCAAGCCAGCCACCCCTAAGGTGTCCAGTTCGGATGAGGACTCAACTTCACCCCTCAGCGAGTTGGACTGGGTCAAAATCTATTCACTGATACGCCATATAAGTAGAGGTGAAAGGAGTAGGGTAGTGAGGAGACTTAACAAAACCCTCCATCAGCTTGTTGTTGAAAACAGGCTCCTCCGCAATGAGATAAAGGGTCTCACGGAGGAGCTGTGTAGGAGAGGTGAAAGGCAAAAAAGCTACCCCTTGAAACGCCGAGAACGTCTAGATACTCCTCATGGAGGAGCTGTTTTCTGGTCGCCAAGGAAGCTTCGGCAGGCCCGGGAGCAATGGGCTGAAAAACAACAAAAAAGAGACCAGGAGAAACTCCAAAAAACTCGGATATCTGAGTTGAGAGAGCAGGCAAGGCTGTACAAGTTGAAAGTAACTCAGGAGAAGCGAGCTGCACGAGAGGCAGCCAAGGAGGTAAGGATGAAGGAGAAGGCTGAGAAGGAGGCCGAACGCGCCCGCAAAAAACTCAACAACAACACCAAAAAACCTATCCGACAGTCCCAAAACGGTAAGCGCAAGGCATCAAAAGTTAATAACAATCGCAATAAGCGTCAAAAACGCGTTGTAGATAGTGTTGTTGATGAGGGAGAGGCCTCAGGAGCTGCACCGGCCTCACCGCCGAGAGTGACCCGGCACGGCCGGAACATCAAACTTCCGGCCAAATATAAGTAGCGCAAAGTAATCAGGGGCATCAATATACTACTACTCTATGAAATCCCGCGATAATAGCTATTGTGGGTGGCTGTACAGCCTCATTTTTGGGTGGGTGGTTGTGAAGTTTGGTGTTGCATTAACATGTTTTATAAGCGAGCCGCCAGTACAAGCGAGCCGCCACCTAACCAACTTTCTACACCTCTCCTATCTTAACATACAATGGCTCTACGCAGCGCGCCTCAATTAGCTTCAAACGAAGCAGATATACAGCTTGCTATCTCTTCTATTAATGCGCATTAAATTAATAGTGCTTCTACTGCTGCAGCTATATATAATGTCCCACGTACGACACCACGTAACCGACGCGCTGGTATACCTGCACGACGCGATTGCCAGCCCAACTCAAGGAAGCTTACCTAGAGAGAAGAGGAGGTGATTATCAGCTATATCCTTCACCTAGATCTACGTGGATTTGGGCCTACCTACGTTGATGTACGAGATATGGCTGATAAGCTGATGGCTGCACGCGGCGCTAGCCTGGTTGGCATCCACTGGCCGCGCAACTTTGTCAAGCGTACAGATAGCCTTCGGACGTGTTTCAACCGAGCGTACGATAGGCAGAGAGCTCTCTGTGAGAATCCAGCCCTTATCCAACGCTGGTTTAAGCTAGTAGAAGAGACAAAGACTGAGCTTAGTATCTGCGATGAGGACACATACAACTTTGATGAAGCTGGCTTTATAATGGGCAAGATTACAACGCAGCTGGTTATAACAGGATTAGAGAGAAGAGGCAGGCCAAAGAGTATTCAGCTAGGCAATCGCGAGTGGGTAACGCTAATCGCTGCCATCAGCGCTGGTGGCTGGTCAGTGCCACTATTCCTTATCTTCGCTGGCTAGTACCACCTATCAGCCTGGTATGAGGAGGATATCCTACGCGACTGGGCGATCGCAGTCAGCGACAATGGCTGGACGAATAATGAGCTTGGAGTTGAGTGGCTAAAGCACTTCAACGCTCACACGCAGGCTCGTACTATAGGCGCGCGTCGCCTGCTTATTATTGATGGCCATAGGAGCCACTAGTCTCTAGAGTTCTAGGAGCTCTGCAAGGAGAACAATATATATACGCTCTGTATGCCTCCTCACTTATCTCACCTACTCTAGCCACTTGATGTTAGCTGCCTCTCGCCATTGAAGCGCGCGTACAGCCGTGAGGTGGAGAGCCTCATGCGCAACCACATCAACTACATCACTAAGCTAGAGTTTCTGCCAGCGTTTAAGGCTGCGTTTGATCGAGCGTTCACGCCAGCCAACATCTGCTCAGCCTTCCGCGGCGCAGGCCTTGTTCCTCTACAACTAGAGGCTGTTCTATCAAAGGTAGATGTACAGCTGCGTACACTTACTCCTCCAGCAGCTGCTCTACCAGAGGCTCCCTGGGTAGCTCAAACACCAAGCAACGCGCGTGAGCTTGAGGCTCAGTCAAGCCTTATATGTTAGCGCGTGCGCCAGCATAAGAGCTTATCACCAGCTTCGATTATTAAGGCGATTGACCAGCTAAAGAAGGGCGCTGAGGTGATAATGCTCTCTGCTAAGCTGATGCGCGATTGGATCTCTAGTCTTGAGAAGGCCAACAGCGCAGCCTCAGCGCGTAGGCAGCGCTCTAAAAGGCGTATACAGAAGCATGGAGTACTCACAAAGGGAGCTGGAGAGGATATACTGGCTCAAAATGAGGCTGACCAGCAGATTGCTCATGAAGAGCGTTAAGGAGGAGCGCGATCAGGCGTCAGCTAGCGGGCTCAAAGGCGCTGCACCAGGTGCAAGGAGACTGGGCACAACTCACGCACATGCAACACTAATACTATCAATATAGAGTAATCTACTGTATCAATATCTAGCAATAGTATTATCGCGTTGTTGAGATGCGTCGCTTTGAAGTTGCAAAAGTTTGGTTAGGTGGCGGCTCGCTTGTACTGGCGGCTCGCTTATAAAACATGTTACAGGTCGTGTTGCATTAAGTTACAGTACGCGCACGGACACAGTATCCTTATCAGGCAAGGACCACTGCTCGGCGTACTCTACCCTTCATCATCAACAAGTCTCAGATTCTCGCGATACTTGTTGGAACATGAATACAACAAGACGATGAATCTAAGAACATACAACAATTCCACGCAACGAGCGTGCCAATGGCGACAATCAGCATCTGATCGGACACCGGCTTTTCTCAGTCAACAAGCCTCCATCACTCGAAGACTTCAACAAACTTATTACCCACATGTGAGCTCTATTGACAGGAATGTCCCAATCTACAATCTTCCTGACTACTCCTCGCTGAGTGGTGAACATCGCTCGGCATTGCAAGATGCGTGGATGACATTTCGCATTCTGGATCTGGCGTGTTTGTTACCAAAAAAATATTCAAGAATACTTCTTTGATCGATAGAGTGAGTGGTTTTTACTCCAAAATCATCGCTGAAGAATGTAGAGGTACTGGCAAGCAAGGCGATCATTTCGCTGGAGCTGGCACAAATGACCGTATCTGAACTCATTGTCCAAACATTGTCTACGAGACCCGCAGTCTTTTGTAGATTACCATTCGAACCCTTGGTTACCGCTCATCTCAGAAGCATGGTTAGGTCGGCATCATCGACTTACAGTGCAAGTCAATATCGTGAAGCCGGGCGCAAAAGCTCAGATTCCACACCGCGACTACCACCTTGGCTTCCAAGATACAGAATCTTGCGCAAAGTTTTCTCGAGCCATGCAGCTCGCTTCGCAATTCTTTACAATCCAAGGCGCAGTCGCGCATACAGATATGCCGATCGAAAGCGGTCCCACGCGCTTACTACCGTTTAGTCAGAAGTACGAGGAAGGTTACATAGCAGACCGCATACCAGAGTTTCAAGACTACTTTGTTAATATCTACGTCTCTGTACCTTTAGCCATGGGTGACGGCCTCTTCTTCAACCCTGCTCTATTTCACGCAGCCGGTCAGAATAACTCTGCAGACGTCATGCGCTCTGCAAATCTATTGCAGATTTCATCAGCGTTTGGAAGGCCAATGGAAACTATCGATACATTACCGTTGATTGAAATAACTTGGGAAGTCATTAGCAAGATGTACGAAGATGATGGATTGAGTGCTGAGCTTGAGGCGTTCGTCAGTGTGGTTGCGCAAGGCTATCCCTTTTTGACCAATCTTGACAGGCGAATACCAAACACAGCTGGGATGGCCCCAGGAAGCGAGCAGGAATTACTAGTCAGCTGTGTGAAAGCGCACTCTACCGAGGAACATGTGTTGACTCAGCTGAAGGAGATAAGAGAAAATTCGAGAGCGTGAATGCTGTCCTCGTGAGGTCCGGGGTTCTCCATGGCTGGGAACCATGGTTCACACACGCGATCACCCCACCGGGGACCAATCTAGGCTCGCAGCGCATATATTCACCACAGCGCTACACTTTTCTCGGCCATCAGATCTTAATTCTTTAATCCCACCACGTGACAAATTCAACTCAACGAACACACTTGTCACACAGGCCACGACTGCGACAAACACACATAACCAGTCGTCCTACATCTACGAACGCAACCCTCAGCCGGCCGCGAGACAGCGTCGCCATAATGCCTTCATCAAATGCGTGGCTCGATTACCCCGTCTTTGAGCATGCTTGGTCTAAGCAAGAACTGGCAACGGAACAAGACACAGCCAATCTTCGGGCAAACGATAGCGCCATGACAATGGAGTCAGAAAAATATTTCAACTGCCCTCTATCACGACAGCGAGACACACCACCCGAATCACCAAAGTATATCGAGATGCAATCGTCGCCCATGTCATCACCAATAAGTGTGTATTCCTCTACGCCCATGGTCCACCAACAGTCTCTCGATTCTGAGCTCCGCATACTCAACGCTGAGCTCGCAAAGTGCCAAATGACGCGAGATGCCTTGGCCCGACGCGAAGCAGCTCTTCTTGAAATGAAGGCAGAGGTAGAAGAGGAGATGAAGCTAAAGGCTGATACCGAGGCAGAGGAGAGGCAAAGACAGGAAGAGGAGGAAGAGGAGAGCGATGTTGACGAGGTGCTGTTCATGCGAAACGTCCAAAAAAGGGTAGAAGACGGACTGAAGAACTATGGTACCCGGACGAGTGATACGATGAGGGGAAGACATGACACGCGAGACCAGGATCAAGAGAAAGAAAAGGCGACAAAACCTGTGCCCATCAGCGCCCCAGAACGGAGAAGGCTAGCACGCCTGGCCTTACTCAAACGAGATCCCCGTCTTGCTAACTAAGCTGGGAAGAATCTGTCGTGTAGTCGCTACCATGTTCTTGTGAATTTCTTAGCACATGAAATATGTTTGTTACGCTCGTCCAACACCTGCAGGTAATTTCGAGGTGGTGGTTTATGATTGGACTCCACTGCTTTCAGTACAATATCGGCATTGAAGTTGTAATTCATCAGCGAATACACACCCATCACCAACTCCATCTTGCGCAACAATATTGACTGTGCGATCAAGATCGTGTGAATAGTCAGAGATTTATTTCAAGCGGGCGCTCTGCTGTACAAGCACCGTTCGCGCTCACCAGGTAATATGTGTCTATGACTTTGCGCGACGCTGTGGCAGTGCAAACGATTCCGCTCTTCAATTTCGAGGAAACTTGGATATGCTTCACAGGTACGCGCCACTAATACTTTCCGCTCCTTTCTTAGTATATGAAGTCTCCGTCCACCCAGACATAGCTCCCAGGTTCTACACACCACATCATCATCAACGGCATCTGTCACATCTACTACAACGGGAACAGATCAGGCCCATCAGACACATATCTTCTCGGTCACCAACGTCTTCAAGACTTGAAACCACAGTCCACCCGACACAACCAGTCTCACAAGCTACATCCGCCAACTACCTCTATCTCTACCTCCACCACACCAACTCACCCACCAGCCCAATCCACCTCCATCCCCAAAGATGTCACACAACACCCCCACCACCCTCCTAAAACTAGCTGCCGACCTCTCCAAACTCAGCACCGACCTGGCCGCCGCGGGCGCCACACTGGCCGCCGCCGCAGCAACCCTGGAGCAGGAGGCAGCAACCGTCGCGTGGGCGAATGCGCAGAGGTGGGGTGTCGATGTGCAGGTTGCTGTTAGAGCTGGTCCAGGGGCGTATGCACAGCATGATCAGGGCGGCGAGGTAGTTGTTAATGGGGTGAGGAAGTAAAGATGGGTATGTGGGAGGGGAGGGATAGGATGGTGGGGGAGGAGGGAGCAAGTAGAGGGGATGAATGGGGATCGGGGTTGTTTATGTTTGGGGTAGCAGTGGGTAAGAGATGAATCTTCCGGATATGCGCGACAGGGGGAAGGGGGATGAGATTCTTGTTTTCTTTCTTGGTAGTAGAGCTGTCCCAGGTTCATCTCTTTGACGGTGGAGGACACGAGGAAGTAGAACAGCGACAGCTATTACCTACGTGCGATTTGACCTATCAGCAGCAGAAGGGGACCTGCATATTGCGGACTTTGGTACTATCCACTCATGTCAACTTTATCAACTCGATCAATATACATTTCCACTCCACTCCACTCGCCCTTGTATACCTCTACCACAGACTCACATGCAACCACATGCCTCCCTCTTACATAACCACCTCCCCTACTAGTCCCCCCAACCCCTAGCCGCCCGAAAAGGTCTAATCAGATCATCAGATTACCCCGACATCGGCATCGGACACCACCACCGCACCCCTCTTACACCATAGTCCCAAACACCGAGTCATCTCCCTCCAGCCCTCCCAATCCAAACAAGCGGTGTAAACGCCCTACCACACCCGGTCTAGCCCCACCGCCGGTTTTGTGGCGAGTAAATGGCGTGACCGCAACGGAACCAAACAGCTCCGATCACATGTTTCTGGGCTGATGTGTGTGTGTTTTTGCAAAACCGTTGGGGCAGCAGGCGCGGGCCGATTCTAGAACACAGGGCAGCGCAGGGCACAGGCACAGCACAGCATGACAGAACGTAAGAATGAGGGGTGGGGGGCATGTGAAAGTAAGCACTACACGGCCCACACACATAACAGGGTAGAAAATTGATCTTGTGAATATCCGCATGACAGATACGCGTGTATGTGTGAATTGTTGAGAAACGTGTTCGTGATTATGTCTACCCGGTTAAAAAACGCCAGACGCATATGTGTAGCAAAGTCAGTAGTAGTGGTAGTCATCAGCCATAAAAAAGGCAATCGCAAGATTGATCCGCCCAACAGGTAAACACCGTGTGATTGTGTTAATCAAACATGCAAATAAAGAAAAGGTAAAGCAATCAACCCCCAGAATTCGCCTATCAATCAAACACGCAATGGAAACCATGAGATTCAAGCCCACATCCAGACATCTCTTGAGATGTACTGGGAAAAGGCCGTGTTGCTTTTCTTCCACAAAAAAAGACAGCCGAAACAAAAGAACATGACGCCAGAGGTAGGTATATTACCAACCGCAGTCAAGAGCATAGTACTTATTACATACCAATCTTATACTGCGAGACAGCATCCATCATATCGTGATCTTGAGCTTCGGTGGTCGGAGAAAAGGACGCTTGGCGCCTCTCCTCTGCCTCCTCGATGAGCGCCCTATGAGATCCATCAGATGCGCGAGGCCGTAGAGGACGCTGGGCGTGTTGGAGTGTGGTGAGGATACTGCTGGCGTCGAGCTCCATGGCGCTGTACAGGCCAGGTTCCATGCTGAATGAGTTGCGGCGGTCTTCTTGCTGGGGAAAAGGTCGTGGGACAGGTTTGAGCTGGCGCCAGTCCATGGCATTCGGATCGGTGTTGACTCGGCCGTCGAGTAGCTTGAAGGCTTCACTACAGCCTACTGTACGTCCGCTGCCGATGGGTGATGAGGAGCCGGCTTGCATGTCGAAGGCTGTTGATACCTTTGGCTCCATGACGTCTAGGGAGCTGCTTCTGCTCGAGTTGCGCCGTGAGAGGGGTGGAGTGGCTTCGCTTCGGAGTTGTGCGACTCGCTGGCACCAAGCTCGTTGCCTGGGATTCGACTGACAATCTTCACAAGAGCCGGGTCCTGTCATAGCCATCTTGTGTTTGGCGGTCTTGCTCGAAGAGCGCGGTGAAATACGTGCCATTGGAGTCGGCTCATTCTCAACCTTTGCCTCCACGCCAACACAAATGCAAATCTCCTTTTGGCCTTGACAGAAGCCGCAGTCGGCGACTTTAGTATCTTCAGTGACGGACGCGAATGATGGCGGATCCTGCGTCTGCAATGTAGGCTTCCGGAAGCTGGTGGTAAAGTCGGTCTCAAACTCTTCATGACCATGCTGTCCCTCATCTTCAGGCTGGCCATGAGCAGTTGTATTTACGCCTTCCATTGGAACAGATGCATCATCGAAGTTCAAGCCGTTGGTCATCTCGGCAAAGCAAGCGCAGTGGTCGGGTGTGCATCGGTTGCAGGCAGCATCCGTGTTCTGTGAACTACCGACGTTGATCTCGTCGAAAGATACATGCGTGGGACTATCGTGTCGTACATCGTAGTGCGTCGGCATAGGGTACTGAGATGATTGATGCTGTAACGTAGGATCCTGGCCTTGCATTTGCGCGTCTTCGCCACATTTCGCTCTAAGCCTTCGGATCTCTTCTTGCATGAGCTGGTTCTCGTGCCAGAGCTGTTGATTTCTATTCAACAGTTGTTGCGTCTCCTCTTGAGAGATGACAAGCTCATTATGTTTTTCCTTGAGAAGGGCCTCTAGCCTGTTATTCGCTTCCCTAAACTCGTCCTCTTTCTGAAGTTTTCGTTGGCGGAAGTTGCGTTGTGCCTCGCGATTTTGGGCTTTGCGCTTGCTCTCGGGCTCGGTTTTGGCAGGCTTGCGCCCAGGCTTCGGTCGTGCTTGAATCACATATCCACGACTTGTAGGCCCCCCACCAGCAGGCGGTGAGGGGCCGCTACTGTTCACAGTCGTAGACACGGTGGCGATAGCCTCTTGAGGGGTGGCGGCGCGCGTCAGTGGGGTTGGGATTATCTCTCGACGGCTGTCAGTTCATGCACAGCCGACGGTCGCGGCGAACCGCGAGAAAAGCAAGCAACAGCAACTTACTGCGACCACGTGTATCAAGGATTGTTGGTACCTGTGAAACAGCCCCTGGTGACCCCGCACAAGATCCGGAGTTACTGTAGCTATCAGAGGCAGGCGTTGTGGCGTTACAAGCTGCAGCAACCGCGGACATGATTGCGCTTTGGTGTTGCGGTTGCGAATGGGGTACAGGTCCGTTATCAGATGAGGATCCTAGTTTATCAGATCAAACCATGAGCCGAGCCATGCCGAACTCGGAGCGGGTCGGAAAAACCTGCCGCCTCTAGCCTGGCAACGGCAAGTACCGCCGCATTATCATCGAGGCAAAGGCATGCAGATCTAGGTCTATATGACCTGTGTGGGGGTTTTTATGGGTAGTCTCGGACATTTTGTGTTCTTCAGGAGTAGTTTGACAAGCTACATACATAACATACGCACGGCTCCCACCACGGCTGCATCGAAACCAACGCCATTACTCCGGCTAAACGCATATCCATCTATGCGCTGGCTCTGTATACAACGCTACCTCCATGTCTAAATCTAATCGTCTCACGAGCGTTCATCACATGTAGAGCCCTTGCGAGAGCTTGCTCAGAGTAGCCCTTTCCGTCAACCATTTCGCGTTTGAGCGTGGACAAGTTGATTTGCCATCCAACAGCCATGCGTCTGCGGAGCTCATCTTCAACCTTGCTGACTTCATCCATGAGCTCCTTTGAGCTCTGGCCTTCGCCTTGATTGACAGCATCCATGGTAGATGCGAGGAACAGGCGGATCGCTTCATCGACATGCGTCTCGCCTGCTATCGGGCTCAGAGATAGCTTGGCTAGCGACTCGGTGATACGGATGATGGCTTCCAACTGACGAACTGTAATCGGGATGCTAGATCGCTGGTTTGCGTTGATTTCCGAGGCGTGTACTTGCCGCCTGATGCTAACAAAGTGACTCGAAAGCTTTTCAGCTGCTTCTGGCGACAGTCGTGGAGCGCACCTTTGCCTGCAGTATGTGATGTAGCGCTTCATCTTGTCAATTGGAATCTCAGCCTGCACCGTCTCTTCGACGCCTCGACCACCCATGGCAATGCCCATGACGTGCTTCGCTATCCTCTCGTCACGGCCGCGATCGTGCTCGTCGCGCACGATGAAGATCATGTCAAAACGCGAGAGGATGGTAGTTTGGAAATCAATGTTCTCGCCAGGTGTCTTCATATCGTCGTAGCGTCCAAAGATGGGATTGGCTGCTGCGAGTACTGATGTCCTTGAGTTGAGAATCGTGGTGATGCCTGCTTTCGCGATGGAGATAGTTTGCTGTTCCATGGCTTCGTGAATAGCCACTCGATCTTCGTCTCTCATCTTGTCAAACTCATCGATACAGACAACGCCGCCATCTGCCAAAACCATAGCACCACCTTCGAGGTAGAACTCACGCGTGTTGTGATCGCGTTGAACGGAAGCTGTCAGACCGGCTGCGGAGGAACCCTTTCCGGATGTGTAGATGGCAATTGGCGAGACTTTCTCAACAAACTTGAGCAATTGCGACTTGGCAGTACCTGGATCACCGAGCAGAAGCACATTGATATCGCCACGAAGCTTCATTCCATCCGGCAGAATCTTTTTTGCACCGCCCATCAACAGGCAGGCAATGGCCTTCTTTATGTCTTCATTTCCATAAATCGAGGGCGCAATGCAGCGGGCAAAGACCTGGTAGATGTCTGGCCTTCTGCTCATTTCCAGGAATTCTTGCTCCTCTTCCTCTGTGAACACCGCGTTGCCTTTGGTACCATGATCAACTTCTGCGTGAATGCCAACGGCGCGTATGTAGGGGTTGCGGATGGCGACTGCTGCGTTGCCCGCACGCTTTGAGCCCTTCTGTTGGTAGATGGAAAACACACCCATGACAGAGCATCGTGTACCAGGCACGACACGGTTCGCCAGGTATCTGTCTGCTGAGATCATGATATGCCGAGGAAGTTCACCGACTGGTACTTGATCTGGCGCCTCCTGTAGCTTGAGCACCTGCTGGTCGATAAACTGGCAGCGCTCGTGCAGGACATAGTATGGATCGAGCGGGCATTTGTCTCCACTTTCGCCCTCTCCTCGTGGCCTACTGCATGTCCTTGGCAGAGAGATTCCGGCGAAACCGCCAGATACAGGTAGCATCTTCTCATCCTGGCAATTCCTGCACCGAATAGCGAGGGCTGTAGCCTTGGATGATAATGTTGAAGCACCAATGATAATGCCCGGTATACGGACGAGTTGTGAGACGTTGTTCGCTGTCAAGTCGCGGATCGAGAGCTCTGAGGCATTGGAATGGAGGAGCAATTGATGCTCGGGAAGTTGGATGTTCTTCTGGGACGGGTAAACGATACGTTGCGTACACGTCTTGAGGGCCGCTTCAAACTGGGGGATATTAGTGACGCAATTGGAATATGGAGAACAAATCTCACGAGTGGGATTATCTCAGCAGGGTTCTGTCTGAGGTCGTGTGCGAGCTCTGGGTTGTAACTAATCAGGTGGGCAACGTCAATGTCACAGTAATACTGCTTCAAGAGCACATTTTCCCGTATTTGATCTCTGCCACATGTCAGAATATGGTATATGGGTTATGTAAGCAACTGTTGTACCTGTAGACGAAGACATTATCGAGCGTAAACTCCATTATAAAATCCACCAGCGTCTGCTGCACGCGCGAGGGCGCTGCTGCATCTTGAGGGCCATCGCCTGCCTGGCTGCCAAAGAGACTGATTGAAAAGGGAGTTTGCCTGTCCGTCATTGTGTATGTATCTTCAAATCGTGAGTCGTTATGGGGTTGACTGAATGCAGAGGGGCAGCCGTCGTTAGGGGCGACGCGCGAAGAAGGCGCGTCGCGATTGTCGGTCCGTGCTTTCCATTTTGCATCCTTTTCTGGTCTAGCGCTTCTACACAAAACCCATCTCCAGGCTCCCATCAGCAAAACGACGCAAAATGTACTCTGTTGCTAGAGTATGGGAGCTGAAGTAGCTGACATGAGCCATAATCATCGATTGTGCGACCACTATGCGTACGAACCATGAAGCAGGACCCTACATGCGTAGATCTCACCTAAGAGTTGGATGTTATCCTTTGGCTGACCGCAGGAACTTCAATTCGCCCAGATTTTCTCTGGACTGAATTTCAACGGGATGCCTAACTTCAGCTCGACGCACGTGAATATAACTAGTCGCTTATCGCGTACGGATGACGGACTGCGACGCGGACGTAGCCTTCCCGGTACTCGTCCAGGCAACCATATAAAGCATACATGACCTCAGAAGATCCCGAACTTTTCATTTCTTTGTGATTACCATCATCCAGATAATCGTTATGAAGGTCCTTGTTGTAGGCGCAACAGGCGCCATAGGCAATACACTACTCAACCACTGCCTCCGCCGACCAGAAATAACCAGCGTAGTCGCCATAGCTCGTCGTCCAGTCCCATCCTCCGACAATGAAAAGCTTTCAAGCATCATCATACCAGACTTTGACGCTCTTCCAGGCCCTGAAGATGCGACATGGACACAAATGGCCGACGCCGACGCACTGATCTGGGCAATGGGATCATACACCTTTGACGAAGACGTCAACTATGCCTACCCCATCGCTTTCCAGTCAGCTCTCTCCAAACGACTGGCACGAAACGGGAATACTGAGAAGTTCAAATGGATACTGCTTGGTGGAGCTTTCACTGAGCCGGATCAAACTCGGTTTTTGTACTTCCTTACCAGCCAGCGGCGTACTAAAGGGCTGTTGCAAACCAAGACATTGGAGTTTGCAGATGATCATGCAGATTGGGAGGCAATCATCATAAGGCCTGGAGGTATCCTCTTCGGGGGAGATACGTGGACGAATAGGGTGGGAAGCGCGTTGTTTGGAGAGGGTTTGACCATTAACGCAGACGTATTGGGGGCATGTGTTGCCGACTTGGTCGTCAAAGGGTTAGGAGAGATGGAGGAGCAGGGAATCGTGACGAATAAGGAGTTGTCGGTCAGAGGAAAGAAGGTATTGGAGGCTGTGGGGCATTAGCCTTAGACAAGCTATGGCACAGAAAATCATTATCGAGGTACCAACGAGCGCGACTTCCAGACAGATCATCGAAGAGGCTGCTACAAAGGCTGAGAGCTGTAATCTCTTTCGAGTTAAGGCACTGATTCGATGTACAGGCATGACTTCTAGCCTGGCGTAGATCTCCTCATTCGCGTCCCCTATCTAAAGGTTTGCCCGGACAAGAGAGGCTTTCTTGATAGCGTCATAACCAACCTCCTCTGCATGCTTCTCTGCATCATGGCTCAGGATCCAGCCCGCATACCTCCAAGTAACTTTTGTCGGATCCTTTCTCACTTCGTCCCAATCAGCTTCGTGCCATGCATCGCGCTTATCCTCTCCCGTCTTTTGCACCGCTTTAACACGATCATAGCGGATATCCTGATATGCGCGAAGAGCTGCGCGCACGTTACCTTTACCAGCTTGTCGCAGTACCACCGCAAGAGTGACGGCGTCTTCCATCGCCTGCGACGCACCTTGGGCGCTAGTAGGCAGGAAAGGATGTGCAGAATCACCAAGCAAGCAAACCCGACCGTGTTTCCCACTAACCCAGCTAGGTAGCGGATCGCAGTACAACAGCTTCCAATCTGAAAGCTTTTCTTCTGGCGTCTTTGACACAATCTTCCACACCAACGGGTCCCAGCCCTGCACATGCTCTTTGACATCTTTCATATATCCAGGTGTCGACGACGGCTCAGCAGTACTGCCATCCGTCCGATGTGTCATAACCCAGCAACAAGCCTTGCCACCCTTGAGCGTCCAAAATAGAAAATGCGAATTCGGTCCTAAAGTCACCCATCATCAGCAAACCATCCTGATCCCAGGCCCCAAAGGCGGGAGTAAAAGAAAAATCAAAAACTCACCAATCCACCCATTCGACGTATCCCCATTCTCAACAAACGGCCTCGTCTCAGGATCCTTCATCATCTCATCTGCATCAAACCACGTCCTATACGTCGAAAACCCACTACTCTTCAACGGATGCTCATACCCCAGCACATATTTCCTCGCTTTACTCCTCACCCCATCACACGCCACAACAACATCACCCTCGTGTCTACTCCCATCCCCCAATACCACGCCCGCGCTCCCCGCCTCCTCCCAAAACGTCTCCACCCTCTGCCCCAAATGAATCTCCACTCCAAGCTCCTTCACATACCCGAGTAAAATCTCATGCAGCTCGCCGCGATGGCCGTTGAACATGGGGCTGTCGGGCCTGTAGTTTGACTTTTGGTTTACGATGATCTCGCCCGTGTCGTATTTGCGCACGTTGAAGCCCGTGTCACGCACGTTGAGTGAGATGCGGGACATGGCGGCTGCGACGGCGCCGTTGGACCAGCGGTGGATTATTCGGCCGCCGTTGGGGCCAAACATTAGGGTGTCACCTAGGTTTTTGTGCTGCGGGTGTGCTTCGTAGATTATGGGTGTGTGGCCTTGACGGTGGCATTCTATGGCGAGGGCGAGGCCGCCGAAGCCTGGAGTCGAGATGGAAAATCAGTATGTTGGTTGGCAGAGTGTTTGGAGGAGGAATGTGGGGTTTTGTTTACCTCCGCCTACGATGAGTACTCTTATGCCGGTCTTTGGCTTTTGGTCGGTTAATTGCGACGCCATGTTGAGGACTTGATTTCGTGGATCCGTCTGGTAGGAACAGTATAAAATCGCTCAAAGTATAGACAGTTAAGTACTAATCGCCCAAGATCCAACGCTAAGTTACGAGAAATAAATGCGATCGCTTCCAGAAAACTGAAGAGAAGAATCGCAACACAGCCGAAAACGGAGGCGTGAGAAAGAGATGAAAGTCCAACCCACCTCCACAACGATGAGGTATTCCTGTCAGATGTATTTCTCCGAAGTAGCGCCTTGGATTGAGTGCACACCACACCTCCGCACTTTCCGATTGGATGCCAACCATAAATCCCTCGTCAATAACACATAACCACACTGAAACATGAGATGATATGCCAAATGTACCCCACAAGAGCTAGAAGCTTACCATCCCGAGGTCTGTAACAGTAATATGTGGAGGTGCATGCAGAGTGTAAGCTTTCGATCAGCCGAACTTACTTTACATGGTAAGTGTTGCCGAAGCAGTGCCTTTGCGACGGCTTGGCGATTCAACGTGGGAGGTGAGTAGTTTACGCGTTTGCAGTACTTAGAGGGTAGATGTTGTGGGGACCTCTAGTGTGCCAAGTCCGGTATCATCCGCTCGTGGCCAGTGTAAGTTTTGCCGAGGTACATACCGAGATATATGAAGCAAGAGTACTATCTATGCATGCTAGGTACTCACAAGATAAGCATGGATAGAATGTCTTTAAGAAGTTTTTTTTTTTGCATTGGTGGGACCCACTCAAACGTTATATTTGTAGATTGATCATTACTACGATATCTTGATACACGCTAGCCGAGCATCTCAACTAAAGTCAAACTCCTTGACATCCCCAGCCTTCGTCTCCAACCTCGTAGTCGTGCTGTTACCCGATCCACCCTTGTACCTCAACACCACCGTACCGCCAACACGACTCTCCATCTTCATCTTCGAAATAGCCCCATCCGCCCACGTGATATCGAACACGAATCCTCCCCTAGCCGCAAGACCATTCACTGACCCAGTATTCCATTGTTCAGGCAATACCGGAAGCAACCAAACCTCTCGCACGCCTTCTGCATCTACAATGTGCGACTGAATGAGTGCCTCGGCAACCCCACTCACGAAACCCAAGTTTCCATCAATCTGGAACACGCCCTCGTTCACGTCCATCAGGTTGTTGTAGACACTCGTGTTGAAGAATTGATAGACGTTTCCGGCAACAGCTGTACTGTTTTGGAGACGCGCATACCAGTTTATCGTCCATGCGCGCGACCATCCTGTGCCAGCGCCGTTGTGAGAAAGTCGGCCCTCAAGTGTACCCGCTGCGGCGTTGAAGAGTTTGGCATCGTAGCCGGGGGCACCTGGTGGCAAGATCTGGGTACCAGGGTACAGAGCGTAGAGATGCGAGACGTGACGGTGGCCTAGTTCTGCTTGCTCGTAGTCTTGCATCCATTCCTGTAGGGTGCCTGGGTAGCGCTTCGAGTAGCGGTATGGTGGCAGTTGGGCCTGGGTGTCGCGGATACGTGTCAGGAATGTAGAATCGACGGTGTAATTCGGTAGGGTGGCTACGGCATTCAGGTAGTTGGTGAAGAGTTCGTTTAGGATTTCGATATCGCATGTGGGTGCGATGTCGAAATGATAGGTGTTATTGTCTGCATCAAGGTAAGAGTTTTCGGGGGATACAGAAGGGTTCGTGACGAGGTATTGGGTTCCGTTGATGCTATACGGCTGCAGGATGTCGAGATAAAATGCGATCGCTTCGGTAACGACGTCAAGCTTTGAGGCTAGGAATGCCTTGTCGCCCGTGTACCAGTAATGCTCTAAGATATGAGTGACAAGCCAACCCGAAGACAGAGTCCAATATGTAGCAGGAAGCCATCGGTCCACAGGTGCAGTATCACCCCACAGATCGGTATTGTGGTGAGTTACCCAGCCAGAAGCGTTATACATTTGTTTAGCTGTTTTCGTACCGTCCGTGCGCATTAAATCTAGCAGATCAAACAGAGGCTCATGGAGACTGGAGAGACTCGTAACTTCTGCAGGCCAATAGTTCATCTGGAGATTGATGTTGACGGTGTATTTAGATCCCCATTGTGGCGCGAATTCTTTATTCCAGATACCTTGAAGATTGGATGGCAAGTTACCGGCGCGTGAAGAAGCAATCAATAAGTATCGACCGTAGTTGTACGATAAAGCGGTAAGTGCTGGGTCACTAGCACCCTCGCGCGTCGCGTTGATACGTGCATCAGTAGGGAGGCTACTGGCTTTGAGATCTGAACCGCTCAGGTCTAGAACGCTAGCGTTGTATAGTGGCGCATAATCCGCGATATGGCGCTGTCGAAGCTCTTCATAGGTATGCTGACGAGCTTGCTGAATGGTGCTTTCCACAGCAGCTCTTGTGTCGTTGTGGCGATATGACGTGGAAGCTGCAAAGATCGCCGTAGCTTCGGTAGCGTTCTCGACAACAATGAACGGACCCAAGTTCTTGACGTGACCATCTGATTGAACTGCCAGAGCAGTGGTGAATACGATAGGATCGATTCCTCCCGCCCCTCCCGTCATATACGCAAGACCATTTGCGTTCCATTCGTGATCCGCGGCCTCATTCCCACCTTTATCGGGTCGATGTACACGAATCTGAAACGACAGCTTCCCACTTCCAGTTGCTTTCAAATGGTGGACGAAAACGTCATCGGGTGCAGAGACAAACATCTCCCGTTCGTACAATGTGCCGTTGACTTGAAATTGCACACCAGCCAGGGCAGTATCGACATCTAGCCAGCGTTTGTATGTAGCATTGTCGTAGCCAGTCGTACCATCGAAGAAAATATCCATGTCTCCCAGAGGCTGGTAGTTCCTACACGATTGTGGTGTTCCCATCATTCCCATATTCGCCAGCTTTTCCGCATCACCAGCACGCCCTTGCGCAAGCAAATCCCGAACTTCTGACACAGTTTGCGGACTATCTTGCCCTATGCGATCTTGTTGACCTCCTGACCAGATAGTCTCTTCATTCAGTGCAATCCGCTCCTGCAGAGGGATACCAAATACCATTGCACCAAGACGTCCATTGCCGATAGGAAGAGCGTTTGTCCAGGCGCTGGATTGAGCTGGTGTCTTGTACCAGAGTCGTGTGTTGTCACTAGCTGATGCTAACGACGCTAGACCAGAAATGGCAGCGAGACTCAACGTGGTGAGCATCTTGGAAATTCGACAACCTTTGCGAGGAGGCGTGCTCTCCGATCAAAATGAGTGCGATATGAACATATAAAGAATCTTCCTGCAGTAGCAAGCTCACATAAACTCTGGGCTCCATTGATGGATCGCGGTTTGTCCGCAAGGATCCAATGTAACGTGCTTTACCAAGGCATGTATATCACCGAGACCCCGCATTACATCTTCTTTTCCATGATGCAGATCTTGAACGCTTGCTCGACATGTCCCGGATGTGTCTGTCCTGTGCTCCATCGTCCTCTCCTAGTCCGGAATAGTTCCGAGAACATCCTGTTGTATTTAGCCTCGGGGATTAACAGATGCATAACCGGTGCACTGTCGTATGTCAGAGCGAACGAAGAATCTGCAATACGAGCATTCCCCCACCCCGCATAACCTTGACATCTCCAAGATCGACTAGGGTTGTTGGAGTACTTTTCTCTGGGGTCATCAGTTGGCTAGGGTGTGGGATGCTGCCCCTATTCGATTCGAAGAAGCTGTTGATGCAGCCATGTCGCCTAAAGCTCAGTAGATGTTGAGGCAGGGGCCAAACTTGAGCAAAACGACTCCCCAAGTAATAGTTGTGCCAATAACCCCCAGGCCGAGAGTATTGTGCTCTTGCCGTTCGATCTTGTTGCGATGCATGATGACATAGCGCCGATCTCACGCTAGCGCAGGACCCCGCAAATGCCACCCGCATTCTGCCGCTCGATCTTGAAGCTAGGTTGTCTGGAGCGCGCAAGCTGTGGAGCTTATGGTCGCATCATTGAGTTGTATATTGATCGAAAAGAGTAATTCTGAAGGGTGTTTGGTGACGCTGAATTGCTGATGACTTGTGTCTCGATCTTGGAGCACTTTGCATGTACTCAACAACAAGCTAATGGGCATGGACAAAAGTACGACTTTGCTGCATAAACCATGCTTTTAGTGTTATGTCGTTGCGGATATCTACTCTCATCGCACGCTCGAAGACTTCATGTGAGGTTCACGAAGAGGTCATCAAAGAGCATCGGTCCAGGAACCTCTCAAGGCCTTCTGAAAAATGAATCTACAGAAACAGCCCGAGTCTGAATAAGTTCTCCGTGTGTTACAATTAGACCTCAATCAGTCTGATGGCTATTGTGTCATGTCCTGCAACAGCCGCTTCGTATTGACCTGTGAATCTGCCGCGCTCTTTTCCAGTCCATGACTCGAAGACAGTGTGTTCAGTTTTTGGGTCAAGCTCTGGTACCTCCGCAAAGTTGATTGTCTTGGTTTGTTCAATGTTCAGGGTATTCAACACAAAGACGTGTACACCCTTGGAGGATTTCCCACTCCAATATTCGGCCGGGTGAGTTTGGTTCCACGTGAAGTCAGGATTGACTCCCCATTTGTAAGGCTTTGCCGCTTTGCCAACAACGGAGTCTTGATTGAAATCGATGAGTTCATTGTTACTGAGGATATCCAAGATTTCGGGCTTGATATTACTCAAGGGAGTGCCAATGATTAGAGGTGACTTCAGCGCAGCCCATAGCGCGAAGTGGGATCGATTCTCCTCAATTGTGAAGTTGCCGTTGCCAACCTCGAGCATATCCCAGTCACCATGTCCCCAGAAGTTGGTATCGTTGTTGTAAAAGGACGCGTGGTTGAGGATAGGCATGAGCCCCCAAGAGCCCTGATGGTTTCCTTCCCATTGAGGATATATATCGCCCCACATACGCCAGCTGTGACCAGTGCGATTGCCCCACTCATCAATATGGGCGTGACCCCATGCGCATTGGGAAAACTCGATTGTACGGTTGGTTGCCAGCAGAGCATCACTCATAGTCTTATAACGGGTAAAGGTTTTGGATGTCGTCCAGTCGTAGCCAGTTGGAGCTGCAACAGGTTTGGTTTCACCGTCGCCCCCGGCCGTTTGATTCTCAGCTGGAGGACCTCCTAGCCAGTTCTCTGGCCACCATCGGTACTCGTCATGCCACCTATCTGGTACGGCACAGTTATCGTACTTGAGATCTACAGAGGCTCAGCTTATAGTCGATCACCGCAAATCTAATACTTACAGTCGATGCCCCAACCAGCAAAAGTCCTCGCATCTAGTTCTTCATGTTCCAAAGAACCAGCGTATCCACCGCAGGTGGTGTCTCCAGCATCGCTATAGATACCAACCTTGAGATCAAGCTTGTGAATTTCATCCGCTGTATGTTTGATACCGTTTGGAAACTTGTTTGAATCTGGTCTGATCTGCCCAGTAACACTGTCGCGTTGATGGGTTTTGTTACTCCAACAGTCGTCGATATTGACGTATGTATAACCAAGCTTCTTCAGCCCAAGAGTGTTTAGGAGCTCTCCGACCTCCAAGAAGACGCTCTCGTTAATAGCACATCCGTACTCATTCCATGAGTTCCATCCCATTGTGGGGAGACGACCGGTGTGCCCATCTTGAGAAACCAGGGCGAAGCTGTGTGTGACGAGTGAGAATGCTACAGCAATAGAACGTCGCGCCATTATTGTTGATGATGAGCTGCCAAAACAAAGTCTCGCTGGTTCCAATACTACACTGCTTGTTGAGCCATATCAATGTTCAGTGCTTTACTCATGGACGATTCTCCCACCAACTGGGAGACATCTCCAATCTGATGCGGGGTTTGACTCCCAGTACTTTGGAAACGCACTGCGGGCACCTACATATGATAGTCAAAGATCAACAGTGGACGGAAATATTCATTTATTTTAACGAAAGTCATGCCACCAACTGCAGGCGACCCTGCTTGAACATTGAGATGTGGGAGGACCAATTCCCGGTTCCCATACCTTTTCCATAAGCAATCGATTTATCTGTAACAGGTATATTGTGAACTCAGGATTGTATATCTAAATTTGTAATCATGATAGAAACTATCGGGAAACTGCATAGAGCATGTACGCTGTACGCGACGAGAGGAGGAGGGGAGCACACTAGCGCGTCGGCTAAACTCAGATATGACATCATAACTGGTATTTACTTTCTCCAAACCTAAGTAGCAGCCTAGATCAATGCTTATGACCATGGTGGTCGTGGCCGTGGTGGTCATGATTGTGCTCCTCGTCTTGCGCACGTGGCCATTCTGCCCAGTAGCCATCGTCCCACATCTCTTGCAACACCTCTTCCTTCTCCTCATCGTTTAGCTTCTCATCCTTCATGACATTTGTCCACTTCTTCATCTCGGTGCGACTCAACAAACAAGCGTCAAGCTGCTTTGTGATACCCTCGACGTCAAGCTTCTCACCGATGAAAACCATTTCTTGACGGCGGTCACCCCACTCGCCTTCAAAATCGTTCCTGATTGCCTTGACTGTGTCGGCATCAGCACCCCAATCATCTTCCGATACACAGCAGAACCACGGCATCTCAGATCCGAGGGTCAGCATCGCACCTGCAGTGCTCCATGACCCCATCTGATTAGGGCGTGTTGCGAGCCAGAAAATGCCTTTGCTGCGGTGCAGACCGCCGAAGTAGGGGCAAGCTTTCTTGTTTGCCAAGATCTGCTTGTCGTCCAGTGGAGGAGCTTCCTCGTCATTGCTGTCCTTGTCGGAGTCATCCCCGGAGGTGCTGGCTGCGCCGGATTCAGAAGAACCATCATTGACTTCATCGTCGCCTTCTTCTTCATCATCTTCTTCTTCACTATCCTCAACGTCTTCTGCTTCATCTTGCAGGAGAATGAACTTGCCCTGGATAAGCCGGTACAGCTTCAACGGATCAAAAGGTCTACGTGCGCGATACACGAAAGATCCAATGCCGTACCTTGAGGTCGCATGTCAGTAAGAGGGCGTTATGTTTCTTGGGGTCAACTAACTCTAGTGTTTCTGGCTTGGGTGCAACACGCTTTTTGCCATGGACATCCATGACGGTCATCTCATGCAAGCTTTTCAGCCAACCGACGCTAGCAACTGCCTCGCCAAAGTTGAAGACACCAGTGTTCAACATCTCGCGAACATCAACCTTGGAGTACCTAGATTCGATGATCTTAGCCGTAGGGTTGAGCGACTTGATGTATGCCTTGACACGGCCTAGAGTCTGCGCATCTGCCCTGTCGATCTTGTTGACAATAATAACATTGGCAAACTCGATCTGATCAGCGAAAAGATCAGAGATGGTCCGCTGATCCTCGTCGGGTACTTCGTCTCTGCAGAAGCGGTCCTGGAGAAACTCGGCTGTGTCGAATTCGGAAAAGAAGCGAAACGCATCAACAACTGTTACCATTGTATCGACGGTAGCAATGGACCTCAAGCCACCAATCTTTGCACTGTCTTTGATGTCAGCAGGTATAAATCTTCGACTTTCATCCAGCAACCTACACTTTGGCGAACACTTCCTTCTCATCAGGTTCCATGCCTTCAGCATCCATCATGGCCTCAGTCAACTCGGTGGTGAAAGTCTCTGCGACCTGTTGTGGCTCGCTGATACCTGAGCTTTCGATAACTACATGGTCAAAAGCCTGCTCGCTCCAAGCGAGTCGAGCCAACTCAACCAGTAGATCACTGCGAAGGGTGCAGCAGATACAACCGTTCTCCATCTGTATCATCTTCTCCTTCACACGTATCTCTCCGTTGACACCTGGCTTGTTGTTCGAACGACTAATAATGTTCGCATCGACGTTGACCGACGCCATGTCGTTTACGATAACGGCGATTCGCAATCCATGGTCCGGGGACTGGAGGATATGCCGAAGTAGTGTCGTCTTTCCACTTCCCTGCATCTGTCAGCACAGTCATTCCACTCAAATAATAGAAACTTACAAGAAAACCAGAAAGTATGGTAACTGGAAGTGGCTTTCGCTCACTGGTCTTGCTCTTGGGCTTCATCTCTGCACCACTCGTTTTTCTACGCTTTGCAGGTGACATTTGCGATCTTTTAGGGTGTTAAGATGCGAAAAAAATTATTGGAGTTCTTTAATATCTGATTTTTGGGTTTTTGTATCATGTCGTCCCGGAGTTGTGTGAAGGGCCAATTGAGCACCTCGATGGTTTGCTGCATCAGCACCAAAACAAGGGACATGATTGGCCCGAAAGGCGACAGATAACAACGAGTTCAGGGAAAGGATCTACTGCAAACTTCTGGATGTACGACCGAGAAATATTGGCTTGGAAAGATTTCTGGTGTGCGGGTGGAGATCTGGTTTAAGTCACGCCATGCAGTTGGGTTCAGTTGGCGAACATGGACCACGGAAAACCACCCTTCCAAACTATGCGAAACAGCTACAAGAAGACTTAGAAACCCATAATACATCTCCTATCAGTCGCAGTATTTTCCAGTTGGAGAAACAAGGTCCTTTTCGGGATTTACGAGAGGGTCCTGGATTGTTTTCGCAAGGTTTGGTGCAGGCGCTAATCTTAGATCACGGTCAAATCGTAGCTGTAATCGTTTATTTTATTTTATGTTTCTGTTTCAGGCGGAAGCTTTTGGTTGCCCGTGGGAGAGTACCACGGTACTAGAGGGCACAGTGAGAAGTGAGCATTATTTACGCAAGGCAATCAGTGTTTACAGTCTCTTCATCCACCATAATAAGAGACGTAGGTTTTTGGAAATGATCCTGCTCAGCTATATGCAATGGGAGATCGTTGACTATTAGGCGTAAAAAGTTGTAGAAGAAGAACTTCATTCATTCATTCAAGACATTACTAATATTTCTACTCGGAAATGCTATATCGACAGCTGTCTCCGGTATTGCGCAGTACTATTTCCAGCACCACCAACATCCGTATCCAGAACAGCAACACTAAGCTCGGGCATGATGAATTTGAAAGAACCATCGCTTTGCGCGGTGATGATCATGTTGGTAGTGTTGACAATGTTGACGCCAGTAAAGGGGTCATTATATCCGTATGGGTCATCAATAGAGTTGGTCAAGATAGTCAGGTTGGCCCGGGCTCCGGCTTCAACACCCTCGAACTTCACGCTGACGGGGATATCTTCGCTGTTGGTGGTGTTGTACACGGCACCCTTCCATACCATGGCATCGTTGCGCCTCTCGTCCTTTCCGGCACCCCAGTAAAGCGGTCCGTAGGCGGATGCAGACTCGGTAGGAACTGTGTGCGTAATGGGGTGGTGAGCGAAAAGACTCCAGCAGTACCATGTGACGGCCTTGGTGGTGTGCTTCGGGTCGGCGTCAAATTGCATCAAAGTGATGGACCATTGCCAGCGGTTGTTGTTCTTCAAGACTGGGGCGTAGAAAGTACCAGGAACACGGTCGGAGTTGCGCTCGTATCCGATGAGGGAAACGGCTTCACCAACGGCACCAATCCACCACGGGAAGGGCATTAGCTTGCCGTCCCAGCCTGTACCGCCGTTGGGATGAACTGCTGCGACTTCACCAACAATGTGACCATGGTCGTTGTCGAAGCGGTTGAATTCACTGACTAAGTCGTCAGGCTCACGGTATGGATGGTAGTCACCAAGAGCATCGGCAGGTAAGATCTGTCCGTTGTTGGGGTCAGGACCACTGATTGGCGCATCACCACCTGGGTCGCTGGAAGCAGCGGAAGAAATGACCGTAATATGTGGGTAGGCCTTGCGGATGGCGTTGTAGAACATGGGGAAACGGTATGCGCGGTACGAGTCCCAGCCGCCGGGGAAACCAGCGAGCCAATCCTCATTGCCGATCTCGACGTAGTTGAGCTCAAAGGGCTCAGGGTGACCGAGAGCAGCACGACGCGCACCCCAAGTGGAGTTTGCAGGACCGCAAACGAATTCAATCTCGTTGAGGGCGTCTTCGACGTAGGCAGTTAGGTTCGCCTGGGGTGTGACACCGCCGTCAAGAGCAAGACCGCCCCAGACAGCCAGGACAATCTCAAGCTCCATGTCCTCGGCCCACTCAAGGTACTCCATCAAACCAAGACCGTTGGTCTGTTGGTAACTCCAGACACCCTGGAAGCCGGGGCGGTTTCTCAGGGGACCAATTGTGTTCTTCCAGTCCCACCAAGAATCGTTCCTGAGACCCTCGAGCATGTTACCGCCCGGGAATCGGAGAAAGTGAGGGTTCAGGTCAGCGAGGGCCTCGGCAATGTCAATGCGGAGTCCATTCTTGCGGTTCTTGTATGTGGGAGGGAAGAGAGAGATGAGGTTGAAGTCTAGTGCGCTGGCAGCAGCAGCGTCGAATGTAATTGTGAGGGTGTTGTTGGTGTTTGGTGCAGCCCTGTCGGGGACGAGCTCAAAGGTGTGCTCGGTCCAATCGTTGTCCACAGATTTGGAGGGCACTTCGACGGATGCGAAGCAGTCGGTTGTCAAGTTTGAGTCCAGAGACGCGGTGAATGATCCGTTGTATGCACCCTTAACCCAGAAGGATCCGGTGTAGGTTTGAGGCCGGACGTCCATGCCCCAGTATCCCTCATTCTTGAAACCAATCTTGCCGGTGCTGTTGCCAGCTGACACGCGCATAGACAGATTCAATTGCTCAGACAATGGCTGGTCTAAGTATTTGAGACTTAGAACAGCATTGTTGACGGGGAAGTAGTGATCCAAAGAGGCACTGTAGTTTTGGCTGTACTGGAAGGCACGGTTCTGGATCAATTCTGCGTAGATACCGCCATCACCAGAGTTGTTGATATCCTAGCACCATGTCAGTATATATATTTCTGATATGGATATAGCAATTTACCTCGTGGAGGAAACCATAGCCAAATGGATGTCCGAACGCGCCAGTCACGTTACCACCAGACTGATGCACAACGATATCAGCAGCAAGCGCAGAAGCAGCGCAGGCCGCAGCCGCAATCCCCTTGAAAAACACCATCTTGATTTCTAGCTGGAGGACGACGAATTGCTAACGTACAACAACACGACTTCTAGCCTGTCCTTATACCTCTTTTCATCCCACATCCCGGTCCACAAAACCGCTTCCCAGCCTTCTGGAAACCGACATCTTGGCAGCGGCCTGGACTAATGGATATCCCCACAGCAGGTCCGGTCCTTTCGTCATGATAATTCCCGGTTGCATCGCTTGGATGCACTGGCGGTCGAGGTAGCGTCTTGTGCCATTGGAGGATTTCCGCCTATACAGGCGGAAGAATTGGATGAAGTCGATGGTTAGTTTCTGACGATCCATGTCAGCGCGCACTGGCGCAGCGACCCCTCTCTCGTGACGTGTGACCTGACCTTCGACTTCTTAGCTCAGTCCGATGGGAGCGGCAGTGCCTGGAACGTTTGTTTCGATGCGTTGCTCAAATTCTCCGATGTCTGGCTAAACATATGACATTAGAAGTAAGAATGTTTCTTCTATGCTCCCCGTTGGCCGTGCTATCTCACTTCGAGCTCCCAAGGGTTCAGCGTAGACTTCTCCACTTGCCGAGGCTAGAAGGAGAACTCTGGGGATAAATGCTGGGGTGTCCATTCCATGGCTGATCAGCGTTTTCGCCGTCAATTATCGCGAATCGGACGCAACATCCGCGGCTAAATTGCTACTTGGGTGCTAGTATAAGATGGCGGCCCGTGTTGGAAGTTTGGCGCCGAGAGAACTTGTTCAAATCCGAGAAACATACTCGCCCACGACAGCGATGCGGGGATGCGTAATGTGAGGAAAAGTAGAAGGTTGGCCTGAGGTGCAGCGGTTGAACCACGGGTGTTCGGTGCAGATTCTCCGTCGTGGCGGCTGAGAACGGCCGACTACGAGCCCCAAGGCCTCCAAGACACCAAGACATGTACTTTTTCTGGGCTGTAATTATGTTAAGATGACGTCTAGTGGATATGAATGATGAGGCGAGTGGAACATTGGTGTTGAACATGTTTTGTGAAGAGAAGAGTTGAATACTGTTTGGGAACCGTAACGCAGAAAAAGAAGAAAGTCACCCGATGCGACATATCCAACGCGGTATCGCAGCCTCGTGTGGCCGAACGCCTAGCGTTCTTTCATTACCATCGTTCCATCGCGACCGAACTCGACACGTTGTCATTGAAATGGATTGATGTTGTCCTGTGCACTGTCCCTCTTGACATGGCTTTCCTTCTCGACCCAACACGCGGTACCGCTAGCGCTGACCACGATACATCCGAGTACTTCGCTCTCCCTAATTTCCAACCCAATGACTGCATTCGCACCTTGAGAAATCGCCTCCTTGACCAGCCTGTCAATTGCCTGATCACGCGCCTGGTATATTATGCTCGTTACGGTCTTTGCTTCGCCCCAGCTACTGCCGAGGTTGGCAGCGATGTTCTTGATGAAAGATTTGCTGTCTTTGCGCACGGCGCTCGTAGTGCCATGTACGGCGCCCAATACACGGAGAACGCGGTGGCCGGGTAGGTCTGATGATGTTGATGTGAGGATGGCGGGTTGGCGACTTGTTGGCGCCTCAGTGTCGGTTGTGAGGGGCGCGGCATAGACGTTTTGTGGCATCGTGCCTTTGGACTGAGGGTGCCAGCTTGGCATGCGGTTGGGCGGAACCATCATGGTGGAGCGACGATTTGTCAACATCTTGACTTTTGAGGTAGTATTGGATATCTGCTTCGAGATATGTGGTAAGACGAAGTAAGGATATTGATATTGCTAAATGATGTTGTAGGTGTACAGTGTACGAAAGAGGTGTAAACTGATCTTCATGGACAGGGCGCGACAATCGACCATTATATCCAGATACGCATATTCGCCTCTATGATGGCACTCATCGGCTTGCGAAACAATCCAAGACCATGCCTCACCTTACGGCGCCTTCTAAGCGAAGATCTTGAACACCTAAGCCATGAGAAGCATCTGCTAAGACGGACCCAAGTCCCGTGGGGCAGAGAAAGTGCCGCGGCGGAGATTGGACCGTCTTTCGCGAGTAAAATTCGGCAGGTGGAGAGCGGAGTGGAAGTCCGCTCTTCACGTTATGATGCTGTTGGGGTAGGTGTAGTCGAGATGTTGAAACATTCCGTGTCGGGGAGACGTGCATCGCGTCTGAGACGTACCGCTGATACAAGGATGGCGCCGCGGCATTGCTGTCAAAAACATTAGCATATCATTTGCATTATAGAATTTGATGCAAATGTGCCTATGGTTTAATGGGCATCACAATCGCTTATAGCGCATTAAGAGTTCCTCCACAAGGCGGTCTTCAATGCCGCCTAAGGGGTTCAACTCTTCAGATCTGACAGTGGCGATTAAGTACATGCCGTTCACGAAAACAAATCTTGAAACCGGTGCGCATGGCAGACATGTTATCGAGATTGTGTCTGTGACCTCACCAATAACGCATGTGGAGATGATCGTTTAACGTCAAAACTGCTACTGCAACTATCATTGGTAAGTCCCAGCAAGGACATTCAGTCATAATGACGCAACATTGAAGGAAAGGGGCCGTCTTTATAGAAGCACTGCCTCGAGGCTTCTTCCACGTGGCATTGTAAGGCTAAGATTTCCACTCAAGGCTGAGCATGCGTTCAAGCTTCATACACTCGTTTCCCGTCAAACCATGTTTCCATAACCTTGGCATTGAGCAGCTCCTCGCCCTTCCACTCCATGTCCACAACACAGAAATCTGCCATCTTTCCAACTTCCAGACTTCCTATGCGATCATCCGCAAAACACGAATAGGCTGCACCTGTCGTGACCCCAGTCACCGCCTGAGCCAACTCCAGCTTAAAGTTTTCGTTGACTGGTGCATCACCCGCATCAGGTTGTCTGGCTGACTTGCGAGTTGTCGCGATATACAGATTAGGCAAAGGTGCATACGGTGCAGTAGGCGTATCGGACCCTATAGCAAGGGTTGCTCCGTGGTTTGCGAATTCCGAGTACGCAAATGCCCTCTTCACTCTTTCAGGACCCAATAGCTCTGGCCAAGCGCGGAGAATTGACGGATCGGAGTGGACCGGCTGTATGCTAGCTGTAATGCCTAGTTTACCAAGCCGTTTCGCATCTTCGGGCGCGGTGAGTTCGAGATGCTCAATGCGATGTCGCTGACCGGGCTTGCCGTGCTTCTCGAGCACATTGACAGCATTGGTGACGGCTTGGTCCCCGATAGCGTGCAGTGCACATTGCAACCCACTGTCACAAGCTTTCTTGACCACCGGATCGAGCATCTCGGGAGTCCAGATTGGACCCTCGAAATGCCCATTAGTCGTGTACGGTTCTGCCAGTGCCGCAGTACATGCATCAACCACGCCGTCGCAGATGATCTTGATACCGACAATTCTCAAATCTGGGCTGGTTTCGCTGTTGAACTCCTGGGTGAGCTTGATGGCGCGCTCGACTTGCTGTAGTCGATATTCGTCACTTTCCCCAGGTATGATGCACCAATGTGCTGCTACCCGAAGCGGCAGCCCCTGAGCAGACCTGAGTGCGAGGATAGACTCCCATGCACTTTCATCCATCGCCATGTCAATGCATCCCGTACAGCCTGCCGCATGATATGCATCGATTGCTGCCTTCAGCGCTGCCATCTTTTCATCGAGGGGTGTGACCTGTGCCAGGAACGGCCAGACTGTCAAAAGCACACATGCTTCGCTCAGGAGGCCTGATGGTTTTCCCTGTTCGTCCCTCTCGATTGTGCCCCCGGCCGGGTCTTCCATGTCTTCGATACCCATCTCTCTCAGCGCGGCACTATTGCACCAACATGAATGAAGGTCCTTGGAATCGACATATATCGGCCTAGGATCTAGGTCGTCCAGCATACTGGCTTTAGCCTCTCCGTTCGTCATGGAGTGCATCCAGCCTGTGCACATGATGCGTGGCTTATCTGGGTTCGCCTTTGCATACTTTGAGATGCGTGATCGGATTTCTTCTAGATTTTCCGCTTCATTCAGATCAACCTTGGTCAGAGACATCCCCAGCATTAGGAAATGCATATGCGCATCGATGAAGCCGGGAAGCACATGTTTTCCACCGAGATCCTTCACCTGCGCACCAGCGTCACGATACGATTGGATCTCTGGGGCGTCCGAGCTCCCGATGAAGTCGATCTTGCCATCCTTGACTACCGCGGCTGAGTCGAAATGGCCTTCGGCCTTCGGCGTGCTGCCCTTAAAAAAGCGTCCGTTGATGAGTACCGTGGTGATCTGGGAAGCAGACATGATTGGAGTGTGTGTAACAGAGAAATGATATGATGCACGAGTGAGGGGTAGTTATTGACGTCCGATGTACCGCCGATCCCCACTGCCACATGACTACATCGACCAGACTACAAACTGACTTGTTGTCGAGTCATGCTTTGATACTCCCGAGGTCTATCTGTAGTCAAGACGAACACCAAGGCAGCGGAAGGGTTCGTGGTAATGAAACATGGCACAACCAGCTCACAGGTCAGATCAAACGACATACGACGAAGCCCGAAACGGCGCCGCTGCGTATCTACAGTCAAGACTTGCAGCAAAAGACAATGCGTCTGATACGAACTTCATCATACCCGTCATTGACCTGACGCGATCCTTTTCGGAATCTCTTGCAGATCGTCGGGCAGTCGCGGCCCAGATCCGAGAAGCATGCACAACCTCTGGGTTCTTCTACATCACCAAGCACAATGTGCCCAAGCCAGCTTGCGATGGAATATTGAAGCAAGCGGAACGTTTCGTCCATTATCTGCCTCTCGCAAAGAAGGAGGAACTGCATGTGGAAAAAAGCAAATTTAGCCTGGGGTGGGAGCCAAGCGAGTATACTTCCATCGCTGGCGACAAGGAGAAAAAAGAAATCTTCAACTTTGCATACGAAGCAGCATTGGATCGTACAGGAGGTGATGGGGAATATCGAGAGCTGGATGGTTCCGCTGGCGAAAGCAACGTTTGGCCCAAAGAGGAGGATTTACCGGGATTCCACGCGGCCATCAAAGAGTACTATGGCGCTGTGAGTGAAGGAAATCATACACGATGGCGACTTTCTAAGCGGAAAAAAAGGAAAAAAGAAAAACTGACTAGTGGAAGGTTCTTGATCTTGCTCGTCATCTATTCCGCCTCTTTGCGCTCTCGCTCGATCTCCCTGACTACTTCGACCCCATGACCACGCATCCAGGCGGCAACGCAAGACTCATATACTACCCACCTCCGAAAATTTCCCAACCGGACAGTCTGGCGCCCACTCCAGAAGAGCAGATCGGTCTAGGAGCGCACTCGGACTACCAATGTTTCACACTCCTCCTCACCTCCACCACTCCCGGTCTCGAAATCCTCAAGCCATCCGGACAATGGCATATCACTTCATACATCCCAAACTCACTCATAGTGAACGTAGCGGATTTCTTCATGCGCTGGACGAATGGGCTATACAAGAGCACTGTACATAGGGTTGTCAATCGCAGTGCCGAGGCGCGGTACAGTGTCCCATTCTTCTTCTCGGTCAATTACGACACAGTTATCGAGACATTACCGACTTGCTTGAAGGATGGAGAGGAGAGTAAATGGAAGCCGATCAAGGCGGGGGAGTATATACTGGAGAGGGTCAATGCTACGACAGCGTACGGCGCGATTTAATAAGCGGCATGAATCTGGTATTGTATCGGTCACACCTGTCATGACTCTTTAAGGAAGGCCAATAACTGAAAACAATGAGCTACTCATCTCGGAAGTATGCTTGATCAATTTTATGGAGCTCAGCCCATGCATGACTGTTCTAGTGCGAACGGAAGAATTCACAGTAGGTTAGTATACATCTAAACGATGTGTCGAGATAGCTGTTCCGCGGAGCAACCCGCCAATCATCCAGTACGACTACAGAAAGTCTAGCGATCTCTGCTGTAATATTTTTATGCTCCAGCCACGCAGAAATTCGCCACACTCATTCTCCAACTGTATATTCACATCGTGGAGCAACACACCCACAGAAACGGTCCAGATCATCGGACGCATGTCTCTCAACGCCGCATCATTGGTGGCGTATGCATGTCAGATTATCATGTGTTACATAAGCCGCGGTAACAACCCCATGGGCAGATTGACCTAATTCGCGAACCCTTCGAACAATTTTGCATGGCCAATAGTTATATCATTGGCTGCTTCTAGACTTCCGAATGTAGTGCAACATACCCCCTGCTCGTACGCTGTGGCGAACCAACATACAAGATAGGAAAATTACCAAAAGCGTCTCATCATGTCCATACTAATGGTTACGAGCAATCTAATCTACCTATATATTGGACAACCATATCAAACTCAAACAGGAAAAAGTGAACACTGCAGCGACTTAAAATGTACACTACCCTCCCTCTCCTCCTCGCCTTATCCATCTTCTACACAAATGCAGCCCTCTACCACCCCACCATTCAAATCTCTCTCCTCGAACACATCCTCGTCGATAACTGGGGCGCCTACGCCTCAAACTTCTCCTCTGCAATCGCACCCTGCGACCGCTATGTAACGCAAACCGGAACCGCAGCTCTAACCAGCGGCCGCACAACAGCTGCACAATGGATACGCGTCATGTTCCACGATTTCATCACCGCTAACGTGAGCGCTGGAACAGATGGTTTGGATGCGAGTATAGGATTTGAGACGGCGCGGGAGGAAAACAAGGGCAGTGCGTTTAACGACAGTTTTACGTTTTGGAGACCGTTTGTTAATGGGGCTGTATCAAGTATGTGACCTCCTCTCCAATAAAGCATGTTCTAGTATACGAAGTGATGTACACTTACACAAACATTCAGTGGCCGATCTCATAGCCCTCGGAACAGTAATGTCAAACAACCTCTGCGGCGGAGCACAAATGCCGTACCGCGCCGGTCGCATCGATGCCGCCTCCGCAGGTATCACAACCGGTGTGCCCGCCCCAGAAACCTCGCTCGAGGAAACTCTCACCTTCTTCGACCGCGCGGGCTTCAACGCCCAAGACGCCATTGGCCTCACAGCTTGCGGTCACACAATGGGTTCTGTACACCACGGCGGCTTCCCGGACGTCGTAGATGACTCATTCGTGACGCCGAATAACACAAACGGCGGCAGTAACTTTGACACCTCACGCGCTGTGTTCGATGCAAAAGTCGTAGGCGAATATGTGCATTGGACGGGGAAAAAAGGCGGGCCCTTAGTTACGTCGTATAACGATAGTATGAAGTCTGATCTCCGGTTGTATGAGAGCGATGGTAACGCTACTATGCGCGCGTTGTTGGAGAAAGGAGATGGGTTTTTGGATGCGTGTGTGGAGCTTATGCGGAGGGCGATTGATACGGTGCCTGGTGGTGTGCGACTTGGTGAAGAGATTGCGGCTCTGGCGGTTAAGCCGGTTAATGTGACGTTTGACTTTGATGGGCAGGGGAAGTTGGTGCTTTCGGGGAGGATTAGAGTGCTGAATAAGGCGGGAGAGGAGAGGCCGAGATCACTTCGGCTTGGTTCAGGCGAGGATGAGGTTGGTGTGGAAATTACTGCTGAAGCAGAGACTGGTCAGTCTGTATTTGGGAGAGGGAGTGGTGGGTATGGAGTTACAACTTATTTCCCCTTTTCGCTCACTGGGCCATCCACAAGGAATGCTACTTCCTTCTCTGTGAGCGGCGCGGGCGTACAGCAAACGTTTTCTGTCAGCAGCCAGAGTTTCGTTGTACCAAGCCTGACCTCTCTGCAGAGGATATCACTCAACGCTACGGTTGCGATACCGACGTCGAGCTCCTGCGACGATTTGACGGTACGTGTTGCAGCACCCTTTTCGCAACCAGGAACCTTGGCGCCGAAGATGAGCGAGGAGCATATTTCGATGGCCGAAGCTACGAACAAGGCCGACGGGTATAAGCTTTGTGCGGGTACCGAACTCTTGGATCAGTTGCCAACCGGCTTGCTCATCGTTGAAGCTTCAATAGGAGAAACGATTGTTGATTCACTGTTAGTCGATGGAGGCATGGCAGGATGGTAATATTACTCAATAAACTTTTCTACGTTCACTCCTCATCTACCGATATTCATAGCACCAGAACCTCGAAACCGACGAAACGTCAAACCCTGCCCAAGGCCCAGGCACTACCCAGCTTCGCCCACCTCGTTACAACAAGCGCAACAGCACCTGCACCCATCACTCCTACGGCAAAGAACCAAACGCCTTTGAAGTTCTCAACTGCCCCATTTCCTTGTCCTTTGATAGCACCAGCAGCAGGGTTACCGAGTAGTCCACCAAATGCAGCAACAAGATATGCGAGACCTAATCGAACACCGATCTCGGATTTGTTGGGTGTAAGATCGGTGATAGTAGGACCAGGGATGATAATGACACCACCCGAGAGGAATCCATACGCAATACTGATGGCTACAAGACCGTTGAAGTCCCGAACAAGTGGGAGTGTGCAGAGAGTGATGATGCACGCGATTGTCAAAGGAAAGAGAGTGTTAACGCCGCCGTATCTGTATCCGTCAGTACCCGCATGTCAGGAATAGACCAATAAACTTACCGATCAGCGACAAAGTTCGGAACAAATCGACCGAATATGTTGGCCGCGTTCATGATGCTCAGCAAGTTGAACGCCATATCCTTCTCCACACTTAACTTGATAGCGTACTCCTGGATGAAGAAGAATGGCACGAAAGTCGAAGCAACGAAGAGCGTAAAGGCCACCACAAACACCGCGTACGGCAGGTCCTTGAAGTGATGAAACCCAAAACTGGAGCCCTTGGATCCATACTGCAGCTGCAGCCTCATGACCACAAAAGCTACAGCATTCGTAAGCAGTATAATAGCCGCGAAGATTCTCACAGCCCACGCAAACCCCACACTGGTAAACAGTGAGCGCATAGAAAGCGTATACGCAATACCAGCAACACTCGCCCCGGTCGACGCCAGACCCGTAGCAACCATCCTCTTCTTCTCAAAGAACATGGCAAGCACAGCCACAGGCACGAGCGCCATAAGCCCGCTACCGATCCCCATGCAAACACCTTGAGCGAAGAAAATTGGCCAGAAGCCGTGGAAAAACGACGTCAACAGTAAGCCCAGGATCTCCAGAAAAGTGCCGACAGCAATGATACTCTTGAGGTACCCGCGATCGAGAAGTACACCACCGGGGAGACAACCAATGGTGGTGAAGAAGAGCTGGATAGAACCGATCCACGCGATACTTGCGGCATCTTGCCCTGGCATCAGCGTGTCGACATAGTATGTTTGGAAGACACCAAAGGCATTTGGTAGACCCCTTTGGCTGTTAGCTCCAACTCACGAAATGGCAGGATCAACATACCAGCTATTCGCAAACAAGATAAACCCACCCAGCACTTGCATCCAAGCAACCTTCCCATGATCGACGGGATAATCCTCATGGTCCTGCGCGCTTGCTGTGATTTCGTGTGCAAGCAATTGCTCTGTTCTTTCACGCTGCGCCTCGTGGTACGATAGCAGCGGTTCTGTTTCGTTGATAGACATTTTGGCAGAAACACAAACGGTGTTTGTTGGTGAGGCTGGTGAAGTTTACCAGTCGGCTCTCGTGTTTGTGTGTACCGTACCTCCAGTTTTCTTTCGCAAGAGCGAGTCTAGGCCTAGATCGGCGCTAGTGGGTAGATCCCGCGTCACTTTTAGTCACGAATCATGCAGGAACAGGGTCCGAGCGGTGAAAGGCAGGAGGCATACGTCATTTTTTCTTAAATTACATGTGGCGAGGTTTGGGGCAAAGGCTGGGGTGTGCAACACCGAGATGGCAACTACTCTTTAATTCAGTGTGGAATTCGGCTTAGAGTGTAGACCGAGGCATCCATGGGCTATTATCGCACCCGTCCATCGGCGGCAATCCGCCATCCTCCACGCCCATTTCATCACCCTTACCCAATTCCAACCATCCATCTTCCTCCACACCCTCTTCGAAAGCTTCCATATCTGCTTCTGCAAGACTGATCATGACTTCATACGGCACCCCTTCACCACCTTCTCCATCCTTCTTCCTCGGCAAGACAGTAATTCCACCCTCGCTGACCCAAGCTGAGCGTCGTATCGCCGTCGCCTGACTACTGTCGGCGCCAGGGATGTCCCATTTTCGATCCGCACCCATGTGCATCCAGCTCGTGATGTACAAGTCCGGGCCGTTAGAGTATTCAAGAGAGGCCTGTTGTGCTGTTGAAGGGTGGTGAAGGACTTGGCTGAGCTCTGTAGTGGCCCATTTTTTATTGACAGCGCGGGTTGTGGTGGAGATTTGGGACGCGAAAGAGGCGAGAGACTTGAGATGGTCGTTATGCGGCACGGACGTAGGTATGGTAGGAGATTTGATCTTTTGACCCACCTCAAGCCCTGAAATCAGCTCTTGCAACGGTACTGTATCATCTGCATGGGCTACAGTTTTCGTGTGGGGCAGTTTCCATGTGGCGATCGAGGAGATGACGAGGTTACCGAGATATTCTGGCGAAGAACATGAAGACCCTAGGTGTTTGCGTAGATCCACGACGATTGCAAGAGCTGACTGAGTATTCTTTGAAGCTTTGAGTAGCGGTAGGCGAGCGCGGATTATATACGCCCAAATGATTGCAGTGAGTGTTGCAAAGCGTGAAACGTTAGGTTTGTTCGACCCCGAGAGGTATGTGCAAAGAGCTTCCCTGAGATCGTTGACCTCAGCG